CAGACTCTTACTGACTAAAAACCACCCCGTTCCTACTCCTGCACTTCGAGCCGGAGCCCTGGTAACCCTTTAATTTCTCCGCGGCATAACCTGGGTACTGAATCGATTCCGATGGCATTTTGTACAACTGTAGAGTATACCTTGGTAAAAGCTAATTCAAAAGCCAAATTCCTGCCAGAAGAGATTATTTATGCGTACGTAGCGGTAATCAAGATAATTATGAGATTATATATATATATATATAAATATTATGACAGAACGACTAAATATTACTTGGGTGAATGACCTTACGGCAGTTGTCTGTGACGATACAATAAATTAGACCTGTACATAACTGCGTCGTTTATTTCTATGATGATAATATGACTGCCTCGTTGGCCTAGTGGTCGCAAGTGCGACTACCGGGCAAGGGGTGTCGGGTTAGATTCCCGGGTCGGACAAAGTATTAAAATTCTCAGTTCACGGAGTCTGGAACTGTGCCCGGTAGTCGCAATAGGCCTACCCCCTATTACATAGGACTCATGACATAAATAGTGAAAAGTGGGTGTTACATTTTACAGTGGTAATGTTTTACATTTTTACCGACTTCAAAAAAAAGGAGGAGGTACTATGTTCGGCTGATTGTTTGTTTTTTTTTTTTTTTTTGTTTGTTCGCGCAGTACTCCGCCGTTTGTGGACCGATTTCAAAAATTTTTGTTTCGTTTGAAAGGGTATACTCCCGAGATGGTCCCATTTCCATGAAGTCAGGATCTGATGATGGGATCCTAGGGAAACCGAGGGGAACTTTCGAAAATTCTATGGGGGAGTAATGCGTCTATTATGTTTTTCAATTACGAATTTTAAACACTACAATTTAATAAGGGTCTGGAGTCGACCTGATGATGGAGTCGACAGACAGTCGAGGGAACTCCTCAGTGGTTTATATTAACTACCTTGTGTTTGGGCTTAATTAATTTGTATTGATGAGGACTTTACACCTAGATAGAGTGGGGCTGTCATTAAGGGTCTGATGATGAAGAAGTGTAATTTTTAAGGGAACTCCTCAACGGTATACAGTAACTACCTTGAGTTTGGGCTTGATTAATTTGTATTCATGAGGACTTTACTCCTAGATAGAGTGGGGCTGTCATTAAGGGTCTGATGATGAAGAAGTGTAATTGTTAAGGGAACTCCTCAACGGTATACAGTAACTACCTTGAGTTTGGGCTTGATTAATTTGTATTGATGAGGACTTTGCACCTATGTATATTATAAGTAACAAAACGGGTATATGTAGCTTTATACTGAAAATGGTAAAATAATAAAATAAAAACTGCGTTTAAAAAACCGACTTCAAAAACCAAAAACTATTAACAAACAAAAAGTCAATACTAAAAAGCAAAAAATAACTATTATTAGTACTGATAGGTTACCCACCCACTGATAGGTTAGAAGTCGGTGCCATAAGCTCATATCATAATGATATAACTTAATGTCCACAAAATTGTGAATTAGATACCTATTAAGGTTTTAATGAATAATTTTGTATGGAACTTATGGCACCGACTTCTTACCTATCAGTGGGTGGGTAACCTATCAGTACTAATAATAGTTATTTTTTGCTTTTTAGTATTGACTTTTTGTTTGTTAATAGTTTTTGGTTTTTGAAGTCGGTTTTTTAAACGCAGTTTTTATTTTTAATGTACACCTCTGCTTACCTCTTCAAGGATAAAAGGCGTGATTTTATGATATTGATGATAATATATAATATGTCTTCTATATCACACAGGGAATTTCGAGTACGACTAAAATAAGAGTAACAGTTATCTTATTTTGAAACAGAACATCTTTGTAAGTACCACATTGACAGTAGTCACATGTTCAGCTATCATATATTATGTAACTGTATAAAATTATGACTGGCAGAAAATGCCGTAAGCATTAAGTCTTCCACAAGCAATACGGTAATTTGCAGGTAGTCAAATTCAATACTTTTATTGAAATGTCAAACTCAAAGCATTTATTTCAATTACAACCAACCAAAATTGATACTTTTGAAACGTCAACAAAAAAAAAAATAGTCTGTCAGCCAGTCCATCAGTGAAGCTAAGTGAAGCTAGGTGCTCATTCCAAAATGTATATTCGAATGGAGAAGAACGAGGAAGAAACTCCATTCGTTACTCTTTTTAAAAAAGTATGTTCTATAATGTCTGATACATATTCCAATACTGTACGCGTATGTAAGAACAATGCAAAGACACGCTTGACGCATTATACTAATTACAAAACTTACTACAATAAAAAACAAAACAAAAAAAAATCTTATAGTCTAACATCAATGGTGCTCACATATGCATACTGACAATCCTTAGAAATAGTGTTTCTATACAAGAAAAAAGAAACTTTTTGTTTCAGTAAAGAAAGAAATGATCGATGCCATAAGGAAACTAGATTGTCTACATTAGAAAGTATTAAATTATCCTACTATTGGAATCTAACTAATCATTACATTTGAGTATTATCCAGTGGAGCCGAAACAACATGCTGCCAAGCATTCCTATCCTCGAGATAATCTGTCAGTTTGTAGTAAGCTTGATTACATAATTCGCGCTTAAAAACGATACTTTTCTATGAATTTTGTATTGGATCGCAACTTATGACGTCATCATATTTCTGCGTCAAATAGCATACTAGAGATGAGAGTATGATTATTTTTTAATAATTTGTTGCATTGAAAAGTTGAAACAATTTATTTTAGACCTAGGAAATTAGCCAATTGGGTACTTGCCAACTAGTCAAAAACGACAGTTTTCTATTGTTTACGAGAAATTGTGTACGAGATTGTGTATTGTGACGTCACATCTTTTTAGTGTCAAACCGCATACTTATTTCTTAAATATTTGCTGGAAAAATACTAAAATTAAGTTGATCATGAAATCTATTAATGAAACTGTGATTATTTTTTTTATATTTTATAGTATTGAACAGTGTACCTAAATAATTTATTTTTGATTAATTAAAGTACCCAATTGTATAAAATAGAAATAAATAAAAAAAAATTATAAGTATAATCTAAAAATAGTTTTCAGATGTACCGTTAGAAGTCTGGATTAAATAATAGGGTTCCTTTTTATCCCGGAAAATTTGATATTCTCGAGGGAAAACGAAATTATTGGTATAGATGGCGCTGTGTGTATTGGTATATGTCATATAGGCTACTTTTTATTCTTTTGTGACGCGAGCGAAGCCGTGGGTAAAAGCTAGTCTTGTATAAATAGTAAAAGTGCGTGTTCTTTTCTTTGTTTAAAGATAGAGATAAGATATTAAATTTATTTATGTATGTATATCTCCGAAATATATTAGCTTATCTTTCATTGTTAAATAAAATCACTGCTTGCCTCTTGCACCTACCAATTACTCTTCTCTGCATCACCCAAAGGTCAGACTGGTAGAAAATGCCTGCGGCATTAAGTCCTCCTTTTTGTACATTTTGTGCATGAAGCATATTAAATAAATAAATATAGGCTGTTATATACCGTATATATCACGGCCAAATGGGCTTAAATTGCCGATCGACTAACGGCCTAAACCATTTGCTAGTTACCTAGTTACTAGATTAAAAGACTAGACCATTCGTTGAGAACTGATTATTATTATTAATTATAGTTGCTACTATAATTGTTAAACTCTGTTCTTTATTGCATTACATCCATAGATATTACACATTTTTTGCGACATCATAACATAATGTAAATACACAATAGTACTTAATACTTAATATTCTAAAATTAAAAGTAGAGATCAACAACTAACCTGTTATTTGACAAAAACTACATTACTTACAATAACTAACAAGACGTTACTTAATGTCTACGGAAAAAACTATAAAAATCAGATACTTATTTATTACTTTATTTTATTTTTACATCGTTTCGATACAAATTAAAGCCGGTATAGTCGTTGCTGTGTTCAAACAAAATATGGTGTAATATCAGACTAAAGATATTCACTGCTTACAGTTAGGCCTACCCTAATGAGTCCCAGATCAGTAGGTTATATGAATATCAGAGTATAACTGGGCTTTTTACAATTTCTCAGTAGTAGCACGGAGACTAGAATTATTACATGGAACTCATAACGCAAACAGTGAAAAGTGAGTATTACATTGTACAGTGGTATAATGTGCACGTCTGCCTACCCCTTCGGGGATGAAAAGGCGCGATGTTATGTAATATGTAGTAACACGCTATGTTATATATAGTACTAGCTTCTGCCCGCGACTTCGTACGCACAATCCCGTTTTTCCCTGTTCCCGTAAGTCGTAAGAACCTTCTCCTGACAATAACAAACACAACAAAAAAAAGATCAGCCAAATCGGTCAAGCCGATCTCAAGTTATGGCGTGACAACGGGAAACGGGTTTCATTTTTATAGGTATATATTTAGTATAACGTCTGTAACATGGCACAAAAAATACATCGATCGTACGTTTTATTAAATATTATGTCGCTTAGGATAAGGATCCTTTGTTTGTTTTCGTTTCTAGACTTTGATTATCATGAGCTTATGTGCAGTTAGTAATTTCACCAAAATCTAAATAGTAATTTTGCGTTATGTTCCTAAATTCAAACTGATAATTTAATTGACATACTTTTGTATATTTACTTTACAAACGCTAGTTTTAAAACAAATTAACATGTATAATTAATTATGTGCAATAAAAATAAAAATACTGTTACTGTGCTGCAAAAAAAATTAGCTAGCATTCGATGTTGTGTTATATTTTATTACAAAAATTGCATTTCAAATAAAGTAGGTTGATAAAATTAACACCTGAATGTGTTGCTAAGAGGAAATCTCATTAGCTAATTCTGTTTTGTTGGGTAGGTTATTGTTAGTACAAGGATCTTAATTTATAAGAAAAAAAATACACAATTGCACAGAACATTTTCTAAGGCGAAACAAATTTGCCAGTATATTAGTTTTAATAAAATTATAAATAATTCTGAGACATTTCCTTACCAATAAGGTCCGCAGCTACGGCGGGCCATATTGTTAAAACGGTGAGCACAATCGGCCAGTATTTTCGGAGCTCCATCACAAAATATTCATGAGATGTGATGCGTCGTTAAACAATATCACTTGAATGATAAAAAAGAACACAAAACTATTAGGTACATTTTATTTTCATCTTTTTAGAGTTCCGCACTACAAAGGTTCAAATTCGACCATTGCTCAGTGTAGAAATAATCTTTCTAAAAGATGCACTCGGCCAACGCCATACTACTTATTATATGTATATATATTTATTTTGTTGTTCAATAGCTCGATAGATGGCGTTGGCCGATTTAAAAGAAAGTAATAGTTACGTTACCGGCAAAACATTAGGTTGTTTGCTTTGACACAAATAAATTGTCTCGCTCTGAGGTACCTTGGTTTCATTCACGTGCCAAGGCTTTCAAAGGATCTTGTGTCGATAATGTTAATGGTCCAGTCGAGCCGAAGGGCGTTTTTGGAAGAACACAAATAATTAAGAATAGTTGTGCTAATTAATACTAGATGGTGTTAATAGTCGGTGAACAATAATTCATGAGGAAGATTACATGCAGAACTGCCGAGGACATCGGGAATTATCGCTGAACTTCTTTTGGAGCTCGTGAGTAGTGAAGTGAGTAGGACCTACTCTTCACATATTTGCGACAAATTGCCATGAGATGGCGTCAACATCCGATCTGTCTGGTCCGGTCATGTATCGCCAAATGAAGGTCGCTCGACCTGATACAGATTACCAAAGAATTGTTTGGAGAGAGAATCCAAACAAAGAGATCGAGGATTACCGACTTCTGACTGTCACCTTCGGTACGTCATGTGCTCCTTACTTAACGTAAAGTCATTGCAGCAAGTTGCGCGCGATGAAGGTGAGAGGTATCCAATGGCTGCTGAAAGGGTGAAGTCAGGCTTCTATATGGACGATCTGATGACTGGACGTGTCAATCTGAAAGAGAGGTAAAAATAATTTATGATGAAATGAATTGTCTATTAGAGAAAGCAGGGTTCCAAAAGTGGACAAGCATTAGACCATCCATTTTGGAAACTTTGAAGGAAACTTCTGGTAGAGACCTGGAAATAAAAATGGATAGTATAACTAAGATTTTGTAACTTACCTGGAACCGGAACACTGATGAATTTGATTATTCTGTTGAGATGTCACCTCCTGTTGCACCTGAAAAATAAGAGTCCATTAGAAAAGTCGAGTTCTTTATATAAGTTCTACAGTACAGTAGTACACATATTTATCGACCAATGTGGGATATTGCGAGTTGGAGGAAGGCTACAGTATTCACCATTACTGGATGATACAAAGCACCCAGTTGTTATTCCTCGTGAATCAAGTTTAACCAAGTTAATTGTAGTCGACGCTTATGAAAAGACTTTTCATAGAGGACAGCAACTGGTACTTACTCAAAATCAAGTACTGGAGCATTCGGATTAAAAATATTGTACGAGCTCACATACGTCGTAGTGTTCCCTTTATTCCATACGCGGCGACTACGAATCAACAGCTTATGGGAGAGCTTCCGGCTTGCAGAGTAACTCCCAGTAAGCCGTTTCTGAACTCCGGTGTCGATTATGCAGGTTCTATTCCCATTAGAGTCTCCAAGGGTCGTGGACAGCGGTCGTATAAGGGATAAATATGTTTGTTCGTGTATATGGCTACGCGCGCAGTACACATAGAGGTTGTTTCAGATTTGACGACTGTGGGTTTCCTGGCAGCGTCCAAACGGTTCGTTTCCAGGCACGGTCACTGTCGTCATCTCTGGAGCAACAATGGTATGAAGTTTGTGGATGCTGCTAAAGAGTTGCAGATGCTTTTCAACCAAGAGAGTTCGATGTACAAGACATTGCAGTTGCTCTTGCAAACTCTTAAACTGAATGACATTTTATCCCTCCCCATGCTCCAAATTTTGGTGGGTTGTGGGAAGCAGGGGTAAAAATTTTAAAACACCACTTGAAGCGCGTGATAGGTGACTCCACTTTGACGTTCGAATAATAGTCCACAGTACTTTCCCAAATCGACGCATGCCTACAATCTAGACCCCTGTCTCAGGGTAGTAGTGATCCAGAGGATCCTTCACCTCTGACTCCAGGTCATTTATTGGTGGGTCATCCACTGGTAGTGGCCCCTGACAACATAGTTGTAACTGTGACACTTTCATAGTTGAAAGTGTCACAGTTAGCACTTTACGCAAATGGCAATTAGTACAGCGTATGGTGCAGCAGTTTTAGCGTTGATGGAAACAGGAGTATTTAACTAACTTTTTTCAAAGGCTAAGTGGAATGTTCGTTCGGAGTCGGAACCTAACCGGTAACCGGGGCTCCGGTACGACGTGCTGGAGAAGGAACGGGGTGGTTTTTAGTCAGTAAGAGTAGAGTCCGCCTCACCCAGGCGGGAGCAGACATTCGATGATCTTCCCCCCTTAAAAAAAATGTGGAATGTTCGTAAACCTTACCTCCAGCTAAGTGGTTATATAGCAGCTGCATCCGGGTAGAGATAACTTGACGCGGGTTGTCACTGTTCGTTGTAAAGGCTCTATGATTAAACGTACAATTTCAAAATTGTGTTTTCATCCTGTTACTAAATAAGGCAAAATATTGTAAGATTTAATTGTTTAATTTGCGTAAGTTTTTAGATAAAGTATTTTTTTGGTTATATTCTTATATTGCACAGTTTAATTAACAATGTCTCCTACTCTTGTGCACTATTATATATGAATACAATGTTTAGTTAGTGGTTTAGTTATATTTTTTTTGTAAGAATTTTGTCAATTTAATGTTTTTGCCGGTGACCAACTCGCACTTGACTGGTTTTATTATAAAATGTCTATTATTTGACCTATGCTAATGTGAATGTAGTCTACTATTTGACCTATGTTAATGTGAATGTTCTTTTATCGTCTACATCCAATATTAAATCTTTTGTTCTTTTTTCGGTGTCATTAAAGATAACTATATATATACACAGCAGAGAATAATAATGCCATTTATCGTGGTCCTTTTTCATTAAAAACTCAATATCATAGGGCTGATCGAGATTTAATACCTTGTTTTCTGCAACAAATTCTATCTAGCTTAGCAAAATATTAAATTATTTCCACGTTATTGTACGCCCATTTTTTATAAAATTTGTAACAGATATTAAAAAGGACATCCTAAGTTATTAATGTTTTTAAAATAAAGGAAGACATGTCATTTTTATTATCCGTAAACATGGAATATACCCCACACTTCTCCAGTTAACTATGACCTCCTTATTTTATGAAACATCTCATACAATACCGTACCGTACTACGTGCTTCAGTAATAAAAATCTATTTCTAGGCAATATTGTCTGTTAGATAAATTGTTATCAGAATTATATGATATTACATGTGCGTAATATTTATCTAAGACCATCACTATCAGTTTATTTACGCGTTTATGTTTAAAAGGGCATTTAGTTTTAGAGTAGTATAAGTATTTAGAGAATTTGATGGTTCGACAAATAAAGTAGTAAAATGCTCTGATGCGTGGTATCAAACAAAAATAATTATACTATCTTGCGTGAAAGCACGATATAGAGCTCAGCTTAGTTAGTTGACCAAACGATTTCTTTGCCACTGCAAAGCGTACTTTCATACAGGTTCTCGTACTTGAATCACATCTTTAATCCTTCTTGTCTACAGATGCGCCTTTGACACAGAGTAAATCACACACGACTACATTACAAGAAGTAAGAATCCGAGACGGAATACAAATGGATGAGGATGTCAAAAGTCTGGCGAAATACTTTTCGTGTGTGGACACGGACGAAGTACAACAATCTTCAAATATTGTAACAATGCCAGTACCGGTCGGCGCTGATTGCCTGGTTAATATGTAGGTATTCAATCTGCACTTTCCTCAATTGGGTACTTTCCATAATCAAATATAAATTATTTCGACTGTTCAATATGTAATATAAATTAAAGTGTGAAAAATAATCACACTTTTATTAATTGATTTTATGACCAACTTAGTTTTAGTATATTTCCACCAATTTTTTAAGAAATAAGTATGCTGTTTGATGGTAAAAAAAACGTGACGTCACAACACACAATATCGTACAAAATTCATAAAAGACTCGTTTTTGACAGTTCGAAAAAAGTATTGAATTTGACTACTTGGCATGTACCTACCCTATTAGGGTAGACGACTAATTTTTATTTTAATGTCCGTCTGATAGATTATTTAAAAACATTAGACACGTATTTTTTATTTTCTCACAGAAACGAATAGTTTCGAAGATATATTGATTTAAAATGTCGCGTGACGTCACTTCTCAGTACATTTTATACTAAGAAATGACGTTTTAGCCCCCACTCCTAAACTTTGATTCGTTTTATCTAAGTATTGTTTTATTATACGACAAAATAAAAAAATACGTGTCTAATATTTTTTCATTACCTAACTGACGGACTAATTATATTTTTAATTTTCATACCCTGTCATCATCCCCATTACACTTGAAGCTTACCTAAGTGAATTTGAACACTTAAGAATTTTAGTACGTTTATGTTTCAGTGTGCAGAATAATGCTACTCCAGCCTGAACGTATATCTACGGTATGCGCCAGCCCTAGTAGAAGTTGCTCCTGCTGTGGATAGATGGCGCGATATTATAGCACTACTAGATCGCACTCTCATGTTATAGGTACCTACTTAACTAAATCGTACCTTGGGATTTTTCATCAATCCTGATTATAGGAACCAATGGTATTAAAGTATTTTTGTGTCACATGGTATATTCTACTGTCTTCCAAATGGTTCCAGTTTATTATCAGGAAATAATTTTAATTACAATGAAATAAAAAGAATTTTGAAAAACTGTTTTTTATTTATAACAAACTAGGTTTCGCAAACTTCCGTCGATAGGTAGTTCAATTTATTTTGTATATGATCATGACAATCAGTGACTTCAGATACAGAACTCTCATTTTCGGTATACTTGATTTTTTTTCTCGAAAACTTTATAAATATTGTTCTTCAATATCCATTCGTTGTCAGTTTCTTTGCTTATATCCCTGACAGTATCGTTCATGTCATCCTCCTCGTGTATGGCTCTAAATTTAACTAGTGTTCTGTTATCATGCCTCAATGCATCATACAGATTGTTCCTCAAATGGTCTTCTTCATCACTGTAACTTGTATCTTCTCTTATCTTTTGAAGCAAATTATTATGTTCTGTAGAATTACTGGAGTAACCAGACATATCGTACATTTCTTCATCGGAAGATGGTATGTTGAATCTCCTAAAGTTTTGAGTCTCTTGCTTCTTTCTAAAATAGCTTATTGCAAGTTGTTTCAAATATTCCGGACTAAGACCGGAAACAAGTTTTTTGGCAGCGGCAGTTGCAGTAGTTTTAGTAGTGGGAGTAGTAGAAGAAGTAGTAACATTAGCGACGGTGGGAGTAGTACTAAGGCTTGTCATAGAATGATGATGTCTTTGTTTCCGTTTCCTATGTCTTCTATGCTTGCGTCGCTCACGACGATGCTTGCGTCTTTTCATTCGGTTTCGTTTTTTGATTTGATGCATAACCTTTTTTCTAATAGAAGATACATCATTGACATGATGTTCATGATAAAATGCGCTCTCCATACTATTACGGTTGGGTTCATTGCTACTAACTGAAAGTGCTCTTTGTTTAAAACGATGACTTGAATATTTTTTTGACCTGGTTTCATCATAGTCGGGATAGTCTCGTGAATCCTGACGATGTCTTCTTATCCTTTCTTTATGATGTTGATTTAATTTCTTTAGTATTCTGGGATGTTTATGTAATAGGTGTTGGACAATTTTCTTGTAGTTCATACTCCTTCTTTCTGGTCTGTCAGTTGAGTTGGAACCTGGAAATGATATAAACTTTAAAACCTGATTCGTATCACGTTGAGCTCAAGTTTTACAGCTACATTACTACGCTACGCGCTACGTTGACTGCACGGTTGGTGCGGTGGCTGGGCAACCGGCTGCCGTGCAACGTGTCGCGGGTTCGATTCCCGCACGGAACAACACTTTGTGCGATCCACAAATTGTTGTTCCGGGTCTGGGTGTCATGTGTATGTGAACTTGTATGTTTGTAAACGCACCCACGACACAGGAGATAATCCTAGTGTGGGGCAACGTTTTAAAAAAAGAAAAGAAAAGAAAAAAGAATTACGGTTTGAATGCAATTTGTTTAAGTGTTATATACATCTATAATATACCTACCCATACGCAATGCATTATAAGTAGCTTGGGTAATAAGACGAACAAATTTTTTGTGTTCCCATGTACCCTCCATCCTTTTATACGGAGCTAGGAAAGCATTTAACATCGGTTCGCATACGTCTTTCGAAGTTTTTCCTTCTGTGGGAGGCAGATTATAACTTGAGATTAAAAGAAAACTTAAAACGTATGTAGATATAGAACTAGTTAGTAGATAATGTATAATTAGGTACAATTAAAAAAGCTATCACCCACGCATCACCACTTACATCATCTCAGAAGTCACCGTCGGGATCACTCCTTGACTTTATGGTGTTTTATTACTTTGTCATGTAAATTAATTGATTATAAAGTATATCTTTTGCACATCTGGCCAGATGTCGCTTGATGAAACGTTTTAGACTTATTTCGGAGATACTAATGTTAAAATTATCAATGATAAAAAAATACACTTTTAATAAATTAATGTAAATGTTTGTAACAAACAAGAGTCACACTAAAGTACACAGATAACAGTAAGTATAGATCTATGTATGTACAACTAGCTTTTACCCGCGCCTTCGCTCGCGTCACAAAAGGATAAAAAGCCAATGTGACATACCAATACACACAGCGCCATCTATATCAATACTTTGGTTTTCCCTCGGGAATATCAAATTTTTCAAGGATAAAAAGTACCCTATTATTTAATCCGGACTTCTATCTTTACGTCTGCAAAATTTCAAAGCAAACGGTTTAGTAGTTACGGCGTTAAAGTGGAACAAACAAACAAACTCACTTTCCTATTTATAATATAAGCAAGGAAAGTCAGGATAAGGATGTTCAAGGCGTGATATAATGTAAATGTTTCCCTTACCCTCAGGATAACGCTCGAATACTTCGAGCGTTTCAAAAAGTTTCTCTCCTTCTTGTTTCGTAAACATGTTGTCATAAATACCAATGGCTTCTCTAATTTTGGGATCAATTGGTATATTTTTGTTTTTAAGTATTAATTGGGTCGAACTTATTGCTCCTGTAACACACAAAACACGTCTTAAAATAAAATACACAGTCACGACTCGCCATACTTCGGCTGGCTTCTCTTAGTTACCGCTAAAAGTAAGTTAGTCAACAGTAGTTAATTCATGGAAGCACATGTACTATGCTACGTTTAGGCTTCGGTACGGCGTCTGAGAATAGCCAGCGTTTTTTTTTTATGGCATAAGCAGGTAAACGAGCGGAGACGGATCACCTGATGGTAAGCTATCGGCGTCGCCTATGGAAACTTGGAACACCAGAGGCGTTACAAGTGCGTTACCGGCCTTTTGGGGATCGTTGGGAATTCAGGAATTGGGGAGATTGGAGAAGGGGAGGATAATTGGGCCTCCGGTAACCTCACTCACTTCACGTCAGTTTTCTGTGAGGCCATGGTGTCACTCCTGTCGAGCCGGCCCATTCGTGCCGAAACATGGCTCTCCCATACTTGCATTTATATTATTTATATTATTATCTTCAGCGTATTTAATGTTATAGATAACAACTGTAATATTTGTTATAACTTGCCTATTGCGGTTGGACTATTTATGCCAAAAGCTTGTATCATGACTAGTGACTGTCTTGCTGCTGCCAAAACATCCTGTCCCACACTTGCAAGCTTTCCTTCGTCGATTCGTCTGTTGTGTCAAAACAAAGCAAAAATACATCTTAAACCAACCTATACAGTAACTGTGTCTAGGCATTAAGTTTGTTTTTTTTTTTACCGACTTCAAAAAAAGGAGGAGGTTCTCAATTCGACCGTATATATGCTTTTTTTTTTTTATGTTTGTTCGCCGATATCTCCGTTGTTTATGAACCGATTTTGAAAATTATTTTTTTGTTAGAAAGGAGATAGTTCCAGAATGGTCCCATGATAAGGAAATCAGGATGTGAAACCGAGGGGAACTTTTAAAAATTATAGGGCCGACTAGAGGATTAGTAAATTTTTTCATTAAGTATTAAAAACCACTATAATCTGATAAAGGTCTGGAGCCGATCTGATGATGGAGCCGAGAGCCAGTTGAGGTAACTCCTCAACGGTTAACAGTAGCTACCTTGTGTTTGGGCTTGTTTTATTTGTATTGATGAGGACTTTACACCTGAGTGGGGTGTAATTGTCAATAAGGGTCTGATGATGAAGTAGTACGATAGTTGAGGGAACTCCTCAAAGGTTAACACTAGCTACCTTGTGTTTGGGTTTGATTAATTTGTATTGATGAGGACTTTACACCTGAGTGGGGTGTAATTGTCAATAAGGGTCTGATGATGAAGTAGTACGATAGTTGAGGTAACTCCTTAAGGGTTAACAGTAGCTATTTTGTGTTTGGGTTTGGTTAATTTGTATTGATTAGGACTTTACACCTGAGTAGGGTGTAATTGTCAATAAGGGTCTGATGATGAAGTAGTACGATAGTTGAGGGAACTCCTTAACGGTTAACAGTAGCTACCTTGTGTTTGGGTTTGATTAATTTGTATTGATGAGGACTTTACATCTAGATGGGGGGTGATGGTCATTAAAGGTCCAATGATGAAGTGGTATGATAGCTAAGGGACTCCTCAATGGTTGAGAGTACCCACCCGGTGTTTGAACTGGAAGAATTTGTATTGATGAAAACTTTGCATCCATGTGGGTTTTGTATAATATAATATATCGAAGTACTAAACTAAAAAGTATAAAATAAAATTAAAAAACTGCGTTTAAAAAAACCGACTTCAAAAACAAAAACTAAAAACTAAAAAGGAAAAAAATAACTATTAGTGGTCATACGTACTTATAGCTTACACACCCACTGATAGGTTAGAAGTCGGTGCCACAAACCCACAACAAAATATAAAGTAGAAAAAAGTCACAGCTGGTATAATCCATAATAAAATTGTAAACAGCTCAATAATGTTAGGTAGGTATCTATTAAGATTTTAATGAATAATTTTGTTTAAAACTTGTGGCACCGACTTCTAACCTATCAGTGGGTGTGTAATTGTGTATGCATGTATATATTTTTTGAAGTCATTGGTCGAAGCCTATGTTCAGCAGTGGATGTCCTGTGGCTGATATGATGATGATGATAATGATGATGATGATATATTTTTTGGAATAAAAAGTGTGTTGTGGTGTCGGTAAAATTGTGGAAATGATTAGTATTTATAACTGAAATTCAAAAACATGATCATACTTACCTGTCTATGCCAGCTATGAGAGTACCATACAAATCGGTTGCGGTTAGAAAATCTTTCTTCATAATTAACTCCAGGAATTTGGATACGGAAGCACTGCCGTAGCCAAGGCCGTCTACCGCCATACTACTCTTCAGATCATGTTGGATCAAGCTTTCTTGTTCTAAGGACAAACAAACATATCACAGCAACGATTAATGTATAATTTGTGGTAATTATGTCCAGGAATAATGAAGTGGCACGTCATGCTTTTTTATTTTCCATTCTTTAAACTGTCAAACACCAAGCGGTCACCGGTGACCGCGACCTATTGTTCTTTAATTGTGTCTATAAAACCGGTACTCGACGAGTTAAGGCACGATAAGCTTATTAGACACGATTTCCTTTTTCGTTTAACCCACGAGATTCTTTATTTATTTCCGAGTGCTGTGTGGCGCGAGGGTTCAGTACTCAGACTCACGTTACCTTAGTACCATTGGGGTCTGGAAATATTGCGATGTTTGAGGAAAAGTCAAAGGTAAGTCGGCGCCGATTGTCAAGTAAATGAATATCTAATGCAGTTGTTACGACCACGTGAACCGGAACGAATTTTAAGAATAATGTGTTATTATATTAAGCTGAACAGTTTTGCCGGCAGTTCGATATCGACATACAAGCTGCCACTTTTATTTTCACAAAAAAAAGTATTAAATATTTCAATTTTTTCTACCTGCATGCGGCTTAACCATTGAGTACCGCCATTATAGACACAATTAAAGAACAATAGATATGCAGACACCGGTGATCTCGCGGTGTTTGACAGTTTAATGGGGCACACAATGGATATAAACCAAAGTGAATTGAAGCGATATTACAAAAAGAGGAGTTTGTATCCTCTACGTGTACCTACGTGTAGTATCCGCCGCACCATAATCCTTTGGGAATGGCCAGTTTGGTGGGTGGGTAGCCATTGTGGTTTCTGTAGTTTCACCTAATAAAGTGGGTGTTGTAGACTCTTCAGTCACAGTCGTCATTTCTGAAAACACAAGTAGATATTACGAATTAATCACAGCTGCAAATATACCTAATGACCGTAGTTTTTTTAAGGAATTATTAAAAAAAATATTGTCGATACATATTTCATAACTGACATCCCACTTTGTTTTTTTTGAGATTTAAGAAAGACTACTAAAAGAAGAATGAAATTGGTACCACCCCTCGCAGAGTTTTGCAAGAGCCAGAAAGACATGACTTTTAGAGGTATAAAACATACAAATGGCTTTTACTATTCGTAGTAGTCGAAGTAGTAATATTTCCTGACAAACTGTTACAGCGTTGTAACATTATTGTAGGGTTGGACTTGTTGGCATTTTGCGTACCGCGAGGATGTGAATGGTTTGACTTGCGCACCCACTTCCTTACTATGTCACGTATAAGTGGATCGTAGCTTCGACCATAATGTACAAATTTGGTAGTCATTTGCGAGCGTATTATTTGCAATTTGGATGGAAGTAGTGTCAAAGTCTATTCTAGTGCCCGGGTCTGTCTTCTGGCGCATAACTGGCTGGCCCGCCGTAGTACTTATTTTAGCTTGTTTCACTGTTTGGGACCCCTTTGTCTAGTTTTGCGGTATTGTTATGTTGTGTTTCATACCGGGTAGATGGGAGTCATCCCACCAAATGTCTGTGACTGTGTAGTCCATGTAATCTGTTCTTTTGTTATTCAAGTCTAAATCAACTTGTGACAGAAGCCTTCGTTCTTTATCTATTTTGCCTTCGATGTCGGCGAGCATGTCGTTGACGTGTGATAGTGATCTTTGAAGTTGAGCTTTTATAGGAACATTTTTTTCTGTAGCTGAAATAATAGTTCTGACTTTAGTTTCTGATGGCAGTTTAAATTCGATTATGGTTACGTATCTGCCTGCTATGCGTCTTGAAAAATTCACTAATAGGAGAGGTATGTGCTGACCAGATCAAGAATTTGTACATAATGCTAAATTAATATCCTGCCAGCTTTCCAAGCACGTATGTCAAGTGTTTGTTACAGTGGGTGCTAATAATATATTACTGTTGGAGTATTATTGGGAACTGGGTGTCATTTAACATTTCGACTTTTGGAGTAACTCTCTCAAAGATATTTACTTTACTTTCTTTGGCTTAGGTATTGTGTGGATATTGGCTATTAATTAGCATAATGTGGATGTATTGTAAATGTACTTCTGTCATATAGCCTGTATGCTCCTCAGTGATATAAAACTATACATTTCCAGAAATAATTATATACATGGAAATTGTGATCCAGGAAAGAGTGGAATTCTTTGCCAGAATCTGTATTTCCTGAAGGGTATAACCTGGGTGTCTTGAAGGCCCGAGTGAATAGGTTGGGACGACGTGCTACATCGTAGACCGCATCATCGCTTACCACCAGGCAAGATAGTGGTCAAAACGTCGGCCCAACAAATATTAAAATAACAAAATATTACACTTACGTAAACTGACAGATATTCTCAGTAGAGCAAAACTTAAAAATAAAACAAACATTTTAACTTACTCATTGCCAATATAAATACATAAACGCACATTACACTTGGTTACGATCAATAAAATAAATCGAAAGGAATAAAACTACGTAGATGATTATTATTTAGATTTAAAACCTTGAAGTACACATGCAGGTTCAATATGTTAATAATGTGCAACCTGTACTGCACACAAGTCGGTTAGTGCTCGAGGTACAACGGTACGAGAGTCTGTGTCTCGTATCTTCGGAAACTATTACTTCGTTTCCTATTTGACACAATATAATCATCGGACGTATGACAGTGTGTGTTATATTTGTAATGCATATAAAAATATGTTAACACTGCTTCAAGTACAGCTGTGACTCATACTCAGCTCACGTTTTCTTTTCTGGGATACAACACAACATATATGATTATATGTACATTTAGTAGGTTTATATACCAGGATACACAGGAATGGATGATCTTATATTTATAGTAAACGAAACAAAAAAAAATAGAATGAACATCTCATTTATTTATATCAACAAATAATTCCGCTACTTACGTGGACCAAGTATGTACATAAATAATTAAGTGACATCTTGACTCTTGTTTGTTACAATACTTACGTTTAATTATTGTATTTACGTTTTTTTAAAATATGTAATATTTTAACCAAAGTCTTACCTCTGGCAATAAGAAATAGAATAATAATATTATCGAGCGACATAAATAAAATGATGATTTGTTGATCAAAATTATATCAAAATTATCGAGAGCCTTGAAAGAGTCTTAGCGTTAATAAGGTACGTGTTGCAAAGGTTTTTCTTTTCGATAATTTCATGAATTGTGGAGTCCAAGTATGTGTCGAGGTCATTGGCCGCGTGCGCTAGAGGTGCGCTCAGTTGGTGCACTATGACCGGGCGCTGCGAGTGACGCTGCAGGGCGACGGGGGAGGGTGTTGGGTGGTAGGACACAGCATGCATAAGAACAGTCTGGAAAAACAGTGTACAGTGTACACGCGCGGTGATGAGTGGCCTCAAGGAGTACACGAGGAGTAGGAGCTACGCAGGCTAAGCACGCTACGCATGCGGGTGTAGTCCTGCTACGTAGCTACGCCGTAGGCAGTGTGAAAGATCGAGCTAAGTTACTTCCAGATAACAGCTTCTAGAAGCTGTTTCATTTTTTAAAATATTATTAATTAAAAATATTACTTAATCTACATAATATTAACCTGTTCCTGTTTAAATTCCGGAACACATCGGCAACAAATAAAGCTTTTTAAAGCACACATAATTTTTTTTAAAGTATGTAGAACAACTCTTCTGCATATTTCTATTATTCTATAACTTCTATGGTATTGGGGTGACTGTTATAAAAGATCTGTATATATTATTGTATGCAGATCAAGTGGTCTCCACATATTTTTGTTTGTCTGATGTTTTATTGATAAACCATTTACATAAAAAGTCACTTTTAAGAAATTTTATTGGCATTATTATTTGCCATAAGTAATTTAATTAGGATTCAATTTATTTATCTGACACAAAAATGGTGAGGAGGTATGGTACCAGAGAAACTCTTTAGCTATCAAACCTTCTACCAGAATCACAAGGAATTAGGTCATTCTCAAGGTTTAGATCATTTATTTATCTACGTATATTGTTCCCCAAAGCAACTCCCATGGATTGTAATGAAACCAACTTTTTTATAAAAAACATATTTAATTCTATATTTACAACAGCAGTAAAAAATCGATGAACATTGTTACATCGTGGTATAAAAAGGCTATTTACATAATTATCGTAATAAATAAGTTACTAAATAGTTTACTACACTACAACTTATAAGTAAATACATGTCAACAAAGGCAATGTGTACCCTTGGTCTAATAATAATAAGACTTCCATAGTCTTAACACAGCCAGTTTTATATTTATAGTGTACAGTTCAAAAAGTTTTTTTTACTTTTGATCGGCCGACGTTTGACCACTATCTCGCCTGGTGGTAAGGGATGTTGCGGTCTACGATGGAGCACGTCGTCCTAATTCCTATATAATAGTCATTGAGAGCAATCACAGTGCAGCTTTCCTATCCGCACCCATCCTATTCTTTTGTACAGACCATAGTGCATTTATAAGAAACATTTTCTTTTAACACTTTACTTTCAACCATATCAACATTCTCTGACGCGGCGCGCACCATATCTGTGTTAGTATTAACGACTTCAGTATTTTCAGACTTCTTTATAGCAGGGGTTTTAGAAAGCCTAGCCTTTACAGCTTCTTTAACTTTCGATAGAAAAGCACTTTCGGAAGCCTTAGGCCACGATTCTAAATCAGTACTCATTTTAGATTGTGTGTTTCCTAACCGACCGCCTTTTCCAGTAACTTTTTGTTGTCTTGTTAGAGATTTTGGCCCGTTTCCACTATCAACAGGTTTATCACCTAGTTTATAGTCTTGACTAGACATGGGAGACGCAACTACAGCACTTCTCATTTCACTCGGTGAACCACTGTTATCTAACACTCCAAAACGTCTCATATTTCTATCCGAATGAGATGAAGGCAATGTCAATTTTCTATATTGTGCTCTAGGCATTGCCGGTCTAGGAGTGGTTGAAAATGTTACTTCAATTTTACTATCCTTAAAAGGATTAATTGATTTCGTCAATTTAATATTTTTATTCAATTTCTCGCTTTCTTTTTTCCATGAGGCAACTCTAGAAACTTCGTCTTCTGTGGTTGGAATTACAATAGGTATTTGTTTAAATAGTTCCGGTCGCTTCATCGGTAGCGTTCGTTCTAGCGTAGGGACTTTAAGAGTTTTCGGTACAATCACACTGGCTGCGGCAGGCATCCTGAACTTATTTTCGTATGATTGTGACGAAAGCCTGGCACCACTTGGTTTCTGTTGATCAGGTCTGCGAGTTTTCGATTTCTTTGCATCCCTCATCCTACTTGTCACAGACTTGGGCTGTGCCGTTTTCAAAGAAGATTTTCTTTCTTTAATGTTACTACTAAGAGAACTAAATAGTTCTGGAGTACGTGATTCGAATAAAGAGTTGTCAAAAAGATTATTCCGCATTGTTTCAAGTCTGTCGTTGAAATCCATGTGTAAAGCTTTGATTTTATCACTGACATCTTCATGATTCCTAGCGATAGCTTCCAATAAGTCATTTGATTGTAATTTCGTTGGGATTTTTGTTTGTTCTCTCAAAGTGGATTGGAGCGTTTTCTGCATGTGTCGTAACGTATGTTTAGCGTGGGAATTCAGGTCCTCAGTTAACTCATCAATTCCTTTAGTTGGGACCAAGCTACTTCTGAGAACATCAGGTTTACGTAATGTTTTCACTGCTTTGCGGCCAAGAGATTTTATCCGACCACCTGGTGTCTCTAAATTAGGAAATATATCTAGTGGATTTTTTCTTCCTGTAAGTATTCCTTTATCATTCAATGCTGACTGTAGTTTCAATGGCTTCATTCGCAAATCTGGCAACAACAGTTTGTTTTTATTAGGTAGCTCCAGTTTCGGTAATTTCGGTAGAATATCTAAATCGACGTCTTCCAATCCTAAAGGTGGTAGTTTTGTTCGGAATCTTTTAGTACTGGCATCCGCAGACATGGTTTGCTGTAAAATATTTGGAGTACCAATCCTTGAATCTACTACGGGACGAGATAATTCTACTGCTTCACCTGCTCTACGACCAAGCAAGTTGTTCAAACCTGTTTTGATGTCATCAAGCGTGGGTATTGGTTCTATTTTGACCAAATTTTTCAAATCCGGTACTGGTAAGTTGAATAGGTCTAGATCAGGTTGTACTACTTTGTTGAATAAAGGAGGTGGACGGACCACATTGTTTTGAGGCATTATACTTGCAACCACTTCACTGGCCGATCCACTTGCATCATCAACTTCTTCTGCCTGTTTCGATAATGTTGGTCTACTTGGACAAGAAATTTTTGAATCACCATCACTTTCATCACCATTATCAAATTGTCGCGGATCCATTATAACAATTTTTTGTATATTGGCCGATGCATCAGAATCTTTCTGATTTTCTTCACTTTGTTCTTCAGTTGACATCTTTGATTCCATTCCTACGGGTGATAATTCATCGCAAGCTGCTTTTGACTCTCGTTCTTGTTCTTCTCTTTGTAACATTGAATCTGATATTTTTTGTAAGTCCTGCATACTCACTTTATTTGCAGAATTGTCATTAGCCTTTGGTTCATCGTCACAAATAACTGATTTCATTGTTGTAACTTGAAGTGTATGTTCGTCTTGACAATCAGAGTCTTGTTGGTTATCTACTATTGTAGGCACTTCTTGTTCTTCTTCAACGACATTAATTGGAATGGGTTTTTCATAGATTTTTGCGGTTTTAGGAATAGCTTTTGTATTCTTTATGTTTTCAAATCTATTCTTTATATTTTCTCTAATCGATGACAATGATGATTTATCTAAAGCAAGTGGTCTTATTAATTTTGTGGGTTGATTTACACCTGTAGGTTTGACATTTTCATTAAATGATTGCTCCTGGCTGCAAGATTCTTCTGTTATATCATTATTATTTTCAGATGTTCTATCATGGCGAAATCCTAAATCATCTGGTTGAACAACATTATTTATGTTGCTGCTAGAATCAGTTAAAGAATCCATATCGTTGGCATTATCAGCACAATTTTCATCGTTTGTAACATTTTTAGGTTCTGAATCTTCTTGAGTTGTGTTATCTTCAGAATTGTCTAGCTCTATTTCATCTCTATTGCCTTTTTCTGTATCTTCTCCATCAGAAGACCTTTCTGTTGGTTGAATGGGAAATTCTGTCATTAGTGAAGCATTCATATTGCAGTCGTCTGTAGTTTGGGCTAATTCATTTGACTCAATATCAACCATATTATTGCTACTGTCAACTATTACAGATTGTGTTGTGTCAGGACTGGACTCTGAGTCAATAATTTCGGTTGAGATCTCGCCTTCATGCCCACTATTATCATCATCAGTGAGACCATTATCCGTTTCAGCACTCTTAGCAGATTCTTCGTTGCAGTCAGTATTACTGACCTGTTCAATCATATTACTTGGACTAACTTCGGCATCCATCATTTCATTCTTACCAAAGATTGGTAGGTTTCCTATTGTCCTTGTACTTTGGATAAGGTTAACTGGAGCTTTTTCGTCTATCGACAGTTTTGCAGCCCTTTGTTCTTTGTCAAATATGCCTGGTAAGTTCAATTGTGGTATAGATAGTTTAGGCGTCTCTGCTCTTGTCTTAACTAGATCTTCCAAAGGAACAAATTCAACATCTTTTAATTTTAACAAATTGTTCAAACTCAATGGCCTAGTATGTGCATTCTGAAAGATATTGTCTAAGTGAGATTTAGCTTCAAAGAAATTCCTTATTGCCTGTTCTTGAATATCATTTGGAGATACACTCATATCTTCAATAAGGTCTGGTTTAGGCTTTAAGAGTGAATTATTTAATCGAAGTTTAGGAATCGAAGGTAGAGAGCTTATTTTCTCCTCATCTTCCAAAAATTTTTGATTTAATAAATCCTTCAGTGTAGTCATGGGCAGTTTTAAATTGGGCACCTTACTCCCAATACCCATATCGCCTACGTTGCTCTTTAAGTTAGTGGACATATCTTTTATACTAGTATTCGGTTTCAACAATGGCGCGTACTTCCGTAGGCCAATTTTAGTTTTACTTAGCGCTTGATCTTCGTCAATTTTTACAACACGTTCTTCAATATTGCTGGCACCTACACCACTATCCATATCATCTAGCTGGTCTACTTGTGGCAGCCCAAACAGCTCATGTAATAAGTTTGGTGGTTTTGTCGCAGTCCGTAACTGAACGGGACTAGACCTTGCACTACCTAATGGTCCATGAACACAACGTGTTTCTTGAAGATGTGATTCTTGAGGAACAATATCGTCCTCAGAATATTTTGGATTCATTATAATGGTTACTAAGTTACCAGTACTTGCGTCTGGGATAGTGTCTCCGAAGAAAGCCTCGTCAGCTGATTTCCCCATACTCCTCGCGGCATCCCTCGCTAGCGCTTCCTTATACTCCTCATCGGTGGCTTCTCTTAGTGTTTCTAAAACCGATGATGCGAGATCAACCTCTGGGTGTAGCAGTGGCTTCGGGTCTTCTTTCGTTTCTGATGACCTGTTAATAAATTAGTTGTAAGTATAGAACTGTTCTTTTCTATTAGCTTTTGTAAGTTTTTTAACATATGAAATAACCTAAACGTTATATAATAGTTATATCCTGAACGTACAATGGCGAAGTGGCTAAGCAACCGGCTGCTACGAAACGTATTACAGGCGCAGCGCGGGTTTAATTTCCACGCGGAATTTGCACAAAATAAGTATGTAAACACAACCATACAAATATACGTATAAAAAACTAAATTAATTAGTAGTTGCACTATGAAATCAGATATTTATTATTACAAACCATGTCTTACCTCACGGCATGCCCATCAGGACGCACTGCAGTTGGAAAGAAGGCTGATGAGGCTCCATCGGAGTCAGAGCTTCTAGCCCGGCACGGACAGTCATCCACCTCCCTTGCTCGGCTGTATGGACCATCGTAACTAGAGAAAGAAGGACTCTGTGCTTCGAAACCTTGTCCAACTTGTCCAGCGCCTGGGCAAGGACAGCACTCACCGAAGTCCAGTTGACGCGTTTGGCGAACATTATCCTTAGCGTCTAAAGGTTGTGATGATATCTGAAAAGCAGCATCAACATTATTAATGATTTGCGATATTTTTTGAAGTGAAAACTTCTTTAGCGGCGGTGTACATTTTTTTTGTAATAAAGTATCCCCCTCTCTTTTTATGGCGCGGCGAAAATGTTTGCCTGCGCCGGCTGTTTCGTTTAGGCGGCGCAGGGCGCCTGCGCAAATGTTCGTATTTGTTTATGTGTTTAAATGAATTTTTAAATAACGAATTTGGTTTAACCATGTCAAATGATCGCCACCTTAGCACAACGAAATATAAAACTACTATTGATGCGGTCTTTATTAGACATTTAAATAGGTTAGGCTATAATAGCTTTTCGGCTTGTAGTAGCAGCGCGACAGTCGCTGCGTCGCGGGTCGCGGAATGCTGCTCATGAATATGAGCCTCTAGCATGGCTTGAAACTAGTCGAGTTACTCGTCAAACAGTTACTTGACAAAGCCGTAAAAATAATAATTACCTAATCTCCTTTAATATATGTATGTATCTCTGTCTATGGGAAATAAAAGAGGTGATTGTATGTATTACTTAGACAAAAAAGTTATTAAAACACGATTGATGACCAAAATGATGACTGCCTCGTTGGCCGAGTGGTCGCAAGTGCGACCGTCGGTCGGGCAAGGTTCCCAGGTCTGGCAAACTATTACTGGGTTTTAAAAAAAATTTCAGTAGTAGCACGGAGTCTGAAATTGTGTCCGGTATATGGCAATAAGCTCATTCCCTATTACATAGGATTCATAACGAAAAATAGTGAAAAGTGGGTGTTACATACTTAGTACAAAGTGCCGTAATGTGCACCACGCCTTTTAACATAACATCACGCCTTTTTATCCTCGAAGGGGTAGGCAGAGGTGCACATTACGGCACTTAATGCCACTGCACAATGTAACACCCACTTTTCACTATTTATGTTATGAGTCCCATGTAATAGGGTGTGAGCCTATTGCCATATACCGAGGACAATTCCAGACTCCGTGCTACTACTGAGATTTTTTAAAAACCTAGTAGTACTTTGCCCGACCCGGGAATCGAACCCGACACCCCTTGCCCGGCAGTCGCACTTGCGACCACTCGGCCAACGAGGCAGTCAATATAAAATATTCATAAGACCAGATTATTAACGATACAGTGAAAACAAATTAAACAGATGACAGATATAAAAAAAAGATTACAATGAGCGTCTCTCGCCATCAAACGTCGAAGTTTGGCGAGTTTATATTTAAGGCCATACCTATGTATGATGATATAAGTTTCAATGAATAAATTTGTTAAAAAAATATATAAAAACTATTGACTTACATGGCCGTTGAATGAAAGGAGACACCAAAACACTATCCACCACATCTTGGATGCTCACATACCTTCTGAATGAGACCTACACCCTCTACCTTCCAGTTAATATGCTCCTAATTATCGGTCGATCTTGTAGATAAAGGTCGTATCGAGACCGCGCGCGCGCCTCGCGGCCGCCATCATGGAACGTGACCAATATGCAATTCTCAGCATAAATTCTAATCATTATCGTATTATTATCTAGTTCTGTGGAACATTCACATTATTGTGTGATCTATTTCATGCTTAATCTTTATATGAGATAAGTATCTATCTAAGATACGACAGGATTCTGCTACGGATGCTGTGGGTACCTATTTAATTTTTACGTGAACGTGATAGGTATTAGCGGGAAATTGTGGGCGGTTAATTGATTTAGGTATCATGTAAATTAACATAACATAACATCACGCCTTGTATCCCCGTAGGGGTAGGCAGAGGTGCACATTATGCCACTGTACAATGTAACACCCACTTTTCACTATTTATGTTATGAGTCCCATGTAATAGGGGCTGAGCCTATTGCCATCTCCCAGGCACAATTCCAGACTCCGTGCTATTACTGAGATTTTTTTAAAACCCACCCAGTAATACTTTGCCCGACCCGGGAATCGAACCCGAGACCCCTTACACGGCAGTCGCACTTGCGACCACTCGGCCAACGAGGCAATCATGTTAAATGTAGAAAGTAAGTAATGACTAGTGACTCCAGAGTGGTGACTCTAGGCGCTCACCCAGTGACCTCAAGGAAGGCGGTGGCGTGGCACAACGGCACTGGTTACTAGCCGTTGTGCACAGCGAGGCTCAATGGAACTGTTAGATTTTGGTATGTTAAGTTCTCTTCTTAAAGGAAACACTGTAGTTCGAAGAACAAAATTACTTTTATTTAAACTTCACAAATTAATAGTACCTACTTCAACATCATCATCAACAGCCTATAAATGCCCACCGCTGAGCAAAGCCTCTTCTCACACGGAGAAGGTTTGAGCATTAATCAACACGCTTGCTCAATGCGAGTTGGCGATTTCAAACTTATAATAATAATTCCAGGTTTCCTCACGATGTTTTCCTTCACCGATTGTCAGTGGTGTCTAAATAATCTTAGAAAGTACATAACTCGGAAAAAGTCACATTGGTACTTGCCGTTGGTAGGTTTCGAACCTGCACCCTCATGCATGAGAAGCGGGCGTAGGTACTTAATACTACATATAATTTCGAGTGTGATTTCGCACGGGATTGTGGATGGAAGACGACTGTTCACTGTTTTTGTATATGACGGGGTTGTATGCATTCAAGGCCGGATTTAGGGGTCCAGAGGCCTCGGGGCAACAAAGGAGTGGAGGCCCCCTTGCCCCAAATTATTTTCCAGATTGAAATCGAGGACGCTCGCTTGATTTCGAGGACGCTCGCTTGATTTCGAGGACGCTCGAAAACGATCGAGGACGCTCGATTGATTTCGAGGACGCTCGATAGATTTCGAGGACTCTCGATAGATTTCGAGGACGCTCGATAGATTTCGAGGACTCTCGATAGATTTCGAGGACGCTCGAAAACAATCGAGGACGCTCGAAAACGATCGAGGACGCTCGAAAACGATCGAGAACTCTCGACAGATTTCGAGGACGCTCGAAAACAATCGAGGACGCTCGATTGATTTCGAGGACGTTCGATAGATTTCGAGGACGCCCGATAGATTTCGAGGACGCTCGAAAACGATCGAGGACTCTCGATAGATTTCGAGGACGCTCGAAAACAATCGAGGATGCTCGAAAACGATCGAGGACTCTCGATAGATTTCGAGGACGCTCGAAAACAATCGAGGATGCTCGAAAACGATCGAGGACGCTTGAAAACGATCGAGAACTCTCGATAGATTTCGAGGACGCTCGAAAACAATCGAGGACGCTCGATTGATTACGAAGACGCTCGAAAACGATCGAGGACTCTCGATAGATTTCGAGGACGCTCGAAAACAATCGAGGACGCTCGATTGATTTCGAGGACGCTCGAAAGATTTCGAGGACGCCCGATAGATTTCGAGGACGCTCGAAAACGATCGAGGACTCTCGATAGATTTCGAGGACGCTCGAAAACGATCGAGAACTCTCGATAGATTTCGAGGACGCTCGAAAACAATCGAGGACGCTCGATTGATTTCGAGGACGCTCGAAAGATTTCGAGGACGCCCGATAGATTTCGAGGACGCTCGAAAACAATCGAGAACTCTCGATAGATTTCGAGGACGCTCGAAAACAATCGAGGACGCTCGATTGATTTCGAGGACGCTCGAAAACGATCGAGGACTCTCGATAGATTTCGAGGACGCTCGAAAACAATCGAGGATGCTCAAAAACGATCGAGGACGCTCGAAAACGATCGAGAACTCTCGATAGATTTCGAGGACGCTCGAAAACAATCGAGAACGCTCGATTGATTTCGAGGACCCTCGAAAACAATCGAGAACTCTCGATAGATTTCGAGGACGCTCGATAGATTTCGAGGACGCTCGAAAACGATTGAGGACTCTCGATAGATTTCGAGGACGCTCGAAAACAATCGAGGATGCTCGAAAACGATCGAGAACTCTCGATAGATTTCGAGGACGCTCGAAAACAATCGAGGACGCTCGATAGATTTCGAGGACGCTCGAAAACGATCGAGGACTCTCGATAGATTTCAAGGACGCTCAAAAACAATCGAGGATGCTCGAAAACGATCGAGGACGCTCGAAAACGATCGAGGACTCTCGATAGATTTCGAGGACGCTCGAAAACAATCGAGGACGCTCGATTGATTTCGAGGACGCTCGATAGATTTCGAGGACGCCCGATAGATTTCGAGGACGCTCGAAAACGATCGAGGACTCTCGATAGATTTCGAGGACGCTCGACAGATTTCGAGTTTAAGAATTGAAGAATACCAATTGTTCACATACTGCAATTAATTTTTTTAATGGTCGAGACACGGAATCGAATAGCCAACCTCCGAGGTTGCGGGCAAGTACCATCCCACTGAGCCATTGAGCCATTGGGGTACTCCCTCAAGATGGGTAGTAAATTGGAAGTGCTTCACTGATTGCCTGATTGGAGTGAACAAATATAGATCAATGATTTCTGTTTCTGTTAATATTTAAAATTAATATAATCAAATAATCATGTATGTATAAAGTACTTTAGGCTGTAGGTAATGGTAAAAGCGAAAAAAAAAGTATAAAGAAAAGATGTTTACTAGGTTTACTAGTTGAAATTTGAAAGATTTTTTTTCCGAAGTTCTTTGTGGAGGCCCCCTGCTTGTGGAGGCCCCGGGGCTTTCGCCCCGGTTGCCCCCCCCCCAAAATCCGGCCCTGTGCATATTGGCATTATTCTCTTTTATTTTTTGGCAAATGAGTCTCCAATACGATGCTGTTGACTATACTGCCAGTGTCGAGTGGTGACGGCAGTTAATGCACCGTCGGACTTTAACTTTCTGGTAGTTGTTAGTAACTGGAAGGGACAAAACATTTGGGTTAGTAACATTATTCTCTTATGATTGTACTAGCGTTTACCCGCCGCTTCGCTCGCGTCACAAAAGGATAAAAAGTAGCATAAGTGACATATACCAATACACACAGCGCCATCTATACCAACACTTTTGTTTTCACTCGGGAATATAAAATTTTTCCGGGATAAAAAGTACTCTATTATTTAATCCGTAATAACTTTACGTCTGCCAAAATTCAAAGCAATCGGTTTAGTAGTACACTTTCCGATTTATAATATTAGTAAGGATGTATGTGAGTTAATATCAAGTGTCCTCTCTCTCTCTCTCTCTCCTACCTCTTATTGTATTGTACTGCATCATAAAGTTTTAAGTAGGTACCTATTTTTAATTATTTATTTAATTATTATTACTTTGCCATTACACATAACTTAACCTAATTCGACATAGTAACTTAAAATATGTTTCCTAAACTATTAACTATACTTAAACTATATTTAACTATATATATAATTCTTCTATGAGTGTGTATGTCACTGAACTTCTCTCAAACGACTGGACCGATTTTGATGAAAATTTTTGTGTGTGTTCAAGTTCAAGGGGATCGGGGAATGGTTTAGATTCACAAATCAGCCCGGCAGATGGCGCTGCAATCGGTGTCTAGGTTATTTATCATAAACGGCTGAACTAATTTAAATGAATTGTTGTTTATACATTTAAGTGGTTATGCAGGACAACGTCTGGCGGGTCCGCTAGTTTAACTATAAAATTTTAACTGCAAAGTATATTTCCTCACACACTACACAGTACTTTACAGAGTTCACAAGGACAGTGGTCCTTGTGAACTCTGTCAGTGTACAGTTAGATTTATGTCGACAATATCAGCCACCGTGTTGAGAGTGCGTAAAGCACGAGTGAGCGGTGCGCGCTCCAGCAGGTTGGTGCGCGCCCGCGCCCCCGCGGTACTACCAGCAGCCACATACTCGTCGCGCATACAAAAACCTATCTCTGAAAGTATACCAGAGTTTTGTTTGTTACCTCTTAACGTTCAGAAGATAAGTGGCCGATGCCACTTCACGTCTGACTTCCAATTTGTAGTACCCTACCATACCGAGACAGAATAAGGTGGGATACAGTAACGGGTATCCCGGATATATCCCATATATTTCTAAATACATAAATCTGATGTATTTGTTTTGTATCCGCTCGAGCATTGTTTTATATTTTATTTCGCTCGGACTCCAGATGGCCGCATTGTATTCCAGATAAGTCACAAACCTCACAAGAGCCTCGTAAAAAGCCCTTAATGCGCGATATTCGTGAAATTATTTGCCTGACGCAGCACAAATCCCAGATTCCTGTACGCCTTCTTACAAACATGTACCACATGTCATGTTTGCGAAACTGTAAGTCGCTGGAGAAATGGATGCCTAAATCCTTTACCTCCGTGACACGCAGTAGCAGCTCCCCGTTCATGCTGTACTGGTGGTGTTGTTGATTTAGTGTATGAAAGCACTGAGTACTTTGAAATATCGAAATATAGTTTATTGCACTGACTCCATTCAGTGACTTTATCCAAGTCGTGCTACAGCATGTCACGAACAGCTGTGTCTTTAACTAATGCTGACAACTTAAGGTGTTGTAACATGTTGACCTGACCACCGTTGGTAAATCATTTACCATGATAATAAATCATAAGGGTTCTAGATTCATACCCTGGCTGACGCCCGATCTGATGTAGGTAGTAGGGCTCTAAGAAGTGTCCGCCTCAGTCAAGGTAGGCTAGGTAGGCAAGGTAGGCTATATAAATATATCGCCTTTTAGATATTAAAATAGATTTAAGTAAAAATACCTTCATAATAAAACTGCTTGGAATCACTACGTACATTATACTCTTTCTAAAATTCGTAGTCTATGGTGTTGCTATTGTCTATGACCAAAATTAGTGCGTTCCAGACGCATCTCCTACAAAACTGATATCTTAAGTCTTAATCATATCAGACCCGGTACAAAACTACGTAACTGATGCTAAAAAAATTCTGATAAGATAACTGGATCGCGATTCATAGACAAGTAGATAAACAACTACATAGATTGACAAGAGCATAAACAATTCAAGTTTTAAAAAATTACGTTTGAAAGTCGTTGTGAAACGTTAACGATATTTTAGCAATTTTCCCAGTAAACAATTTACCATTTGAAATAAAATACTATTTATTACGCTGGATTACCAAATAACTAATCTGTTTGCAATCTGCTTTTATCGATGTGTCAATAACATCGAAAAAACATCACCTTAGTTGATGTGAATTGTGGTAGTTGGCCACAAGTTTTGCTAGGAAGTTACAAAATTCCCTCTTACAAAATGGATGATTTTCTAAAAATTGAGAAGATCGGTGAAGGTACTTATGGTGTGGTGTACAAAGGGAAAAATAAAATAACTGGGCAGTTTGTGGCCATGAAGAAAATCCGCTTGGAGTCTGAAGACGAAGGCATTCCTTCGACAGCCATCAGGTAGAACATTTGGCGTTAGATCACACACCTGAGCACCATTTGTTGATATTTTAAGCCTTTCTTGGCAAAAACTAGCATGTTGCTATTGATAACATAACCTATAGCGTTTTTTATCATTTTAGGGAGATTTCGCTTCTTAAAGAGCTGAACCACCCAAACATAGTGAAGTTAGAAGATGTACTGATGGAAGAAAGCCGCCTGTACCTCATCTTCGAGTTCCTCTCCATGGACTTGAAGAAATACATGGATTCTCTTGGATCGGGGAAAGTAAGTACCATTAGGGATGTTTTTATTCATCGTTTCTAATTAGAATGTGTCAAACTTGAGGTTGGTAATCTATGTATAAACAGGTATTGATCTGTTGAACTTGTACAATATAACTATAATCCTATTTGAATCAATCTAGAGTATAAAGCATGTATTATAAAACTTAAAACTTCGCTTCTAGAGCACACCAATCATCTATTGCTTGCTGTTGCTTTTGTACTAATATATGAAACTAAAAACATGGTTTGTCATTACTTTTGAGATATGTCTGCCCACTGCCTCGTTGGCCTAGTAGTCGCAAGTGCAACTGCCGGGCAAGAGGTCTCGGGTTTGATTCCCAGGTTGGGCAAAGTAATACTGGGTTTTTTTAAAATTCTCAGTATTAACATGGAGTATGGAATTGTGCCCGGTTTATGGCAATAGGCTCACCCCCTATTACATGGGACTCATAAAATAAATAGTAAAAAGTGGGTGTTACATTGTACAGTGGCATAATGTGCACCTCTGCCTACCCCTTGGGGAATAAAAAGCGTGATGTTATGTTATGTGTGTAACACTGTAGTTCCAATAATAATTTACTTCTGTTTCCAGTTCATGGACCCGACAGTAGTGAAGAGCTACTTGTACCAGATTAACAACGCCATCCTCTACTGCCACCAGAGGAGGATCCTTCACCGAGATCTCAAACCACAGAACTTACTTATTGACAAGACTGGAATCATTAAGGTAAATACTTACCAGATGTGGTTGTGATGTCTAAGTGTTATTAGTTTGTAAATGGATTCATATAGGAGAATATTATGGGGGAGTGTGTTGTTATGGTGTTATCACGTTTCACCGGCCTTTTGGGAATTGGGAATTTGAGGATTGTAAAGAATTAGGGAATTGGGGAGACTGGGGAGGGGGGGCGTAATTGGGCCTCCGGTAACCTCACTCACACGACGAAACACAACGTAAGCGTTGTTTCACGTCGGTTCTGTAAGGCCGTGGTATCACTCCGGTCGAGCCGGCCCATGCGTGCCGAAGCATGGCTCTCCCGCACATAGTATTGTATATTTACTGGTATAAACAAATATTATAATGTATTTGAGGCTTTGTAGAAAATAGTCATGACCCCATTAGGTTCTTCTTCCTAGCATTCAACATGTTAAAAACAATTGGTAATTATTTCAGGTGGCTGACTTTGGTCTGGGGCGAGCCTTTGGAGTGCCAGTGCGTGTGTACACCCATGAGGTGGTCACTCTCTGGTACAGAGCTCCTGAAGTCCTACTTGGCAGTCAGAGGTATATCACTTAATGAATGGGTATAATTAAAATTCTGTTTATAGTGGTATGTATATTTGACTCCAATACCTATTGGATTACAATATTTATTTATGTCAGTAAACAACATAACATCACGCCTTTTATCACCAAAGGGGTAGGCAGATGTGCACATTTTGGCATTTAATGCCACTGTACAATGTAACACCCATTTTTCATTCACGATTTATGTTATGAGTCCCATGTAATAGGGGGTAAGCCTATAGAAACGAACCTGAGACCTCGAACCAGGCCGTTGCACTTGGGACTATTAAGCCAACGAGGCAGTCAGTTATGTCAGTAAAGCGAGTGTTAAACAAGTTTTGCCTGTTTCTTATTTTCAAATCTTGTTAAGTTTTGGTTAGTCTAACTGGTGCATAATTTGAAGCTAACAAACTTATGTAGCAGTGTTTTAACACAACCTACACAAAATGCTTACTTTTCAGTTATGTTAGCGTTCTTGTGTAATCGAGTTAGTCTAATTGGTGAGCTTAGAATAACTAATATAAGTAACAATTATTTCTATTCATTTTCAGATATTCCTGCCCCATAGACATGTGGTCAGTGGGCTGCATATTCTCAGAGATGTCCTCAAAGAAACCTCTCTTCCAAGGAGACTCGGAGATTGATCAACTTTTCCGCATATTCAGGTATAGTGTCAATTATAAAACCTAGGAAAAAAATTTTATTGTTACAAAAACATTGGACACAAAGTTTATGAATACTAACATCTAAACTAGGCCGAGCCTGAATCTATTGTAACTATTGACCAATTAAAGATAATTATTTAAAAACAAAATTGTTTTAATATATTATGCTATGTTGATAGTTCTGCATTTTGTAAATGCAATACTCTATTCTCGACAGAATGCTACGTACTCCCACTGAGGATATCTGGCCGGGCGTGTCTTCACTGCCAGACTACAAGCCCACATTCCCCAACTGGACTTCATTCAACCTGCATAATCATGTGAGTCACATATTTTACACAACCAATTGAACCAAATTTTTTTTATGGCATAAGCCGGTAAACGCGCAGACGGATCACTTGATGGTAAGCAATCGGCGTCGTCCATGGACACCTGGAACACCAGAGGCGTTACAAGTGCGTTACCGGCCTTTTGGGGATTAGGAGTTTGAGAAAATACCCAATATCTCGCCCAATATCTTGAAATAAGATTCATTTGTGCCCTTTGATATACCATAAGGATTTATGTTAGATACCTGCCTTGCCAATGAAGAGTTTATTTATATAGTGTCTTAAGCTTGATTTTAAAATAAATAATATTCTTGTCTTTTCAGGTACAAAACCTAGACGAAGTGGGCATGGACCTGCTGCAAAAGATGTTAGTCTATGACCCAGTGAAGCGTATCTCAGCGAAGGATGCGCGCAGGCACCGATACTTCCGCGACGTGAACCTCCCGCCCGGACTCAAGCACCACTCCGCATACATCCGCTACCAGCCAGATTCACAGGAAGACGACTGCACCGTCCAAAGCGTATAGTACATTATACATCAATATGGACATCACTTGCGCTTCACATGCGCTACGCAGTCAGGTTGCGCAAAGATTAGCGATGCGCAACAACCCAAGAGTCATATTTAACTACACGATTTTTATTAATGGCTATGGCTAAGCAAATTGACAACACTAGTCATATTTGACTACTCTCTCCTCCATGAAAAATTTAATATATTCGGTATTGTGCATCGCTATAGTCAAAAGCGACAGTTTGGACCATGTTTGCAGTCTACGATTGCTGAAGGCCTGTCCTAGAAAACAGCGTATTTATTTATCTCGTTCATTTTCCATAAATATTTATCACTTATCTATGTTCTTGGTATTCATAAACATGGGCATTTTATAGAAACCAAAGTCATTATTTCTTTCTGAAAGATTAGTTCTATATTTTACTGTGCTACACTGAACTCAAATGTTAACAAGTTTATCATAATTCTAGTGCACCTAGAGACGTAACACAATGTCAGGACACTGGCATCTTGTTACTTATCCTAATTATTTGATCCTGTCTCCTCTCTCGAATTATTTCTTCCTCCAAATCTAAATAGTGCCAGAATCTCCTAATATTTTAATTTATACCGAGACTGAACTTGCGTAACATGTATCCAACCAAAATATTTTGATTAATCAAATTGTGCCTGTGATTAAAGCAATAATAAATTTGATTCGATAAAATTACTCCATGCAACATGTGGCCTTCAAATTGTGTATCGTAATCGTAGTGTAAATAAAATGTTTAGCGGAATTATTTTGTAAGCGTCGTCGGCTAGGGTTATTTTTGTAGTTTTACGTATTTTTATATGCATGGTATTGTCGCTAGGTTCTAGAGAGCGTGGTGCGTTAGCTAGGAGTTTGGGCCTTATTGGTGTCTCAAATACACCAAGACTTGGGTCTCGAAGCAAAAGTTAGATACCAAGGCACCCTGTATGATGATCAAACACTAATTTCCAAAATTAGTGTTTTGTTTACTTAAAATATGTGGTGTACTATTTCTTCTCTTCTTAAAAGGAATTTTCATAATTTGTCTTTTTTAACTTATAGGTTGAATTCCAGTGTTGTTCTAAATATTGCATTGAATGGTAGCCTCGTGCCGGTCTTGCGAGTTTTTAGTTTTCTAACACAGTGGTCGAATCTACAACCTTTAACATTATGAAACTAACTGTAAATATCGCGATCTGAAGTATTGTGCCAAAACATTCGATAACTTGGAACTTCGATTAATAATTGGGATTTTTGATCACTGTGTTATTTTCAGGGACATTATTTTGGTGTGTAATAGCTCAACAAAATAAATAATAAATGGTTAATCCTCTTGTTCTTTGAAGTCAATTGAAATAGTGTTTATTAAATGTATGTTATCCTGGTGCTACTTAAATAAAATAGTATATTTTTGTAATGTAATTATGACCGGAATATTATATTTTATTTTTTCATCACTACTAGCCTAGTCACCACTTATGAAGATATTATCTGAGAGTAAGGGAAGAACTTAACCAATCCTTATCCAAGCTTCATAGTTTATGGCTATCCATGTGAAAAATCAGTGTTTATTCTGCTGAGCTATTAACATCATATATTATTATGAATAATGAATGAATTGCATTGATTTAGGTATTATCTTAATTATTGAAGTAATTAAATTTTAATAATAAGTTTTTATAATGACGTTTTATTTTACCCACACGGAAAATAATAATAAGAAAATACAGTGAAACCAACACTTTATTACAAAACAATTCTATTTACATTATTGCTATCTGTTCACAGTGAAATATATCTTATATACATTAAAATAATAGCTAAATTGCTATGTATAATCACAAAGTACACTTATTCTAGTATTGCTGAACCTAACAACTACTTGTACACATAAATTCAAACATACAGATTTAAAAACTGCGGTCTAATATATTCAGGCACCAGTGCAATAAGACTTAAGTTCTCTATTAACTACTTATTATAACATTTATTAACTATTAACATGGATTAGTAAAGAATGGAGTGATTGGGATCTACCAACAATAGAGTACATGACTCATTTTTATAATCATGTCCGTCTGGTACATTATTTTAAACCAGGGCTGTCCAAACTATATACCCCCGCGGGCTAATTACATTAGTTACAAAAGCTGAAGGGCCAGAAGAATATTTTCAGTTGTAGATTGACATTAGGCACATGGCATAACATAGCAATAAGAATATAGAATTAAGACATATGAAATTTCTGTTTATATTTTTTTTTTTTGAATGAAATGAAAAAAATTAACATTGCATTCTTTACTCACAGACAAAACTTGTATACAATACATGCAGTGAATTTTATTAGAATTGTTGCACATAAGGTGAAGATGTTGAGATTAAAATGTGTGTTGCGGGCCACATGAAAACAAGCCGCGGGCCGCATGCGACCTTTGTTTGGACCGCCCTGTTTTAAACCATTAGACACGTATTTTTTACATTCTTACAAAAACAAATACTTTCGACGATATATTGATTTGAAATATCGCGTGACGTCACTTCTATGTACGTTTTATACGTAGAAACCACGTAGCTAGCGACTCCCTAAACTAAACTTGATTCGTTTTATCTAAGTATTGTTTACTAGTACAACAAAATAAGAAATATGTTTCTAATATTATTTCATTACTGACAGACTAAATAGATTTTTAGTTTTTATACCCCGATCATTTATTCCAATTATTTCATGCTAAACAACTATATTATTTTAAATTGTATTTATAACACATAGATTCTTCATAGACTATCTTGATTTGTTTTAAAGCTTTATAATTATGTGTAGTAAAACAAACTCAACAATAAAACTGCTACTTTGATAACAATTCTTATAATAAACTAGCTTCTGCCCGCGGCTTCGTACGCGCCATCCCGTTTTCTCCCGTTCCCGTAGGATTTTCAGGATTTTTTGCCATAAGAACCTTCTGACAATAACAAACACAACAAAAAAATAATCAGCCAAATCGGTCTAGCCGTTCTCAAGTTCTGGAGTGACAACGGGAAACGGGTTTTATTTATATAGGTAGGTATATAGATATGAACGTTTAAGATTTGACACAAACCACTCCATTTTTACTCTCATATTTATAAAAGATTATGCTTATTTATTAATTTTATTATATTGTTATATCATGGACTATATAGGTCAGGAAGGACTACTTTGTCTATGAAAGTGGCTGTTAAAATGTATTAAATAAACGGAAATTAAAACTATATAAACAGGTGTACAATCTTTGAACAGTTTGTGAGATGAAAAATTTACGCCATTTAATTAATTGAAACGGGCACTTTGGAGTTTGATTCCTATTACGGTACTGACTAATGGCCGAGATTAATAATCAATATCTATTCATCTCCGAATGTATACGAATTTAACACAAAAATTGATGATTAAAATCATTTATAATTTCAGCCATTTCCCAGCAAGAAGAATGGAATATGTCTTTCAGTCCAAAATCTGGCCATGCATCGTTCGTGTTGGGATTTATACCTACTCCCTGCCTTTATTCCTTTCTTTATATTGTAAAATAGGTCAGCGTTCGGCCACTATCTCAGTATCTCCTGATAGTAAAACCCAATAGCGTCTATTCCTTGTGTTTAGTTGTGTATTTCGTCAGTGGTGTAGTGTCGCCACGTCCCCGGCGCCGGCGCCCCGTCAGTGGTGTATGGTGTAGACGGCGGGGTGCGCGGCGGTCGGCTGCGGCTGCAGGATGATGCGGTGCGTGACGCCGCCCAGCTCCTGCTGCGACAGACCTGACACTGCCACCGTCGCGGGCTGTAACTGGAACATTATTTTAATTAATAGCTACTTCACTACACACTCTGCTCGGCACCTATTGATTGTAGCGTGATGTTTTATAACATTTAGCCTTTCTCGATAAATGGGCTATCCAACACAAAAAGAATTATTCAAATCGGAACATTAGTTCCCGAGATTAGCGCGCTCAAACAAATAAATCTCTTCAGTTTTATATAAAAAGTAAGTAAATAATATAAATTTCAAATAGTATAAGATAGATACGAGATATATTTTACTGCATATGACTGAGATAGAAAACTGTTAACGCATTCAGTGCCCATGACGCGTCTGTGCGTTTTGTGACACGACGCTATGTGCCCGGGACTCAAATATGCGTTCTATTCATTTGACCCTTTTTTTACCTGCTGCCCGTCGACGCGTCCGAGGGTCTATTGTTTCGAAACCCATATTTACACATATGTACTTCCTTATCTGATTTCTTTGATAAAGGTCATTACACACTACATACGAATTATAAAAAAACTTACTCTACTACTACCAATGCAATAATCAACAAATTTTGTTTAGCCGTTTCGAAATATAAATTTAGAACAATTTAGAAAAAATATAATTTATCTTTTTATCCACGTAAGACTACGATCACCGTGGGTGGTATTTTTTTTTCAATGTTATCTCGATTATCTCATCTTTTTCCAAGAAACCTAAACTTTCATATGACTCGTACCTACATACGCACAATAGAATCACATTAGTTTGCTGATAACGGCAATACAATGCACGGCGGTGCCTTTGAAGATTTTAAATACCAAGAGAGCTAAAGCCAAAATCTACCTAGATACCTAATTGTTTTTCCAAGAAACCTAATATTTCATATGACTCTTATCTACATACGCACAATAGAATCACATTAGTTTGCTGATAACGGCAATACAATGCACGGCGGTGCCTTTGAAGATTTTAAATACCACGAGAGCTAAAACCAAAATCTACCTAGATACCTAATTGTTTTTCCAAGAAACCTAAACTTATTAATATACCTTTTCCCTAAGTATAACAAAAGCTTTTCTAAAAACGTCATTAAAATCGGTTCAATCAATCGCGAGACAATCGCGTACAAACATACATACAGGTCAAACTAAGAAACTAAATTTTTTGAAGTCTGAAAGATTGGATAAATTTTTCAATTTCTCTACATTAATTATCTTTTGGAATCATAAATTCCATTGCAGTGTGTCATCACCCTAACTTTTATCTACAGATACATAATATTCTATCGTATTTCTGTAAGTATATAACAAACGCACAGACGCGTCGCGGGCACCCGCCGAGAGTCGAACGGACGCCTATACGAGTTTCGGGCACACGGTGAGAGCCGTAAGAACGCGTATATGAGTTTCCGGCACACGAAAAGGGCAAACATTGAACGCAATAGTGCGTGCGGGGCACTGTAGAATGTCTTATAATTCGGGCACTGGAGAAAATCCACTGGGCAGTGAATGCGTTAAAGGTCCTCCAGTAAAGTTGGTCTTCGGTGCCCCCAATGGCGTTTAACATGCAAGAGAAGTAAAGGTATGTGGTGTAATAAACATTTTATTATATTCTTTCTTACGTTTGAAGTCAATGGGGACTCCTATTATTGCCTACTTACACAGTTCACTTTACTGCCCCAAAAATGGAAGAACGTCTACCATAGTATCTGTCTATGTGCTTTAGCAAACTGTTAGCATAATTTATTTGTAAGTTATTCACAAACCTGTAGTATGTTGGGCAACATGGTCTGACAGGAGGAGGTGGCGACGTGTAACTGTTGTTGCTGGACTTGCTGCACGCCTACAGCCTGTAAGTACCACATAATATTATTGCATCACTTCATGCAAACCTTCCATAATGCATATTAACATCATCCATCAACAGCCTATAAATACTCACTGATGAGCAAGACTTCTTACACGCAGACGGTTTGAGCATAAATCACCACTCTGTTTATTTGTTTTTAACATGCTATTTATTAACTTCATACCAGCCTCGATTATTTTTGAGTTTCAAACGGGTTAATTTTTTAAGAAAATACAATGTAGAAAATACAACCAGAATTTGCGACAGTTTTTAAAACAAATATCCAGGGAATAATTCTCTTAAAACTAAAAGAAAGAAAATTATAATGGGGATGATGACAGGGTATGAAAATTAAAAATCTAATTAGTCCGTAAGTTAGGTAATTAAAAAATATAGGACACGTATTTTTTTATTTTGTCGTATAATAAAACAATACTTAGATAAAACGAATCAAAGTTTAGGAGTGGGGGCTAAAACGTCATTTCTACGTATAAAATGTACTGAGAAGTTTACGCGACATTTCAAATCAATATATCTTCGAAACTATTCGTTTCCGTAAGAAAATAAAAAATACGTGTCTAATGTTTTTAAATAATCTACCAGACGGACATTAAAATAAAAATTAGTCGTCTACCCTATTGTATTTAAACGTCGAGCCATCAAATATATATAAATAAAAATGTATTTCCGTTCGTTAGTCTAGCTAATACTCGAGAACGGCTGAACTGGTTTGGCCAATTTTTGTCTTGAAATGTTCGTGGAAGTCTAGGGAAGGTTTAAAAGGTGAGAGAAATTAATTTTTAGGCGGTATGAAGTTTGCCGGGTCAGCTCGTAAATAAATAAATAAAATAAGAAGAACTATACAAGGATACCACAAACTAAATGATTAAATTGAGGATAAAATAAAATGCTTGAAGCCTATATATTTATAGTTATAACCAATAGTTTTATTTTTCCTCGTGAATACCAAAATTTTCCGGGATAAAAAGAACCCTATTATTTAATCCGGACTTCTAACTTTACGTCTGCAAAATTTCAAAGCAATCGATTTAATAGTTACGGCGTGAAAGCGGAACAAACAAACTCACTATCCGATTTATAATATTATAGTAAGGATTGTAAACTTACATGAATCTGTATGGGTTGATGTTGCGGGTGGATCTGTATCGTTTGTACTTGAAGTTGCTGCGGCTGTTGCTGTAACAAGCAATTTACACAGTTATTTACTCTGCAACAAACTCAAACAGCATACATATATTATGTTAAAGGTAAATAGATATTGTATGACTAACTTCTGCCTAAAATAACATAATAAACATGCTTAATACTTTATATACAAACAACATACGATCAACAGAACTTTAAGTGTGTTTATAATTGTTCTTGTTCCAGGTCGATATGAGAATTTGTATTTTAGAAACTCACCCACGACACTTTAAAACGGCTTGGGTTGGGCAAATATTTAAAAAATTATCTATAGATTGGCTAATTCAGCTACCTATTATTCTTATTCATTATACTCATCAAAATATTTGCAAATTAACTTTATTCCAAGCTTTAAAGCGCTAAGCAATATGCAATAAACATATTCACACAGACCACGATACACGAGCCTGCTCAAAATACATAACACATTGTAGGACTACGCATTGACACGGCATAGTAAGTCAAACGAATAAAAATGCAACTTAAATAGTGTCAATAGAGTTAAAATTTCAATGAGGACTTTTCATCTTATACGTCCTCGTTGAAATTTCAACCTTGTCCTAACACATTAAGTTACATTTTGTTTGGTACACGTACATTCTAAGCATGCGATTTAGGGATCCATGGTACAAGGACAACACATATGGCGGTGTCATAATAGAACGTGAATACGCGATCACCGCAACAATTAACCATCAAGGAGGTTGGTGCCTTCTATAAAAAATTCAAAAACTCGTGAGTCGCGACAATTTATTTGGAAAATTCTGATGTTTTATAAATTCCCCCAAAAGTGCTATAACAGAAATTGTTCAGCTGCATGGCTTGAATACCAACAAGGTATAGCGTATATTCTATTTAAATATATTTATTTTTATCTATTATACAATACTCGTATAATATTAGTTTATAAAGTTGCCTATATTTCCATAGATTTTCAACGTAAATGAACTTGATTTTCTAACTAAAATATACTAGCGACCCGCTCCGGCTTTGCACGGGTGCAATATGCATGTATTATTGTATTATACAATTATAAACCTTCCTTAAGAATCACTCTATCTATTTAAAAAAAACCACTCAAAATCCGTTGCGTAGTTTTAAAGATCTAAGCATACATAGGGACAGACAGACGGCGGATAGCGACTTTGTTTTATACTATGTAGTGATACCCAATTTAATTCAACCTAAATTAATAATAATACTAGGTGGCAGATAGATTTTAGCCTTCACAATTTCTTTCAGCTTTTTAACTGAAACATCAACCGTCCTTGGTCGTTTATTCAATGGTCGCGTATTCCCGTTGTATTAAAACACTTTGAATATATACCGCGTTAACCTGTTGACTTTGTTGCAGCTGTAGAGACTGCACTGATGATATCACCGGGTACGGGTGCTGGCTCTGCAGCAAATGGACATTTTTCATATACAGTCTTAACGTGGAATCAATAAGGTGTATTTTTAAATGAGTCATAAGAAAAGTTGAGACTGTAATATTGATAAACAATCTTATTATGGAATCAATAAGGTGTATTTTTAATTTAGTCGTTAGAGGTATTGGCCTTGACTTTGATAAACAGTTTTTTTAGCTTTGAATAAATAAGGTTCCTATATTTTGAAATGAATCATATATTAGGCATTATAACTTTAATAAACAGCTTTAAGGTTGAATCAATAAGGATTATTTTTAAATGAATGGTTTGTACACCGCTTTTAAATAGGTTTTTGTTAGTCACATTAGTATAAGAAATTGAGAGAACAAACTTCGAGTACTAATTTAGTTTTTATGCTACAAAACAACGTCTCTTTAGAACATAGCAACTCGATCATTTATTCCCTTAATCGCTCTGTATAAAGACACTGGAATAAATATAGATAAGTGAGTACATTACCGTCTGATAAATATTGCATATCGACCTTTGGAAAGAGGCAATCGGCCAAGTTGATGACGACGAATTAAAGTTTAATTTAGGAGTTAGGGACGACATTTTTAAAATTGTATATCGACATATCGTCAAATTTGTTTCCGTAAGAAAATAAGTAACAGATGGACATTAATGTTTTTTAAGTACTGTCGTCATCCCTATTGCGTCGTTCCAAAGCTGTGCGTGTATGCCGAGTGAGTGAGTGTACCTGTCCGTGCACGCCGGCCACGAGGGGCGCCACGTGCTGCGCGTGTAGGGCGAGTGAGTGAGTGTACCTGTCCGTGCACGCCGGCCACGAGGGGCGCCACGTGCTGCGCGTGTAGGGCGAGTGAGTGAGTGTACCTGTCCGTGCACGCCGGCCACGAGGGGCGCCACGTGCTGCGCGTGTAGGGCGAGTGAGTGAGTGTACCTGTCCGTGCACGCCGGCCACGAGGGGCGCCACGTGCTGCGCGTGTAGGGCGAGTGAGTGAGTGTACCTGTCCGTGCACGCCGGCCACGAGGGGCGCCACGTGCTGCGCGTGTAGGGCGAGTGAGTGAGTGTACCTGTCCGTGCACGCCGGCCACGAGGGGCGCCACGTGCTGCGCGTGTAGGGCGAGTGAGTGAGTGTACCTGTCCGTGCACGCCGGCCACGAGGGGCGCCACGTGCTGCGCGTGTATGCCGAGTGAGTGAGTGTACCTGTCCGTGCACGCCGGCCACGAGGGGCGCCACGTGCTGCGCGTGTATGCCGAGTGAGTGAGTGTACCTGTCCGTGCACGCCGGCCACGAGGGGCGCCACGTGCTGCGCGTGTATGCCGAGTGAGTGAGTGTACCTGTCCGTGCACGCCGGCCACGAGGGGCGCCACGTGCTGCGCGTGTAGGGCGAGTGAGTGAGTGTACCTGTCCGTGCACGCCGGCCACGAGGGGCGCCACGTGCTGCGCGTGTAGGGCGAGTGAGTGAGTGTACCTGTCCGTGCACGCCGGCCACGAGGGGCGCCACGTGCTGCGCGTGTAGGGCGAGTGAGTGAGTGTACCTGTCCGTGCACGCCGGCCACGAGGGGCGCCACGTGCTGCGCGTGTAGGGCGAGTGAGTGAGTGTACCTGTCCGTGCACGCCGGCCACGAGGGGCGCCACGTGCTGCGCGTGTAGGGCGAGTGAGTGAGTGTACCTGTCCGTGCACGCCGGCCACGAGGGGCGCCACGTGCTGCGCGTGTAGGGCGAGTGAGTGAGTGTACCTGTCCGTGCACGCCGGCCACGAGGGGCGCCACGTGCTGCGCGTGTAGGGCGAGTGAGTGAGTGTACCTGTCCGTGCACGCCGGCCACGAGGGGCGCCACGTGCTGCGCGTGTAGGGCGAGTGAGTGAGTGTACCTGTCCGTGCACGCCGGCCACGAGGGGCGCCACGTGCTGCGCGTGTAGGGCGAGTGAGTGAGTGTACCTGTCCGTGCACGCCGGCCACGAGGGGCGCCACGTGCTGCGCGTGTAGGGCGAGTGAGTGAGTGTACCTGTCCGTGCACGCCGGCCACGAGGGGCGCCACGTGCTGCGCGTGTAGGGCGAGTGAGTGAGTGTACCTGTCCGTGCACGCCGGCCACGAGGGGCGCCACGTGCTGCGCGTGTAGGGCGAGTGAGTGAGTGTACCTGTCCGTGCACGCCGGCCACGAGGGGCGCCACGTGCTGCGCGTGTAGGGCGAGTGAGTGAGTGTACCTGTCCGTGCACGCCGGCCACGAGGGGCGCCACGTGCTGCGCGTGTAGGGCGAGTGAGTGAGTGTACCTGTCCGTGCACGCCGGCCACGAGGGGCGCCACGTGCTGCGCGTGTAGGGCGAGTGAGTGAGTGAGTGTACCTGTCCGTGCACGCCGGCCACGAGGGGCGCCACGTGCTGCGCGTGTAGGGCGAGTGAGTGAGTGTACCTGTCCGTGCACGCCGGCCACGAGGGGCGCCACGTGCTGCGCGTGTAGGGCGAGTGAGTGAGTGTACCTGTCCGTGCACGCCGGCCACGAGGGGCGCCACGTGCTGCGCGTGTAGGGCGAGTGAGTGAGTGTACCTGTCCGTGCACGCCGGCCACGAGGGGCGCCACGTGCTGCGCGTGTAGGGCGAGTGAGTGAGTGTACCTGTCCGTGCACGCCGGCCACGAGGGGCGCCACGTGCTGCGCGTGCAGCGCCAGTTGCGGGACGCCGCCCACCTGGAGGACCGCCTGCTGCTGCAACTGCTGCGCCGCCACCTGCTGCTGCACCTGCAACGTGTGACACAGGTATTCGACAATCATTCTTATATTAACTACGTTTAAACTAACCGAGTTAATCGCCCCCTTTTTTTGAAGTCGGTTAATTAATATACTAAAACCTAAGTGTAACAAACAATTTTTGTATACTAAGCTCGGAACAATATTAGTTATTTTTCCGAGCTTAGTATACAAAAATTGTGTGTAAGAAACATTTCTCTAATGAAAACCATAATTTCATTCGCACCAGATGGCGCTAATCTAACAAATAAATGGCAATTTTGTACAACGACGGTAGCTGTCAAAAATTTAGCATCTAGGTGTAACAATTGCTTTGTCATATCAAATGTTAGAAAACTTAATAAATAGGTAATTAATTTTCTATTATTACGTTATACGCCATGGCAGTCACCGGTGACCGACATTAGCGGAGTATTTGCCTTAAATTTTTTTTATAGGCAGCCAATGCCTTATACAAAACACGACGTGCACAGTAGTGTCATCTAGTGAGAAATTAACAGAAGCCCCCATTACACAGGCGTCCCTAATTCTTGGGAGTATGGGTCGAACGGAAAAAAGAAGTGTAACGTGATTTGTCTAAATCTCACCTGTTGTTGCACCTGTTGCTGTACTTGTTGCTGGACTTGTTGTTGCACTTGTTGCTGCACCTGTTGTTGCACTTGGTGTTGTTGCACCTGGTGTTGCATCTGTTGTTGCTGTACTTGCACTTGTTGTTGCTGTTGCTGCTGTTGTTGCTGTTGTTGTTGTTGTTGCTGTTGTTGCTGCGGTTGCTGCATTATTAGTATTTGTTCTGCGCTGCGACTCATTTCCTGTAATTGCAGTTTAGATTTGGTATTACAAGCATATTTATATTAGGTACATATTTATAAAACTAAAAATAATATTGCTTTTATAATAACTATCGTGAGACATACTAAATTAACAAAAAATCGCGGGTTACTCACGTGAATATATTGAGGAAAGCTCTACTAGTTTCGAACAGAGAGGTTCTCACAGAGGGGTTCTTCCTCATGAGCAGCGTGCGCGGTCGTGGCAATAAGTAGGCTGCGCGACATCGCCGCGACCGCGAGCTTTTCTTAGTATATTCACGTGAGTAACCCGCGATTTTTAGTTAATAATATTGCTGTAAGATTTAACTTATTGTCCATTCGTTTATCAGTTCACAGAGCTAATCAGTTTGCAGAATCTTCATTTTAATATTGCATGTCCGAATTCTCAAACGCCATTCAATTTTAAGTCGCGCTTAACCTCTTGACTGCCGGTGGTTAAGGCACAATAGAAAATACACTGTGTCGCGCATGGATCCGCAATCACACGACGGGTTAAGTATAGTTTACTACAAATTCTTTGTAAAATGACAGAGATGGCATGATATTTAAATATTAATTACATCTGATTTCTTAAAAATATCTATAGATTAAATAATCTTAAAAATATTGAATTGTCTACAGTTTTTAGAACTGGCTAGTTTCCTAGGTTTAAAATAAATTGTTTCAACTTTTCAATGCAATAAATAATTAAAAAATAGTCATACTATCATCCATTGATTTAACAATATACCTACTTTTGGATTTTTATCGCTAATTTTAAGGAAATAATTATGTTATTTGACGCAGAAATATGTTGACGTCATAAGTTGCGATCCAATACAAAATTCATAGAATAGTATCGTTTTTGACATTTCAATAAAAGTATTGAATTCGACTTAGTCAGTGTCAATTACCGTAAACTTTTAATTTATCAACGAAATAAATAATGAATGGTACGTACGTCCGAGTGCACAGCGGTATGTTTCTTCAGATTGTGTAGATACATGTACGTCTTGGGACAGAACCCACACTTGAACCGATACACCTTCTGCAACGGACGCTCTGCGGACTGCTGCACCTGGACTACTTGCTGAGACTCCTGCACTTGGATTTGCACTTGACCTGGAAATTATTATAGTGACTTGTATGACGTTTTTCAATTCGCGTTAACTGTCATCATCAAATATAGTGGATCGAATTGAAATAAAATGGATTTGTATAAATCAACTGTACTCCATTAGTTTGGTACGTCCTAGTCCAGAAATCTCTCTGTTTATTAAGTCACTATTAAAATTGAGCCACTAATTATCAAAATACTAGCTTCTGCCCGCGACTTTGTACGCGCCATCCCGTTTTCTCCCGTTCCCGTAGTATTTTCAGGAATTTTTCTATCTTAAGAACCTTCTCCTAATAATAAACAAACAATACAACAAAATAATAATTAGTGAAATCGGTCCAGCCATTCATTGAAAAGGGATTCATTTTTATATATATAGATTATCTTGTATCCTTTCCTTAGAAAGAATAATTTATTTATAATAAATAAATAAATAAATTTTTATTCTAATTTATTATTTTTTCCTATGAAATAGATCAACAGGCGAGTACACAGATCACCTGTATAGTAAGGAATCGGCCTCATTGCCTCTCACAACACCAGAGAAGTTACAAATGCGTTACCGGCCTTTTGAGGTATTTGGGAATGGTGAGGTGGGTAGCACTAGGCCTCCAAATGTTCCTATTTTTATATCCAAACTAGCTTTTACCCGCGGCTTCGCTCGCGTCACAAAAGGATAAAAAGTAGCCTATGTGACATATACCAATACATACAGCGCCATCTATACCAATACTTTTGTTTTTCCTCGGGAATATCAAATTTTTCCGGGGTAAAAAGTACCCTATTATTTAATCCGGACTTCTAACTTTCGTCTGCAAAAATTCGAAGCAATCGGTTTAGTAGTTACGGCGTGAAAGTGGAACAAACAAACAAACAAACTCACTTTCCAATTTATAATATTAGTAAGGATGTTTATAGAGGATACCTTGGTTCTGTCCATCAGTAGAATCGTCAGCGCCTGCAGCCTGTACGTCGGTCCCCGGCGCGGGCGTGTCAGTATGCTCTGCGTGGTCGGGCGCGGCGGAGTCGGGCTTACTGTCCGCCGCGCCGTGAGACTTCACGTGCTTCTTGTATGAACTAGACTCCACGTAACCTGGGGGAAGAAATCAGTAGTCGTAGCTATTTGTGACCTGGTTTTTATGATAGAGATAAACAAACGCATATTATATTACTTTTAGAAAAATCAAATAAACTACTGCCTCGTTGGCCAGCTGGTGCAAGTGCGACTGCCGGGCAAGGGGTCTTGGGTTCGATGCCCGGGTCGGGCAAAGTATTTATGGGTCTTTAAAAAAAAATCCCAGTTGTAGCACGGAGACTGGAATTGTGCTCGGTATATGACAATAGGCTCACCCCCTATTACATGGGACTTATAACATAAATAGTGAAAAGTGGGTGTTACATTGTATAGTGGCACTATGTGCACCTTTGCCTACCCCTTCTGGGATAAAAGGCGTGATGTTATGTCTAATAAACGAAGAGGGGTGGGTGTGGCGTACGAGCCGACGGATCACATGATGGTAAGTAATCGCCGCCATACATAGCCACCCCACCACCTCCTTGAGTGGTGGGGTGGCTTATCAAATTATCAATCCCTAAAAGGCCTGCAACTAGGGAGTTGCCGGCCTTTTAGGGATTGATAATTTGGAGATTTGGGTATTATGAGATTATTATTTTGTGAGAAACAATTACACATATAAATACGTTTCAGTACTAATCTTACAAGATGGTTACATACCTTTCCCGCAGACAGGACAGTGGTACTTCTTCTCCCCGGTGTGGTACCGTCGATGCACGGCGAGGTACGAGGCGGAGCTGAACCTCTGCCCGCAGTGGTCGCAGGCGAACAGTTTCTCCCCGGTGTGCTTGCTCGTGTGGACGCGGAGCTCCGACCGGGACGTACAGCCCTTCAGGCAGATCTGACACACGAACCTAACACACAAAACGTTATTTTACTAATCCATCATTCTTTTACACACCACTGACAAACGGTGAAGAAAAATATCTTGAGGAAATCTGAACTACTACTACTGATTCTTTTTTTCAATCAATCAATCAAAATATTTATTCGCTAATATGGGTAAATTACATTAAGTTGTTAGCAAATAAGCTGATATCTACAGTTCCGACAGAACATATAATTTATATGTTCTGTGGTTCCGACGATATTACACCTTGAGGCAAAAAATGTTATAATGTCGGCATTTTGTAATTGCAAATTACAAAATGGCAACATCATAACATTTTTCTAATTATTAGTTTGAATTTAATCCACCTTGAGAAAGTGTGGTCTTAAATGCTCATTCCTTGTCCTTGTGAGAGAGGTCTATGCTCAGCAGTGGGCACTTAAAGGCTGATTGATGTGATGTGAAACGCACCTACGCCAGAGAAAATGTTAGTTAATAAAAAAAATAGGTCCGTACTTTTTGTTCCCAGTATGTGTGAGCATGTGGTTGTTCCTGGCGGACGAGGTGGTGAACCTGGCGGAGCAGACCTTGCAGCAGTAAGGCTTCTCCCCCGTGTGGGTCCGGCTGTGGTAGATCAGTGCAGACTTCTGCGCGAAACGACGGTCGCAGAACTGACACTCGTATGGCCTCTCTCCTACAAACACAGTAAACGCACATGAAAATTATACAAAGCCATTATGTTTATTGTTATTTTATTTATTTATACTTTATTGCACACACAGAAAAAAAATTTAAACATTGCAATAGTAATTTGAGTACAATGGGCGGTCTTATCACACGCGGCGATTTCTTCCAGACAACCTTTGGATGGAATTTTTGAAAAGAATCTGGGAATATTTTATGGGATTTTAGCAAAAAAGCAGACGGATGGTAAGCAATCGGTTGTCATCTATGAACACCCGCAACACCAGAGGTGATGCAAGTATGTTGGCAGCCTTTATGGGGTTAGAGATTTGAGGGTTGAAGATAAAAAGCCGGAGCCAATACCGATCCAATCCTCCCCGGATTGGACCTCCGGTAACCTCTTAGAAAACAAGTACCTATTGTTTCACGTCGGTTTTCAGTGAAGCCGTAGTATCGCTCAGGTTAAACCGTCCCTTTTGTACAAAAGAATGGCTCTCGCACGAAAATTAGCACGTTTTCTGACAAAATCTATTGTTTTTGACCTCATTTATACCTATATACTATTGTGAATGCCTTGGTTAACTCACCAGTATGGATCCTCATGTGTGCGTTGAGCTTGGATACTTCATAGAAGCTCTTGTTGCATACATTGCACACATGGTTCCGTATGCCGCGGTGCTTCTTCATGTGTTGGCACAGCGTCGAGTGACGGCGAAACGTCTTGTTGCACTCATTGCACTTCAGAGGCTTCTCGCCCGTGTGCAGACGAAAATGAACCTTAACAAAAAGAAAAAGTAAAACATTATACCCATAATATTATAATAATATCTTATTCCACCTATTTAGTTTATGTTTGCCAAAAAGGTTTTAAATAAAATAAAACACTCGCCGACACGAATGTGACAAATGACTTAAAAATAAATCAGATTGACACGAGACCAACACGAAACTTTAGAAGGTTTTTTACGGAATTAGAAACTGCACTTAATATTTTTATTTATTAATATTCTATTGAATATCCAGTGCACTCAGTAGCTAACACGTTATTTATTGTCATAGTACATTTATATTGCAGTGTACTTATATACATTTGACCAAGAAATCAACGAGTGGTAAGGTAGTTTTAGACGGACGTAGCAAAGTTCGCGATGGGTTTCGATTTTTACGGCATATTAGGAGTGAAGCGAAACTGCAGCCAGTTGGAGGTGAAGCGCGCGTACCGTCGCCTCGCACTCAAATACAACCCGGAGCGACATGACAACGACGACAACATCAAACGAATCTTTGCCCTCATCGCCGAAGCTTATGAGATCCTCGTAGACCACAAGCGCCGTGCAGTGTACGACCAGTACGGCGAGGAGGGACTCAAGCGCGGCGTGCCCGGACCCACAGAGTTCTCGCAGCCCTATAACTACCACGGAGACCCCATGAGGACCTACAACGACTTCTTCGGCACCGCAAATCCTTACGCAGACTTGTTAGATTACTACGAAAACCCCCCACCGATGTTCGAGTCCCCCCTCGGCAAAGGATACAAAGAAAAAGATACGACAATAGTGAGACCACTCGCACTTACTTTAGAAGAGGTATACAAAGGAGGTTTGAAGAAAATGAAGATCCAGAGACTGGTGTTTACAGACGAAACTTGTACAGAACTGAAACTGCGAGAGAAAGTTTTGTCTATACCGATCAAAGCTGGCATCTACCCGCACACAGAGGTGAGGTTCAAGGAAGAGGGGGATCAAGGTCCGACGCGGATACCAGCCGACGTTATATTCATTACGGAAGACCGGCCACACGACACCTTCATCAGGTCGGGCCTCAGCGACCTGCTCTACATGCAGAACATCACGCTACAAGAGGCGCTGTGCGGGTTCATGGTACATATAACCACTCTAGATGGCCGAACGTTGAGAATCAAAATAGAGGACGTCGTAACACCCACTTACGAAAAAGTGGTAGAAGACGAAGGCCTGCCACTTCCGTCTTGCCCGAAAAAAGCAAAGGGTAATCTAATTATGAGGTTCCGCATCGATTTCCCGGAATATTTATCGAAACGCAGTAAAAAGGCGTTCGAGGACGCGTTCAAAGTGAAGGATGAGGAAGAAAAGAAGTTTGAAAAGTTACCGTGTGGCACATTGGACGAGTCAACTGAGTTTTGAACTTCTACATTGGTTCCGTCATTGTTTCAAATTGCTGGATATTAAATATAGCTTGTAAGCTTTGACAATCGTTCTTATCTTTTGGAATTTTTGTTTTAACCAGTTGAAAATTGTTGAAAATCATCCCCTAAATTTGTTCATACAAAAGTAGTCTCTAAACATTGGAATTATGGTCTATAATGTAGTAAGTGGAGAGCCGGCACCGGTGACAGCTTGGGGATATATGGGTCTCATCGTCAATCTCTATACCATATTCGCGGAGAGAGTTACACACAAAACAAAAACATATCGTGTAAAAATCTCCCTAAGTTTTCCGTCAAATGGTAATATGATAGATATAGATAGCACTTACTTTCAGGTCAGTAGGGTTGTAGAAGCTCTTGTTGCAAGTGGTACAGATGTAGGGCCGCTCCCCGCGGTGGCGCGCCATGTGCGAGCGCAGCGCGTACCCGCTGTAGAAGCGCTTGTCGCAGACGGAGCACAGGTGAGTCTTCTGTTCGAAGTGAGTCTGTCGGTGGCGGTACAGCAACGTCTTGCTCGGGAAGATGCGCTGGCAGACTGAACAAGTCGGCTGCTTCGCGGGACGCTGTTCGTGCGTACGCATGTGCATTTTCAACATACCTGGACCCTGTGTGGGAAGATAATAGTTTAATCCAATAACTATTTTTAAGACTATAGTAACAAATCCTGTAATGCCCTACACCTTTTTTTAACATTCATCATCAACAGCCTATAAATGCCCACGGCTGAGCAAAGCCTCTTCTCACATGGAGAAGGTTTGAGCATTAATCACCACGCTTCCTCAATGCGAGTTGGCGATTTCAAACTTATAATTAGAAATTATAAGCCTAGGTTTCCTCACGATATTTTCCTTTATCGTTTGTCAGTGGTGTCTGAATAATCTTAGAAAGTACATATAATCTTATAATCTTAGAAAGTCAGAAAATGCCTACGGCATTAAGTCCGCCAATTTCACTATATGTGCAATAAAGTTTTAATAAATAAATAAATATAACTCGAAAAAAATCACATTGGTACTTGCCATTGGTGGGTTTCGAACCCTCATGCGTGAGAACCTGAGGGTACCTCATGCATGAGAAGCGGGCGTCTTAAACCTCTGGGCCACCACGACATTAACATTACAATTTTTAACATAACATAACATAACATCACGCCTTTTATCCTCGAAGGGGTAGGCAGAGGTGCACATTATACCACTGTACAATGTAACACCCACTTTTCACTATTTATGTTATGAGTCCCATGTAATAGGTGGTGAGTCTATTGCCATATACCGGGCACAATTCCAGACTCCGTGCTACTACTGAGAATTTTTTAATAACCCAGTAATACTTTGCCCGACCCGGGAATCGAACCCGAGACCCCTTACCCGGCAGTCGCAATAGCGACCACTCGGCCAACGAGGCAGGCAGAGTTTTAACATAACTCACCTTAAAAATCCTATCACATATGGGGCACAAGTGTGGCTTCTTACAGTTAGCTTTGATCCAGTTCGTGTGCGAGCGCATGTGTTGCTTGAGCCACCGCGCATGCTTGAACTCTTTGTGGCACAGATTACATACATGTCGTCCCGGCGGCATCGTGGCTGTCGCTTGGAACAAAACCATCTGAAGGTAATTCTCTTCGTCAGAATTTAAACCTTCTTTGTCTTTTATCTGATTCTCAGTCTCAGGCTGATTTTGTTCTATCTGTAATTGGAAAAATTATGGAATTTAGAATATGTAAGTAGAAATTTTACATAATTAACATAACATCACGCCTTTTATCCCCGAAGGGATAGGCAGAGGCGCACATTACGGCGCTTAATGCCACTATACAATGTAACACCCACTTTTCACTATTTATGTTATGAGTCCCATGTAATAGAGGGTGAGCCTATTGTCATATATACCGGGCACATGTCCAGACTCCGTGCTACTACCGAGATTTTTAAAAACCCAGTAATACTTTGCCCGACCCGGGAATCTAACCCGAGACCCCTTGCAGTCGCACTTGCGGCCACTCGGCCAACGAGGCAGTCATTCGAATTATTAGATTAGAATAAAAAGATTAGAAATCTTAACGGTTCGTAAATACTTAGTCGCAGACATGAATTCTCCATTTTTCTTTCATTGTGGAATAATAAAATCAGTTATCTACAGCTAATCTTTTCGGGTTATTAAGTATGTTTTATCCCTTACCTTTTCTACTTCGAATTCGACTTTCGTCTCCTGCTCGGGGGCATTTGTCGGCGTTTGTTCTGGTGTTGCGCCAAAGAATCCTTCCAGGATCTGGTTGGGGTTCGACAGCGGGACCTCCATGTATTGCATGTAATTCTCCTGACAGTTCAACGTCATCAACTTCTCTTTCTGTCGGGAGAATTAATTTTATCAGTGATATCGTAATGGTTACCGAAAGCTTGGTCTAAGACTGCACGATGATGACTGCACGGTTGGTGCGGTGGCTGGACAACCGGCTGCCGTGCAACGTGTCGCGGGTTCGATTCCCGCACGGGACAACACTTTGTGTGATCCACAAATTGTTGTTTCGGGTCTGGGTGTCATTGTGTATGTGAACTTGTATGTTTGTAAACGCACCCACAACACAGGAGAAAATCCTAGTGTGAAATGTGTATCAGAGAAATATAATTGCATCAATATAAATACTATAGGTACCTCTTCCCTCTCTCTTTTGAAAGCTTCTTCCGCCATACGTGCGGCGTGTTCCCGCAGAACGATGTCATTTCTCTCCACGAGGTCCTTATAAGCGTGGCACCGTGATATCTGGTGCACACACTGCAGACACAGCTGTGCTGGCAGACCATCTCCAACTGCCACCTGCAAATAATGTAAAACTTAAGAAAACCGCTTAGAAACCGATCCGGTTCGTGTGAAGATTTAGAAGTCGAAGAGGCTAAAGATTTTTTAATAAATCAAAGAGTGTTCTGAGCGAGTGTTTTCAGTTATGGCCTATGGGACCAAAATTAAATGTTCAACCAAAACAAACTAATGTCTCGTGATCAATACCAAATGACAGGATCGTCTAATGATTTATTTCAGTAGCTAAACAAAACTGTCTCGTCTGTAGAGTATCCAAATGCGAGAGACGAAAAATAAGTTTTCGCAAAAATTTATTAGATGCCTTTATCTATAGGGATTGTCGCTTTTCGTATATTCTCAATAATAGCATATTGCAAAGTTATAGTCGTTCCTAGATTTAGCTATTTTTATTTAGGTACTTTCGGAAAAGAAAATGCGTCATGTTTAGAATCAAAATACTACCCTTTATTGAATTTGACTAGGTAGTAAGTACCTACTGAAGGGAGAGTGCTGTCCAGTGTTTGTTATTAGCCAATTAAATACATGGAATTAATGACGAGCTACCAACTAGCGAAAAGTGGGTGTTACTGTTCATTCACCCGACTGTCCCTTTCTTATCCCACGGCCACTACCCCTTCCCTACTAAATTGGCCCCGTATCGTAAGGACACATGCGTACCGCATGCATCCTGTCAATAAATTTTTAAGTTAAAAATAATGTTCTAGTAATGTGCTAAAAAAGTAATCGTGCATTTCAAAAATAAATATTACTTACCTATTCAATTATTTTATACCAGTAATAAAAAAATACTGCATAGAACAATATAGACGGAACCCTGCGGTTAAAAACTGGTTCTCTTGGCAGGTACCTATACATAGAGCGAGGTCAAAAATGTTAATTTTCCGGGGTTTCGTACCTAATTTCTGGAGCCAAAAAATTTTGATATCGAAAACCTTAAAAACATAAACAAATCGATAACCTCTTCCCGCATTTATTTAAACTGTTATCGCTAAACTAAGAGAATATTAAATGATAAAGGACAACGTTACAATAATTCCGCAATTGCATGCCTATCTCAGTCTTTCAATATAGGTATTCCAAAAGCATCCATTTCAGTCATCATGCTCCCTATCTCATGCGTTAGAAAGAGAACGAATGACATCTCTCAACAAAATTTCGAGAATTCAGCTCCTCAGGAATCCCAAATTGTTCATATCTGATGACTTCTAAACAAAGATGACGCGATGTAAAGGACGATTGCTATCAATACATGCATATTGCGTTTCACGTGAGAGTGAGAGAGACAAAAATAGATTCCCAAAATATCTTAACAATTTGTCATCTCACCTGCACTTTCGTTATACCCATCAACATTGTAGCCGTGAGTTGCTCAAACAGGGGTCTCATGTCCTTTTTTATCTCCAAACAAGCACGACATATTTTGTCGAATTTCAATGGTTTATTGGGAGCAGCCATTTTGAGCTGCACTACGAAGATGTTTTTGTCCTTGTTATACGATAATGAATTTCACTACACAAATAGTTTACAAATAACACCACTTTAAAAATTCAGTCCATATTTATAACAAAAAATAAAAGAACGGTACAGCAATATAAACATTCTCAGATTTTAACAGTAACAACAGAATTCGCTAAATCGCTACTAAGCGCTTACAAAACCAAATAGGAAAGAAAGACTGCTGTGTGACGATGGGTGGGGTGACGAAATTAGAGCGAGCGAGTAAGCTGTGCGAGCCATGGAAATCAATACAAGTGGGAAAGAGATAGATAATGGTTGAATATGTTCGATAAAGTTTGCGTTGAGTTACTATTTGAAATCAATATGAATCTTAATACTACGAGTTAAGGCTCATATTTGTTAGTGTTAAACTTTATTGAATTGTTTACTCAACTAGGTGAAAAGGACACTTCACTGAAGTTAAATCTAACACCCATTTTACTTTTAACTCATTAAATGATTCTAAATAATAACTTATTTATTTTGAACGCCAATACAATTTTTAAACTTTCTTTGGTTGTGTAATAAATGTTAACCAATGAATCATTTGCTACTGCTTGTAGAATATTAGTAGGTGACCTTAAACGACACTCAACATCTATCTCTTTCTCTCTTAGCCAACTTTGCTGATGCTGGAAAGAGACATTTGTGTTCCTGCAGGTAGACATTTATTTCCTGTGCTAAAATTATACTATTTTTACTCAAGTCTAAAAAATAACCATGTTTTCAGTACAGTCTACAGTTAAATACAAATGTTTTAAACCTGTGCTACACATAATAAGCTATTATTGTGTTTTTTTAGCATAGCAATACAGTAATATTAACAGGCCGCTGATTTATTTCAATAGATATATCTTTAGCATATCTTTTGTTTGAGCATAACTATAGACATCTCTATCGCACTTGAGAAATTAGAGAAAGATGTAAATAAATACGTATGCAGCTAAAAACACTTTTAATTATGTAACTATGATTAATTTTTAAATATATTTATAGTATAATTAAAACTAAAATATTTACACCTTAAAAAATAATAATAATGACAAAATAATAATAATGAAAAAATAATAATACCTAATGAAAAAATAATAATAATGAAAAAAGAAAATTATAAGGCATCAAAGAAAATATTTTCCTCATCGATACCGTGAGGTAGGGTGCCCAAAAGACTGGCAGCATTGCCACGTTGAATGGCAATGCTTAACCTTTGCCCAAGGTAGTAGCCAGCCCTTCGATCACCTGAAGTGTCAACCATCCTCCTTACAATATCTTTGTAAAGAAGATGTGCACTTGGGCCCCACGGCCCTAAAGTTTCAACCCCAAACGGTTCAAAAGCATAATTGCCAATCAGGCTATTATACTTTCGCCGTTTGAGGTTCTCGGCAGCGGCAGCGGCAGCACCGGCTCGACACGCTGAGCTTGGAAGATGGGATGGCGCCAGAGTATCAACGCAAGTGGCGTCCCATACTAAAGCCCTACCCATCTTCCAAGGGAATAATGACATACCGTCGGGTCTCTTGCCATCGTCGCGTACCAAGCCATTAGGTTCTAAAGTAGCTGGCACGCCAACGGAGGCAAGAGCTCGACGAATTATGTCATTAATACTTGCGTGTCGAGCAAAACGGCCCGCACTACGGCTACATGACAAGCCGTGGTGTCCAAGGCTGTTGACAACTTCACCACAACGACAACGATGAGGTGAACAAAATGCAGCTAAAAATGTCGCTGTCAAATGTCAAAATTGTCAAATAGCAAAACAATGTCAGTGGATGAGAATGTCAAACAAATGTCAATTTAATTTGTTTCAAATGAGTCAAAAAGTAGATTCGTATGAAAATAAATAAGCTAGATCTAAACAAAAAGAATTTAAGGTTTATTTACTGATTTCAAATATTTTTGTACAATGTCCGCTATGTCGGGATCTTCATGGGAAGGTGAGTGAATAAACAGTTATATTGTGCCGGTTCACTTGTTCAGAATATTGTGACGTTGCATTTATAAACTTATCAACACGTAAAATCTGATTCAAAAAGTAAATTTATTTGTATTGCATACGCTCTTTTAAAATAAATCTGTTTTCACAGGAATATGTCATCTAAAGAACTTGTAAATTACCACAGAAAGAACATTAAATATGTGGAATAATGACATAAATATAGGTATTTGTTTTGTTCATAAACGGTATGATAGGCTCCCGATAATTTAATTATGTTTATTCCTTCCCTTATTGACTAATACAGTTAATTTCCATATATGGTATTCTCAGCTTGGCAATTAAGTAACAATATTCACATTAATTCATTACAGAGTTGCGGAAGCAAGCCCGGCTGCTTGAAAATGACATAGATGTAAAACTGGTGGCATTTAGCAAACTCGGCGTGAGCTCCAGTAGTTCTGGGCTGAGCTCGGAGAGTGTGCCTCTCATAAACAGTGATGACATGTTTGACACAATGTCTATGGAGCTCCAACAACTGTTAAATAAGGTATACATATTGTTATGATTTTGAATACCTAATAATGTACACTAAATCAAGTTGTATATTTGCGGAAACAAATTATTAGATTTGTAGTAAATACCTCATAAGAAAGCTAAGGACATATAGATGTTTTTTTTATAAAAAGTACACAAGTGTCATAGTAACTTTTTGTGGTAGAGAAGCATATATCTCAGTCAAATGTGTAAGAAATTTCTATATTCAATGAATTTGGGATCACTGTGTCTAAAATAATATTGTTATTGTGTATTTGATGATTAAAAAAGTAGTAATTGTAATAAAATTAGAGAATTAAGAAACAGAAAATTAGGTCAAGCACATTTCTCTCTGTTTTTTCAGTTTTAGAGTTACCTTGGGCGTAATTTTGAATAATTTAATATTTTAATAACTGTTCAATTCCGCCTATCCCTTTGTTTGACAAAAGTGTTGGAAAGGATCTGTTCTATAACTCCATATGAGATTATGGTCCAACTACAAATCTACTGTACACTCGAATGTACAAATTAATAATTAATAATATAAATGTACAAATTAATAATTTATTGTGACTCAATAATTAGTGCAACTTACCATCCATATAAGAGTGAACAGTACATACATCTATATCTGACATTTATGTCAGAACTTTTTTTAAATTTGATGGGCCGACATTTGACCACTATTTCGCCTGGTGGTAAGCGATAATGCAGTCTACCTTGGAGCATGTCACCCCATAAGCAACCTATTCACTCACTTGTGTCATAATCTATTCTGTACCCAACACCCACTTTTCTACAGTTATTATAATTTCCCCATGGTATGTGATCCCACTTTTTCCTAGTCAAATATCCAGACCACAATGGTCCACTGAGAATGTTTACCAATATAAATATTAGACGTTTTACAGCACATTGCAGAATATACGTACAGAATTCTATATTTGTTTTATATTCCAGTTGTCCTCTATAAACGACAAAATGGCAGATTTGGCTCCAAGTGGAACAGCTACAATGCACACTATAAAGAGACATAGAGAAATATTAATGGTGAGTTATATTAAGTTGAACTATTCTAAAACACAACCACCCAACCACCTAGGGATGGGCAGAACCATCATTTAAATTTTTACAGACTTCATTGTAACAATAATGACTGACATTTTCTTTTGTTAATGGCATGTCACACATACTCTGGATAACCACCATGTACCAGAACTCCCTTGGTCTCTGGATAATAATAATTTTATTATTAGTTTAGTTTGAAACTTAATAATAGTCAAACTGGTCACAAAAAATTCTGTGGTTGTAATGTCGTTGTGGTTGATAACATTTGTTTCACTCATACCTACATTGTTTTTATTATAATAAACAACTATTTATAGTACTCTCATGATAAACTCATTGGATCCATAGATGCAAATATATTTTATATAAAGCGAAGCATACACTGCGGGACAAATTTTCCACGACATCTATCGGCAACATATCAAGCGAAACCTACCGATTCCGCTTGACATACATATATGGCGACAACGCGTGACTATATCCACAGCAATGTCGGTGTTGCCAGACATGTCGACCAAAGCCCAGCAACGCCGCGACATCACCCAACGTCGCTGGCGACACGTGTCTCAAGACATTTGTCCTCTAGAGTATCCTTGGCTTTATATTCATTTTTATGCAGTTACTAGTTCCATGTATTAAGAGTGAGGAGCCTAATGGTTGATGTTGATACCATATTATGTAAATAATGTATATTTACAGGATTACCAGCAGGAGTTCTCGAAGACATCAGCGCGAGTGAACGCGCGGCGTGAACGTGAGGAGTTGCTGCGCGGCGCCAGCCCTCCGCCCGGCGCTACAATCGGACTCTCGCGCCGTGACCAGTACTCCAAGGAGGCCAACCATCTACACAGGTCCATATACACTTCACATATACTATGACACCCAGACCCGGTACAACAATTTATTGATCACACAAAGAGTTATTACTGGGTTTTTTAAAAATTCTCAGTAGTAGCACGGAGTCTGGAATTGTGCCTGGTATATGGCAATAGGTTCACCCCCTATTACATGAGACTCATAACATAAATAGTGAAAAGTGGGTGTTACATTGTACAGTGGCATAATGTGCACCTTTGCCTACCCCTCCGGGGATAAAAGGCGTGATGTTATATATGCACAAAGAGTTACTCCGGTAATCTAACCGCTACGCGTTAATGCCGCTTAGGCAGCCGGTTGCCCAGCCATTGCGCCAATCGTGCAGTGAGTATTTGCTATTGTAACGATTACAAAATTTATAGTGGGATATAATTGAATTCAGTCGATGTAGACAATACATTATGTCTGCATAAAGATTTAATAAAGAAACATGTACTCAATAATGAATATTAATTTACAGTTCGCACATACTAGTGGATGAACAAATCAACATCGCGATGGAGGCGCGCGAGCACCTCGCCTCACAACGACAGACATTTAAACGAATGCAGACCACATTCAATAACATCACTAACAGGTAAGATATAACGGTAATAAGATATTATATTTTTCTTAACTAAATATAAATAAAAAAAGATACATTTTTGAGGACATTGTTTTTTAAATCTGTACATTAACTTTTTAATTTTTTGTTATATTTGATAGGTTTACGTTTGGGCACCATTAACTATATTAACTAATGAATTAACTAAAAGTTTATATCGCGTATAACTTTTTTATTTAAGAAGTATGTTTCCTTTTTGTTCCACCTTTCAACATAATATAAATTTGTAATTATAATTCCAGATTTCCAATGCTGAACAGTTTAATCTACAGGATCAATGCCCGCAAACGTCGCGACTCACTCATCATAGGTCTCGTTGTTGCGGTCTGTACATTCTTGTTATTGCTCTATGCATTCCACTGAGTTCTGACTGGGTTGATATTAGGCGTCCTTACCACTTAACATGACATAAATATTAGTGTCATCAAAGTAATGTTCTTAGAATAATACTAAATGCTGTGTTAACCAACCTATTCCGTTCTATCTGTAAAATATTTTAGATTTTACCACGAAATTATAAAGTTCAAAATTGACTGGATTAATGTTTATGACATGCTATTAAGTAAAGGCGCGTTAGAAAGTTTTGAACTGGGAGCGAAAATAGTATTCGTATGTTGGGAATGTTTTAGTATAAAATCCTACAATAAATAATTTATATTATTTTTTCTATTTATAATAACTATCATAGCGACCTCTGTAATCGATTTTAGGAGCACATAATTAAATCTTTTTAAACTTGTGCAATTCTACACACACTATTACAGAAAATGTCGATGTGACCACAGATAAAAAATCTATACAATGAAGGCTAGTTTGTACTGTTGTAAGCAACTACTACATGGTAACAAGACCATTATCGCTCGTAGCGCCATCTGGCAAGTACTAAATTGATAGTTTTCATTACTTTACTGGAACACTCGAGTTTGTTATTGAAAATATAAAAATATCGGTTACTGTGTAACAAAATTGATTTAAATTGAAATCCTTCATGGTTATTAAGTTATTTTATTATTGTTTGTAAAGTTTTAATAAAGTACTTACTTAGTGAGCGTCCTTCAAGCTCATAAATGGCTTCTTATCGGTAGTTAGGTAAACCTGAATATAATATATTTTACTAAAACTGTACAAATATAACAAGATATATTGTTCAAATTTAAATACAACGCGGACCTATAAGATACCTTTACACATTTTTTTCTATTAACCTCTTTTGCACTACCCTTTATTGTGAAATATTCGCGACAGTGTATTTATTATCTTTACGAAGAAATGTCCACTTTGTAACCAAAAAAAACCTTTATAAAACAATGCATTGTAAAAGAAATAGTAAAACTAATATAGAAGAATAATACAGAGGAGAGATATAAAACCTCTTCATTTTTAAGTTGGTTAATAATTGGGTCACTGACCCTCCGTACAAAATTATCCAATTTGGTGCAGTCGTTCGGGAGTTATGCATACACATACATTCCGGCGATTCATTTCTATTTTACCTGGTCGGTAAAACCCGTGATATTATGCCCTTTATTAATGTGGAATAAGGATGTTAAAACTATCACGAAATTAGTACTGAAATGTTGTTGCTTTTATTACTATTTAAAACACATAGTTATATTGAACACGTCTATTATTTTTGTAGGCCTACTGTTATTATAAAGTATTGTAATATAGACCATATGTAAATATTTATCCTATATGTAACAATGTATCAAATAAAAAAACTATTTTAAAAATATAACATCGTTTTATTTCGATTTTAACAAAATTAACATTTGAGATTTTTATCCTTGAAGTACCTACATCGCCAAAGTACTAGTTATCAGTTATTCAGTCATTCCTGTAAATAGCACTAACCTTAGACAGCCTGTGTCATATAAATAATAAAGAAAATCCCCGCCACTATGCGGATTTTCAGAGAACTATTTTAAGTATACAAATATTCTTATGTTTGGCAATAAACGACAACAGCGCCACTTTACACCCATTGTAATTAAAGTAAAATATACCTAGGTATCGTGTTTATATATATTTCAGTCAATTCTTTATTTACCCGCAATAACAATGCGACGTGTGCGTTTAAAAAATTACCTATGATTTTACGTTGTATTTTATAAATAAGTATTAAGAATAAATTGTGCGTAATCATGTCACTGGTGTATGTTTCGCTTAAAATGTCATTAAATCTATTTGCAATTTTATTACCTATCGTATTCAGTTAAAAATCTATTCTAAGAGTTTGATGCTTATAAATGCTTCATATGCGTACATATAAAAGGTAAATGCTGATACATAGCACACTTACAATTTTGTAGATAAATACGGTAAAAACATGGTAGTATTAACTCACTTGTTTCAAATGGAATGATTCCGTTTTTATATATGTAAGTATATATAAGATGGAGTGAAATAATTAATTTTCTTTTAATATTAATTGAACATCAATTTGAATCGAGTTAAAACCTAAATATAAATTACGTTATGGAACACAAGTCGCTCATTTTGGAATTTATAAACATTTTTGATTACTTATGCCGAAAACAATAATGACATTTTTCGCTTACGGGAAACAATAATTAAGTAACGATGCTTACTCACCTACTCAGCTCTGAGAAAATCATTATAGAATATTGAGATCGTCCGAGAGCTAAAATTCGCCGCCTTTTTATTGTGGCTTTTAAAAGATGGTATAAGCATGGTAATTGATCAAGTTTCCACAAACTTTTAGGTGAGTATTTCCGCGTATATACATTACCGCCTCTATGAATATAGTAGCAGCTAACTAGCCTTTATAAGACGAATGTCATGTTATCCTTTAAGGAACTGAGTAAAAGACTACATAAGAGAGATATTAAATTAAGAGTTTATATGATTCTTGTTTTTCAGGTGTGAGTGTGTTATAGTCTATTCGATGTACTGAGGTTTTGTGTGACTTTAGCGAGCCTCGCTGTGTGAACCTTTTGGCGCATACATCACAGGCATAAGGTCGCTCGCCAGTGTGAGTACGAACATGTTTCTCAACATCACCCTTTGTAGCAAATTTCTTCTCGCACACCGGACACACTATATTTCTGTTATGAGTCTTCTGATGCAAATAATATTTCTTCCACGCGTTAAACTTCTTTTGACATATCTGAAAAATAGTAATCGGTTAAATACATTTGGAATAGGCGTGTCGACAGGGTAAAAAAATCAAAAAAGTAATTAGTCCGTCATTAAGATCGCACGAAAATATCAGACACGTATTTTTTATTTTATCAAATTAACAGAAGAATACGTAGTTATTCCGCATTAAATAAAGTTAGGGAGTGGGGGTGTTGACGTCACACTTACGGAGAAATCGTACCTAATTGTGACGTCACGCGTCATTTTAACTCAAAATATCTACATGTTTTTTTGGATACGAGAAAAAAGAAAAAATACGTAGGTATCGAAGATTTTTAAAATATCTAAAAGACGGACAAAAAATTAAAAAATAGTCGCCATGCCTATTCAAGTAATTTTTCAATATTTGTGAGTGCTTAGGCCTTCTAAGCATTTCAATTCGCTATTTTTCTTTGTATATGTAAAAATATTTAACTTACGTCGCATACGTAGTAAAAACTGTCGCCAGAACTGGTTTTGAATCTTTTTATTTTCACTTTGAGATGCTGTTTTATGGACGTAACGACATCTTTCGTAGACGAGGTCTGCAAAAAAAAAAGCAATTTACAAAAAAAATTATGCCAAGCTATAATATGAATGTGATAATGTGGCCCCACCTTATATTCGAAGTATTCCGTAAATAATAAAAAACATGTAATAAATACATGATTAATTTCCTTATTTATTTACAATACACGACGATATATGGAAGCAATAAAAATGCAGGAGATAATTTTAAAATCTATTTATTATAAAATCCCAAAGAGAATAGAAATGCGGGGTCTAATATTAAAAAGTTGAGATAATGTTGTGGATATACAAAAATGTTGCTTATTTCATTTAAATCTATTACATGCATATAGCAGCTGCATATAGAGTTGCTATTGATGTACGTAATGATAAAACATCCTTCGCGCCTCGTATAAAACTGATATACTCGCTATTATTTTCAACTAGCGACCCGCCCCAGCTTCGTACGGATGCAATAAGTATTTAATATACATATAAACCTTCATGAATGAATCACTCTATCTATTAAAAAAACCGCATCAAATTCCGTTGCGTAGTTTTAAAAATCTAACATACATAGGGACAGACAGACGGCGGATAGCGACTTTGTTTTATACTATGTAGTGATACTCCATAAACAAGATAAATTCAATCAACTTTTTTTTATCGATTTTCTACCGAGAGGCTTACGCACAAGTAAGTCTAAAGATTGTTGAGAGTCTTTTGCTAATCGTTTCAATGTAGAAATTGGTACAGACAATGTTTTTGCCGCTCTCTTATAGCGTATGACCTTGGTCCTTACTGCTACAATAGCTTTTTTCATTTGGTCAGGATCCCAAGCTCTTCTTTTCTTAGAAGCTGTAGGCACTAAACTTCGAAGACGCCTCTGTAAGTAAATATGAAAATAAATATCACTCATCAACCCTCACGCGGTCACGTCTCACTTAAAGCGGGTAAACTAATTCGGTTTTGCCTACACCAAATTACAAAATAAAAAAAAATTAAAATAAAATAAAAGAATAAACATTCAATACTCATGTACGTCAACGGTCAAAAGTCCACTGCCACCGCAATGACTATTATCGCCTGCGCTATAGGTTAGGTAGTTAGGGTAGGATAGTTCATTAGTCAGAATATCTTACATAAATAAATAAATAAATAATAATAATAAATAGTTTATTTATAACATAGGACATAAATACAGTTAAGTATAATAATTAAAAGAATAACACAGTTGCTTATTTGCCTGAACTAGGGTGAACCTGTGCTTCAGGCTAAAAAGTGCTTAAATACAGAATAAAAAATTAACACTGAATATGGCTAAGGACTAATCATAAAATTAACTAAATTTAGATATACAGCGTGTTTTATTTACAAACAGTAAGTAGGTAATCAGTCTCAACATATGCTTAGAATAATATTTTTGCAATTATACTTATTCAAATTGTAGATACTTAATTTATTGTACAGAAATTAATATAATAAGTAATAGTAAGTAGTTAGGCATCGGTATATAAAGTGTAAGAACCATATATGTATATATTACTTATTTTATATTGCTTTGATGTCAAAGCGTTTAACTCGATTACACCATAATTTGGTACTTTTGAAACGTCAACGAATACAAAACATATATCTGTCAGTGAAGCTAGGTGCTCGTTCCAAAATGTAGATTCGAATGAAGAAAAAGAAGCAAGAAATTCATCGTTACTCTTAATAAAAAAATGTTTTACAATCTCTCTGATACATTATCCAATATTGTATATATATGTGAGAACAATGTACAGACACGCTTGACGCTTAATAGAAATTACAAAAATAAAAACATAACAAAAAGGAAAAAAAATATCCTAAAGTCTAACATAGTGCCCACATATTCATACTGATACAAGAAAAAAGGAACTCTTTGTTCCAATAAAGAAAGAAATGCTCGATGCCATAACAAAGCTTTATTACCTATTATTGGAATATAAGTAACAATATACTGACTACATTTAAGTATTGTCCAGTGGAGCCGAACCAACATGCTGCCAAGCATTCTTATCTTCAAGATAATCTGTCAGTTTGTACTTTGTAGTAAGCTTGTTTACATAATTCGCGCTTAATATGTTTTAAATTTGCTTTTATTAAGATCTAGTATGCTACTTGGTATTTTACAATAACATTTAATACATAACCCCATGAAGGATTTCTGTACCTTGGACAGTCTGGATTGCAGTATAGCTAACTTATTTTTACCTCTAGTATTAAAATTGTGTATATCGCTTTTTTTTCAAAAAATTGCCTAATTTTTCTTACATACGTTATAATTTCACTAGCTGTTATTATCGACTTCGTCCGCGTAATATACTGTCTAGCAGAAATTGCAGTTCTGAATTAGCCTTTACCAAGATATATTTATTCTACAGTTGTAACAAATGTCATCAGAATCGATTCAGCAACTAGATTATAGTGTATTATATTATAGTGAAATGACTGCCTCGTTGGCCGAGTGGTCGCAAGTGCGACTGCCGGGCAAGGGGTCTCGGGTTCGATTCCCGGGTCGGGCAAAGTATTACTGAGTTTTTAAAAAATTCTCAGTAGTAGCACGGAGTCTGGAATTGTGCCCGGTATATGGCAATAGGCTCACCCCCTATTACATGGGACTCATAACATAAATAGTGAAAAGTGGGTGTACAGTGGCATAATGTGCACCTCTGCCTACCCCTTCGGGGATAAAAGGCGTGATGTTATGTTATGTATGTTATGTTATGTTGAAATGAATTTATTTTAAAAAAAATCCACATGGATTTTACCCATACAGTGCCCGTCTCGTGAAGTTTCAGTGATAAAAACTATTCTATGTTTGCAAATCACTTAAAGAGGATCGACAAACTGTCATAGTAAATGACAATGACCAAATTTGTATGGAGCGTGGTGCCTTTTCATTTTTTCGCGGCAGTTGATCGGATGTGGAAAAACTGATGCAGAATAACATTACAAACAAAAAAATATATGGGGTCTTATATCAAAACACAGTCCAAACCGAAGTAACTCAGTTCAAAGATGTGAGAGTAGTGCTAAATTATTCCTGTTATTTTGTTGATGGTGACCGTACACAACGCATATTTCTTCAATAGCTTGACAGAAATATTTTGTAATAAATGTTTTATAAACGATTTCAAGGAATAGAATAAAACTTTGTACTTATTTTTTTTGTTTTTTTTTTTGTTATGGAATCACAACCATTGTGAACCATTAACTGACCACTGCTGAAGTAAAAAAAAAACATTTCTATTTATTCTTATATATTCTAACACACTAGCCAATCAAGCGTAACCGTTATATGGCGTTACAACAAGTGCGTTACCGGCCTTTTGGGGATTAGGAGTTTGAGAATCGTTGGGGATTCAGGGATTGGGGAGACCTCAGTCACACGACGAAACACAATGCAAGCGTTGCTTTACGTCGTTTTTCTGCGAGGCCGTGGTATCACTCCGGTCGAGCCGGTCCATTCGTGCAGAAGCATGGCTCTCCCACACTATTTCACATTATATATATACTAGATCACATTATATGAAAAAATTATGCGCTCATCTGACGTATAGTCCATCACTTTACGAAGTCAACGGTTTCCTTTCTTCAAAATATTATGCTAACTATAAAGTAGATGAGTCTCCCAACAGGAGTCAACGGCAAAAAAAAAATTAGGTGTTTGGACGGCTACCACTACTCAACCCACCACTGGTACCACAGCTAACACTCATGAAGCTTCATGACACAACTGCTAGAAGCATCCTACAAGTTATTGACTGAGAGAAAATAGCTAATAAAAATTTGCGGCTGGCAATATGGATATATTGTGGTTTGATATGGTCTGTGCCCGGCGTACACGCAATTTGACGTTAGGAATTGTGACAAAAATATGAATAGCTCCTTTCAACGCTCATAACTCAGTCCAGACTGAGATTTCCATATATGAACCCATAGACAATTTCGTTTGTAATGACAGTCTCGATATTATTTTCCATAAATTATCGACTGCCGCCAGAAAAAAGAAAGGCACCAATATAGTCAATGCCCTTTGGCCTTGACGTACTAAATGAAAAAATATTTATGTATATTAATATTCAGCCCGGTGCATTTTTTTTTTGATATGTGATAAACTACGAATTCAATTTAACTAAAAATATTTTATCGTGGAATTATATACCTGGATTAATGCCAAAGCAAAGCAAAAACAATGTACAAAAATAGTACAATAATGATGTTTACCTTACAAGTTCACATTTAAAATATCACAACTTTTACCCAAATGGCTATCAATTCTCTTAGATTGTTTAAATTTCAAGTAGATATAGAAGATCATTCGATAATCTATTGCCCGTTTTCACCAACCTCTCCTAAATGTTAAGGAACCTCTAAACTGAGATAGGTGACACTTAACATCATGGTTTTCACTAACCTATAAATGACACCTAAGAGTACATGAAAGGGGTTAGTATCTCTTATCTAAAAGTCACGCTAGGTAACTTTTACATAAGAGATGGCTGGAGAGGGTTGGTGAAAAGGTCAAACGGAATATTATTTTTATTTATTTTTTATTTTAATACATCTGAGGCTGGTTTTACAGTCACGCGTTTCGGCAGCGCCGTCGGAGCGCGCGCGCTCGGATATGTATTGGGGTATTAGTAGCGTTTCAAATTCGCGCGCTTGAGCAGCGCCGTTCGTTGAACGCGTCCTATTCGCGCGGCGCGGTCGAAGCGCGCGCCGCTCGTGCGCTTCTACGGCCATTGTGCGTTTTAGTCTCACGCCGTTGAGACGTGCCGTTAGGTACTGTTGTGTACAAAATGAATTTCTTAATGATTCTCGTAAATCAGAGAAAGATGTTACGTGTTCGCCTCTCAGTAACCTTGTAGCGTTATAAGGATCAACACCTACTGTTCTTCGACGTTTTTGTTGCCTTTTTTCCATAAAAAGTAAATAGCCAGTACTCTAACCGCATTGCCGTTCATTTTGTATCTGTTTGTACACGACTGTCTCACAGCAGCGAAACGCGCCGTACTAATGTCGTTTTATGGTGCACCGCTGTTCAAACGCGCGCTGTCCAACAGCGCGCTGTCCAACGGCGCGTCTAGCGGCGTGACTGTAAAACCAGCCATAAACGTTTATAATAACATGATTCGCAATAAATCTATTTTACTGGATCTCCCTCCACTATAACTTTTTAGTAGGACGAGAGGATCGTCCTTGGGCTGAAGTTCAGTGGTCGGGATGAAGCCCAAATTCATTCATAATAAAATTCCAATATTTTAAAAACGTACCACGCGAATTTTTTACCATTCTATATATTTATATATCCAAGTTAACTTGTAACTTCATTATTTTCCTACCGTGGCCCATTGTCTGTTTAATATCTTGAGCCATTATACCAGGTATGCTGAAGTTGTATAATACCTCATATGAAAGCTTAAAAAATGTAGGTGTTTTTGTAAAAAGTGCACAACAAGCATCATAGTCAATTTTTATGTTAGAGAACCATATTTCTGAGTCAAACTTGAAAAAAAATTCTAATATGACAGTGCTACAATGTCTTAGCCTCTTTTGATTAAATACTATTTCTAACTAATATAAAGGTTACCCACTACATTGTAGTATATCTTCCCATCGTTTCAATATTAGTTTAATATTAATTGGTCCTCTTTTAACCAGTGTACTGATAAACAACGTTCAAATGTTCTGGTGAACAAATAGATACAATAAATATAATACAGGGTGACATGTAACTCGACGTATTTCTCTCGGGGGGTGATAATACAACTAATTTCCTCCAAAATTAGCCTTGAGGTCTCTGGTCCGAAAGTGGCTAGTTTTTGAGATATTCAGGCTGATTTTTACGTGTGGGGGAGTAATCGCTTCAGAGATAAGGAAGCGTGTGCGAGCATAGTATTCACCATAGGGAAGGTCACACTTTACTTATCATCAAGTTAATAATTCATTTTTAAGAATTTTATAAATAATTTAGTTTTGTTGGGTAGCTAATAAGCCAAGGAAGTTTTTGTAATAGTTTGTACGCTTAGTGTAATATCAATTTTTAAGCTAAATGCAGTTTTCCTATGACCAAATTAGTAATTTAAAAGAAAATGTAATAGTAATTTACTTGCTATTTTAAAACGAATCATATTTCTGCCAGTATTAGTATCAATAGATAATTGTTTATTGGTGTATTGACAACAAATTAAAACTAAAATCACTTAAATCGAACCAGTAGTTTTTTATTTATTGATGTTTTTGTAGTTCCATTGGGATTTTTCACCAAAACCGAAAATTTGAATTTTTTACTCAGAAACTAGCCACTTTCGGACCAGAGACCTCAGGGCTAATTTTGTAGGAAATTACTTGTATTAACACCTCCCGAGAGGAATACGTCAAGTTACAAGTCACCATGTATTATAAAGGTAATGTATTACTTTAGCATGGAAGGTGGACGTTCAACCAACAGAAATGAAATGTCATTTATTGATAAGTATTTTCAATGTTTAGATTACGTGAATATATGTTTTATTATCATACAGTATGGGGCTGTTGAAAAACTCACACTATAAATGTTGGTAATCAACGTTATGAAACTCTTAATTTCTTTTATTTCTCCGTCAAAAACAAGTGCACACGTAGTTTTTGAATGCTATAATACGTGAATTAACGTATTAAACATAAGATCACTCTCTGTATTCTCCGTAGAGCTAGACAGTGTTGTACAATTATAAGAAACGCTGACCGAAATGTAGATGCTGATGAAAGTAGTCATAGGGTCGCATGCGGCCCGCGGCTTGACACATATTTTAATCACAACATCTTCATCTTATGTGCAACAATACTAATGAAATTCACGACGTCATTATACAACGTGAAAATATTTTTCTGGCTCTCCAGCTTTTGTTATAAATTTAATTGGCTCGCGAGAGTATATGGTTTGGACAGCCCTGTTATAGGGGTCTCATTCTTATGAAGTTTTGGTCCTACCTATTGCCTATTTAAGAGGTTTAATCTTACTTAATCTGTCAAACACCAAGCGGTCACCGGTGACCGCGACCTATTGTTCTTTAATTGTGTCTATAAAACCGGTACTCGACGAGTTAATCATTGGGTTCGCTTCGGAAATCATAAGATTTTTTTACATGTTTCTGGGCTCTTACCTCCGTTCTCCGGCGAGTTAGCTAAAATTCGTCATACTAAGATATAAAGAATAGATCTTTTTTCAAATGACATATACGTATATCAACACTGTTGATTCAAAGTCCAATCCGCCCATGATCCTTTTGAATTTATGGCAACATTATAATACATTTTACATAAAAGAAATACTTATGTTATTGTTATAAAAATACATTTTAGGTTACATAATTCTAGACATAATGAAAATTTTGCGGTAATACCGTAATTATTCATTTTCTCAAAGAAAAGAGGAATGAAACTTAACCTCAATATGGATTATGGAATACTAATATACTAGGTATGTCCATGTGACACAATATTACCCTGTTTTGGATTTTTAATATTTTGTGTAACCTCCGTTAGCCTCGATGCAGCTAATGAGACGTTGACGCATGGAAGATACAATATTTGTACAGACATTTGTGCCACGTAAACTATCCCATACCTGCATGCAATGGGATTTAAGTAGCTCAGGGCATATATCGACTCGATATTTCCATCTTTGCACCATCAAATCCCATATTTTTTCAATGGGGTTTAAGTCAGGAGACCGAGCTGGCCAAGGAATAAGTTTTATTTCAGGATGATTTTTAAACCATTCGCGAACAACTCTGGCACGCTGAATTGGACAGTCTTGCACAAAACTTATCACGCTTACGTCTTGTGCAGGGTAGACATTACGCACCGTAGGCAACATAACATCGTTCAAAATTTCTACGTAATTACCACTGTTTGTTCGCGTTGAAATAAAAGTTAATTCGCCAGGCCCTTGAGCACTTATCCACCCCCAAATATTCACAATAATTGTGCCTGACGCGGTATACTTTCCTTTTTGGCGTAATCGAAAAGAAGCATTTTTGGTGAAAATTGTCGTCTCCCAATCAAAATCCAAATATTCCCTGGCAAAACGTAGCCTCTCCTCTTTTTGTTTTTGCGTTAAAAATGTTTTTTTAGCTGGAGGTGGGCGATGAATACCTTCGGCATGGAGTGTGCGGCAAACGGTGCGTACTGATGCGCCGAACTCAACGGCAAAACGCCTTCTTGGGATGAAACCGTTTGTCTCATATTCACCTACCATATAACGTCGCTGAGGTTGACTGATAAGAGGTGGTCTACCACTCCTCTCACGACTGTTCAGACTAGCTTCTTCCTTATATCTCTTCACCCAACGCCTAATAGTCTCTCTCTAAAATATATATATATATATATATGTATATTACACACTTGCAACAAGCACTTGTTCTATGTTATTTTGTAGGTAGCATCACATAAAATTAAAGAAAAATACTTACGCATAGGCCGGTTTCATTTGATATTTGTGATATATTAAGGCCATCCGAATATAGAGCCACAATATTTTCCTTCGCTTCAATACTAATATTAGCCTGCATAATGAATACAAAAGATTAAAATCGCAACAAGATAACACAAACGCTCTTAACTATGTTCACCAATCAACAACTAGTTTTATCATTAACCTTTCGTGTGTCTAAGACGTGGATCCACGCGTGTAACACAATGTATTTTCTATTGTGTCTCATATCGGTGCATTTAAAAGCTTAAGGAGAATATACGGGGCACCCCCGTATTTGTAAATGTTTTCCGGGAGGTTTGAAAATCTGAAGGTATAACTATCAAATTATTGAACTACACAGCAAATACCGGAATAATGTATGTGGCTAGAATCCTTACTTCCTTACTTATATTATAAATCGGAAAATGAGTTTGTTTGTTTATTCCACTTTCGCGCCGTAACTACTAAACCGATTGCTTTGAATTTTTGCAGACGTCAAGTTAGAAGTCTGGATTAAATAATAGGGTATTTTTTATCCCAGAAAAATTTGATATTCCTGAGTGAAAACGAAATTGGTATAGATGGCGCTGTGTGTATTGGTATAAGTCACATAGGCTACTTTTTATCCTTTTGTGACGCGAGCTTATAAAATATGAATACAGATTTAAAGTGAACTTATCACTTTATCAAATCTACCTTCATATTTTCATAACGACCAACATTAAAAATAAAGAAGTTTTTTTGAGACTGGTACTGCAATTTTGACCACTGCTGTACGTCCTTCAAAATCCAATAGGAAAACGTTAAACGAACACGATTTTTAAAACTTAGTATTTTCAGAAAGTCATCATTTCGTTGCTAAAACGCAACATAACAACAAGTTTTTTTGCGAGTGCAAGTTAAAATTGCCAACAATAACAAACTCATGCATTAACTATTTCGTAACTGTTTGACGACGTTGGCTGACAACGTCCGCTACGTCGTTTGTTGCGCAACTGCTCATGAATATAAACCCCTAGTTGGCTTGAAAATAGTCGAACCTCGTCAAACATTTACGTGAGTATACCGTAAAACACCAAGAGTAAAAAAAAACCTATTGTAAAAAGCTATAATTTAATAAATGATTTCGGCTTCTAAAGTAAAATGGTAGTAAGTACATAAATATAGTAAATTGATACTCACACGAATGGAGGTCCGAGGACTATTGAAAAGGTCTTTTCTGACAGTTATTTTCTTTTTTGGTTTACCCTGAAATCGAAGAAAACTATTATAACAATACTATCTCATAATACCAAATATTCTATTCTAATCCCCAAAAGGTTAGGTAGAGGTGCGCTTATACAAATAGGCTCAACTACCCACCACAATGTATAATACTTTACATGTTATCAGTGCTATGTGACTCCCGCTCGATATAATTATTCTTTACGTGCTCCACATTTGCTCCACTATTGCTTTTCTGGATGTGGAACAGACGTATTTGAAATTTACATTTACATGTGAAATTATTTGTAAACGCACCTCCGACACAGAAGAAAATTGTAGTGTATGTAAGTAAAAAAAGACAGACTGGTGTTGTGGGTGGTCCATGGTCTGAAACCTGCTAACCATCAGGTGCAAGTGATCTATCAGTTTGTGGGTCTAACAAATTTACATTATTTCATATGAACCCACAATTACTATAAATAAAAGGTTTTGTATTCTATTAGATGCAGTTGACGCAAAAATGATTTCTGATTCATACATATGTGATACTGTAATTTCAATTGTATTTATTAATATAGCTAACATTGCAACATGCAATTTTTGCTTATTCAGTATACACAATTGTAACATGAGACTGGTAGTGTCATAATACTATGCCACTAGACACCAAGGTCGGAACAAAATTAATAAACTAAAATAAACTGCGAAAAATTTAATAATATGAGTGATGCATTTTGGTACGCAGTAGTGTTATTCTTATTTCTCTTAATAATAAGGTTGTTTTTTATAACGAATTGCGATCAACTGAACAAAAAACGAGAACTAAACAGTATTTTATTTACGTACTTAGTTATTAAAATTGCTGGCATAAAATCGCGTAACTGCACATCATAAACAAATCTTATGTTATACTCTTATCTTATACTAGTACATAAATCTGGAGTTTCTTTAATCTAATCTCTGGAACTACTGGTCCTGGCTATAGGCTAAATAAAACAACATACTACGACCAATAGTAGCCGAGCAGAGTGGGTGAAACCGTGGGCAAGTAGCTAGTAATGAATATAAAAATATACAGTTCTCACAAGGGACCTGGCGAACAGTGATGACAATGTAATAGCGATGATGACAGGGTATGACAATTTAAAATCTAATTAGTCCGTCAGTTAAGTAATGAAAAAATATTAGACACGTATTTTTTTTATTTTGTCGTATAATAAAATGATACTTAGATATAACGAATCAAAGTTTAGGAGTGGGGGCTAAAACGTCATTTTTAACCGACTTCAAAAAAAGGAGGAGGTTCTCAATTCGACCGTATATATGCTTTTTTTTTTTTTATGTTTGTTCGCCGATATCTCCGTTGTTTATAAACCGATTTTGAAAATTCTTTTTTTGTTAGAAAGGAGATAGTTCCAGAATGGTCCCATGATAAGGAAATCAGGATCTGATGATGGAAGACCAGGGAAACCGAGGGGAACTTTTAAAACTTATAGGGCATTTGTTAATTTTTTCATTAAGTATTAAAAACCACTACAATCTGATAAAGGTCTGGAGCCGATCTGATGATGGAGCCGAGAGCCAGTTGAGGGAACTCCTCAACGGTTAACAGTAGCTACCTTGTGTTTGGGTTTGATTGATTTGTATTGATGAGGACTTTACACCTGAGTGGGGTGTAATTGTCAATAAGGGTCTGATGATGAAGTAGTACAATAGTCGAAGGAACTCCTCAACGGTTAACAGTAGCTACCTTGTGTTTGGGTTTGATTAATTTATATTGATGAGGACTTTACACCTGAGTGGGGTGTAATTGTCAATAAGGGTCTGATGATGAAGTAGCACGATAGTTGAGGGAACTCCTTAACGGTTAACAGTAGCTACTTTGTGTTTGGGTTTGATTAATTTGTATTGATGAGGACTTTACACCTGAGTGGGGTGTAATTGTCAATAAGGGTTTGATGATGAAGTAGTACGATAGTTGAGGGAACCCCTCAACGGTTAACAGTAGCTACCTTGTGTTTGGGTTTGATTAATTTGTATTAATGAGGACTTTACACCTGAGTGGGGTGTAATTGTCAATAAGGGTCTGATGATGAAGTAGTACGATAGTTGAGGGAACTCCTCAACGGTTAACAGTAGCTACCTTGTGTTTGGGTTTGATTAATTTGTATTAATGAGGACTTTACACCTGAGTGGGGTGTAATTGACAATAAGGGTCTGATGATGAAGTAGTACGATAGTTGAGGGAACTCCTCAAAGGTTAACACTAGCTACCTTGTGTTTGGGTTTGATTAATTTGTATTGATGAGGACTTTACACCTGAGTGGGGTGTAATTGTCAATAAGGGTCTGATGATGAAGTAGTACGATAGTTGAGGGAACTCCTTAACGGTTAACAGTAGCTATTTTGTGTTTAGGTTTGATTAATTTGTATTGATGAGGACTTTACACGTAGATGGGGGGGGGGTGATGGTCATTAAAGGTCCAATGACGAAGTAGTATGATAGCTAAGGGACTCCCCAATGGTTAAGAGTACCCACCCGGTGTTTGAACTTGCATAATTTGTATTGATGAAAACTTTGCATCCATGTGGGTTTTGTATAAATATATATATCAAAATATATATCAAAGTACTAAACTAAAAAGTATAAAATAAAATTAAAAAACTGCGTTTAAAAAAACCGACTTCAAAAACAAATGACAAACAAAAAGTAAAAACTAAAAAGGAAAAAAAAAACTATTAGTGGTCATACGTACTTATAGCTTACACACCCACTGATAGGTTAGAAGTCGGTGCCACAAACCCACAATAAAATATAAAGTAGACAAAAGTCACAGCTGGTATAATCCATAATAAAATTGTAAACAGCTCAATAATGTTAGGTATCTATTAAGGTTTTAATGAATATATAATAATTAGGTTTAAAACTTGTGGCACCGACTTCTAACCTATCAGTGGGTGTGTAAGCTATAAGTACGTATGACCACTAATAGTTTTTTTTTTCCTTTTTAGTTTTTACTTTTTGTTTGTCATTTGTTTTTTTACGTATAAAATGTACATAAAAGTGACGTCACGCGACATTTCAAATCAATATATTATCGTAAAATATACCACGGCCTCACAGAAGACCGACGTGAAACAACATTGTGTTGTGTTTCGTCGTGTGAGTGAGGTTACCAGATGCCCAATAACCCTCTCCCCAATTCCTGAATCACCAACAATCCTCAGATTCCTAATCCCAAATGGCCGGTAACGAACTTGTAACACCTCTGGTGTTCCAGGTGTCCATGGGCGACGCCGATTGTTTACCATCAGGTGATCCGTCTGATTGTTTACCGGTTTATCCCATAAAAAAAAAGTATTTGTTCTTGTAAAAACATAAAAAATATGTGTGTAATGTTTTAAAATAATCTAAAATACGGACATTAAAATAAAAATTAGTCATCTACCTATTACTACATAGGTTAAAAACGAGCTTACATTCTCCGAAGTCACTGAGGAATCCGGTCTTCTAGCCTTCCTTTTTTTTGGTATGATTTCTTCCTCTTCGTTTTCTACTTCGTCATCTTTTTTTTCTTCGTTTTCTACTTCATCTTCATTTTGTTCTGTGTTTTCTACTTCATCTTCATTTTTATTTTGTTCTTCTTTTTCTACTTCATCTTGTTCATGTTCTTCGCCTTTTTCTTCCTCTCTGGCACAGTACTGTATTTCATCAATCTCTAACTTCATTGTTCTGTCAGAATCTGCGCTGCTCCTCCGAGAATTAGAAATTCTCTCTGCAGGGTCCTGAAAATAGAATTAATAATTTTACACAAGCAAAATGAAAAGCTAGCTACGAAAACTGCGGAAAACTCAATACATAGACAGCTCAACTAATCATTTAGTTGAGACCACTAAACATTCCTAAAAATTAAATGTATAGATTTAGATAGATGTACCCTTGTCGCAAATGTCATTCCGATCTCTTCAGTTGTTTTGACTAGAAGGAGGAACAAATAAACAAACATACAAACTTTCACATTTATAATATTAGTTGGAAATGTACCTTGTCTGATTGACTGAACCCCAAACTCAATGGATCGTCATCAACAAACAAGGACTTCAGGTGTCTATCAGTTGCCATAGCTTTATCTCTCAACCGTTTTGCATTTACAATAATTTCCACACATTTGATGCATATCTTCTGAGGCAAATTATCTTGACTAGAAACCTGGAAAAAAATATTATATTAACAAATTTAGACTATAACACAATCTTATACCTATTTAAATAATACAATTTTTTAGACAAAACTGTTATTTTAGGAATAAATATCTGGAAAATATTGTGGACTCTAGTCAAACACCTGCAGGATGTTCTGTAACCTGTTAAGAATGAATTAAATGATTATTTACATGAAATTATTTATTGATTATTTAATGAAGTCGTAGGCCACGGGAAAGGCAATCGCACGAGGACGAGGGTCGAACCGAGAACGCCATATTGGCGCGACTAACAGGACCCACTTTCAACCTGCATAATTGTTTTTCTGTCAGCATTAAAATTAGTAGTAAAATACCGTTTACTGTAATAACATGCTAAATTAACAATAAGTTTTTAAAGATATAAGTTTTCGTAAATAACTTCGATGTAGGGTAGGCACAGTGTGTTAAGAATATTCATGAATTAAATAGATACGTACAACTACACCTGTACATAGATATATATCTTGAGTTAGCCCTTCTTTTGAGCATATGTTAGTTAAGCCCTGATTTTCAAGACAAAGTCTGCATAAATCATAAAATGAATGTGGCTTAGGCTGCTCCATGATAGTTTCAACAATCTTCTTAGAATATTCTGTCCACAAAGAAAATAATTTTAGTTTCAACAATCTTCATTTAATTCCGTTTTATTGAATTTAATTCCGTTAATTATTTCACATTACCACAATCTCATAAAAAAATGCAACACACAACTTCACAATAACACAACTGACGTGACTTGATAAATTGACACAACAATGTAATGTCAATGTGATAACCGGGATGTGCCATTTGACAGGCTATACTTGAACGCCAAAATTCGTGTTCGCAAATTCGCAAAAATGTTTCGCGATAGGACGTATTCGGTATTACATATTTTATAAATAAATGGTCATTGTTATCCTTATCCTTACTATCCTTACTAATCCTTACTCCTTACTAATATTATAAATCTGAAAGTGAGTTAGTTTGTTTGTTTGTTTGTTCCACCTTCACGCCGTAACTACTCAACCGATTGCTTTGAATTTTTGCAGACGTAAAGTTAGAAGTCCGGATTAAATAATAGGGTACTTTTTAACCCGGAAATATTGATATTCCTGAGGAAAAACAAAAGTATTGGTATAGATGGCGCTGTGTGTATTGGCATATGTCACATAGACTACTTTTTATTCTTTTGTGACGCGAGCAAAGCCGCGGGTAAAAGCTAGTACAAAATAATTAAAAAATACTTGGCATGTTATTTATGTATTTTTTGTAGCCAGTGAATTGCGAGCATAGACTAACAATAGATAAGCAGACCGAAAATTAACTCCTAAGTTATACGTATATGATATCCAACATTCTTTGTCCTTGTTTTGTCAAGCACCAACCTAATAATGACGTCTCGTTCTTTTACCTGTTGCCACACTGCTATTGACATGTAACCAGTTTTTCCGTGCCGCCATATTGATGTTTTTACCTACAACTGTGTAAATCTCGTTATAAAAGAAATTATTAATTGTTTATACCATTAAACGTTTAAATTAATAATCCTTACTATTATAAATGGGAAAGTGAGTTTGTATGTTTGTTTGTTTGTTCCACTTTCACGCCGTAACTTCTAAACCGATTGCTTTGAATTTTTGCAGACGTAAAGTTAGAAGTCCGGATTAAATAATAGGGTACTTTTTATATCGAAAAATGTTGATATTCCCTAGGGAAAACAAAAGAATTGGTATAGATGGCGCTGTGTGTATTGGTATATGTCACATAGGCTACTTTTATCCTTTTGTGACGCGAGCGAAGCCGCGGGTAAAAGCTAGTCTAAAATAAAATGGTAAGTTTAGTTACACTGCAATGTATTAGAATAATAAACAAATAAAATCAACTTAATTTTTGATTCATGACAGTTCAAGTACTTATAGAATCAACAGAGGACGGATTTAGTGTTTCGAAAGGTTAAACTAACTAACAAATATATTGTTTTCATATTGAGTAATAGTTACTACAAAGTTGTATAATCTAATCACACAGTTGTTATATTATGTACCCACTATGTATCAATTTATAATAGGCAATCAAATAATATCATCATATATACCTGAAATGCTTAGGAAAGTACAATAAAATTTAACAGGAGAGGACAAGGAAAGAACTTGTCTTGGGAGTGTTCAGTGATATTGAGGGGAGGGAGATGACTATTACCTGATATTCTTAACCATAACAAGGGCCCAACAGGGCCGATGCCGTTTCGGAGTCGCGGAGAACCTAACGGGTTACCGGAACTCCGGCTCGACGTGCAGGAGAAGGAACGAGATGGTTTTTAGTCAGTAAGAGGCTGACACTCCCTCCCGCCTCACCCAGGCTGGAGCAGCCATTCGATGATTTTCCCCCTTAAAAAAAACATAGCAAGTGCCTTCAAAATTGCCATAAAATTTATTATTCTCCCTTTAACGTGTTTTATTTGAAAAATCAATATTTTTACATTTTCTATAGTACCTATAATTATATTATTTATGGTTCCAAAATACCTTGTTGTGGAATTAAATAAATTTCATAGGATTCTCATGCATTTTCGGTAACACACATCAAAATTATAATAAAAATTGATATTTATTCAGTATTTATAAATATTACTATTTATCCCAAAAACACGCTTATCTCTATGAACCTTAGCCCGGCCCCGTTTAAGCTACAAATTGCGCATGTGTGTTTTTGGCTTTATTAATTTTAGCTAATGTTCGGTCTGCTTATCTATTTTAAGTCTGTGAGTGCCAGTAAATCGTTTGCTAAAATGGCGGTTTATTTAAATACTGACTGGATAAAAAGTCATTGTATTTGTTATATTTTTTATTTATTATTCATCATGTCAAAACGACATGTGATACCAAAGTGATGTGTTTAACTGATTTTGGTTTGAGCATCTCTTGAATTAAAATGTATTAAACTGTTGTTTAGGATAATATTAAAAGTATTTTATTAATTCTTTATATCATTTGGCAAGATGAGAGATGCGTTGTCATACTTTGGAACATGTGATCGATATTTATTCCTGTATTCAATATGATTATACCAAGGATATCAGAAGTTCTCTTTAACTGAGGTAAACCTTCTAGTTTTCATAATTTTAAAATTTAAATGTACAAAATAGGAGCTGTTCAGTGGGTACCATGGGTCCAAAGGTAGGTTTGATCTATGAAAGTTACCATCTACCGTTTTCAAAATAGGCTTATCAGCTATGCATAGCTATATTATATGTAAGTGTTAGGAAGATTGTGGCCTACTTAAACATATTCTTTAAAATTAAAATCAAATCATAGGATTCTCATTTGGCTTTGAAAATCGGGCAGGCAAGCAGGACAATATTTCAAAAATACTGAATAATATCACTACACTGTAGATGTTAAAAAATACGCGTGCGAAGTTACGGGCATAAGATAGTAAATTATTATGTTAAGTTAACGTGGACTCATGATTCAGAGTTCCACGTAACATTTCCCATCAACGCCTTGAATCGTAATGTTTTGACTCGGTTACCTAGGCAACCGACAGGAAAAGTCTGTTTTCCTATCGATTTCCCCGCATTTGTAAACAGTACGTTTACGTAGTTTAAATCCGCTATACTTATAGTTATTGGTTGATAGTTCGCAACTTTATGAAAGAAATAAGGAGGTTCGCAATATGCCTTGAGGTAAGTGAATATTTGAGGTACTTTGAAATGTTTATTCTTTTGTTATTAAGTACTTGTAGATACTAGGTATTTTATACACTTTCAAGTTTTACATTGCATAGCTATATGTGTACATCTATACAGATCTAGACTTCGTACCATTTCATAGTCATACATTAAGTGTATTTTCAATTCGCCTTATTATAGATTAAGCCATAATTTTACAATATTTTAATTACTTGTATGATACTGGAATTAGTTAATAATCAACAAAATTATTGTGTACATTACAAATCTGTGACGAATAATGTTTCTGCAATATTGTTTCTTTTTTACCCGACTGCCAAAGAAGGAGGGTAATGTTTTTCGAGTGTATGTAAGTATGTATGTATGTCTTTTCCTTTGTGACCACCTGTAGCCTAAACGGCTTGATGGATTTTGATGTATGAGGTATCGTTAGATTTGTCTTGATTACGGGAGTGTCATAGGATACATTTTATCCTAAAAGTCCCACGGGATAAAGACATAATAATATTTTTTCTAAATTTCCCTTTAAAAAAATATGTATGCGGTATCATTAGATTCATTTCAATCACGGGAGTAATTAATATAGGATACGTTTTTTCTCAAAATTCCCACGGGAACATGTTAATTCTGCGTCAACGCAAAGCAACTCATGCGTTAGCAAGCAAAAAGATAGGGCGTGGCCTGGCATGCGGCGCGCGGCGCGGTGCGGAGGGGGATATGCTCGAGTATACAGCCCGATTGCGGGCACACGCATGAGGGCACACGTCGTTGACGATAGTCTTCTACATCTACAACATTTTCGTTAAATAAAAACAGCTAAAAAGTTATAAATAAAAAAATTATTATTAAAAAAACAAAATACCCGACTGCACACTAAAAAAAGAGTAAAACAAGCCCCACAATAATATTGATCAATCAAATGCTAAAAACTAATTATGTAATACCGTTTAAACAATACCTATATTAAAATACACTACAATATGTGTTCGTAATCGATAGTTAAATAAACAGAAACTTATTTTGAATACAAATTTACTGAATATAATTTATAAATGTTGATGGAAAGCATCGCAGGCGGGGACCACCTTGACCGCCACCAACGAAAATTCTGCTAAATGGTGCACAACCGAAATGACTATAAATAAGCCTCTGTTGGTCCCCGCCTGCGATGCTTTCCATCAACATTTATAAATTATATTCAGTAAATTTGTATTCAAAATAAGTTTCTGTTTATTTAACTATCGATTACGAACACATATTGTAGTGTATTTTAATATAGGTATTGTTTAAACGGTATTACATAATTAGTTTTTAGCATTTGATTGATCAATATTATTGTGGGGCTTGTTTTACTCTTTTTTTAGTGTGCAGTCGGGTATTTTGTTTTTTTTTATTCCCAATTGTCAGTCGACGGTCGGTAAGAATCGTGAATCATTTGAGTTTTATTTAATTTTCTGGTAGGGTATTCTTAAAGTATAAAATTAAATATAGGTAACAGTATTACGGTACATAGCTGTACGGTATTCTTAAATATCATCAAAGCCAGAGTTCTGGTTTCCAAAAAATTTAAGTAGTCTTATCATAATAGGGTAGATGAAAAATTTTTATTTTAATGTCCGTCTGGTAGATTATTTAAAAGCCTTAGACACGTATTCTTTATTTTCTTACGGAAACGAATAGTTTCGAAGATATATTGATTTGAAATATTGCTTGCATGACGTCACTTTTGAGTACATTTTATACTAAGAAATGACGTTTTAGCCCCCACTCCTAAACTTTGATTCGTTTTATCTAAGTATTGTTTTATTATACGACAAAATAAAAAAATACGTGTCTAATATCGCACGAAATCGCATCGCAGCAATTCGCATCGTAATTTTCTGCGTTTCGAAAACGCATCGCAACGCAGTAAGAATCTTACTTTAAAACTACTCTTACGATAAAATGGGGTGAATAGGGATCGAGATGTGAATAGGGACAGAAGAGGGGTGAATTGATACTAGTTACGAAAAATTTCCCAATATCTATTCATCCTTCTTCTCGTCTCTATTCACCTTTCAATCCCTCTCCACCCCATTTTACGGTACTTAAAATTATCTTACAGTAAGTGAATTTTAAGAAAATGATCTCACTATCTCTTTATACAAAAGGATCTCTCACATATCAACTCATGTATGTATAATTACTATGTAATTGTAAAATGTGTTTTATAACCGATAAGTATATACTTATATCCGAATCCTAAACATTGAGACCATAAAAACGTCTTATGGAATGGAAATTGGTAATATTGTAAAATACACATGATAAAAAAACCGAACGGTCAAGGGGTTCGCGAATTTTTTTTTATACCATCGCATCATGAAAAAAACGCTGCTCTAAAATGACGTACCTACCTCTCACTCCTAAACTTCGATTCGTTTTATTTAAGTAGTGTTTTCTTATTCGACAAAATAAAAAAAACGTGTTCCATATTTTCTCATTACTTAATTGATGGACTAATTAGATTTTTTAATTTTCATACCCTGTCATCATCCCTATTTTTGAGGTACCATCCTCGTTACACAGTCTGCTACGTTACTTTTTTTATTATTATTTTTTATATTTGATGGGCCGACGTTTGACCACTATCTCGTCTTGCCTCGATGGTAAGCGATAATGCAGTCTATGATGGAGCACGTCGTCCCGTAAGCAACTTATTCACTCGGGCTCTGAAGATACCCAGGTACCCTTTAGGAAATACAGACTCTGGCAAAGAATTTCACTCCTTAGCAGTACGCACAAGGAAGCTTGATGTGAAGCGTTTCCAGGTGTGGGTAGGTGTACTTAAGCTATGATGAGCAACTTATATCATCGACTTAAACGGGTCGTAAGCTTTGTTACTATCGACGGTAATATCACTTTCCATGCTCCACTCGGGTATTATAAAAACAATATAAAAGCCACCCATCACTTAATCCAATCTAATGAGCAGTTTCTACACATCAAGGTTAAATAAAATAATATACAATCAATAACGTAATCCTTTGATAAGATAATTGCAATTCTAATTAATTATTCCATTATTCCACGTTTCATTTGAATAAGTTAAGCTTAATATTGTTCTAGTAGTTGGTGAAACAGTATCTATTGTTGAAATAAGATGATGTAGAGGTATATTCACATATTAACGAATTATTGGTTAACACTCGTATTGTAAAACAATTTTTAATTTTGTTTAATTGTTTTGTAAGAAAGCAAGGTCTTCATTACTTAAACTACTTGTTAATAAAATATTTATAGCGCAATCAATCAGTACTACTATCTGTAATACGATTACTAAGCTGTGGTTTACGAATAATTGAAAACTCGCCCTATTTGCTACGGAACGCAAGTTTGTAGGGAGTAACGTAGCAATGTCGTAAGCATCGTAGCAGTATATCGTAGCACGCGTAGCGCGCCGCCCGCCTTCGTAGCTTCGGCTACAAGTTGCAACTTACAAAACTTATTTAGTGTGCTTATCTGGATCGAATAAACGGTGAGTTGTTCAGTTTTAGTTACTAATATTCTTTGTTGCTACATCTATGAGAAATGTCTTTAGTTAAATGTAAATAAAGAAATATCAAGCATTCTTTGAAATTTTTGAGCTCAGTTTTAATTGTATTTTTAAAGTAATTCGTTCTCTTATGTCCGAATAAAATGACAAATATATTGTAATAAAAAGTTAAATCTATGATTTTATTATAATTATATAGACGTACATAAATTACCTACATCATTTTTTTTCATATTACCTTAAGTTAAGAACTTGCGTTTTGGTTCTATGTAATAATCCCTTTCTATGTAATTATAAAATATAAATCATAGTTCGCAGTAACTTGGTAACATTATACTTTGGTATTACTTATTAGTAAAATGTTTTTGATTAGTTATGTGAGCCTATTTCCCCAGCCATTAGCCATCGCGTGGTGTCTCAAAACATTGAAAGGAAGATAAAAAGTAGTGAAAGTTTTTTAGCGGTAAAACTTATGTTCATAGAACTAACTATGTACTTTCTTTAAAATAAATGAGTTTTATTATTCAACCGTCTATCTACTTCGTACGGGCCTATTCTCCGAGTTTCTCTGTACCTTTTGCATGTTTTTTTTCATTTAAATTACAAGTTACAGCATCGTTAAAGGATAACCGAATTATTTTTTCACTGTGATTAGGATGGACAGCAATAAAGAAGTTTTTAATAATTTGTATGTATAACGTTACATCTGTTAGTACCCATAGCGGCAAGCAGAGAACTGAAACACACTCTTTTCATTTCACAAGTATATGAGTCTCATCTAATAAGATGAGCCTATCATCATACACTCGTTACGTTTCTTGACGTTTCCGAAAATACTTTATCAAATTAGTAATATTTTGCGCTAAGGAATTGAACCTGGAAACATTGGTAGTCACTGTATTGTGATCATCACCAACAAAACCGTGTTTCAATAGGAGTATCGGTTAAAAATGTATGTCAGTAGTTGATCACCCAATGTAGGTGTATTGAGGTAACACAATATGGTGACATTTTACCTAATCAAATGAATACAATTTACTCCGTATGTAGGTCGCCCAACAGTCACCATGTCAGCTATCTACTGGCCCTGATATTACGGACATACAACACAAATATTAATAATTATTTATTCACATCGTCCTACTTTTAACAAGGTCTAACTTCTATGTTTTAAGTTCCATGTAATTCTACCTAGATATCAGTTGAACTAAATCAGTTGTACCAGTTTAGTCTAGTAATCCTAGTAGATAGTATATTCCTTTTTTTAATTCTACAAATCCACATAAATGTACCTACATTAGGTACACCCTGACTCAGAACTCTAACACACATCCAGCTACTGTACAAATAATTTAGAAGTCGTTTTAAACTGGAAACCACTTTTAGATTAGAAAATATAACTATATTAGTTAATTATTTGAAACTATGTAACTATTCCCGGTGTTTGGCTCAATCCACGTGACTCGTTGTAAAATCATAAATTCGGGTGATATTGTAAAGTCCGGATAAATTTTCGGAAGCTTTAATTAACTGCTGTGGTACGGTGTAATCAATTAAAGTAATAATAGCTAAACGTAATTTCAAATGAGTAATACCAAGTATAGTTAAAATTAAATTCAGTGGAAAGGTTTTATTTTTATATGATTCACACTCTTCGTGCGTGCGATGCATCCATAATATTAAATATCAATCAGATCAGAAAAGCAATCAGATTAAAAAATAAACCGGATTCATTTTCATTTTCGTTTATTTCCGATTAGGTATGACCACATCCCTGTCCCTACGTCCAATCATACAGGCAAGCCAGATAAAACTGGATATTTTTGTTAACAGGTTAGACAATGAGCGAGCGAGGCGCTCGACGCGGCCCAGGCGCACCTTTCTACGCGCCATTGCGGCGTAAAACCTCTGCAGAGATCATCAGTGAAGCAAGAGCTGCTATTTACGGCGGTAAGAGATACACAATTTATTAAATAACGCTTATACAAATTATCATACGCCTGGATTGCCCGACCAGTTTTGAGCTAAACTAGGGCCCTTAAATAAGTGATACTTCGCAATAAAAAAATGTAATATCACAAAACTGCCTTCCTTTCCCTTTGACCAGTGTTGTTAACAAAACAAGCAAAAAAGGGCTCATGTGCTCATCATGTTTCTAATTGAGACAAAAAGGTTACGCTTGGATAATACTTTCAAATAATGTTTTGTCGCCAAACAAATAACAAGGGTGGGTTTATTAACACTACTAGTTATTTATCATTATAAATGATGTCAATGACCTTATTACAAGAGGAGGCAATGATGAAATGTCATTTCTTCTATCAATCATTCGCAGCTTTTGTCGAATATAGACCGTATACCTTTCTAATTGCAATGTCAATATCGCTATAATAATGTTTGAACCCATTCATGAATACACTGATGACTGTTGAGGAAGCGAAAGTAAAAAACAAAAAAAAAACTATGTAAGAATTGTAGCGATTGGCGTGCCATAGTCTCTGGTTACCCCTATGGGAAACAGGTTGACAGGGGAGATTATGTATTACACGTTAACCGCCGCGTAGGTCACCGGTGACCTACGTTAGCGGAGGATATGCCTTCAACAGTTCTCTGTAGGCAGTCAAAGACTTAAATAATTTATTCACAACTCCCATGGGAAATATTCTTTAATTATATACTAAACTAAACTGAACCTGAAATTATTATCTTTTAGTCGATAACCATTGTATAATCGATGCAGTATCGTTATAGAATTTATCAAATCGTTATCGTTATTCGCACATCGATAGTGAGGTTAATTTGACGCGACAACCGCTACCCCTCACCTTGTTGAAACCACAAGGTGAGCTAATGTTGAAGAGTCACGATATTATAATACAAGCTTTTGGAAAATACAGTTTCGCATCGTTACCTTTGACGTCATAAATTGCCTTTATGGTATTCAATAACGCTTGTGTTCACATGTATATTGTTGATAATACTGCGGATTTTCACCAGACACTTTTACGATATGAAGGTCTCCATTTGTGTTGTTTTATTTTCTTCTTTATATGATTGTGCGTGGTGCTAAGTCACGCATGTTTTTAAATTCAATTGTAGTCAATTTGTCTCTATAGGTACCTGTAATCGCGTTTGAACCATAAATTTGCTGGAAATGTAAATAAATACCAACTAAATTTGTATTTACTACTTCCAATTTCATAGATTACGACGATAAGTAACATGAATGAAAGGCATCGAACCTAACCTGGACTTTTCCAAATGACTTCATTTAGCTTCCACGCTAAAAGAACAGCTATTGCATCTTCACCTCACAATAACATCAGATACGCCATTTTATTATTTTAAAGTAGGTTCACCGTTTCATAAGTATAGAAAGAAAATGCATTTATCAACAGCACAACATCAATAGAATTCTAAGTTTTCGTTTCGTTATACTGCCATAAGCTATACCTAAATTTGTACAAGTTAGGGGTATTCTTTGCGCCATTTCTTCGGGGTGGTTGATCGCCGAGGTCACGCGGTCATTCCTTCTTGTTACACTGTTACCGGCTTGGTTGCCACGGTGAGCCTCGCACGCCATCCCTACATTAATACCTCACTTCAAACAACGCTGATTTAAAATCACAACCTTTGATATAGCACCCCCTTAGAAGGTCATTGTCGCTTTACATTTTTTATTTTTATAAGCGATGATAAGTTTGCGGTTTTCTTTATGGTTGGTTTGGTTTTTTGGAGAAATGATTGAATGTTTTCTGGCACGATTCTTTAAATATTTTTGTTTTTCTCCAATGTGTATTAAACTTAACATTAACTTAATGTGTATTAAGTATTTACCAACCTATTAAAATATAACTAGGTATGTAGATAAGGACTTTAAAAAGAAAGATACTTTAACAAGTATAGAAATATGGTTTTATTTTTAGAAATTACAATATAAGTTTGTTTGGTACTGCTTAATTCTAAGAAACCAGGCAAGCTTTTTCCACTTTTAGGTATATATAGATTATGCCCAAAAATAATACGTAAATACCTGTAGAAAAACTATATAATTTCCAAAATAATAAGGAACTGTTTTCGTTCGTGAATTCCACGAAAAAGACCATCAGGTTCATTATGTTAATGACTCGACGGAAAATCGTCAACATTTTATGCGCCCCAGGCATTCACGCGATCATTGTTTGTTATTTCAGAATTTAGAGTTTTAGGTGAAATTATTACACTTTATTCGTTTATTTAGGACGAATTTTAAACTGTAAGAAACTTTACTTGTACATACATGTGCTAGATTAAGTTGTTTTGCATCAAAATGTCAATTCATTTAATTTAATCTTCTACAGTTTCTGACATGAACAGGTTGGATTAAAGATTACTTATATATTTCAAGTTAAACATGCACCTGGCTTAAGGGCTCATTCCCTATTCCATGGGACTCTTTTATGACTTAAATGGCTAGAACAGTGGATGTTACATTAAATAAAAGTCGTCATTATCCAACTCATTAGCACGTCACCTACCCACAGATCACATTTCTTTGGTATTCAACGCTTCCTGGTTAACTTAAAATCATACTTTAGCAGGTAACAAAAGGTGACTTGAAATTTTCTTCTTGGTTCAGAAATGAGCGGCACATCTAGCGGTGGTGGCGCTGGTGGCAGCCTGCGTCCGCTGCGCACGCGCCGCCCCTACACACCTCGCGAACCACAGAGGTCGCTCTACACCAACAAGAAAGAACCGAGACCGCCCAGTGGTTTTGAGTATGTAAAACTATTTAATTAAAATAGAAGACACTTAATTAAATTCAGATAAAGCATAAGTGTAAAATGATTTGTTTTGATACAAAAAAAAAATTAGCTGAACATAAAAGAGGGACAGAACCGCTCTTTTGAAATTAGAATATTTAATGTGTCCAAAAATTCGTTACCCCAAAGTGTCATTTTACCTTTCATTAAACAGTCTGAAGTTCCTGAGTCTGTCAGAGAGTGGTGAGGAGACGCTGGCAGCGATGGACGCTCGCATCGCTCACCTGGATGAGGAGGCACTCAATGAAATGCTTACAGACACTCGCAGCAGGAAAAAACCTGCGGTAAGTAGAATCGTACCTATACCTGACCGTTGACCGTTATGGCATGCGTATTATAGTCTAGAATGCAGATCTTCTTTTTCTATTTGATGTACCACTTCTGTCAGAGGTTAGTCAACATCATGGTTATCTTCATTTTTGACTTCAATACTTAGAATGTAGATGTAGTAGGTACTGCATTCAAACCAAGACACTGTGTTGTCCTGGCTCAAGTCGCGCGTCTGTTCGGAGTATACGTCACGTCATGATAAATAAAGGGAGGCCTCTAGAATTGTAGACATCTTTTTATTGCCTAATTGGCGTCTATTCAGCGAAGTTTTTTGTCACCTCGAAAGTATAAGATAGCGCTTTTATTAGTTTAAATTTTTCAAGTATTCATATCACTATTTATGCTAGCCTATACCATGGTGAAAACGTCAGAAAATTCTTCAGGTATAATATTATTTATATTCATATTTTGACTCGCAATCTCATCGCGTGCAAGGCGTATAATAAAACCTTTTTTAAATTCTATTCTAAAACTAGCTTAGCATACCGAAACATGCAGGATTATAAACTGTGCACATGCATCTATTTATGAGACCTGACCTGACCTGTCGACCCGATAACGAATTTCATTTCCAGCAATTTTCCATACTTTTTCTTTATCAGAACCGTCGTAACCGATTAGATCGATTTGTCGATTTGTCGATTTAGAGTTAAAGGAAACTTATCATTTTTAATTAATAAACTAGCTAGGAAAACAAAAAGATTTTCAAAATGTTTCATTTGCGAAAAACTAAATACTCAAATACCAGCGTCGGTTTGGTTTTATACCGATATTCTATAAGATTTGGGAAGAATTAAACTGGTGTAAGTTGGACAAATGTGGTGAAATAAAATCATTATTTATTTTGTAAAAAATATTCAGGTACGCAAGGACGCTCGACAAGGCGGGGTAGGTGACATGTGGGGGGGATTTACCAAGCTGCCGCATCTCAGTGGTAGGAGCAAACCTCTCCACAGGCGTAATACTACTGGACAAGTACATGCTGAAGGTACGACATATATTTAAGTAGAATCAAAAAGTAGCATACAGTATGTAGCCGTAAGTAGCATACAGTTTATACCTCAAAGGGATTAGACAGAGCCGAATATCGAATTTAAAACCCAGTTTTTGCTAGCTAATTATTCCAAATACGAGGAAACGAATTTGCACGAAGTATAGTAATTACAGGTGATAATCATTATAAAAAATAGACCCACATCTTTGTATGCCGAAAACAGTAGACTTAATCTACTGTTTTCGGCATACAAAGATAGATGTTACATTAATTACAATTAATAAAGTTAAAATGTTATAATTAATAGCAACTAATTATAAAAATTTCAACTAGGAGGTCGTATATTTTTCTCTTAAAATATTATTAATTCTCTGCTTCATTAATATACTTATCATTTTAGTGACTTACTAAATAACTAACGTACTTTACATTGCACATATTAAACCTTCATTGTCAAATATCTTACGCCATATTGACTGAAAATTCTTGAATACAGAGATAAATTAGTATAAGTTATATTGTATATATAATTAACCATCACTCCATCAGTATAATAAGTACAAGCTCTCATATATTTTTACATTCGTATATGTTACCTATTTGTACTTTCAGAATTAAAACCTGAAGCCGGCTTAGCGGGAGCAATCTCAGTAACTCGTCCTCTAGGTGATCCAACTAATACCACTATCGGCAGCACATTGATGGGCGATGTCGTCAATGTTAAGGGTGCGAATTGAATAACTATTATTCAGTTTCATATTTATACCTTTAAAATGTGTAATCAATTTGGTTTTGCTTACAAGCAGATGGTGCTGGTGCATCAAAACGCAAGCAGTTCGCGTCTACGAAAGCAGCGTCATGCGACGTTGCCAGCTGTACCAGCGGTCTGCGAGCTGATATCGATGTAAAACATCTCGCCGTGCAACTACCCAATACATCCTCGGACAGTTTGGAAAAGTATGTTGAATTTTTTTTCTGGTTCAAACCCGCTGAAACCTCCCCAAACTACTGACACTTCTGGCCACGCTCTACTGTAAATGGGGAAAGATCAATAGAGGGGAAAAGAATGCTTGATAACTTGCTTGCCAAACAAGGAGATTATTTATAGCAAACCCCGTGTGGGTGAGGACGAAAGTCCAGCAATGAACTATTTCGGGCTGTTGATTTATTTTATTAAATTTACAGTTTGACGTTATTAGAGCTATCAGAAGCTCTATCGCAGCGGTGTCGCGACTCGCACCGAACGCTGCAACTACTAGAAGCAGTGGTGGCCAACTTACAAGCAACTACACCTGGCGGCAGTCTGCGGGAACTACTCATGCGGTCTCTGTACATGCACATCGACAGTGAAGACGAGAGGATACTCGTCGCTGTGGCGCGGGCTATGCTATCTGTATGTAGATATAATATAAATGTAGTGTATTGTAGAACAATATTTAGAACACTTTTGCGTGTTTGAGATTAACGTCACACAATACTTTTTAACTTAATTAAGTAATCACTTTATGTTAAATATATTCGTTGATTGATGGACGACTGTAGAAACAGATAGAAGTGTTAAATGTCAAAGTAAAAGAGATGAGAACTAAATCTGTATTACCATAGATCAAACTATTCTGTAAAACTATTACCATTCGAAAGTAGCAACAAACTAAACAAGCTTTTGAAGCCTTTCAAACGTTGCAATAAAATCTTACAGCTCACTGACAGCTACGCCGTAGCAGGACTACGTGCTACGAGTCCTGCTACGTCATGTGCTACGTGTACAATTTAATTTCATTTGTTGTAGATGCGAGTGACTGGGACACATTTAGCAGCGGCTTGTAAACTTGTGTTCAAGATAGCAAAGAATGATAAGAACGATCACTACTTTAAGACCACCAATTTGTTGGGTGAGTTAACAAATGTGACAAAATAATCTGTGAATCGATAAAGCAAACTATGATGAAGTTATTTCACATATTCAAGAGTTGGCAATACTTCATTGTCGACTCTTGAAAAAATCATACAGATATGATGTGATGTGTATATCGAGTCGCAGATTGAACTTTATGGCGTGTACGTTGACGCTTTCGAGTAGAGATGGTCATTTTCAAAATGCATAAAGAAATCATTTTTCCGTTTTCGCTAGAGTATTTATGCACTTTTTGGATTATTGAATAAAATAAATAATTATTCAGTATTGGTTCATTTTGAGTGTTTTTTTCGGAAAATGTCCGGTGCAGTCCCCATGGAAATCCGTCATTTGTAGAGGAGGCCTACAGGCCAGCAGAGGAGTAGGTCGTGGGTTGGTGATGTATGTCGGTATAGTTGAAGCTTCCGTGGCACAGAGCTGTTGGTGGAGGGGTGCGGGCGCGCGGAGCCGGTGTCGGAGAGCGCGTGCTGCGTGTACGGCTGCGCGGCGCTGCGCGTGCTGGCGCTGGAGCCCGCGCTGGCGGCGCGCGCGCTGCGGGCCGGCGCCGCGCATCTGGCCGCGCTGCATCTCAAGATACTCAATAATGCGGTACATACTTTATTTACACAATAAAAAAAATATTTCAAGAAAAATAGCGCCTTCTGCCGGTTCTTGAACCCCTCTTTTTACCCGAAAGTGAAAATCATGTCTTTTTTTACAAATTAAGTAAAAACAGTGTAAATACACTCTCCTGCCTACTCTTCTTCTCCTAGTAAGGAGGAAAAATGTTTAAACAATTTCTCCAAGGACCAACTAGATGATGATAAGAATTTTCCCAGCTTAGCACAGTAAGTGTGAGGGAAATAAATTTCTTCTTTTCTTGTAACATTACGATCCCCTCCTCCATAATTGTATTGCATGTACCTTTCATTGTGTCCTAGAAAACGGAGTCCCCTCGCTCCCTAGGCGAGCAGAGTACGCATGCGCTATACCAAGTGACGGGAGCGCTGCGCAGCCTGGCGGGCGCAGTGGATCAGTTTGCGCACGAGTTCCTCGCCAGCGGCGCGCTGCCTGAACTTGTGGATGCACTGGCGCTACATACTGACAGGGACGTGCTCACTAATGTCGCCAGGTGTCTCAGGTAATATATTATATTGAATAGAATTTAACGTAGTCAAATCCTTTCATATTGGCTCTAAATTTTCGGTGACCGTACTGCGATCGACCCCCTAAGTCACTTACGGAGGCTGCTGCCTTTCAAGTGTAATTTTCCCCTCCCTTTCCTTCTATTTAAAAAGAGAAAAACCTTTATGCAGCAATTCGGTGTATTCCAATCGATGATGATGATGGGAGTGAATTTATAATAAAGCTACATAATTATTTGAAAATAATAGTAATTGTGTAGTTTCCTTAATCAATAATAAATTATTTAGACTGTTCGATACAATAAATTTCAATATTAAAAATAATCTTAAATATTTCAATATTAAAAATATAATTGATTTTCATTAATTGATTTTATGACCAACTTAATTTTAGTATATTTCCAGCAATTTTTTTAAGAAATAAGTACACTGTTTGACGCTAAAAAAGGTGACGTCACAATTCACAATCTCGTACACAATTCATAGAAAACTGTCGCTTTTGACAGTTTGAAAAAAAATTGAATTTGACTAGTTGGCAAGTACTCAATTATTTGCTAGAGTCTGTATTTCCTGGGTGTCTTTAAGGCCAGAGTGAATAGGTTGACGGCTATAGATCGACTATCTATTTTATCTAGGGGACGACGTGCTCCATCGTAGACCACGTTATCGCTTACCGTCAAGCGAGGTAGTGTTGTCGCGGAGAACCTAACGGGTTACCGGGGCTCCGGCTTGTCGTGCAGGAGAAGGAACGGGGTGGTTTTTAGTCAGTAAGAGTCTGACACTCCTTCCTGCCTCACCCAGGCGGGAGCAGTCATACGATGATTTTCCCCCCTTAAAAAAAGAAGCGAGGTAGTGGTCAAACGTCGGCGCATCAAATAAATAAAAGTATTGTGTGTGCAGCGTGGTGTCGGGCAGCGCGGAGTGCTGCGCGAGTCTGTGCGCGCGGCGCGGGGCGGCGCGGGCCGTGCTGCGGGCGCTGGCCGCCTGCGCGCCGCGCGCCCCGCTGGCCGTGAGGCTCGCGTACACGCTCGGGAACATGGCCGCCGCCGACGAGCGCGCCAGGAACGATGTGAGGATAAATGTGCAGTGAATTTTTTCAATATTCAAAATAATCTTAATCCAAAATCTGTGGATTAATATTTTTGACAAAAAGTCCATACAACTAATGTCAAAAATCGATCCATATTGTTAGACGATAAAAACCAACTAAATGAACGTCACTAGTTTAATCTGTATTGTCGACAGTTCTGGGCCTCTAGCCAAAAGCCGGGCCTCTAGCCAAAAGCCACTTTAGCGCTTGTCTACAGTGAGAGTAGAAATCAAAATGTATGGGGATGACACTGACAAGTGTCAAAATTTACGTCAATTCCATATAATTTGGTTTTCTACTCTACATGTAGACAAGCGCTAAATGGCATTTGGCTACAGCTGCTGGCTTTCATGTTGACGATGTCAGCTGTCAAATATGACAAATTCGAAAGTTTCCCACGCAAACAGTGGTTTCGTGCAATTCTGGTGGGAAGTTTGACGAGCATCACACTGTGTTCTTATAAGAATCCGTTTAGATTAAACTTTTCAGTATTTAAGTATTAAGTTTTACTTAAAAATATGCACAGATTAGAGATTGAGATCTTTTAAATTATAGATTTTTTATAATAATATATAAATATTTTTATTATTAATTTCGTCCGTAAATATTTTCCATCTTAAAATTAATGATTCACGTTCACAATCCCACTTTACTCACTAAATGTATGCCTCCTCTGCTAATTTTTTCCTGCATAACGAACAAATGAGCTAGTCCAATCGTTTTTACAGATTAAATATGATTAGACGAATACCATATGAGATCAGTAGCGAATACTTCTTCAATGACCCTTCAGAAATAAATTTTCAACTGCAGTTGGCGCGGTGGCTGGGCAACTGGCTGCCGCGCAACGTGTCGCAGGTTCGATTCCCGCACGGAACAACTCTTTGTGTGATCCACAGATTGTTGTTCCGGGTCTGGCTGTCATGTGTATGTGATATTGTATGTTTGTAAACGCACCCACGACACAGGAGGAAATCCTAGTGTGGGGCTAAGTTAAAAAAAAAAATATAAATAAAAAATTAACGGACTTCTAGGATACACTATTTATTAGTCAAAGAAAGATTTTTGTCTCCTTAAAGATTGAACTAAGTAGCTCTATAGTTGTTTGTCTTTTACTTAACATGGTAACACACGTACACATACATGCATAAACGCACACACGCACACTTACACACCATTATGTTAAATTATGTATTATGTTCTATTTTATTCTTATTTATTTAGTTATTTATTTATTACAACTTTTAGTTTGATTTGTAGGTATATATTACATTTATGTAGGCATATAATATATATATTTATTTATTTTTATATATATATATATATTTTATATACATATTATGGTTTACACATTATTATTATTATTTTAAAGTCATTAAATTGTACACTAGACGACCCATATCTGTCTCCTATTACAGCTCCATCCAAAGGTTGTCTGGAAGAGATCGCCTTGTGCGATAAGACCGCCCATTGTGCACTATATCAATTGTTTGTTGTCCTTTATGTTTATGTGGTGTACAATAAAGAATATTATTATTATTATTAAGTAGGTTTATATTAATTGTATGTCTTTCGTAACATCCTTCTAGATTTACAACGAAGACGGTGCGATAGACGTTTTACTTACAATATTGGAGTCATACACGAAGAAGAACCCGCAAGATCTGCCAGACGTCGAGGCAGACCCAGATCTACACTTAGTTGGTGAGTCAACTTCTGAACAGTAGACATAAACATGTAAAACTAAATCTTATGCAGTTGAAGATAAAGTCTATTTTTCAATGTTGTTCTAGGTTCCGATTTAGGCGGATCAGATGGTTCAAATGAAGATGTTCTTATCAAGGTTTGTATTAAATTACTTTGAAAAACATATCTACATCGTATAAAAGCAATATCGAAGGAGACTCAATGTATGATTTAATTTGGCAGACTGTACGTGTTGTTGCAAATTTGTGTCTGGCGGAGCGCGTGGGCCGAGGTCTGGCGGACGTATACGCAGAGCGGATAGTCAACTCTCTGCTCGCATGTCTACAACTTGCTGAGAGGATTATAACAAATACGGTTAGTAAACTTAAGATCATCTTCAAAAGTAATTATTGATACACCAAACAATTATTAAAAATATTTATTTATTTATTCCATTTTTACAGGACAAATCAATACCTGAAAATATGCCACCAGTGGAACGCGCCGAGGAGTTGGCGACGGCGGCGCTGGCCACGCTCAACAATATGACCTTCTACCGCGAGCCGCCAGACCCACCAGACCCACTCCACGTACCTTTCGACAATATATGCAAAGGTAAACCTATGAATGTCTATCTAGGTACTCGTTATTTATCCTATTTAAACACCTGGAATATAGGAGAAAATTTAAACACTGCCTACGACACACTACATATTCTCCGGAACTATGGATACGCTGACGCTTCGTGCCGCTACACATACGCTACGTGTGAATGACACTACGTAGCTGTGGCTACGCTGACGCTACGTAATGCTACACACACGCTACGTGTGAATGACACTACGTAGCTGTGGCTACGCTGACGCTACGTACTACTACACACACGCTACGTGTGAATGACACTACGTAGCTGTGGCTACGCTGACGCTACGTACTGCTACACACACGCTACGTGTGAATGACACTACGTAGCTGTGGCTACGCTGACGCTACGTACTGCTACACACACGCTACGTGTGAATGACACTACGTAGCTGTGGCTACGCTGACGCTACGTACTGCTACACACACGCTACGTGTGAATGACACTACGTAGCTGTGGCTACGCTGACGCTACGTAATGCTACACACACGCTACGTGTGAATGACACTACGTAGCTGTGGCTACGCTGACGCTACGTAATGCTACACACACGCTACGTGTGAATGACACTACGTAGCTGTGGCTACGCTGACGCTACGTAATGCTACACACACGCTACGTGTGAATGACACTACGTAGCTGTGGCTACGCTGACGCTACGTACTGCTACACACACGCTACGTGTGAATGACACTACGTAGCTGTGGCTACGCTGACGCTACGTACTGCTACACACACGCTACGTGTGAATGACACTACGTAGCTGTGGCTACGCTGACGCTACGTACTGCTACACACACGCTACGTGTGAATGACACTACGTAGCTGTGGCTACGCTGACGCTACGTACTGCTACACACACGCTACGTGTGAATGACACTACGTAGCTGTGGCTACGCTGACGCTACGTACTGCTACACACACGCTACGTGTGAATGACACTACGTAGCTGTGGCTACGCTGACGCTACGTACTGCTACACACACGCTACGTGTGAATGACACTACGTAGCTGTGGCTACGCTGACGCTACGTAATGCTACACACACGCTACGTGTGAATGACACTACGTAGCTGTGGCTACGCTGACGCTACGTATGCACTACGTATGGTAGAAAGAAGAGATGTCTTATTTACCGATTATCTATCTATTCTATCTATTCTCATTCTATAGAATTTTATATGTAGAAATAATGAAACAATAAACGTGTCCAATGTGTGTCATGCAGCGACATGTCGTTGGCTGCGCGGGTCGGGCCCGGCGTCGTGCGAGGCGGTGCGCGCCCTGGGCAACGTGTCGCGCGCCACGCGCACCGCGCAGCTCATCGTGCTTGAGGGGGCACTCGACAGACTCGAACCCTTCCTCAATCACGGTAAGTGCTTATACAGATTAGAGGAAAGAGGTGCATACTTATTGAAAAATATCATACAGTTTATTTCATTAGTTAGTAAATTAACTGAAACACGATTTACCCAAAATTCTAATTTTTGTATATTGATTCGCTTTTTATCCCTGACAGGGTAGACAGAGATGTGCATAGCTATATATCTATATACAGTTATATTACGAGCCCCATGTAATAAGTGATGAACGATGAATGTATTACCATATATTTTAGTAAGTTTTGTAATTTGTATTGCATTGTTCTCACATGTGCGTTCAGTATTGGAATAGGTATCAGAGACATTGTAGAACATACTTTTTTAAAAAGAGTAACGAAAGCTCGTTTCTCCATTCGAATCTACATTTTGGGATGAGCCTAGCTTCACCTAGCTTCACTGACGGACTGACTGACAGACTATTATTTATTTTGTATTTGTTGACGTTTCAAAAGTACCAAATTATGGTTTAATTGAAATAAATGCTTTGATTTTATACCTAGCGCAACCCTTTCTTGAGAGAGTTCTTGATTGTTGATGTTGAGTCAAGCAGGGAGTAGATGTAGATGACGTCTGTGTGTAGAGGAGGGCGGCGTGCGGTGCGCGGCGGCGGGCGTGCTGGTCAACGTGTGCGGCGCGGGCGCGGACTGCGCGGCGGCCGCGGCGCTCGTGGCGCGCGCGCTGGCGGCCGCGGCCGCGCGCGTAGACGCGGCGCCGGCGCCGCTCCTGGCGCGCGCGCTCTGGAACGCGCACGCGCACGAACCGTACCCGCTCTCGCCTATACACGCGCATGCTGTCTCTGAAGCACTCGCTGTTTTTATAGGTGAGTGTCAATTATTGGCGTATCTTTTCGTGAGCTCTGTGCGTGATTGTTCACCTCTCTCATACATATAGAATGGTCTGAGAGAACTCTGGTGTGAGGTTTATGAACAATCATATATTGAATTTATGCAGTATACTGTATTTTGGTATAAAACAAAGCACGTATTGTAACATATATGTATAGAACATTTACTTCACCGTTCAATAACTTTGTTGTACAAAAACTTTAAACTACATTTTTTGAGTGTGTGTAACTAAACAATTTACTTATTATTTTAAAACTACATAAAAATAATTATTACAATACATCCGTTTAAAACAGGCAAAAGACTTGACTACATTATAATTGCTTTGTTGTTCTAAATTTTTGTTGTTGACGTTCAAAAGTGCCTTCCTGGTATAATTGAAATAAATGATTTTGACTTGACTTTGACTTTAGTGGTACAGTAACTGTCTGATTACTATGCAACGAGTCGCGGGTTCGATTACCGCATAGGCCAGCTACAATCTACAATGTGGAATTGTAGCTATCACACCTATTACCATTTACCAAATGGTCATTTTCAATTTAAAGTCCATGAAACATTTGTAATATAATATAATAAATTAATAAGCACACTCACAATATAATATAATAAATTAACAAACAACAACACTGTCAAAATAGAAGTAGCCTTTGTGTATATTAATAGCAATAAGTTTCACAATCGCTACTAATTGCCATAGAACACTGATAAATTAGAAAGTCTCTTAAAGCTTTTACCAATTTACCAGCAATTCGAGTTTTGCATTTTTTAAATAATATTTTTATGAAAAATTAAACAAAAAATGTGTAATACATACTTCGAATATACTTTACTACATAAATTCACATACCATTCGATAGAATAGTAGGTCCTATACTTAGTTCATAATATTTATAATCAACATTATACATATAATTATGTACTATAGCTATTTGTATGTATTTAGTAATAAGAACTTAACATAGACTACACTATCAGTTTCAGAAATAGTATCTACTTCTATCATTGATAACTTATCATTCATGTAATGATAGCGGTGTATACAGTACCGCTATTTCAAACAGTCTAGCATGTGACTCCGTGGCGCAACGGTAGCGCGTCTGACTCCAGATCAGAAGGTTGCGTGTTCAAATCACGTCGGGGTCAAACTTCTCTTTTTGTAATTTTCAATATTTCTATTTTATTTTTATCTTTCTTATAGATGATGAATCTGTATTTGCTGCTTGCGAAGCGGATAAGCTGGGAGAACAAGAAATTGATCGAAATGTTACAAAACACCACGTGAGTTGCTATTATTAACTACAAAATAAGTTTATTTTTAATTTAATGACAACGATAATTAACTTTTATCAAAAATTTTGACAAATTTTAAGGTTCTGTAAAAAACAATCATCTTTTTTTTGTAATCTGTCTACTTAATTATGTCGATTAAAAAACGTTTCAATATACTACGATTTTCTCTATCAGGTAACGTTCGACTTGGAGAACAACAACTATGCCTCAGAATGTGACCCATCTTGTTACGATTCAACTTCAAAACAGATTAGTCGCAAGAACAGTCTAGAAACAGGTGACGTCACCGGTGAGGACTTGGGCTTTGAAGAGGGAGATGTGGAGGAGTGCTGGTGTGAGCCCTGCCGTCGACTAGCCGCGTGGGACGAACTTGTGGGAGTCGCCATACCATTGTTAGATAGATTGCGACCTCCACGGTCAGACGCCTCCGTCGGCACGGAATAAAAAAAAACAACTAGTACCTGACTTGAGATATTTTGAATTTGGAATAAAATAAGGTCTTTAGACTTTGGATTATATGTATATGGCCAGTGACTTTCGCAGTTAATATTTTGAGAAGGTTGTGGGAAAAGAGTATGTAATAAAAAAAATAAAGAAAGGGCTACAGTTATAAATGTTTGGTTTTTCGTAAAATTAATACTTTTATAGCATTTGAAGCTAGTCATATATTAGTAAATATTAATTTATCTGTGAGAGACGTTGATGTGTACTTATTTAATTCTTTAATATTGTAATATGTAGCTTAACTTACCTATTTTATACAGAATTATAGACACATAATTAAGTACATACTTACTTACTCGTTATGAATTGAGCTGATGTGGTTGTATTAATTCATAATTGTATTTATACATTGTAATTAATCTTGTCACTGCCATACTAACAATGTTACAAAAAGATAATAATACATATGTTAAGTCATCTGACTAGGTAGCGTTATATGTGCGAAGGCAAAAATTAGTATAAAGTTTACAATTTTTTATTTCAATTCCGAAATCACAAAAGTCAAAATAAGCAATACTTTTTCCTGCGCAAAGCATGCGTTCAAAAATAGAATATGGGCGTTGCCTGGAATGATCTAGAGTGCTGAAAATCGGCAATTTTGTAGATTTTTATGTACACTTTGCGACTTCAGAAATGGCAGCCTGTAACAGTTGTTTTTACAATATTTATTTCCATGTTAACAATAACAATTAAACGAATGTTTGGCAGCAACAATTTTTTATACAGGGCCCAGCTAAAGCACGCTACGCCACTGAAACTTTTTTTTTTATGAAGGGGGATACCTTTTTAAACGCGCCTAGCTTTTTGGGGAGAAAGACCAGGGAGTGTGGTATTTGTACCCCACCGAAACCATCCCGATGGCCGCTCTCAACACCGGTGCCCCACCGGGTCCTCTAAAAGATCTCTGGAGTCCCCACGGTGCAACGCCTGTTTCGATACATCATTAGAGAGACGGGCGTCTCCCTGGAACCTCGCTGTGCACTGTGGCACGTGACCACTGTGTGCCACCGTCTTCCCTGAGACCACTGGATGGGCACCTAGACTCCCCACCCTATGCACCCGTGGCTCCAAGGGTCCATCTAAATTTTATGCAGGCTGGATTCGACGTTTTAGGCGTCAAGATGGTTGCCTCTTCGACGCCCTCTGCGAGTAGGATCGGTACTCTCGCTATCCCGCTCATGCAGCAGCATATTTTTAAGACATCACAGTCTCACAGAATGAGGCCACTTCCCTCCAACGCTACTGAAACCTAGTAATATTTTACTAGAAAATCAAACACGAGATCCATTGTTCCAGCCATGTTTGTGGTCATTTGACTAATAAGGTAGCCAAATAGAATCTTGTTTATCTTTGTGTATGTTTGTTACTTAATCACGTGGAAACGGCTGACCAGATTGGGATAAAATTTGTATTAGGGGTGGAGTGTGGTTTGGAAAACACATAAGCTACTATATCCCACGGGAATGTAGAACGTACTGGCAGAAGCTAGTAATCCAATATCAATTTGTTATATCTTGTATAATAGTATGTATTTATTAAATAAATAATGTTGTAATATTATAATCTTATATTAAAATGTCACTTTTTTACGCTTTAATTGTGAATCCTAGTCAAATGTTTAGGTAAATTACGTAGATTATATTATTTTAGAGTAATCATGGTTTACTTTATTGTTGAGTTCGTATTGTAATGAGTTCTCCCGTAGCTAGAGGCGCTGGTGTCGCATTAAGTCACCTGCCCCATATTTTATAATCAATTTAGTGTCATTATATTAAATAACTCATCAGTATTAATGAATAACAGTAAAAACTGTTATGGGATTCTAAATTACGGTATTACGTATTTTCATCTAAGCATTATATCGTCATTATTCCCTAATGTACTTACCCAATATGTAATTAATTTAATAATGTGTTGTAAATATGCAGCTCGAATGGTTTTGTTCATTATATTATACATACAATCGACTTGCGAATATTTTGTTGATTACTTTGTAATTATGTGGACATACTAGAAAATAAAGGTATTGATTTTATTCTCAATGTTTATCTTATTATATACTTCCTGTGTGATATATTGTTCAGCAATGGACAGCTTCAGTATGACAATTTACAGCGATTGATGATAGCTCAGCAGCTGTAGCCAAATGCCATTTAGCGTTTATCTACATGTAGAATAGAAAACCAAATTATATGGAATCGACGTAATTTTTTTTTAACCCATGAATTTTGATTAAAGTGGCGTTTAGCTAAAGGCCCAGAATTGACCATATGACTTGTGATTGTACTCAGTTATGATGTATATTTGCTGACAGATGATGTAATGAGACTTGAGAGTAAAAAGTCACTCTCACTGTCTGTCACGAGCCTATCCTAGACCCTTTGGTCTGTCGCGGAGAACATAACGGGTAACCGGGGCTCCGGCTCGACGTGCAGGAGAAGGAACGGGGTGGTCTTTAGTCAGTAAGAGTCTGACACTCCCTCCCGCCTCACCCAGGCGGGAGCAGTCATTCGATGATTTTCCCCCCTTATAAAAAAAACCCTTTGGTCTAGTCGTGACATCGTCGAACGTCGATCTTCCTGTTTGAAATCGAATCTTGAGAGGTGACTCATACAACATGTAGAGGTCTGTAGAACCTTATTTTAAATCAATCGACCTCCTGGTAATGCCTCATACATATACGTATACTGTATAACTACATATATTGTGGATGAGTACATTGTTGTAAGGAAATATAATAAATCTCAAATAGCTAACAACATAACATCACGCCTTTTCATCCCCGAAAGGGTAGCCAGAGGTGCACATTACGGCACACCGGTGTCCTCGCGGTGTTTGACAGTTTAATGCCACTGTACAACACCCACTTTTCACTATTTATGTTATGAGTCCCATGTAATGGAGGGTGAGCCTATTGCCATATACCGGGCACATTTCCAGACTCCGTACTACTACTGAGATTTTATGGTGATGCCTCATACATATACTTATGTCGCGGAGAACCTAACGGGTTACCGGGGCTCCGGCTCGACGTGCAGGAGAAGGAACGGGGTGGTTTTTAGTCAGTAAGAGTCTGACACTCCCTCCCGCCTCACCCAGGCGGGAGAAGACATTAGATGATTTTCTCGCCTTAAAAAAAATCATATACTTATACAGTATAACTACATATATTGTGGATGAGCACATAGTTGTAAGGAAATATAATAATTCTCAAATAGCTAACAACTTTGTCGTATTATAGTCTTGTTAGCTATTATCTCAATTTCACAACAAAGACAAATAGCAACAATGATTGGTGCGATGTGTAAGAATAGATTACAAAGGAAACGAGATGTGAGGAAGTGTCCACGTACTCCACGTGTGGTGTGTGGTTACGGAGGGCCATCGTTTGGTAACTCGAGTGGCGCAAGCGCACCGTGACAATGTCGATGTGCGATTGGACCTTCGACGGGGCGACGTTCCACGCCTTCATGTACAGGCTGTTTTTGTTTGGTTTCAGATAATATATTCGCTTTTTCTGAGATGATTACAAATAAAATAATTTCATGTTATATTAGAGGTATATAGTACCTATATTATATTTCAACAACGTAAAGTATTAAATATACTCATTACAGCGTTGAAAAATAAAACGTTTACGTTTTAACCTGAAAAAAATACATTTGATGATACCCTGAACTGCTATGTATTATCATATTAATAAATTACAAAAGACAAATGAATCCGTCACTTTCTATACATTTTTAAAATATATTGTGTTATCCCTTAACGTAGTAACGTCAGCAAGAAATGGGACATACCTATAGAGATCGTTAAATTTGTCTTCGTTTCAGTTTTTCGTAAGAATATTAGGTCACACGTATTCAGATAGGTACTGATATTGATTAATTGGTAAAGATGTAATCGCAAAACAACCAAAGCACAGGCAGTTACAAAAATACAAACAATATTAGTTTAATCGAATCGAATAATTATTTAATCGAAGCGATAGCCTCAATACTATCAGCCTGTATCTACCGACAGGAACCAAGTTTTGTTATAAAGTTATTCCTTACGTCGTGCAACAGACCAATAAGCGAATGATTACTGTTTCGACCACATCTAGTCAAAAAGGTATCGTGATTCTTATTTCATTGAATTTTACTAAAGAAGTATCACAGCCATTCATAAAACATATTGTTATATAGTGACAAACGTATTTATTTATGCATGCATGATATTATTATATAATTTATTTCATCTATATCACGGATTTTTGCAAGTTTCAGTGTTTTGTTTTCGGAATGCAAGTGCAATACTGCTAAATTATTACAAGGTAAGTACTTAGTGTAAAATAGAACTCACCTTTCTGGCAACTGTTAAGTACTCACAAAATGTTAGACCTTACGTTGCGTCATAAAATTCCACCATCTTCATTATCATTAGTGAAAATAACGTCATTAAATTCACAAATCTATGTACTAATAACGATATAATTGCGACTGGCACTACAGCATTCTTGTCCATTGATTTCAGGTATATATTTAATGGGCTATGAATCTGTGATGTTATTTGTATAGTTACATCGTCGTTGTTATTTCAGTGTAGACTGTGAAGTTCAATAAAAATGGTGCGCTGTAGCTTTGCAGTTATTTTGAGTATATCCTTATTTTCTAACGCATTCTGCGTGCCAGCTGTTGGCTTACGAAGAAGGAGGATCCCCGAAGATAGCAACAATTCCAAAGAATCGTTCATTATACCCGTAACCGAAATTGTAAGTTCATTTGTTTTATTTTAAACATTTTTCGCTTGTCTTGTGTATTTTGTTTTAACTACATAGAATTCCAATTAAGAGATTTTTATCATGTTGGTTTTAGAATCCACGAGTATAGTTTATTTCAGATTGTAGTCTTTTAGTTGTTAAATTCAGATTGTACCTTAGGACCTCATGTAACTACCTAACCTACCTACTACCTAGTTAACTCCAAACTAAGAATGCCATCGGCATCTAAAGTTGAAACATTCAACAAAATCTAAACTCAAATTTCCTTTGCAGAGTGAGGACATAGCTCCAATTATATCTTCTACATCTAGCTCAACGACAGTTTCATTAAGCCCCAACAACGATGACGACGATGACGACGATGACGATGACTTTGGAACATCAAGCCATGGAACTTCAACTGGTGGCGGTGGCAGCAACTTATTTAGTTTGCTGAACCTCGCCACGTCTCTCATGCCAGCGTCCGGGTCAGGATCCTCGGGTGGCAATACTAACACCGTAAGTGTTCCTTTCATAAATTCATATTCACAATATCGATATGCTAAATCTTATGCAATTTTTTCCTTCTTCGTTTTCTTGACGGGCTGCACAGATTTTTTTGTTATTCTTTATCATTATGCTACCTCTATTAATCCGCACGCGCGTTACTGATGGGTGGGTCGTTGTATTAAAGTATTTATTATAAATATATTATAAGTTCAGAAAATTATGTGGATGACTTTTTCTTCTACTTTCTAAAATATTCCCTCGATTAATTTTATCGGGACTTTTTAACCTCGGATTCTTATACAATTGAGGAGACTCGGCCGTCACACCAAAAAAATGCACGTCTACACAAACCTATTACGCATCCTTGCACTTTTTGTAATTCACTGCCTGACTTCTTAAGTTGACGCACACAGTCAAGGCTTTTACTTTCGATTTCTGCCGCGCACCTGGTTAGTGGTTTATTGAAACACGTTGTGATGCACTGGTATTGGATTTTTGCACCTATATACACTTTACATTCAAGGTAAGTTCAATATTATTTATATATTTGCGCATTAACTTAAACTGTCAAATACCAAGCGGTCACCGGTGACCGCGACCTATTGTTCTTTAATTGTGTCTATAAAACTGGTCCTCGACGAGTTAAATAAATATTTACTGCACAAAGTAAAAATAAAAATAGTATACAAGAGTTTAACTTCCAGGTAAAAAATAACAACATAATTGTAAAAAAATTAATACAAGACTTGGTACGTATAAATCGTAACCAAATTAAGGCTGCACAGAGACGTAAAGACATCGCAGATAATGTTATAGATATAGACTACACAGATATAAAAACTCCACCGTTTCAAAAGCTTGAAGAACTTGATGACTCTGGTGATGATGAAAATGACAGTGACTCTGAAGGTTCTGACGAAGACAATGGAGGAGAGGAGAGTGTGGAAAAAGCGAGTAATGAGAATGGAGGTTCTAAACAAGATTCTGCTTCTGATGGTAACAGCGCAGGCGATAATAATGATGATGAAGATGATGATGATAATGACTCCGATTATGATGAGCCACCTGAAGGAGATGGTCAGGGAGGTGGAATACTAGGACTCCTTGCTGGACTAAGTGGCGTAAGTCTAAAAGAAATAGAAATAAGTAAAATCAATGTCAGAATTATGACTTAATTAAAAATTTTCAACAGGACGGTGATTCGGATTTGGGAACTTTATTAGCGACTGTGGGTGGAATTGTCGCCAATTTGAGTGTAAGTTTTATAAAGAAGATTAATTTATATGGACGAAGTCATATCCAATTAGATACTAACTTATAAGAATTTTCAGGGCGATGGTGTTGATGTAAATGCTTTAATAGCAACTGCGTTGGGTCTTTTCGTTGGCTTACTGGTAAGTATAGATTTAAGGAATCAAAAACGGTTATTTTTGTGAATATAGGAGTCTTAATTAACGTCAATTTTTAGTCTGAAGGCAATCAGAATCCTGGAGAAATAATCGGAAGTTATCTTCTGACGTCACTGGACACTATCACAGGAGGTGGGGCGGTAAGTCTTCGTATAATAAAATTGAAATTGAGAATCGAAAAAGGCTGTACTTCATTTCTATTTTGTCTTTCAGCAAAACAATGGCGCATTCTTCGGCAAATTCTTGTCCACATTAATAAAGGGGACGAGTGCGGTAAGAATCATCCTAAACCCATCAAATATGTGGACACATGTAATGGGAAGTGTTACTAAATTAGTAATAACATTGTAGGCTGGTGATCCTGATGCTTCAGGATCTTCTGAAAACAATGGCCCCAAGATGGCGGACTCAGCTGGTTTCTTTGCAAGCCTACTGATGGGGCTACTCGGAGAAATGTCGAAAACCAGCTCTGGAAGTAGTTGGCGATAGAAACGAAATCCTTAATCTTTAGTCAAGATGTTTGATTAATAACGAAATGTTAATACCCAGTGACAAGTGACAATAGAGGTTTTTCTGTGTAGGATAGTCGAATGTACCTGTGTGTAACTGTATGTAGAAAAGAAGAAATTGTTAACAACTATTAACAGTTTACTTATTTTGTAGGTAACTAAAAACTAAAATATAATTAGGTAATAAAACAATTTTACTTGAAAATTATAATTTATTTCGATTCCATTTCAGGTGATCAATGTAAGTATAAATGTGCAAAGTGCTCTTATAAACATAATATAAATGACATATTGTAAATAAAAAATACTGTATAATATTATTTTACATTGTATTAAAAATACTGTGACTACGCACATAAAGGCTTTACAAAAAAATGATAAATATTGTTGTCTTTTACACTCTTTTTTTTTGTTTATCAACTTTTTTACACCAATGTCTTGCTTTCCAGTTTTAATCTGCCAAAACTATACAGATCGCAGATCATCAACACCGCCAAGGGTGCAACCAGACTTTTTACTTATGTCAATTGTTTTTTTTTTTTTGTTCATAGGTGCAAACGGAATCTACTACGCAGCCACCAGCGTCCCCACTGTGGACACTCAAAATGAATATACTCCGGTCCATTCTGCAATTCGCCACCAGTATGATGGGTATCGCTTCATCGGCCTTTGCAAATTCGTCGTACTAGTCTTAAGTCTTAATATTCTAGTGCGGTGCCATATTTCTAGTAAAAATACTTATTTATTCACAACCTCCTCTCAGTAACTGGTGTTATTGTGAGCTCGTTTATCTGTAAATAAAAAAAAATAGTTTTTAATTTACTTTTGGTTGTTTCTGTCTTGTCCCCTAAAAAAGTAGTGAAAGTAAAAGATTGTCCTACATGACACACTTGCAAAATTGGGTAGGTAGGTACTTGCCAACTATTCAAATTCAATACTTTTTCGAACTGTCAATAACGACAGTTATCTATGTATTTTATAGGTACGAGATTGTGTATTGTATTTTGCCGTCAATTTTTTTGCGTCAACCACATATTTATTTCTTAAACATTTGCTGGAAAAATACTAAAATTAAATTGGTTATGAAATCAATCAATTACAGTGTGATTATTTTATCATATTTTTTGTATTGAACAGTCGACATAATTTATTTTTGATTCAGGAAAGTACCCAATTAAACATTCCTTGTCTATGCTTTACGTATTTACTGAGAATTGAGAATTTCAATATTGTTTGAAACAAAAAGCATAGGTACCAATGTATAGAAATAGATCCTAAACCGCCTTCACATTCGTGCTTAGAACCACTACGTAAGACCATCGAACATAATCCTTACTTCCTTACTTATATTATAAATCGGAAAGTGAGTTTGTTTGTTTGTTCCACTTTAACGCCATAACTACTAAACCGATTGCTTTGAAATTTTGCAGACGTAAAGTTAAAAGTCCGGATTAAATAATAGGGTACTTTTTATCCCTGAAAATTTTGATATTCCCGAGGGAAAACAAAAATATTGGTATAGTTCGCGCTGTGTGTATTGGTATATGTCACATTGGCTCTTTATCCTTTTGTGACGCAAGCGAAGCCGCGGGTAAAAGCTAGTACATAATAAAGAAATTTAAGTCATACTAACATTGACGGTGGGTGGTGTAGAGAGTACGTAGAGACACGCGTCGGCAATGTCTTTGGGGCGCAGCGCGGGCATGTCCGTCGTGGTGGCAGCCACCACGTTCAGGCTCGTGTTTACTAAGCCGGGGGATACACTCTAAAGAAGCGAAAAAAAAAGAAATTGTATGTGTATTTACTAAATACACAAAAAAAACTATATAAGAAGACGAAAGCTCATACAATAATAGGGATGATGACAGGGTATGAAAATTAAATGTCTAATTAGTCCGTCAGTTATGTAATGAAAAAATATTAGACACGTATTTTTTTATTTGTGTATAATAAAATGATACTTAGATATTACGAATCAAAGTTTAGGAGTGGGGGCTAAAACGTCATTTCTACATATAACATGTACATAGAAGTGACGCTGACGTCACGCGACATTTCAAATCAATACATCGTCGAACAAAAGTGTCGTGGTGGCCCGGAGGTTTAAGACGCCCGCTTCTCATGCATGAGGATGCGGGTTCGAAACCTACCAACGACAAGTACCAATGTGACTATTTCCAAGTTATATGTACTTTCTAAGATTATTTAGACACCACTGACAAACGGTGAAGGAAAAACATCGTGAGGAAACCTGGGCTTATAATTTCTAATTATAAGTTTGAAATCGCCAACCCGCATTGAGCAAGCGTGGTGGTTAATGCTCAAACCTTCTCCGTGTGAGAAGAGGCTTTGCTCAGCAGTGGGCATTTATAGGCTGTTGATGATGATGATGATGACATCGTCGAAAGTATTCATTTATGTAAAAAAATAAAAAATACGTGTGGAATGTTCTAAAATAATCTACCAGACGGACATTAAAATAGAAATTAGTCATCTACCCTATTGAGAGCTCCAAAGCTGCACCAAATACAAGGTCTAATTCTGCCAATACAAGTTTCGTCATTGTTAGCTAGGATTTTTTTTTCTTTTATTATAAGGTTCAGGTGCATCCCCTTGACTCCTGATGGCTGGTGCCGGATGCCTATGTACGATGTATATCTTAGTTGTTCGACTTACAGTAACTTTGATTTTATTCTTATGGTCCGCCAGCTCGTTCAGCAGCCCGGCAGTGAAGCCGGTGACTCCATACTTGGAGCTGGTGTACACATTGAACTTAGACGACATCGGCACGTAATGGCCTGCAATACTGGAAACACGCAAAATGCGCCATCTTAGATTTGAGCAAATTATTGACATACGAGGTCATTGACTCGCCTGCGCTGACCGCAAAATTGAATTGTGCTTTGTCAATAAAATTGCGAAATAAATTGCAAATTGCGGATATAGATATAATTATATAATTGCCTATATTTCTTATTATTGTTGTATTTAAGTTCCGTGTTAAATACAGTTCTGAAAGTATGTGGCATTGAAAATATAATATATAGCCTTTATCTAGTATAGTTAAATTGTTAGATATGACGTATTATCGCCTATTTCAGACAGGAAATAATTTCGCAATTAAAATAGGTAAGATATTGTTACATTTTCAAAAACCGTTTGAATTTAGACTGTACGATTTACATAAGTGTTTTCCAGCGGTTTCTGCAAAGTCAAAGTCAAAGCATTTATTTCAATTAAACCATAGTTTGGTACTTTTGAAACGTCAACAACTGCCTCCTTTATTTAGCTACCTACCTAATTGCATTGCTTCATTTCTTGTATTGTAGGTTAAGGTATGCCACAAAACGAAGAACCAATCAAACTTACAAACCAGTCAAATACAAAACATGTATATTAATATCTATAGTTATAACGGCAGAATACGATAAAAGGCGTAACAACCGTTATTATGGCAACAAAATAAATGAAATGCAAAAATTCAAATAATTTAGGACATCATTTAAAACCAGTTAATAAATATACCTGTTAATGTTGATCACATGTCCGTCGAAGTTGTTGCTCCTCATTGACGCGATGGCGTGCCTGGCACATAATATTGTACCTTTCAAGTTTGTGTCGAGGATCGCTATGATGTCGTTCTCACTTATCATGTCGTCGCCCGCATCTGTTAATGATATATAACATATTTGTGACACCGGTATACCTATCAGAAGTAAATAGCACGGTAATTTTGATTTACTTACAAAATTACTAAAAGGAAAAAATGTAAAAAATAATGTAGAAGCAATATAGGACCAAGTCAAATAGAGATCGTAAATGAAAGAAAGACACGAAACAATTCGATAGAAGTACCTGTAATCCCGCCAGTAACGAAGATACCAGCGTTGTTGACCAGTATGTGGACGCAGCCGAAGGTCTCATTAATCCACTTGAACGTGGCAGCCACATCTTCAGCACTCGATACGTCGCAGTGATGAGCTGTTATACTGCCTGAACCAGTCACTTGGCTCTTTAACACCTAGTTCCATAAAATCAATGTAAATAAAAAAAAAAGAATGAAAAATAAAAGCTAAACATAGTACTATCTTGTCTGAATAAACCTTCAATCAAGATGAAAAACCAACTCTAAATCTTACCTCAATTGGTTCAGTTCTCCTTGCAAGGCCGATGACATTGATCCCAGCGTTGGCAAAGCCGACAGCAATGCCTGATCCAATGCCTGAACTCGCACCAGTCACCACAGCTGTCTTGCCGACCCAGCGATCCATGCTGCATCAACATATAAAGGTTTTTTTTATACAACGCTGCCCCACTCTAGGATTGTTTCCTGTCTCTGTGCGTTTACAAACATACAATTTCAAATACACATGACACCCAGACACCCCAAAAAATTGACACCTTCGAAATGTGGTGCTGGAGACGTATGCTCCGTATTCCCTGGACCGCTCGTCGCACCAACGTCTCTATTCTCAAGGAGATCGGAATTACTACGAGGCTGTCCACTGTATGCCTGCAGCGAATATTAACTTATTTTGGCCACATCGCGCGTAGAGACCCCAACAATCTGGAGAAGCTTGTGGTTGTTGGTCGGGTTAACGGGAAAAGACCTCGTGGTCGCTCACCTACCCGGTGGTTGGATGCTGTAAAAAACCTAACCGGCCTGACAGTTCCACAAGCCATAAAGACCGCAGAGGACAGGGGCGTTTGGAGGAGGGTTGTGCATCAAGTGACGCGTGCACCAGACTAGACACGACCTTCAGTAATGAAGAAGACGACTAGGAAAAGATGACGCCCAGACCAGAAACAACAATTTTTGGATTGACACACAAAGAGTTGCTCCGTGCGGGAATCGAACCCATTGCACGCGGCGGCAGTTGTCCAGATACTGCGCCGACTGTGCAGTATCACTAGACGCTCAACTTACACACAAGTGAGTATAATTATTGACTAGTAGGTACGTACCTAGGTACCGAAAGAACAATCGTAACATTGTCTAGGTATCCATCTAATCGTCTATGTAACAAGTAGGTTATTTTAAAAATCTACAAGACCTAGATTCAATGCAATGTTATTCTGTTCTTGTCAACTCGTCCAACCTATCTCGTTTACATATCTTAAATGTACTTGTAAATGATTCTGTGTTAACTATTATTGCGTAAATAATCACCCGCTCTGATCTGACGAAGAGCCGCAATTAGCAGAACAGCCATGTTCACTGAGTTGTTGCATTTAGATATAATCTGAGAATGCGTCCGCTTAACTTGTTTCCTAAAGATTAGTTTCCCCTATACTTATTATACTCTTTGAGATTGGTAATATTATTTTACAATATTCCAATGGCAATGGCATTTTCAGTAACTGACATGTCGGTGTCAATTTCCTTCCCATAAACTTATTATACTCTTTGCAATTTCCCCTGTATGTACTTATTATATTCTTTGTTGTCAATTTGGATACAAACAATAACTTATTGTTCCGAGATATGGGTAGTAATTTGACAATGTCGGTCAACTTTGGAAATACTTTTAAAAACAGACGAGCACAGGTAACGATAGCACGAGTTCTAGGTTGATCTTAGCATCAAAGCCTAGGTATGTATAGGTAGGTGGTATGCTTATTATTACTACGGCTTCTTAAGGCATATTATTTTTTTATGGAATAAGCCGGTAAACGAGCAGTGGAACCACCTGATGGTAAGCAATCGGTGCCGCTCATGGACACCCGAATTACTGGTGCGTTACCGGCCTTTTAGGGATTAGAAATTTGAAGATTGTTGGGAATTCGGGGACTGGGGTAATTGGACCTCCGGTAAATCTCACTCAAAATATTAAAATCTCCGGTAGAATGGTAGAGAATTCCATTCGGTATTAAATCCTTCTGTTTGAACTATACCTAACTAAGTGTTTTAATTTAAAAATAAAAGAAAATCCCAGACTATTATTTGGTACCTATCACAGCACCTATTTTCATTAAGATCTTTGCAATAGCTTTTACTTGAAAGAGTACCTACCTAACATTCATACATCTTTCGCACTTGCAGGAAGATATAAATCTAAATAGCAATACAGACACACTAAACCTAGCTATCATGTCTATAAATAAATTAAGACTTAGTACTTACATGTGTCCGTTAGTCTATTAGTTTTACACTAACTTTATTTTGCCAGGAGACCGTTCACTGCCGCTTAGCTGCGCAGAATGATTCGCGATCAATTCGAAAGTCTCAGATACCGTAATATAGAAAAGGTTCCAATATTTTATTAACTAAAAAAATACGATCGGCATAGGCAATTTATAATTTAGGTGATAAACTGTACGCGCACATACTTAACTTCATGAATAATACAATGGATCTATCTATCACCTATTTTTAAACAATTTTATTTTGAGTTAAACCATGCAATTAGGGGTAAGACTATTGCCATATACCGGGTGCGATTTTACAGTCCGTGCTAGGCTAGCCGTCTAGTCCAGACTAATGCTTTACCTGACCCGAGACCGGCAGTCAAAATTGCAATCACTCCATCAACGAAGCAATCAAAGGAAACATAATAAGGTGTCATGTTGTTGTTTATCATCTGAACCTTAGAGAAGTTAAGCAACTAGATTCTCTATTACTATTATATTAAAAACTAAATGTTTTTTTGGACTACGAAAGCAGGTCGTCGACCTTGAAACGGTAACTCAACACAACATTGAACTTCATTTACCTTTTTTTTAAGGGGGGAAAATCATCGAATGGTTGCTCCCGCCTGGGTGAGGCGGGAGGGAGTGTCAGACTCTTACTGACTAAAAACCACCCCGTTTCTTCTCCTGCACGTCGAGCCGGAGCCCCGGTGACCCGTTAGGTTCTCCGCGACAACTTCATTTACCTTAAACCTTCATATTTATCAATGTATCGAAAAAAATGATAATATAATAATATATTCAGTGGTTTCAGTACTTATATAGGTACATACATTAGATTATACAATCAAAACAAAACTGCCTTCGAGTTAGATAAGCAGATAATATTTTAGTAATGTCTCGTAATACATAGGATGGGTATATTAGTTTATATCTTACTTTATTATAGGAATACGATTGATCACTCTTTGTTGCCATACTCTAGGATTTTCTTCTTTTACAGTAAATGTCTTTCCACAACTGCCTCTTTGGCCGAGTGATCGCAAGTCCGACTGCTGGGCAAGGGGTCTCAGGTTCGATTCCTAGGTCTGGCAAATTATAATATACTAAAAAATATACTATTTTAGTCCGTTTAATCCAGATTTTACATGCTTAAGATTTAATTGTACATTTATTTGTTTTATACGTATAGTATTCTATTGTTACATTTTTTTATACTTATAACTCTCAGCAATATTGACTACTAGTCTTAACTAATCGTAAATAAAAGCACGAAGCAATTTTTTTTTCTTTTTACAGTCAATCCAACGCGTTTACGTGAAAAACCAACATATTGAAAAATCTCACGTGAGATTGGGGGATGGGGGAGAATACAATCTCACGAAATCTCACCAGGGGGGAGGGAGGGAAAGGAAATTTAAAAAAAACACCCCTCGTAATTTATGGACGCCCCCTAACTTAAATAGTGAAAAGTGGGTGTTATATTGTACAGTGGTATTACGTGCCGTAATGTGCACCTCTGCCTACCCCTTCGGGGATAAAAGGCGTAATGTTATGTCAAGTCTTTTCACAAACTAACATAATTTCACCAACACATCAGACGCAGGCCGTGAAAAATGTCGCAGGCCCACGGACTGAAACTAAAACATTTTGTTCGATAGATGCGAAATTTATCAACCCATAAGGCAATACCTATTTTAATCTTACTATGTACCTAATATTATAAATACTAGTTTGTGAGTTTGTGTTAGTGTGTATATTTGTTATTCAATAGAGCAGAGGTAGATTATGGTCTGGACTCTGGACTACCGACTAACACAGCCTACTTTTTTATCCCACGGCACCGCGTGTTACAAGCTAGTTATCTATAAATATTGTAGTGAGTAGTGTACAGTTAACTAGAGTTTATTGTTACGATCAGTGTGTCCACTATTTGTTTAACCGAAGTCAATGAAGGTGGCCAGCCTATTTAAGTATTTTTTTTTAAACGTTGCCCCACTTTTTGATTTTCTCCTGTGTCGTGGGTGCATTTACAAATATACAAGTTCACATACCCAATGACACCCAACGAAACAACAATTTGTGGATCACACAAAGTGTTGTTCCGTGCGGGAATCGAACCCGCGACACGTTGCACGGCAGCCGGTTGCCCAGCCACCGCACTAACCATGCAGTCAAAAAGTTTTATTTTCTTCTTCGTTGTATGAACACCTCCAGTTACGTAGAACTAGCTGACACAATGTAATTAGTGCTGTCAGACAGCATAATTCTAAGGGTTTTTTTTAAGGGGGGGAAATCATCGAATAGCTGCTCCCGCCTGGGTGAGGCGGGAGGGAGTGTCATCAGACTCTTACTGACAAAAACCACACCGTTCCTGCTCCTGCACTTTGAGCCGGGGCCCCGGTAACTCGTTAGGTTCTCCGCGACTCCGTGAGTAAATTAAATATTTCCTTAGGTAGGAATACTTCCAAGTTGGCTACAGCGCCTGACCTCGTGCCCTTTTACTTCGAGCTGTGCAGTGAGCGGTAAATTGCACGGTTGTTTTAGCAAGGTTCTGTTTTTATAATAAGTAAACAATGAAACTCCCTATAATACATAGTTATGTGCATTGTTGGTACTTTACAATTTGGATGGCTATTTTAACATTTGTGAATACAATCCCCACTGTCGATTTACAAGGTATAATTTATTTTGGTAGGAAACATCTTTCTGGTTGGATATTGAGCACCTCAATACGTATTTCCGTTTTTTGTCTACCAGATAACTTTAAGGGATCGTACACAAAACTGCGATGCGATGCGAATTCGCAACGCAGAAAATTACGGTGCGGATTGCTGCGATGCGATTTCGTGTGACAAGGCGTGAGAATGGTCACTACCCCTATACTTACTAAACTGTTTGGGACTAGATGGGTAGCTCACCAGGGTAGTTCACCCTAGTAGTTACTAAAACTAGGTCGTGACATGGATCGTAAAAAGAAGTGTGCACTTCTGTTATTGCTTAGGAGATACCGGAAAAAGAAACAAAGAATATTTTGGGAACATAAGATTTTGATGCGCGATGCGAATCAATTCGCAAGTTCTTGCGATGCGTAGAGGGAGCTCGCATATTTTTGCGAAGCGACGTCGCGTACGAGACGTCGAGACCTAATGTAGCGTGAGGTCTATTTGTAGAGATGAGTTAGTGTCAAACCATTGCACATTCTATTTTATACGGTTACAAAAAACACTTCCTCATTCCCATCATAAACACAAAATACACAAATAAAAAACATAGTATAGTTGCATATTTTATTACAGTAATTATTTGTATGTTAATAGAAAAATCTCCGACATGGTGACACTTAACAAGGCTAAATATATTGAAATGGTCGACTATCATACAACACGCGGCTCGTGTCGACAATAGTCGAGCCGACTCTGACACACTCATAGGAACATTTGCACCTTATCCTAACGCAATATATCTCTATCGAACGTGTATTCATCACCCGTGTATCAGCTGTACTTTACACAAGATTCGTCATATCTACTTTATACAAGAAATAAACCGATTAACTGAATGAGAAGTGGCCTAATAATAGTGAACAGGAGCCATCCCTCGACTCTCAAATTGTCTTTTTTTTCATAAAAACCTATGTCTTGACTATAAGACATTGTGAAAGAGTTTGTCAAATTAAGTTCAACAGCACATTTCGCGATTTATTTAGCACTCCCCAGAAGTCAAAACCCTCCTTTTGGCTTCGCCGTAGTTGGGTAAAATATGAATAAAAAAGAATACACAAATGTACACTTCGGTCTTATAGATACCTCGGTCAAAGTTCAACAACTTAATTTATAGAGAAGGTGAAAAGTGAGAGGGGCAAGTTATCTCAATAATAAAAAATCACCATTTTTAAGAGGACGTATGACACTGGAACAAGTATTAATTCGGGCCACTAAAAGTAATTTTATAATAGTGGTTCTTAACCTAATAACGACGATGTAAAATTGTCCTTGACCAATATAAGGTTGGGATTTACTTAAATGTTATAAATGCAAAAGCAACTTTGTTGGTCTTTCCCCCTTCAACCACTGAACCACTTTCAATGAATTCTGTTACAGGAATTCATAAAATGAACTTAACCCATCCCATATACATATCCCCTAGTGGTCACTGGTGCCGGCTCTCCACTAACTACATTATAGACCTTATTTCCAATGTTTAGAGACTACTTTTGTATGAACAAATTTAGGGGATGATTTTCAACAATTTTCAACGGGTTAAAAGAAAAATTAGATAAAAAACAAGCCGATACACGGGTCATAGACATCACACGCAAGATCTACGATAAGCTTACATCTACCATAGCTAGCGAGGAAACAACCCTCGACCACTGTTGTAAATAAAATTCTATAGACCGCAAACAAAATGGGTCAGGGGTTAAACTTTCGTGTCGTAAATAAATTCATTCTTAATTTACTAATTGCATTATAATTTTAAATATAATTAATCTCGTGCGACCGCTATGGCTGCCATATGCTTATCGAAAATATACTACCCACAACAAAACTCCAAATACATAATATACAGTAACCGGCGATAAATGTTGCACGTCGACTTTTGGAAAGATACCTTTTTTCCAATGGGGATGATGACAGGGTATGAAAATTAAAAATATAATTAGTTCGTAAGTTAGGTAACTAAAAAATATTAGACACGTATTTTTTTTTATTTTGTCATATAATAAAACAATACTTAGATAAAAGAAAACAAAGTTTAGGAGTGAGGGCTAAAACGTCATTTCTTAGTATAAAATGTCCTGAGAAGTGACGTCACGTGACATTTCAAATCAATATATCTTCGAAACTATTCGTTTCCGTAAGAAAATAAAAAATACGTGTCTAATGTTTTTAAATAATCTACCAGACGGACAGTAAAATAAAAACTAGTCGTCTACCCTATTGTCTTTCCAAAGGTCGATGTGCAATATCTATCGCCGGGCACTGTTCTCAATTTTCAGTCGTACAAACTTATCAAATCCAACAAAGTGTCACAATAAAGCGTGCAAATATAAACGTAAAGTATAAATGAAGTCAAAACTAATACTTAAACCGAAACTCGAAAAAATATAGGTATAATTTATAATACTGGAAAATACTTGATTACACTTTGAAGTCAAACGTAAAAAATATATAATGGCAATTTGGAACTCCGCATCACAGTCTTTTATAGAACGGATTATAAAAATAAAAGCAAAGTATACCGCGTATGACATATATAATATATGTATATTCTGAGGGCTCTTAGTACTACGTCTTTTACGTTTAAAGTAATCGAAACGAGACCGCGTTCGGCGATCTGATTGGCCGGCTACAATGAACCACCCAATCACAGCGCCGAAAGCGGTCTCAATTAATTAAAATTCGTACTAAGCCCTCTGCCTGCCCATGAACTATTTATATATCTATTGACATTTACAAACTACGGCTTGGAAGTGAAAAATAAAATATTGATAGTTAATACTTATCCTAATGTAACAAACAATGTTACAAAGTTGTTACAATAAATTGCACTTATTTATTATCACTTAACATTATTATTTATATCTGTTGATTTTAATTATTCTTAATAATTTTACATATTTTTGAGAATCATTTTTCGTGCAAATAATAACATTTTGCTATCACTACTTCGCTGTACTTATAAAATATTTCTCACCCTAAATAAAGTTGCAAAAACAGTTTTATACTCTGTAACTAAATATTCGATTTAAATTGTAAATAATCTATTTTTATACGAAAGACATGTATGACGTAATTAATGCAAAACATTTTTTTGTTCAAACCGATACCACGTGGTGAGATTCGATCAACTCGGTCCAAATATAAACCTTATTGTTAACACAATACATGCTCGTTCTCCCCACCTGGGTTCCTCCTTCACCGTTCCCCACCTAACCGCGATAAAGTAGCAATTATGAATTACGTCATACAACTAAAAACAATGGAATATACCAGTACCAATGTACAACAATATAAGTCTGTAATAACACAAGACAAAGTAAAATTTAAGTACAAATAATAATAATAATTAGTACGAAGCATATCTTCTTACCTAGTTGGCCCTAACTTAGAGAAATACAACAATGTCCTGACTCCCGCGTCAACATTTACACTATGGGTTTGTTCAGACAAGCTGACGAGATCGCAAAATGCATTTTTTGCTTACGCAATAAAGTAGTTATTTCATATGAAGGTATGTATGTACGTCACAAGTCTGAACAGACGCCTACATGTTGCACTTACTAAAGTATTTCACTGGAATAAACTCTGCACTTTTAACTTGGGCAAGTATTGCGGCTGGGAGGATTTCCTTATTTTTACCTGTAATAAAACAATTCATTAATCGTTTGAAGTTTAATATATCAAATCAAATGTTGATAAAATCATCCACATACTTCATGGTAATCTTCCTCTTTTATTTCCAACGGGTCTTTCATCATCTGAAAACAAATAACAAAATATTCAGACAACATTGAACGCATGCGCAAAGATAAAGTTATGCGCAAACAGCGCAAATCGATTGCTCATTTTGCGCAAGAAAATATAGTTTCGGATGAAAGAAAAGATGGATGGATTGTGTTAAGAATATAAAATTGAAAATGAAATGTAATGATATCTGGTAGAGGGACATGGAAGAATAGATATTGCGTTGCATTGAACAAAGGCACAAGATAGAAATGTAGCATAGTTTGTTATTAGGATGATATCTGCGACAAACAACAAGATGATGGACTGCAATATTGTCTAAATATTAGATGCGATCCTCATGCATCATATTCACTTCAAGGGATAGTATTTACTTACAGTAGAATATTGTTTTCTCAACTGACGATATGATGTTGAGGACGGTAATACGTACCTTAGGCGGGCGTCCCCTGCGCGGCGGGTGCGTGGAGTGCGACAGGACCCGCAGCTGGTGCTGGCGCAGCAGGTGCTCCGTGTGCTCGCGCGCCGACGGCAGGCGCGCGCCGCACGACGAGAACACGCACGAGTACTCCGTCTCTGGCGGAACGTAATCTCCATGAAATCTCTCACATCAGTGTGCCACGAGCGACCCGCTGCATGCAGCGCTGATGTATGGGAGGACATGAAACAGCACGCCCCGCGGCCGCCCGCGCCGTGCTCACGCCTAACGCAGCGCACGCCGACGGCACGCTCTGATTGGCCGGCTCCAATAAGCCAACCAATCAGAGCGCCGAATGCGTACTCGTTACGATTACTTTAAACGTAAAACAAACTTGTACTAAGGCCTCTGTGTTGCGAACATCCACGAACGGCACTGATTGCTTACCATCAGGTAATCCGTCTGCTTTATTGCTCCTCTATCCAATAAACAGTTAAATGATAGTTACTGTCATGGTCGTCAGTGTCCGCGCTAGTGTTATGATGCTGTGTCACGTGTCTCTGTAGCAGACTGTGGTTGGCGAAGCTCAGTCCGCAGACAGTACAGCTCGCACGCCGGGACTCACTGCGACCCGGACTCTTCAGCTCGGAGTGCACCTCGCGTCTGTAGAAAATATTTAAAAAATATACTTATAAGTATAAAATTATCGTACACTTATAAGAATCTATCGCTGTAATACTAACTTCATACAAACTTCACTCGTTGCGCTTAAGTATAGTTCTGTCATTACAAATTATTTGTAAAATGACAGGGATGGCACGATATTTAAGTAGAACTTCAAATTGAGTAGCCTTTCAGTATTCGGGTGTATAATAAGTCATTGAGGAAAGACCTATATTCACGACTACTTATTTTGGCGAAATAGTAGAGGAACTTATAACCGATAAACCAGCATAAATACACTGTAATAAACCTGCAGCTGTAGCCAAATGCCACTTAGCGCTTGTCTACATGTAGAATAGAAAACCAAATTATATGGAATTGACGTAAATTTTGACACTTGTCAGTGTCATCCCCATGCATTTTGATTTCGCCACTTTAGCGCTTGTCTACAGAGAGAGTAGTAGTCTACAGAGTACTCTCTCTGTAGACTAGAGAGAGTACTCTCTGTAGACGAGCGCTAAAGTGGCGTTTGGCTAAAGGCCCTGACTATTAAACTACGATCTTCAACCTGACTATCAAGTTTGGTCGACAATCCCTCTTATTTAAAGGCATAAATAAATTATCTGTGATTAAATCAGTACCAACCTGTGCATATACATATGGTTACGTTGTTGGAACTGCTCCCCACAGACGGTGCAGTCGTACGTGGCCTCCACTGGACGACCGTTCAGGTGACGCTTGCGATGCTGGTTCAGATTTGTTACCTACAATTTTACGACGTTTTATTTAATTGGGTCATTAGAAGGGCAACTACCGATCAAAGCTAAAGAAATACTGAGATTTTGTAATCTGTTTATAATAGCGTACAATAACGCAAGAAATGAAATCCGCCCCAGTATGAAATCTCATAACTGACAACTAGTGTTGGGACAGTCTAAAATTATACTTACTGTAAGAATACTTCCGCCCACTATTATAGTAGACGGCTTTTAACTATCATTTCGGGTAATAAAAGAAGTTATAGACTACTACGCTACTACTATTATGTTCTCATTACCTGCGCATACGCCTTATTGCATCCAGGTTCTGGGCACACAAACGGTCGCTCGCCAGTATGCAATCTCACATGGTTGTTCAGATTCGTAACCTGGCGATTAACAAAATTAGTTATTTAATAAATAAAACAAATAACTTGCACCTGTGATGTTACAAAAAAGAGAAATGAAGAATTATAATATTTTATTCTTATTTGCTTTGTAAAAACTTCTTTACGTTGATTTCATTTCACGTCAAACGAAAAAATAAAACGTATTTGTTTTTAAAAGACGTCGTTTGAAGGTACTGACAAAAAAAATGAGAGAAAACGTTTAAAAAAAGGAACTGGAAATATTCTCGAATCTGTATTTTTACTCAGAATAAGAACTAATGCTTTTTGGTTTTGTAGATCAAAAGTTACAAAAGTTTTTTTAAGTTTTTCTAAGTCTATGTCTTGAACATTTATTTAAAATATTATTTATTAGAAGGTACATTAGATACAATAGATTTACATTATACTGTATAAAGTACATACCTGAGTGAAAGCCTTCCCACATTCAGAACATTTAAAGGGTCGCTCGTTCGTGTGGATACGAAGGTGCGCCCGTAAGTTGTTCGACTGGGAGAATGCTGGAATATAATATAGACTGCTTCAAAAAATGTTACATATTTCCCCGTTAAGGTAATATAGAACTTATAGTAATAATAATAGTACACCCATTTTTGATTAATTTTAAGGGACATTATATAAGAAGTCTTGTGACTATTAATGTATTATCAAATTAACTGTGAAAGTCATGGAATAGGACCAAATGGTTATGATATCAGTATGATATAGTTGATTGAGTGATCACCTTTATTGCAGTAAGTGCAGACAAAGCGTCTCTCGGCACGATGGTTGCGCAAGTGGTTCTGTAGCTGCATGTTCTTCTGAAAAGACTTGTGGCAGAGGCCACAATACAATGATGATTCATTGCTTTCCTGCAAGGTTCAAACATGTAGCTGTTAGCTACACTTGGGGTTTCTCATTAAATGCAATAACTCAAAAACAGGTGCCACTAATAAATCTTAGTTTATGCTGTGCAAAAATAGGCTGTATAACAAAAATAATAAAGCAGATAATAGAGTAACTATCACTCAACTATAGAAAAAAACTACCACTTAGATTTCAGGCTTGCTCAAAGATCAGTTGATTGCAGAGTAAACAAAAAGGTTTCACTAAGTTAAAACTCATATTATGTATGAGACTAAAAAATTCTACTACTGCTACCTAAATTATCTAAACATTGAACTGTAAAGCCAACATAAACAAATTAAGGTGCTAAATTGTGATTGTATTAAAATATATAGATAGAGACAGCTAATAAAAACTGTTTCAAATACAAATTGGTTAAGGATGGTGGTATTCAAAAAATGATCATAATTTTGAAGACAGTTGTTATATTGTTCTTGAAATTCTTATATCAATAGACTCTATTTAGGTAATGAGCTCATGTATATTGGAAATATTTGTTTTGTGTACAATCAGTACAGCTATGCAGGTAAGAAAATGGAGATTGAATTGGTAAAGAGATAGTAGCAATTAATTGTAAACCACATCTTCAGTATCCATTGGTCATTACAGTAGCCAATTTTCAACCAACAGTGTCTGTCTCTGTACTAAATTAATCTTTATTTTCTTACTTGCATAGTAAATAGATGCGCTGACTGTACATGTCTTTTCTGATTATGTAAAGTGTTAACAAATATCAGATAACATGAATATGACCTCTCTAGTCTATTGCATCAGTGTGTTGTATAGTTATATGGTTGTTGTGTTAAAAAGTTTAATACAAACCTCTTCGGTGTTGCTAGATGTCTGTGGTACTGTTTGATCCGTGCCATTCTCCCCAATAGTTATCTCAGGCACTAGTGGCTGACACTTGAAGCATGCATATATTCCATCCTTCCCCGTTTCAAACAGTTGCTGTAAAAAAACAATAAAAATTTTATACATAAAGTTATGGCTTGTTGGTTTTTTGTTACTTTTTGGTGCATTCAACAAAACTAGAACTATACATAAAGCCTTACAGTACACATAGTTATACGCCGACGAAATTTTAAATCAAATAGAATAAACAAGTTTTTATATATGTGAATATCTATAAAATGCAATGGTATTATTATTTATCTGAGATGCTTGTGGTACCTACAGCATATGCCAAGGTTCACTATTCAAGTACATAAAAAAGGATCACTGTTGTTTTTTACTCTGCTCTGAGCCAGACGTAAAAAAACACTCGAAACGACAAAAAATATAAAAAAAAATACGCGGGCAGGTTTCGAATGTCGAGTTTTTTCCCATTTGTGCTTAGTCTTCTACAATATTCCAATTCGTTCAATTACAAAATGTATGCTTTGTGAAAACGAAAGCAGCTCAAATGTCCAGGGACGTTATTTTTATAACAATCTCGTAAAGAAAACAAAAAAATATTGATGTTATATTTTGAGACGACGCATAAAAGAAGTAAACAGGTACTTACAACCGCAGGTTTAAGACAAATCCCACATTTGTCCATAGCGGACGAACACTATAGCACTAAATAAATCAAATTAATTAAGAAAATTGCTGATATTTATTTTAAAAACGCAGCCCTCAGTGGCTCTCTCTCTGAAAATTCACAGGGCGGGTCGGGAGCGGGGAGTGCAGGGGGAGCGGCAAAAGACATAAACTCATAGACAACAATAAAATATTTACGTTTTGTTTATGATTGATTAATATAATATTTATTACTTCAAAAAAAATACATGCTAAATCTGAATGTTCAATATGAAAATATCTGTCAAATCGAAGACGGTTGATTAATTAATTTTATACGTGGTAGATTAGTGGCAGAATACAGCACAGTCTTACTGATGCATGCAGTGTAAAAGACCTTGGTTGCAGAATTTTCTTATTTGACATTTTTATTTTGACGTTTATCTTCATTCCCATTCGTATTGTTCATCATCATTCGTTCAACATTGCTACTACTCGAAGAAATACGTGTTTTAATATTTCGAACTGCGTATTTTTTATTTACTATGTTTTTTGTTATGTTTTAATTAAATCAACATAACTTTATAGTTGTTATATTTATATAGTTTTATATGCCCATGTAAAGGGCTTTGTTGATAAGTGTTTACTATTATTTTTGTGAAAGATGGCAGAGAAGATTGTCATAACCAGTGGCAACCAGCCCATTGTAAAGATAGGGCATTATACGCTGGGAGCTACCCTTGGCGTCGGTACCTTCGGCAAGGTGAAAATAGGAGAGCACCAGCTGACCAAACACAAGGTCGCCGTGAAGATTCTGAACAGACAGAAGATAAAGAGCCTCGATGTCGTGGGGAAGATCAGACGTGAGATACAGAACCTTAAGTTGTTCAGACACCCGCATATTATTAAACTGTACCAGGTATGGGGCTAAATACGTATGTAATGTCGCTTGACCTTGAACAAGTCACTTGACCCTTATAGTTTACTTTGTTCTTCATGTAACTAACATAAAACATTATTGTGTAATGTGTACCTATTACCTACAATATATTTTTTCCAGGTGATATCCACTCCAACTGACATATTCATGATAATGGAATATGTGTCTGGTGGTGAACTGTTCGACTACATAGTGAAGAGAGGCAAGCTCCAAGAGCATGAAGCCAGGAGGTTTTTCCAACAGATTATATCAGGTGTGGACTATTGCCATAGACACATGATAGTGCACAGAGACCTTAAACCTGAGAACCTCCTTCTTGACCACAATATGCATGTAAAGATAGCTGACTTTGGACTTTCCAACATGATGATGGATGGAGAATTTTTAAGGACATCATGTGGATCACCTAATTATGCGGCACCTGAGGTATACTTGATTACTTATTTTATAACAATCTTATTTACATTTTGTACTGAAGTTTTCATCAGAAAAGAATAGCACATACACATTATTTATATTTTATGTACTCTACTTACAATGTATGCAAAATTAGCTATGGAACATAACAAACTGCTGATATTATGATGTAAATTCAACACACAGGTATACTTAAGTTCATAAATACAAACTCATCAGTAATACAACATGTATTCCAATATAATATGTTTTGGTAATTTCTTATTGTACTTGTTTGTTTACTTCCATTAGAAAATTAATACCAATATTAAGAAATTATTTCATATTAGAATTTTTCCTATTAGAATATTAACATTCTGATAAGTAACAAAAATCCTGAATTTGGGCTCCAAACTTCAGTTATGAATATTAACTATTTTATCCACAGGTTATATCAGGAAAACTATATGCAGGACCAGAAGTAGATGTATGGTCATGTGGAGTCATACTCTATGCTCTACTCTGTGGAACACTACCGTTTGACGATGAACATGTTCCGACACTGTTCAGGAAGATTAAATCTGGCATATTCCCCATACCTGAGTACCTGAATAAGAGTGTAGTTAGTTTGCTATGCATGATGCTGCAAGTGGATCCGATGAAGAGAGCCTCTATTGAGGATGTAAAGAAACATGAGTGGTTCCAAAAAGACCTGCCAGGGTATCTATTCCCGTCTCCCGTTGAGCAGGTAATTACAGTATGTAAACCCCAACCTTTTTAATACTAGTTTGTAAGTAGTTTTAGTTGGTCCATCGGTGCAGTTCCATAAAAAAGGTTTTACTAATATGGTGTATTGTTCCAAGAGCCTGGTGTTTGTCTTGTTCCCCCTATTTCATCATGAAATTCTTGTATGTGCATAGAGGGTTAAGCCTGGTGAGCGCCCTAGCCAAGACATCTTATAGACGCCCCTAATTTTTTTGGAGCTGCAGTCTTTCTATGGGCACGCGCGTCTCGCGGCGTCGCGACGCCTCTCTACGTGGCGTCATAGCACTTACCTAGTTTACCTTAGGGGTAATATGGCTCAATATGTGCAAGTTTGCTACTTAATTTAAAGTTATGCTGCATGCACTTAAGATTTCTAAAAAAAAAGACTTCCTCTTTAAGCTCTTCTCTCTTAAGCTAGATGTTTAGTGGAGTTAGTCTACATAAAAAAGTAGATAAATTCTGTAAAATTTATATTTTTTAAGAGGAAGATGAGATAAACCGCCAAGAATGTGTTAGCGCACCACCTCTAAAACCATTGTAGGCCGCTTGTTGTATTGTTTGTGTATAATAGTAAATGTGGAAATGAGTGTGCCCCTCTGTGACCCCTATTTGAATATTGACATTGACACACAAGTAAATGAGTCACCTATACAATCACATCATATACATATTCATACGTGCTTTGAAACATTCGTCATATTGAAATAGATTTTACTTAATAAATTATTATGTTTCCGATATTATTATGTATTAATAAATTATTATACTGTCGCCGCGTCGCGACGCGGGTTGCGTAATGCTGCTCATGAATATGAGCCACTAGCATGGCTTGAAACTAGTCGAGTTTCTCGTCAAATAATTACGTAAGCCGAAAACATAATAATTTATTTAGTATGTCTCACGAAAGTTATAATACAAATATAGATTTTGCTTTTTAAAATACTAGGGATCAAAGGATTCTATTGGTAAACATGAGAATGAGAATTCCGAATGTGGAAATTTAGTCTGAATACTCTTCTTTGGGTGCCATTACGATCCTTATTGGTTGTCCTTATATAACATCATCACGCCTTTCATCCCAGAAAGGGTAGGCACTTAAGCAGAGGTGCACGTGTGACACCCACTTTTCAGTATTATGTTATGAGTCCCTTGTAATAGGGGGTGAGCCCATTGCCATATTCCGGCCACAATTCCAGACTACGTGCTACAATTGAGATTTTTTTTTAAACCCATTAAAACTTTACCCGACCCGGGAATCGAACCCGAGACCCCTTGCCTAACAGCCATACTTGCTACCAATCGACAACGAGGCAGTCTTGATTGTCTTGAAAAGTCTATAAATAAAGAAAAATATTTATTAAGTACCTATACAAGTGTGCGTTACCCAGGCAAGATGTCGATTAGTTTTGCAGCTTCTGTAATTGTTGCGCACATTTTTAAATTTGTTGCGCTTATAATTTTTTAATTATTTCACAAAAACATTTACTGCTGGGGTAACGTTACCCCACGTAACGTTACCCCAGCAGTAAAACAGACACCCTACATAAAACAAGCAAGTCTTATTTTTATTATATTAAAAAATTATAAACAAGAACCATTTTGATATTACTGCCTACACTTAAATATTACAGGACAGCAGTGTCATCGACACAGAGGCGATATCTGAAGTGTGCGACAAGTTTGGCGTGAAAGAACATGAAGTTCACAACGCTCTACTGAGCGGAGACCCTCACGACCAATTGGCCATCGCCTACCATCTCATCATAGACAATAAGAGAATCGCTGACGAAGCTGCTAAAGCAGAAATAAAGGACTTTTATGTAGCAAGTAAGGATCATATGTTATTTGTTGTTTATATTTGTCTGTAAGGTCTACAATGACAAGGCTCTTAAACTTAACAGGTCCCAGTGCCCCAGCAACCACGTTTGGAGACGGGAAATTGCAACTTAATTAATCATTTACTGTCAGTAGGTAGTCAGTACACTATTTTAAAATTCCTAGGTTTGAGCAGTACCAGTACGATTTTTTATCTTTGCCAATCTGAATGAATGGATCTTCACGCGATGCATTGCCCCCTTTTCCCGTCGTATGAATAATAATTTCTTGCTACTTTTAATTTAATCACACCATAAAACTTACACATCAGTTAACAAAAGGTTAAAATAATTGTTCGGTTATCTCCAAGCAGGTAACTCGCCGCCCGCGGCGTCAGAGACGGCACGTCCGCACCCCGAGCGGATCGCACCGCATCCACACCAACAGCAGGACAAAGCGAGAGGGACACCAGTGAAGAGGTCAGGACCTTGTTATGTACTATACACAAAAACATATAAATTATATCCACAGCTAGATTGATTGAATGGTCGCAAGCCTGACCTAACTACTAAACAACTGAAGACTCTGTTTTGATTCTCAGGTTTCCTCGACCCAAGATTTGCTAGCTAATTTCGGAATTTTCATTCTATGTAGGTGCAGTAACAGGTGTACCCCTTAGTACCTGTCGCGGAGAACCTAACCTTACCGGGGCTCCGGCTCGACGTGCAGGATAAGGAATGGGGTGGTTTTAGTCAGTATGAGTCTGACACTCCCTCCTGCCTCACCCAGGCGGGAGCAATCATTCGATAATTTTCCCCCCCTAAAAAAAACCCTTAGTACCTACATGGCATCCCTTTGGGGACTAAAAGGGACCATAAAATGGGATAAAACTTACAGTAGACCTAGTATTCGCCTTGTTACTAATCGGATTGTTATAGCCTAAGACAGTAATTATTTTTATATATTATTTTTCTGTTACAGAGCAAAATGGCACTTGGGCATCAGATCTCAAAGCAAACCGAACGACATCATGCTAGAAGTGTTCCGCGCCATGAAAGCTCTCGACTACGAATGGAAAGTTATCAACCCTTATCACGTAAGGTAGGTGACATTGTCCTTTATATATTACAACCTACCCAAGAACTTACGAGTTATTTGGCACCACAGGCATAAATCCAACCCCATAATTATGGGTCTTCTTGGGTCTTCAATTTCAAAATTAAGTGCGTCACTCAGTCAAAACTGGTCATAAAAGACATCTTGTTTATGGTATAGGTAAGCCAATTAGATTACGGCAATAACTGGCAAGCCTGTAGAATTAATAACCATAACATACAGTATAACAGCGTAAATTAAAGGACTCTCTTTCTTTGTTTCCGATGTAGGTTGTTCTATTTTGCTAGAGAAGCTTACGACTATGATTGACTTACAGGGTACGCACACTTAACAAAATGACGGAAAAGTACGTGAAGATGTCACTACAGTTATACCAGGTGGATTACAAGTCTTATTTATTGGACTTCAAGTCTTTGTCCGGGGAAAAGGAAGATTCTGACGAGGAGGCAGCCTCGCCTCTAGTTGCGGCGGCCCCGCCCCCGCCCCCCGCGTCTCCAACGGGACCTCAAGGACATCACACTATGGAGTTCTTCGAAATGTGTGCCGCTCTCATCATACAACTAGCGCGGTAAACACGGATCGCAAGGAATGTGTTAATGTTGCGGGATAAGTTATAGTTAATTGTGATTGTGATTTGTGACGTGTTACCCAGGTTTGGCCGGCTCGAATTAGGTGAAGTCAATTAATTGCGTCCCAATTACATTAAACTCTTGTTATTTGTTTGAGTTGTATAACTACTTGTTATCTGCGCTCAGCCTCTATTGAAGTGGCTTCCTTGAATGTTTATTACAGTTAGTTTTCGGGAAAGTCAGGTGCAGGCGAGCCAGAACCGCGCTAGACTAGTTCCAGCCAGATAAACCTCGGTGTTACTCTTAGAATATTGCCAGGAATAGATAAATCGAATAAGTATGAACTTGATATTGTTATCACACAAAAGGTACGAAACGAATGTCTAAATAATTTCAATAAGCAATATTTTGATACACTTACATATTTTAAATTTAGCAAAATAATAATTAATCACTAGTCTTAATTGCCTCGTGCGAGTTTTAATATTGCAAACTAATAAAATGGAAGCAATGGGAAACTAATTGAATGTTAACATGTTCCGAATATTAATATGGGGTTGTTGTTAAATTATAAGTATTACTTGTACAATGAATTTGATGATCTGGAACCTTCCATTGAAATTGTGACTCCAAAATTTGAAGCATTGTGATACATTATAGTGCGTCGCTTTGAGTTCCGAGCGGCCCAGTACGACGATGTCAGTCACTAGCTCGGGCACGCCGCGCACTGGCTGGCTCGGTCACCCCGCGCTGTAGCAAGTTCCACGTTAATATTGTGCTTTATTGAGCCTCGCAGCTCCACGTATGCTTCCCCTGTCAGCCAGTACATGACGTCAACGCATTCCGAGCTCGCACCGCGCGCTGGTCTGCTCGGAACTTCATTCATGTGATTTTACCAAAGATTACAAATGTTAATTTAAGCAAAACTAGTGCCTTTTTGTAATTACAAGCATAACATAGCTGTTAAAGTTCTCCATAGCTTAAATCTGATTGTTCACATGAAATGAAATGGAATCAAATTAGGAGTTGAAGTTATTTACGAGATGAATGGGATTAGTAGAATAGCTAGGACATATTAATCCTAATATTTATAGAATAATTGTATGCAACTGAGTATTATTATATAAAATGTTAATTATTTATGTTGTACAGCTTTGAATATATGTATAGTATTGTGCAATTCCAAATTTTACTTCCTTATTTTTTTGAAGTTACTTATTAAAGTCTCCTAGAGATAGCCAAATATGTTTTATTTCTTTAAACAACACGACAGTCCACTACGCAGTCTACACCAAAACATTAATTGAATTTAGACATAACTATTAAATGAAATAAACCAGTGATACATTTTTTTTTTCAAACAGAATACTGTAATTTATTACAGATCTAGGAATTAACACATAACTAAGGAATTTATTCTTTACAAAAACAAGGGATGTGTTGAATCAAATAATTTCAATCTAATACAACAACATAATAAATAAAGCTAACGGGTATACTATCATTACTAGTCACTAGTAATAGTAATGACGACTGTTGAATGAATATCACAAATTAAAATTAATATATTCATCACATCCTGTCGAACCATTGGACACGTGGATCATTGGATCATGGAATATAGTCGGTTTGTAACAAATGTAAATTCAGACTAGTTCCCACAACACTTATGTCATAGGTACGAGTGCATTGTCGTAACTGGGCGTGGCCAGGCGCCGGTCGTTAACCGCGACGTGGTCACGCGGCCGGCGTAGGCGCAGGCGGTACGTTCTCGTCCGGTTTGCTCTCCAATGAAAATGGTGGAATCCTACAATCAAATGTGTAACCGTCTTCCCGCTCCATTCTAAATGTACCCCTGTAAAAAAAAGATTATTTTTAACTGGTCATTTTTATTTTTTTAAGGGGGGAAAAATCATCTAATGTCTTCTCCCGTCTGGGTGAGGCGGGAGTGTCAGACTTTTACTGACTAAAAACCACCCCGTTCCTACTCCTGCACTTCGAGCCGGAGGTCCGGTAACCCGTTAAGTTCTCCGCGGCTCCGTATTGGCATTAGCCCTATTTGGGTCCCATCCGTGGTGGTCTGATGGCTCTATGAGGCGCGCGCGGAACGCAACGCGCCGTACGCTTGGGTCTGGTTCTGGTCGGGCGGCGAACCACCCATGCTCGCTGTCGGCAGGCCCTATTTTTAACTGGTTGGACCTTTGAATTTGGACTACCAAACGCAGATTACACCTAGAGAGAGCCTTAGGCAAGCACCTTATAGGTTAATATTTTTGGTGCCGCCGTCGATTTATGAGCTCGCTCGTCTCACAACCTCGCGGCGCCCCTTTGTAATCTGGCGCCCTAGGCACTTGCCTAGTTTACACTTGGCAAATTCTCAATTGGACAAATTAAAAAACGGACTTTCGTTCTCATTCCCTTCAGCAGCGTTTTGTGTTAATGTAATAGAATTTGTGTTAACTGACCACATATGTCCGCTGGGCGCCTGCAGACTGACGTGGCTGCTGTACTGGAAGGCAGGCGAGTGCCGCGCGAGCACTGGCTCCTGCCCCACCACGCCGCGGCCACGCACTGTCTCCAGCGTGCCGCTCAGAGAGAATATACGCCAGTGTCGCTCGCGGAGCTGCACCGCTTGCGAACCCAAGTTTTCCAGACGAATACAATAACGCCACTGTAAAGTACATACATTCATTAATACTCTTACATATTATAAAACATAGATCTCAGTTAAGGTCGGTCTGTCAGTTCGCAATAAACTCACAAGTTGAAAATATAATGGAAAATCGGGCAAAGTACTACTGGGTTTTAAAAAAAATCTTAGTAGTATGTAGCACGGAGTCTGGAACTGTGCCCGGTATATGGCAATAGGCTCACCCCCTATTACATGGGACTCATAATATAAATAGTGAAAAGTGGGTGTTACATTGTACAGTGGTATAATGTGCACCTCTGCCTACCCCTTCGAGGATAAAAGGCGTGATGTTATGTTATGTTGAAAATATAATAAAGGAATTTCACTGAAAAATGAAGGTGCTACTGATGTCTGGATGCTGATGCTGCTGACAGTATTTTAAACAGGATAGGAAAATTTACTAAACAGGTAACTTTTCAAGTTATCTTGTATGTAGGCAAAGATCTTATTACTACTGTAACTTACCCAATACACTGCAGAGTTTTGTGACTCGCGGCTGCCCATGTAGAATGGTATGACGGTAACACGGACGCCCTCTGTGGTCTCTCGATGTACGTCGCTTAGTTCTAGCCAAGGATGGTTCTTCTTTTGCCAGGCTCGAAGAGTCTCTTGAGCTATAAAAGGAGGGTCTGAAAGTACCAAAAAGGGACTTGAGATGAGTCTTTTATTCCTAAATAGAGGAAAAAAATAGAGAAATAAACATTTCCTGCTGGGGTAACGTTACCCCAGCCAAACCTTTTTCTTTATAATGGGAGTAATTACCTACTAGCTATAAAATTTGTTGTCTAGATAAAGTAAATGTTGTGCCGTATTTTGTATTTGTTCTTTCATCGGTTGCGAAGTTATTCGAGACTTTGCTGGGGTAACGTTTTTGGTTTTGCTAGATCTTTGAAATGGTTAAGCGGATTCTTATTATATTTTGCACATGATTTTTTAGGAATTATTTAAACCAAAAACGTTACCCCAGCAAAGTCTCGAATAACTTCGCAACCGATGAAAGAACAAATACAAAATAAGGCACAACATTTACTTCGTCTAGACAACAAATTTTATAGCTAGTAGGTAATTACTCCTACTATAAAAAAAAAGGTTTGGCTGGGGTAACGTTACCCCAGCAGGAAATGTTTTGTGAAATAATTAAAAAACTATAAGCGCAACAAATTTAAAAATGTGCGCAACAATTGCAGAAGCTGCACAACCAATTATCTATAAGATTCAAATGACCATTTTTGACAACATCTGGCCTGGGTACACACAACTTAATTGATAGCTCAAAGATGTTAAGGTTTTACCCCATATCCTATCTTCAAAGACTCATCAAAGTATATCTATTTAAACTTTTACTCTTTACCTTTATCAGCATTATGCATAAGGAATTTGTCAAACAGCTCATGCTGCAGTGGAACTCGTTCTACGGAAGTATAGGGAATGATGTCATCGTGTGCCACATAGTCCAGCCCAGGGATGGCATATAAACTCCGGCTTGACTCTTGGTTACCGAGGAAGGTCACTGCTTCTGTTTGCGCTCGCTGAAACACAAATATTACACATGAATTGGATAAATATGTGCCTTGACTATTGATACAAGATACATACTCGCGGATGAGTTACTTGTAATACTAAATGTATTTGTAGTTCATGATTAGATTGAATGAATAGGTTCATACTTTAAATTGAAATTGATCTATTATTCAATCACACATGGCAGTTACATCTACTCTAGCAGTCTTTTGAGACTGGCTGTTATAAATGTTCCATACATTTTTTATTCACTTGCTTGTGAACTATCTGCTATTGTAAAAATGTTACAAATATCTTATGTACATACATAATTTCTGAACTGTTAATAAACAATACTGTAAGTTTAGGCAAAACAGAGAATTGATTAATTTTCTACTCTGCGGGTATGAATTAAGTAAGAATATAATGTTATAGAAATAATGCAATAATGATTATAGACTACACATTTTTAGTAAATGACATAGTTATTAGATTACATTGTAGGGTATTCAGGCATTTGTCAAACACATACATGTACATATATCGTTGTACCTGTTTCTTCCATTCTGGTCTCATGTCGATGTGTGAAATGATAGCCAACAATAATTGAGCCCGTTAGTATACAGGTATAATTTAGATTTTAATGTATATCACATAAATATAATTCAGATAAACCTACAAATTAAATACTTGGAATAATTCTTTTTTTTAATATAATGCATGTGAATAATGTTTATTGAATTTATTTGTACCCAATTTGCAACAATCTCGAATAAAAAAACTAAATGTTTTATTCTCATATCATCAAATTTTATGTTTAGTTATGATAGGTATAATTTTACACAATGAAAAAGATCATTCACAAATAATACTATGTTGCTAAGTACTTAATTTGGAGATGTGCCATTTTATCACACATTAGGTTGCTGATCATCACATTTACCTACATATAGGCACCACATTCCACATGCATACCAATATGAAGTTACAATGGCTTACATAATAGCAATATTATTAGAAACTATAGGAATTCTAAGAAGATACTTATTGACTATCTTGTACCATATAATATATCTATGATTTAAAAAATTAAGATACTTACTATGTAAGGTGCATCTCTAGTGTCAATAAGGACTTGATAGAATGTGTGTGTTCTGCCCTTGACTTCCTTTCCAACGTTAGACAAGGAGTCTCCTGAAGCTTCCGTGGTAGCCGTGGAGTCCTTGGTCTCCTTCTTATTGGTGGCATCTCTGTCATACACTCGTGCCAACCAAGGGAACAGAATCACTCCTCGATAACCAAACACCTTGTGTAAAATTAACTGGCCTGTATCATATTTCCCTGACGCCTTTGGAGGCTCGAGTTTTCCTACCTCAGCCAATCTGAAATCATGATAAAATCTTATAGCAACTAAATAGGTTATGCAGTTATTGACTATCAATTACATTACTACCTACCTTGTATAATTTGCTACATGATTTAATAACAATCTAGAAGTAGTCACTTTTAATGGAGTTCTCGGTATAATTCTTAACAATGTCTCCATTTTATCATTGTAATTTGTATATTTTTTTTCCTATTTTTGTTTGACAGTTATTGACTTTGACAAAATTGTGTTCCAGAGACATTTTTATACTCCGTCGAGCAGTGTCAATGTCATATCATCGTTTCTTTTCACAGACAATAGTCGATTACATGATAAACATATTATCTCAATTTTCAATTCAACGCTACAATGTAAGCATCAAAATAAGCGAGACAACATTAAAAATAAAGGACATCTCTATAGTCTCTATAAATTTCTAAACGAGTACATAAGTTCAAAGTCCTGATTTATTTTGATTCCTACCTTATTTCATTGTTTTTGTTTAATATTTCTAAAATGATAAAGAATTTTTCTAAATTAGTGCAAACACTTGGTGAGTTACTATACAAATTAACAGTGGAAATGCAATTGAGTATTAAGTATTTACTTAATTAAGCTAGGAAATGTTAAAAAAATATTTATTGAATTTACATTTATTTACAGCTCCAACAAGTGTGAGACAAACAAGATGCATAGCTTCGCTATCAGCTCTCTCGGACACTTACCAAATGTTATACAAAACTTGTCGAGATTTCGCTGAAGGGGAATTAAAGCCCAATGCTGCTAAGTTCGACCGCGAACATTTATATCCTGGCGATGCAATTAAAAAAATGGGCGAATTGGGCCTCATGGCAATAGCGGTACCGGAGGAACTTGGCGGAGCTGGTCTGGACTACCTCGCGTATGCTATAGCCCTGGAAGAGATCTCTAGAGGATGTGCGTCAGCTGGAGTGATAATGTCTGTGAACAATTCTCTGTATTTGGGGCCCGTAATGCACTGGGGCACTGACAAACAAAAGGAACAATTTGTAACACCGTTTTGTTCTGGTATGTTACTTATATTATTAGAATGCCTTTGCAAATGGCATTTCAGTTTAACATTAATTCTACTTTTTATATCAACAGTACAGTTTGTATTGTCTGGACTTTGGACCCAGTGAGCTACTTTAACAGTGGCGAAATTGGTGTTCTAGAGCTGTTCATGGACCTGCACTTCTTTCAGGAATGTAGGACAGTTGTAAGTGAGAGTCCCACAATGGGTGTAGGATAGAAATAATTAATTATAATTTAACAATCTGTGATACAGGATCAGGCCAAAGGTTGCACAATATCCGGTGATGGGACTCTATTTGCACAATATGCTTCTAACTGTTGGGCTCATCAGCTCATTGTATAGTCAAATAATTTTCTTCCAGTTGTAATCTACTTGGTAGTTTTATAATGTGTAGTAATATAAAATGTACATATTATTATACCAAACATACCTATTCATATTATTGTACTATCCATTCACCCACAAATATAGACAAAGTGGGAACAATGTTATTCAATAAAAAATTACAATTGACCAAAAACAATAAAACAGGATCAATAATACAAATACAAAATTAAAGAAAAAAGTAAAACATAATGTTAAACCATTTTGTCCAACCAAGTAACATTAACTCTGAGTAATAATTAACTTTCAGGTGAAATAGTTGGTTGTTTTGCTCTCTCCGAACCTGGCAATGGATCTGATGCTGGGGCAGCTTCGACCACTGCTAAGGATGGTGGTGACAAATGGACTTTGAATGGAACAAAATGTTGGATCACCAACGGTTATGAGAGTAAAGCCTCTGTGGTCTTTGCTACCACAGATAAGAGTCTAAAGCACAAAGGCATATCTGCCTTTATAGTACCAAAACCTATTAAAGGTTTAGAATTAGGGAAGAAAGAGGATAAATTAGGGATAAGGGGTTCATCAACTTGTTCTTTGATGTTTGAAGACTGTCATATTCCCAAAGAGAACATTCTTGGTCAGCCAGGCCTGGGCTTCAAGATTGCCATGATGACTTTAGATGCTGGAAGGATTGGTATTGCATCACAGGCCTTGGGTATTGCACAGGTAAATTAGCAAACTAATGTCTATTTACAAAAGTAGTCCCTTTCTGTATACTGACAACTGACTGGTTATAATATTTTTAGGCTTCTCTAGATGTAGCTGCTGAATACGCATCAAAGCGCATGGCATTTGGGAAGCCTATCATGAAACTGCAATCTATTCAGAACAAGTTGGCCGACATGGCTCTACAACTGGAGTCCGCAAGATTGTTAACTTGGAGGGCAGCTTGGTTGAAAGACAATAAGAAGCCCTACACTAAAGAGGCTGCTATGGCTAAACTGGCAGCTTCGGAAGCGGCCACTTTCCTATCCCATCAATGTATACAGGTGCGTAACTTTATCAGAAAAGTGTATGTGACAGATGTCATGTCAACCATTTAACTTTGCATGATATTTTAACTTGTTACTAACAATTTCGGTAAAAATGTTACATATTATTTCATTTTTTCTAGATCCTTGGGGGTATGGGCTATGTCTCAGATATGCCAGCGGAAAGACACTATCGGGATGCTAGAATCACAGAAATATATGAAGGAACCTCTGAAATCCAGAGGCTTGTCATAGCCGGACAACTAATTAAGGAATATGGTCTCAATTAACTCTCAGTATAATCATTATTGTAGTTCTAAGCATAAGACTGTTGTATTACTCATTTGTAGTCTGATTTATCAATCAATCATATTAATAGCAGCTAATAAGTAATTGTTTATAAACCATTTATTTAAATCCTATATTTTAGAGTCTGTACAGGTTTTGAATCCATTTTATATTTATACACATTTTAATATTATATTATACAGTTATCAAATAAAACATATTATTAGTATTTTCGAATACTTTATTGATTCCTCTAAAACTTGAAATAAAACATTACATAGTCCTTACAATATTAAAATTCTGTTATAAATTGAGTTTTAGACAAACAATACTCCATGATTATAGAGAAATATTTCTTATTGGCAAATATTTTAAGTGTAATTAAGTAGCACATAGAACTAATACAGGTATAATTGCACCATCATTAAGTGTGTACATTTTGGAATGACATTTTAAAAATCTTATAATGAAATACAGAGTATAAAATAAATGCTAACTTTGGTGTACAGTAGTTACTGTCCAGGGCCAGACAATGACTTGTCCATGAATTTCCTCTTGGCAAAGCAGAGCCACCACTTGCTGGGCTTGCCATCTTCTGTAGCAAATACCTGAAAAACAATTATTACAATTTTATTATGATCAAAGGGTCAGATTTGTACCATGGGATACTAAAATAGTTTTTTTTTTATTTATACCTTTTCGCAAACTCTGGCACCAGTCTCGTGTCTCAACTGCTGTAAATACTGTCTCATCAAATCTGAAATAAAGAAACTATTCTTAGACTTCACTAAACCAAATATACTCAAATATCCCAATGCAGAAACACTAGTAAAAAGTTCATCATACCAGCCTCCTGGGTGCTAGTAGGCTTGGCATACACGGAGTTTAAAGGAAAGCCATATTCGCCAGGTATGTCAAATTTAGATATGGCCAGCATATACATCTCCTGTTGTCCTTGGTTCTTGTTTGAGCACTTCTGGAGCCGTTTCAGACATTCAGAAACATACAGTGTCAGGTAAATGAGAACTCTATCGGCATCAGACTGTAATAAAATAATATTTTAAAAATAATATTACTATTTTAATAATATTCTAGTAAGACAAAAATCTAATTGGTTTTCTTACCTTGATCTCATAAAACCTAAAGAACACATTTGCTTTAAAATAGTTGAGAGCTTCATCGATAATATCCAATTCAATCTTCGGACTCATGGGCGCCGGGCCTCTGAACGAAGTGCGTATTGGCAACAGAGCAAGATTACCAACGGATTGGGTGTAGTCAGTCAACGTCGAATGATACGCCTATAAGGAAATCGTTTAAGTTAATATTTCCACGTAGTTTAACACAAATTTATGTGTCAATAGGTACAGCGTGCAGCTTGATAACTATAAATTTAATAACTTACAGGCATTTTATTTGGGAAATTGATTTTTTAGTAAAACCAAAATACTATTTCACTTCCGCCGGGTTGGTTTAGTCGTTTTAACATGAAATTGTTTTCAATCAGAAGGTACTAGCTATGTGCTTGAATCAGGAACATATGAGTTTATAGAAATAAAATGTTTTAATTGAAATATATCTCTAATTTTTGAGGAAATGAAAACTTAAACGAATGAATCACTTCATCACAGCGATTATTTGGAAATTGACATTGATTAACCAATGAATGACTGACAATGACAGTTGACCTCCACTTAATTTGACAGTGATGTTTTGGTTTTTGACAGCAATACATAGAGAACGCCATAGATTAAGTTTGAAACCAACTGCCAGTGGAAAACTCATTTATTCAAATGAAAAACTGTGATAGTGATGCGGACGAATACTTTGACGCCTAAATTAAGGGTATAATTTTTGTTGTTTTCTTTTACTTTCTTTTTATTTAATAGTTTAATGAAAAACTTAAATTAAAAACTAACTAACTGCCAGTCACTCTAACTGGTTCTGTAATCGATTGCTCCTCATGAGAATGATATTGACATGTATACTAAACCCGTTCGTAATTAAATTTAAGGATAAAAAATCGATTGCATATATTTTATCGAAAGACTGGGCTTGAGTTTTCTAAATCTATAGAGATATTGATATAGTATTCGACTAAACAAGTAACGCCCTAAAGAATGAGATGTTTGACAGTCAATAGTATATTTTGACATTGACACATTGACGGAAATAAAAACACGTGCACTTCTTGTCAGTTCTTGTATTTTGTGTGTTGTGTGGCTGTGATTGTTTTGTGAATAGCAAACTATTAATTCTTAAAAAATCGATATATTCCCAATAATATGACTGATGAAACTCAAAATAAAGTTCTTGCTATCATTGCAAACATAGCTAAAAAACAAGACACCGAAGAAAAAGTAATCGTCGAAGATGAAATATCTGATTTAGAAAATGAGGAGAAAGATAAGAAATCTGAACCGATAAGAGGAATACCAAAATCCGGCAAATTTTGGAAATCAAAAAAAGAGAAGTAAGTTCCTCATTATATCTTTATTACCAAAACATGTAAACAGACAAAGATGTGAACGTGAACCTCAATAACACTACAATGTCATTATCTTTTTCAGGTTTTCTAAAATTAATAAGACTAAAGGACTCAGGAACAGCTTTGAAAAGAAACAAGCATTGCGTGCGCAAATACAGAGGACAAAAGAACAATCTAAACAATTATTAGAAGAATTTAAGCAAAAACAATTAGAACGAAAGGAAAGACGGCGACAAAATATAGAACGTGCGGCTGAAAATAAACGAAAATCTGAAATTGTTCAAGTTATTACTAACACAGCTAAGCTGAAGAGAATGAGGAAGAAGCAATTGAGGTTTATTGAGAAAAGGGACACCAATAAACAGATTGAAACTAATAAATAAGTTTTATAGAAATTCTATTTCTTTTATTCATTAATTATTATGTAAATGTTTGAAACTGACATAAAATTGTGTAATAGTAACTGAGGTGAAATACACTACACAAAGTAAATATCAATAACATAGTCTACTTGGCAGTTCTTAATTCTGGTGTATTGATATTAAAATAATCATTCTGTGATTTTTCTACCTTACATTGGTTTGGTGCAATGTCTTCTCTTGTAATCTAACATCAAACTATCACTTTCATACATGTAAATTGTGTGATGAGCTTTCCATATCTGTGGTTCTCTTCCTTTCCATTAACTCGTTGAGTACCATATTTATAGACACAATTAAAGAACAATAGGTTGCGGTCACCGGTGACCGCTTGGTGTTTGACAGTTTAAATTCAGTACCTGGGTACTATTTGTAGTTAGGAGGTAGTAACATAATTTGAGTGTCGCAGGTGAGTTCATTCATTCGAGTACCCAGTGACTCTCTCATTGTTTTCTGGGATTGACTGTGTGGTTTTAGTCGGTAAGAGTCCGACATAACCTGCTGTCTGACGCTCATTGTCTAGACAAAGGGTATCCATGAGGATTTCCACACGTTAAAAAAAAAAAAAGGTACTATTTGTAGCACTATGATTTTGGAATACACAAAGGCAAAGAGTATAATAAGTATAGGGGTAGGTAATGAGAACTAGTTAAAATAAAGTACATAGGTACTTTTAAATTAAGTAAAACAACTAAATCACATCATTACCACCAGGTAAAATAGTGGATGTACATTCACCTAGTACTGTACTGGGAAGTTATATGTGGTTATAGGGGTAAAGAAATAAGGATGTGTTGGGTCTTCATTTAAGAGATTTTAAATAAGATGCAAAAATACTTTCATCTAATATTTTTATTGGTATTTATAGCAATAAACATACTCCCACAGATACATATAAAAATATTAAATGCAATTTTCCAAGTTTTGGCAGGTAATGAATTGTGTGGGCGTTGATTGAATATTTACATTAATAGTCTCAAGATCAATGATGAGATGAAACAGTGACGCAAATAATGGAACATCAATCTTAATATTAATTTCACATAATATGTATTATGTACATCAATGACAAAACTTCAGTGACTATTTATATAAATATCTATAAAATACACCAAAACTATTTGAATACACTTTACATTGAGAACACAAAGCAAGAAAATTTCATCTATGTGATAGACATCAGCAAATTCATAAGTGACATTGTCTGTTACTTGATAAACTAAGCCTCCATTATATTATTACATCACTTTTGTCAGAATACTGTTTCATTGTAATAGTATTTAGCTCGCACACAGTAAACTTATCAATGATAACCACTTAGTACAAAATAAACCTATTAAAATAAATCCAAAATTAAAAATGTTATAAATTGTTATAAAAATTAAATCACACATACCAAGTATACGCCTTACGATGTAATGTCTTAACATCTTTTATTAAATTCAATCAAATAATTTACAACAACAATACAGTTGTTATAATAATAACAACAATAGTTAGTAGCTTACAATCTAATATTTTAGTCTAACATTTGTCTATAATACTCCATTCAACATATAGAAAAAATCTTCATTGAAAACATCAGTCTAAGGCAGTGACAACAAAGTTTGATCATTGAAACTAATGATGACCACTTGTGAACGAAACCGCAATAATATCATAATAATGTAGGGATACATCACAAACTTGTCATATTTCTAATTTGATCTTGATACCAATACAAAACCCATAGAAAAGTGATTACGTATTAGAGTAAAGTAAAAATGAGATTCATACAAAGATCCTAATATAACAATGAGACATACAAAACGTGTGCCTGTCCTCGCGGCTCTTTTACAAAGATACTGTCAACTAAACGTGAACCTATTGATAGCACTGCGTACTGCATGCATGATTATAATATCATTGCTCAGCAATCGAAAACAGTTACTGTGCAACTATTCAGTTAATTGCTTCGTCATTTGTGACATGCAATACAACTATTCACGTCAAATAATAAAGTACGAAAGAGAAAAGTTTAATGAAATGCTACGACTGAGTATTTTGGAAATACCAATTGTAATGTCATAGTTTTACTTTAATCAAAATCTCTCGCACTGGTCCTGATCACTTCACAGTTAATTCATAATCAGCAAGTTACCCTGTGCTGTAACTTCTCAACTTAACATTTACTAACGAAACAAAAGCGTATCGACTAACCTAAAAGTACAACTTATGTCTTTATAATTATAATAATAAACACATCAACTCACAGTGGCCCAGTGCTGCACGTACAGTTAGTTAGTCAGCAGGTATGTATGTATAGTGCAACTCGGTATTCACACATTGGGAAGGAATAATACTAATTACCTAGATCACTGATACTTGAAGAACACAGAGACTGGGTGTGTGGTGTAGCAGTACTAACTGTACAGTGGCGAGTGGGGGGGGGGGGCAGGCTCTACGCAGACAGGAGACGGGGAGCGCGCCCGCCCAGTCACACGTCGAAGTCTGCGCCCGACTTGCCGGTAGGCGGAGCTATGAACGGTTCACTCCACATTCTTCTGAGATCTCCCTGTGGAAACGATCATAACGTCAACAACAGCTCAAAAGAAAATATAATGTTTAACAACAATAATGTTCAACAAGAAAAGTGGTCGTTACTTTAACATAAGCCATGGTGAGCAGCGGCAGCAGTGTGAAGGGCACGAGGTAGAGCAGCGCCGGCTGCGCCGCCTTGAACACCTCGGCCGACACCGTCGCCGTCAGCAGGCCCAGGAAGTAGCCCAGCAAGGAACAGTGGAAGTACGTCAGCCGGGAACCCTGCACATATACACATAGTTTCTGGTATTACAACACACGTCTATGAATGCCATTGAAACTAAAAGCTGAAATCAGTTTATAATAATATTACATGCTAGCTGTTTGTCCGCGTAGAATATGATTCCTGTTTAATCCCATGGAAGCATCGAATCGGGATAAAAAGTATCCTATCACATACCTAAGTCAGCCCATACAGTACACCATTTTCATCAAAACCCGTTCAGTAGTTTTAGCGTGGTTGAGGACAAACAAAGCAACTTTCCACATTTATAATATTAATGTATCATGTTGACTGTCTCATTATGCGAAATGTTATAAAACAACAACAATTTACTGGAACTAAGATAAATTGACAAATACATATTGTATGTTTAAAGCAACTACCATCATTTCACTTTAATACATACTTCTTAGGTACATACACAGTTTTTGTTGAAAAACATACAATTATAATGATATCGTACCATAGATCTAGGGCCAGGAACTTGTCCCATTTGACAAACGAGTGTAGCCTTCTTATACGCGTCGTATCGCAGCACAAAGCACAGCAGTAGACCAGGCATCACGATGTCGCCGAGACCTGTAACATCAAACATTGGCTTTATTATTTTAATTGTAGTAATTATTATATTATTAACAATTAAATGTTCCTGGTGTATTAAATTACTAAAACTAAGATAAACTTGTATCAAGAAATCATTGACCAAATGAATGTAACCTTTGATTTGATAGATACGATAGTATACAGCGTTTGGGGTTTGAAAAAAAAATACAGATATAACACGTGGACTTCGAGGCGTTATGCAAGACATTTTCAACCTTACTCTCTTGAGATAAAGTTGGAAATCCATAGAAGGATTGTCAACTACATTTACTGATTTGCATGGTACTGACCGAGCATGGAGAAATGTCCTTGGTGGTGCATGGATGGGAACACGAGCTTGGCGGGCAGCGACAGCTTCGGCGCGTCACGCATTGCGCCGCCCAGCTGCAGCCGCCGCGCTACTACGTTCATCGGATTCTCTGCCGGCCTACAAAGAACATAATTACAGATAAAGAAATAAGACATGAATAGTGCGTACCATTTTTGTTAATTCACGTATACTGAGTTGAGGACTAAGTAACAGTTGGTAACTGCACTTACAAAAGATGTCAAAATTGATACAGATAGTTATGAAAACTGACCCTAAAAGGAACGTAATACGTAAATTTATTGGTTAAAATTGGAAGTGCATTTATAGACAGCAGTAAAGGTGGCTTTCCCTAGTCGAGGGTTTTCCAAAATCCAAACTATAGGTATGGGTCGCAAACTAATTTTTCTTGGGCCTTGACTATAGAAAGTCGCGATAACCCATCGTTTTGTATTTTGTTTTTCATATTAGTGACGGTCTAATTCCCTGAAGGTGGGTCCTGCGTTTGGGAACTTGATTTAGATAGGTCGTAATCTTGACAACTTTGGGAACCACCTCTTTAGTCTATGATAACAAACACTTATAATTAGAAACTTCGTTTAATTCATCTCGAATAAACAAATAACGCTTTCCATAAGAATAGAAGCTAAGACTTTATCTACAGCAAACATTTGCACATTATAATGATAGATGAGATACCTTTGTTCATAACGTTGTCCTTGTACCTAAAAGAACAGAATAATGTTACGATGAAGGAACAAAATTTAGTCGTATAAATCTTGTGTAACATGATGTTTCTGTGTCATGGCTACACATCTCGTTATCTGGACTAAGAGGATGCCTAGGTAAATTATTACTTACGGCTTCCAAATCTTACATGATATAGCTATTATAAGTATGAATGTACCTCATGTTGTTTAGAATCTAACCTGAAGAGCGTTTTAAAGGTACCCCGCAGCTGGGATACATGTTTCGGTTAAAAATGTAGCTGGGAGGGCAATAAGCCCGTTTGTTCGTCTTTGAAGGACAAATTAAATTAAAAACAGTGTATAATGCTGATGTGTTATTTTAATACAAATGATAACTAAATAGTACATACCTGGTAGCAACTTTGACCATGACGTTGGTGGTGAATATGTAAGAGGAGAAGAAGACCCAGAAGACGTCGTACAGCAGAAGGCCGGTGAGTAGTAGGGTGGACACCTTCAGTGAGGGCAGCCGGATTAGAGCGATGAACGTCACGCACAGGCCCATACCCATCGCTGGGGATATCAGAAAAAAATATTTATGTATTATACTGAACAAGACTTTGTAAAAATAAATCAGCACAGTGGCTGTGTCAAAGGTTCCTATTCTTAATTGCACAATTCTTTATGTGAATAAAAATTGTTGTATCAATTCTAGGTTTGATGTGTAAAAGCATTCACGACACAGGGATAACATTACATATAACATAACATCACGCCTTTTATCCCCGAAGGGGTAGGCAGAAGTGCACATTATGCCACTGTGCAATGTAACACCCACTTTTCACTATTTATGTTATGAGTCCCATGTAATAGAGGGTGAGCCTATTGCCATATACCGCGCACAATTTCAGACTCCAGGCTACTACTGAGAATTTTTTTAAAACCCAGTAATACTTTGCCCGACCCGGGAATCGAACCCGAGATCCCTTGCCCGGCAGTCGCACTTGCGACCACTCGGCCAACGAGGCAGTCATCAGATCAGGGACAAAATTATTGAGTCATTTTTTAATTAATTACACATGACAACACTTAGTAACTAATAACTGAACATCTTATTATTAAATTATAATTCTACGAACTCTTCTGATTACCACATGTGCCTACGTATTCACGGAAAACGATAAAGTTTGGCCCGACTGACTAATAGTTCAACTACAAGAAACGAAGCCGACAGTGGTTGCGATAACACTTATTGTAAGGAACATAATATCCAAGTATTGGTCAGTAAGTACAACTTAGTACATGAGTACCTGCGACCAGATCCCAGACCAATAAGAGGCTCTTCTTTTTTTCAGTTGCCAGTTTATACCTTAGCTGTCAAATGCAGAAGTTCTGTACGTTTGTGAAGAAGATTTATGTTTTCTTTGTGTTAATGTTTAAATACTGAAGTGGCAAGCAATACTAAAAGAGCCCCCAATTTAATAGCACTTAAATTTTAGTGTATAGTTATGAATTGAAGATAACAAAATAAAGTAGAAAGAACTGTACACCATTTTTCTTCTCCAAAGTCTACAAGGAGGACGGGCTAGTAGTTTCTTTGCCCAATATTTGTCATTTAGTCATTATCTAAAAATTGCGAAGTACTAAGTTTTTCTGGGTTTAAGACTCTAGAACCTCCTAGCTTAGTAGGCTTTTGCTGCTTAACTAAAGAAAGAATAGTGTGTAAAGCAATGAGCTAGTACAGTCCTGAACGTCCGTAAGTAGCCAGTGACTATATTATGAAACTAGAATTGACAAGATAAGAGTAGAGTTGTAGTGTGTATGGAAATGAGCAAGTAAAGTCCTGACCGTCCATGAGCAGCCAGTGCCCGGTGAGCACCCAGACGGCAACGATGGCAGCGGCCAGCAGCGCGGCGGCCAGCTCTGGAGCCGAGTACCGGCCACATACCGCGCCGCGCGCGCCGCCCGCCACGTACTGGCACAGCGGCGTCAGCAGGAACGCCAGCGCCGCGCATGCTATTACTGGGATACGGAAACAGGAAAAAAAATTATAAACATATACATGAAAAACTGGTTGAAGACAACCTTAGGACTACATAAATAACTGACCCCGTGGCTAGGTTTAGTGGTGCCTATTGAACTAAGTCGTAAACCATAGCAGGATTTTCATATATTCTCTTCATGGCAGTAGATTTATCTCCGTCTAGAACAGAATCTCATCAGCAAATTCGAAGTTTGCTAGGACAGTTAATATTACAAAAATAATTACGTAAACTGTAATAGGTACCGTCGGAACACCCGTCAACACGGTGCTAAACCAATTATTAAGATTGACGTTAGGACAAAAATAACTAGACACGAGAATAACAGATATTAGGTACATATGTAAGTAGACTTACTTGCAGTGCATATCGCCACCAGCGTCTGCATGGAGTCGAAGAAAAAGAACATGATGAGCAGAGCGACTGAGGAACCGAGGGGGAAGCACAGCGCTTGCATCGTGTTCAGAGTTTGAACATCTGTAAAGAGAACACAGAAAACGAAATTAAAAGAAAACCGAGCACAATTTGACAAAATTCTACATACAAAACGAACAGGACCTAAGAGCTAATTATGCAAAATTTTTCGAAAAGACCCCATATTTATTGCTCTAATATAAAGTACTGAAAAGACTGCGGATGGCCTAACGGATTACCGTTGTTTCGGCTCGAAGCAGTAGTAGGAATGGAGTAATGGAGTAGTTTATCCTTACTATCCTTACTAATATTATAAATCTGAAAGTGAGTTTGTTTGTTTGTTCCACCTTCACGCCGTAACTACTCAACCGATTGCTTTGCATTTTTGCAGACGTAAAGTTAGAAGTCCGGATTAAATAATAGGGTACTTTTTAACCCGGAAAAAAATGATATTCCCGAGGAAAAACAAAAGTATTGGTATAGATGGCGCTGTGTGTATTGGTATATGTCACATAGGCTACTTTTTATTCTTTTGTGACGCGAGCGAAGCCGCGGGTAAAAGCTAGTATTCAATAAGAACCTGATACTCCCTCTCGCTCTCACCTAAGGCAGGAAGCCATATGACGATACCTCCCTCTCAAAAAAAAGATAACAATAACAATAAGTGGTATGTTCTGGAATAATGACCTGTCCAACAAAGCGCATTATCAGTCGATAGAATAAGTCTATTCTAGTTACCCACTTTCCAAGTACCAGATTTCGAATCGAAGTCTACGCGAGATACACGTGGGATAGTTTGGTTATAGTCTAGACCGTAAGTTTACACTACTAAAAGAATGACCTTTTGTACGGAGTCAAAGACAATCGCCTATAGTACTATAACTATTACGATATGATGTAATGCACATCTAGGGAGCACTAATAGTAAACGATACTCGAATTAATGAGCTAAGAATAACAGTTTACAGGTGAAGAGACACGGGTATGTCCAAAAACCAATGCAAATCAACGCGAGATATTGGTATCAGGATGAGGAGTAATGAGGACTTTGAGGAATCAGCATCCTCTTGCTCAGTCTCCTAACTGCGACCCCTAATTGTTTGTCAACCGTGGGAAATGGAAATTATGGCAAACCCCTTTAAAGAAGGGCGTCTATCTTGTCATTAGCGGAAGTAATACGACTGATGTTGATGGGGGCGTTTGGTTTTTCGGTGTAAAACCACAGGTAAAACTATCCACTGCCTCGTTGACCGAGTGGTCGCAAGTGCGACTGCCGGGCAAGGGGTCTCGGGTTCGATTCCCGGGTCGGGCAAAGGATTACTGGGTTTTTAAAAAAAATCTCAGTAGTAGCACGGAGTCTGGAATTGTGCCCGTTATATGGCAATAGGCTCACCCCCTATTACGTGGGACTCATAACATAAATAGTGAAAAGTGGGTGTTACTTCTGTGTGCACCGCTGCCTACCCCTTCGGGGATAATCGGCGTGTTATGTTTACGTAAAACTATCCACTTTTAACATTACTTACGCCCGAATACTGAAAGGCTACAATTTAAAACTGACACATGTACGAACATCTCTGTCATTTTACAAAGAATTTGTAGTGACAGACCTATACTTAAGCGCGACTAAGTTGAGTGACGTTTGAGGATTTCGCCATTGTGTGTTACTTGGAATACAAAATAAACACCTTGATTAATATACTCCGAAGGATCTATGGAAACTTGAAGTGAAATTCGAAATTAATAGGTCCTCCTCTTATAAAACCTCTGTAACAAATTATGCTTTTCCGATAGTTAAATAACTAGGTACTCAAAGTAAGCTTCAAAATAAACCTGTACAATTTTACGATGCAATAGAGAGTCGGATTGCTTACAAATAGCATATGCCATTGACACAATAACAGTTTGCATAATAACGTCTATAGGTTACTACTACTAGTGCTAGTACCTCCTTAGGTCATTCTGTATCACTTAGCACCGCTATAGTGCATTAGATAATCTGACCTATTTCAAATATGGCAGTTATTAATATTATTATTAAATCAAATGTATTTATGTCCAAGACATGATTTATGATATCTATGGTCGTAAAGTTAGGTCTATGCCCTTATTAGGCTGTGTTCACACAAGTCGAGTTATAGTCTGACCGCAAGCACTCTGGTGAAGAAATATCGTAAAAAATCAGAAAGCGAAAGAGAAATATAACTCGATCATTGCAGCGATATTTAATATAATAGATAACACAAATGTCGAACTACAATTGGAGCCATTAATGTTATTAAGTACCTGTCAAATTATTAATTTCAAAACATCCTGTGAACTGAAAAATATTTGGCATGTTGCTTTGATTAAATAGTCGTTACCAAAACTTTATTATGATTGAATGAACAAGGTATTGTAAAAACTTGCCTTCCTTTTAATATAAATAACCACTAGTGTAAGGATATAATATACACTTCAGAGCACATGCCTTTAACAATTTCCCTTTAAAATTATAATTATACGCATAAAGTTTTACAACTGTACGGATATGAAGTAAAAGTTAATTAATTATTTGATTGTTCAGCGCAATTGGAAATGTGGGACAAGCATCGACCCAGTTCAATTGATTGGTTATGGTATTATTTGTATAAGCTTATCGGTACAATAAAACTTGAAGAAACAACTGTTTAAGCACTAGCGGGGTGAATGAACTCGCATACATTACTAAATTTAATACCTATTATATTATTTCTACCTATTATATCATAAACATAAATATTTTTATTTTATTTACTGTGTCTATTGGGGAGGTGACACTTGAAGGACACGCTTTGATATAAATTAAGAAGTTAATTCTCTGATCTGTATGAGAAATGTGATTACATCTAAATGGTTCAATGTGAAAACATTGTAATCACTTAAAGGAGCCAGCTGTTTCTTGCATTTCATTCGAGCAGCTATTTTTAAAGCAATCCAAATGAACTATGTATTTCTCAATACCGTAAATCTAACGTGAATCCATACGTACGTATATTTTAAGAAACTAGATATCATACCGCAGACTAAACATTATTTCTAAGCATATCGCTACTGAAATTATTTATCGAAGTGCAGCTTCTAATGTTTACAGATATTTTCATTGCACAAGAAATGTTTATTATTGTGAATCCAAGATGCATTGACCTGCATTAGACTAACCGATTGATTAACGATCTTAATTTAAATAATTTGAAACTGCTTTCGACCTTAAGACTGACAGACACGCCTATTCATAAACAATCTTTTAGCGAGTGTTAGCACTATGCAAAGTAAAATATGCGTCATCTCAATGCGCACCATACCTCAAACAAACCTTGACTGTGCACTACGCAGATCCAACGTGTGTGACAGATTTTTAAAAGCCTACCTATGAGATCTCATCATCACAATCATCATAGACGTGAGATATTCATTGCTAAACAAAGCCTTTGCAACTAGTGCAACCAATAAATAAAAGATGCTGCCGTCCGACCCTCTATGGTTGTAATTTTAGGACATTCACGGGTGCCGATACAAATCTAATAGTAATGATGATCTTATGACCGTGGACTGGCTACGGGGCTAAAAACTACTATTATGGGCTAGAAAAACTCACTGTGAGGTAGTAAAAAACAAAAGTTAATTTAGAAGAAGAAAGTAGAAAGGGAACTCACTAGAATTAGAACTGGAGCTGGTAGTAGCAGGTTTCCCGCCAAGCAGCGTGGCTTCCCTCTCCCTCTCAGCTCGCTCCCTCGCCTCGCGTTCCATATTCAGCGACCGAAAGCTGCCGTACACAATCAGCAGCATCGAGATCAAACACGCCGATACCCTACAAACATAACAATATTCTAATGCAAACAACAACGGTATCACATCGAACAATAGATTTAATGACATTTTTACTGTAAATCTTTTGTTTCCGCATTCTGGTCTTTTGTGTATAATTCGTTTAGGGTTTTTGGCCCGCTATTTTTGTGTAACTGTCTGTTGGTGTTATCTACTGTTGATTTTATGAATGTTTATTTATATTACCTACACATATTTTGAGGGTTTCTTATCGGTCAACGCCCAAGATACCGATTTCTCATATCAAATACTGGAATGTAAATTGGTCTTCTTCATAACATTTAAAACTCTTTCGCTTGACTTTAAGTAATTTTACTTTTAAAGTTCAGACGCAGTAATCTAGGCCATGATCTACATCTGCTAATTTTCTTCGCGCGTCTTACAAAAATCCAATCAACTATTTTTCCTCACAACCTTAGTGTTTCATTAAAATATAACATATCGACAAAATAACTAAACAGTAAACACACAAATAGTAGCATAAGCTTCGATTGAATCGAAATAATCGAATGTTCTGTAGCAGATAAGATTTATTATAACACCTAAATTGAACACGAATATTATTATATTTTCAGTGTATCTTGCATCCGCTTCAAGCGCTTGCATATCATAATATAATCAATACTTTCGGAGTTTAGAGTTAGCGTTATTGTATACAAGACCTACCCATCGTTATGCACACAGAATAATAGACTACTGTTACTTAGTCTAGCTGGGTCACGTCACGTCGCCTTAACGCAATCGGAAATCCGATTTACAATTAAAATTGCATCAAGAACAACTTTTTACAATTTTCGGTAGGTGAAACACTATAGAAAACGATTTGTTTCCATTCTGTTAGTAGGTGTATGGCATCGATTCGCAATGCAATACTCTAAGTTAAATTAATGACTCCTATGGTGCAAGCAGTGACGGATACAACCTGTTTCCTTTGCAACATGTGAATGTGACCTAATAAAAGACAGCTACATTCTGCATGTATCACTTGATATTCGCAGAAAATGTTTTATAACTCTAGCTTGAATTAGATACACTTTTGTATCCTATTTTAACCAATTTTCGTTTTCTCAGAAATAATATTGGGTTCGGTTTGAATTAAAATGATTCTACCAATGATTTTCGTTGTATAATCTAATCCAAATGATATAAATAGACTGGAAAATAACCAATAAACGACAATGACAGATAGATAAAGTAGGTACACCACGAAGTGACCTATCGACCCGCGCCTAATTAAATGAAGCGCTTTCCAGCGGCGCGGGGTATCTCTCTAATGAAATGTAATATCTTGCCCAGGACCCCTCCAATTAACAACATGCACTCAACATCAACCGCACCGAGGACATTTCTACTTATTTTATAAGGTTCCGTATCAATTAGAAGCAAATTACACATCCCTATTTTCATTCTCGTGTTTTACATTATCATGCGGGCCATACGGGTAACGTACCTACACATGGAATCGAGACTTAAAATTATCTTCAATGGGTCTTGAAAATCTCAAACGCGTAATTATCGCACTTTCCAATCTCTTTGTGACCATGGGTGTTGTGCCTAGTATGAAAAACAAAAACTGCAAACAATAAACGCGCAATAGCCGGCCTGTACAATTGGTTTTTACTTCAATAATGGTTGTCCGCGTAAATAAAGAAACATTACACAACGGACTTGTCATTGGTGTTTTTGTAATGATACTTTCATGGCGAATTATACAAAGTGATTTCGCAATACGTCTCTGTGACTGTCGCCGCACATCGTGGCGTGGAGTTCCACGGTTCCACCTCACACCACAACGCTTGTGTTTATTCTGACTACATTATACTTACTCTGTTCTTTTTCCCAGAGACGTTCTAATGTTTTTATAATAACAAAAACGTAAAAGAACCTTACAAAATACTCGGTTCTCATAGCAGTTCTATCTAGTGGAGCTGATCTCGGAAATTCCTAGTTCAAGTGACGGAATAAATAAGCAAACACTTGAGTTTTTTTAGCGCCTTCTTAAGCACACCAAATCGTTCAAGTGTTTGACTTCTAGCTCAAACAAGCGGTGATTAAAAGTAAATTGTTTGGGTAGCGATATAATAATTATAAATAGTTTATAGCTCATAGATATATATAATTATTTATTGACTTACTTGGAGGAGTCCATGATTGAGTAAGCCCACTTATACTCCTGGTATTCCATATTAGCTCCGACCTGCGCCATTCTTCACTGTATACCACACAAATCAACGGCTCAGATGTGGTGGTAGCACTCAGGTTGATCACGTCTTGGGGCTCTTTAACAATGCATAACACTTATTAGCACTTTCTACACAACATAAAAACGCACAGCGCAAAAAATAGATGTACACAATACGCCTACATTGATACATTCAATCAAGAAGGAAAATAAATAAATTGAAGTAACGTTTTCAATTTTATAAATAAAATATAAATCATAGAATACCACTAGCAGCTGACAAAAAAACTGAAGATGGAATGCCGGCCGGTTTTTTCATTCAAATATACTTTTTTGCAAATTGAATAGAAACCGTGTGGATCGGATGCATCTACAAAGATGTTTGTAGGCGCGTTAGATTGGCGATGGCAGATATTTAACGGAGAACGATATTTGAATACTACAACAACAGACCGCAATTTATCTCATAACAAGGCAATGGAACGTGATCTTTGAGTTGTATAATAATAATAACATACTCAAACATTTGTGGGAGAATTACCGTATGTGAAGACGCGGATACAAACACAAACTTCAAATAAATACCCAAATGAATCTCGGCTCGAAGTGAACGGACGATACGGATCAGCATCGTTCTGCTTAATATTCAAAAAGAGTTATCAAACTTTGATAATAGTAAACTGGTTTGGTTCAACTCTTTTTTCCTGTGACAAAACATAAAAGACGACCCTATCTACTTAGCACTGAGCAATCTAACTTTATAACCAAAACAAATGAATGGTCATTGCAAATCAAATTAAAGCAGACTTTCGCCAATTTTAACTTCACCTGAAGTAGAACTTGGTTAATGGACCTTAAAAATTCTGATTACAACGCGATTGATTTGTATTCTAGATAGCAGTCAGATTTGCGCTTTTTAGGTTACAGTCTAGATACCCCAATCAATGCGGTGGAGATTATCACACGGTTAAATTTACTACCTTCTCTTTCTTAAAACGATCATTATAATGACTTCAGACTCCTGCCCTATGCTGGGGCTTCGGTAAATGACGTATTGGCTAGTTTCGCTCACCAGTCCGCTACCAATTCTGCCGACCTTCCATTAGATACTTGACAGACAGAATAAATCACAAGATTTTAAAGCTTTGATTTAAAGTTATATTAAAAATCAATTTGAATCAATAGAAATTTACAAGCAGCCACATGTTACGCGCTAACGCTAACATTGCATAAAATAAAAACAGTAAATAGAAACGGTTAAAAGGACATAAATGGGGCATTGACCTGAAGACCTGAACAGTGTATTATAAAAAAACTAGCAACCCGCCCCGGCTTCGCACGGGTGCAATATGCATGTATTATACATATAAACCTTCCTTCATTCTATCTATTAAAAAAAACCGCATCAAAATCCGTTCCGTAGTTTTAAAGATCTAAGCATCCATAGGGACAGACAGATGGCGGATAGCGACTTTGTTTTATACTATTTAGTGATAGGCTCATGTTCTTAAATTAAAATATTTTATGAGTACATTGGCCAGCAGATCAACCTGCACCTGTCAAGTTTACTTGTTAGATTTTAAATTTCATTGTTTTGATATAAAGTTGAAAATTAAATAAAAAGACTTGTAAATTGGGATATTTTGTTCTGGTGCCAATGTATGTGTTTTGAGAATAGATACTTGGAAATTATCACATGCTTAAGAAACAATACATAATAATGATGTTTATTTTGTTAACTTTATGTATAACTGTTTATAAACATGAATGAGAATTTTCAGATTAAATGGCATGTTTGTTTTCAGCAGTCAACTTCGACCCTAATGTGTAATGTGTAATGTATGTACAATCTTAGAACAATTTTAAATACATTAATTTCTATATAATTATAAATATGCATATGGTCATTAATTTTTTTTTATTGAATAGGAGGCAAACGAGCCGACGTGTCACCTGACGGTAAGCGATCAGTGCCGCCCATGGTCACCCGCAACATCAGAGGAGTCACAGGTGCGTTGCCGGCCTTTTAAAAAGGAATACGCTCTTTTCCTGAAGGTTTGAAGGTCGTATCGGTTCGGAAATACCGCCGACGACAGATCATTCCACAGTTTTGCTGTGCGAGGTAGAAAGCATCGTGAGGAGCACACTGTTGTGGCCTGCCAACCATCTAATATGGTGGGGATGCATATTCTGTCGTGAGGGTCGATAGCGAAAAGATGCGGCAGGTATCAGGTCAAACAATTTCTCAATTGCTATAAAATATTATTATCTATTATCTTTTCTAAATCATTAGTTTTTAATTTTTGAAAACATATTTATGTATTTGGATAATAATGTTGATGTACAACCAATCAAGTTATTTAGCTATAGGTAGCAGTAGCTATAGGTACTTATAATTTATTTTATGGTTTTTAACATACTTTTTGTAAATATGTTTAGCTCAGTAGCAAACCTATAGTTACTGTCTCTATACTAAATCTATCTTTATTTACTTACCTGCAAACTAATTCATAGGTTTATTTTTGAGATGGGAAAATCATCCAGTGACTTCTCCCACCCGGGTGAGGCGAGAGAGAGTGTCAGACTATTACTGACTAAAAACCACCTCGTTCCTACTCCTGCACTTCGAACCGGAGTCCCCGCAACCCATTAAGCCCTCCGCGGATACTAATTCGTAGCTTGACTGACTTTATATGTATGTATACAACAAATTGTTGCTCTAGGTCTGGGTGTGACATGTAATCCAAATTGTATAAGACATGAAACTCTATTGCAAAATTTGTCACATGTGAATACTCTTAATATATGTACATGCTTATTTCAAATATACTTTATCATTTCTGTTATTTAAATCGCAATAAAGTAATTGTTTTTTTTTTAATATAATAATTTGCAATGCAATGGTTTTTATACTAAAATGCAATCTACAAGTATAGAATAAATTCTGAATAAAAATTTCTCTAATATAATAGTACAACCATCTGTAATGCTATTAATTTTGGTCCTTTTTTGAAAAAACACATTAACTCGTCGAGTACCGGTTTTATAGACACAATTAAAGAACAATAGGTCGCGGTCACCGGTGACCGCTTGGTATTTGACAGATTAATCTAACATCTCATGTTTTAGATTGCAGGTAGATAGGTAACTACTACCTTACTTTATTTTTTTATAAATAGAACAGGCTGCCTAATCTAACCAAAAGCCAACTCAAGTGTACGCTGATTATTTCATTTGTCATTTAAAAAAATCCTTCATATGTTTATGATTTCAAGAGTATTTTTTGTTTATTCTCAGAATAGTCAGGACAGGAAATACTGGCCTCAAGAAATATAAAAATATTAAATTTTAAAAGCCTATTCACTTATTTACTAAATAAATATAATTTATCAGTACACCACACTTGGATGCATTGGAGCAGTGTTATCAACATCAATACTTATGCACTTCCTTTTCCAAAAAGGATTTAAGATCATGTTTTTAAAGTATAACTTTGAATAACTTATTTGGTATATTGCAAGTGGTTTTTGTTTTTAGAAACACACAAAAATATAATTGTTATTGTAATACTTATAATATCATGTCATAACAGTACACTGGGATGTTAAATTACATGACATCTGTAAAGGAAAAACAAATAATGATTCTGATTGGATGCTTGGAGAAAGTTTATAAAATTACGGAAAAGCTTCCCAAAGTATTAATTGTAAATTTACCGACAGTATTTTTATGTAGGTCATTTTATATTAGATACAATAACACCAGAGCATTATAAAATACAAAACAATGGCTAAGTAACAAAAGTTCAGTTACATACCGTCGTAGTAATTATTAAATAACGGATTAGAAAAGTTTCTTCAAAAATATAAGAATATAATAAAAAAGAGCGAGCTCGAAATAAGTAGAGCACGAAAATAATGTACACAATAAAGTGAAAGGGTACCAAAATGAAATGTCTCATTGTATTGTAAGTATAACAGCAAATTTAATTCAGCGCAAGGAAGTGTTTAAAACATTCGTACACCAATATTGTTTGGCTTACTAATATCCTATTACAACTATCGGGAAGCTCTAAAATACAAATATCCACAAGAGTCTAGTTAGAAGAAATTAAAACTACTCACCAATCCTGGAGACTGCTCCAATACAATTTGATTGTCAGCCCCGGGATCTCATGCTTACAAAATAATCGTATCCCGATCAACAATTAAATTACATGAGGAATTAATTGATTTTCACACAATTTATTTACGACAATACGACACCCCTACGCTCGATCGACAGCCATTCTGACCATAGACTAGAGGAGAATATAGAGGTGTGAACTGTGAGTGAAGGTGTGTTTTTTTAAATGATTTATGACTGGAGGTAGATTTGTAATTTTATTAAAAAAAATCATTTTAAGTTAATTACTGTTTACATTGTAGGTATATGATATTTAATAGAAATTAAGTTTTAAAAAATAACTAACAAAAAGAAGAAATATTAGGAAGCCTGGCTTAAAAAAGTATGATGACCCAGCTCTATGGTTTGGGTAACCTAAAAAAATAAAACATTTATGTCAAGTCAAAGTCTAATTTTTCTACAAAAATTGCAATTTTTTTCTATTCTTGAAGTTTCTTATTACAACAAGTTTCTTTCTTACAAGATGAAGCTGTCGCTTGTACTGTTTCGACGAAATCGCTTACCAAATGGACATTTATTTCGAGGAAAAGATAGATTAGTAAAAAAAGTTGAACCAAAACATCTCAAGAAAATTCAAGATGATTTTGCAATAGAAGAAAAAAATATGTTTTATTTACGGTTTCCGTACCTTACAGAAGTAAGTATTACAAAATATAAATGATAATTTAAATGAACTAATATCTAGACTAACACAACATCTTCCAGGCCATTTATTTTCTAAACAAAACTGAACCTAACTTTATTTCCAGGCTGAAAGCAGTGGCCACACTAAAGCCCTTGGTAAACCAGAAATGAGGAAAGAGAAACTGTTAGACAATCAGAGAAGGATCTTCAAACAAGATGTTACTTTATATGAGAGACTACAACATCTCAGAGTAAAGGAATCTTGGGACTAACTCATAATCATGTAGTTTAGTGTAAATAGGTTATTTAATGTAGTAAAAATTATTAATAAAATGTAATAAACAATTTGCATTGTTATTCTAATTTGAATACCATAAACAAGTCATAGTTATAGGTTTACTTCATAAGTAATTTTAAAACAGGGTGTTCATCTTGCGAAGTCAATAGAAACTGTCTGTCTTTATTCTACTCTCAAAACCAATCACCCAGTGTTATAGTAGGTGTAGACAAAAACATGTGGAAAAGACACTCGCCATAACAAATTTGGACCTGCATGTCTGAAGGAAGAGGCAGAGAGGCATATTCTTTCAGAAAATTAAGATAACTAAGGTTTTCTGAGAACTAGAAGTGTGTTACAGCATTATGAAAGTCTAATTTTCAGACACTTTTCTTAAATATTGAAGATAAAGAATATGAAAAGGTATGGTCACTTGTAGTTTCAATAAAATGAAAAGACAATTTTTCATAAACATGTTTTATTTTTCGAAATATGTACATATATCTAAAGAGGCAACAATTTATAATATCACATCAATATATTGTTTATTGCAAAAATATCAAGCAGCTAAGTACACATTTCACAGTATTTAGTTTTTTAAAAGCCAGTTTATTATCCCTTGTATGAAAATTACCAGTGTTTAGAAGTTATATAAACTTATTTTCACTCATAAATTATATGATAGTGATATATTATACAACAATGTCTGTCATTTTCATTCGGGAGTAATTAATTCACTGGCTTCACAATATAAAATATATAAATAATCTGCTGTGGCAGACCATTACGAAAGCAACTTACACTCTAAACATTCATAATACGCCCATTATATGCACCATTTATTGTAACAATAGAGTCTTTCGATAACTATATAAAGAGCGCGGCACATCACTAGTAAATACTAATAAGGTTGCATACTGAAACTGATTATAAATTATTTTTATAATGATAATAATATCAAGATCATATTTAATAATAATTAGCTTAATACCTGAGTTATTTATTAATATTGCTGGGATATCTATTAATGGGATATCTGGCCTACAGAAAATATTTTCTTTTGTGGAACAACTGTGACCTAACTATTCAATAAAACTTTTTTAAATTCGTATAGATAATGACAACTTATCAAAATAATGAGTTTCGGCATTTCTGCTACGCATAGAAATAGCATTAACGAAAAGTGTAGATTTTGTACTTTATATTTTTCTGTACTTTACCTACCTTAATACAATATTTTAAGTACTTGTGAGCTTACAAAAATTAAATAAAATTGTGACTAACAAAAGTATTCACAAACATTTTGTATAATTTTTCCAATCGGAAATTTTATGAATTATGTACTTGGTATTAATGACACTTGACCAAAAATAAAATTATTAGAGGAAAAGGCAAGCAATAACTCAACTTAAATAAATATACATCTGTGTTTACATGCATAATATGTAAAATTCACTTAGGTATACAGTTTATAGAAGCATAAATTATTATGGCGTATGGTTGGTCCCCTAAAACGTTCATTATAAGAATAAATCTAATTCTATATAATGCAGATAAGTTTTACATAAACAAAGATTTATTAAGGCCACGATTTAAATCTGTATTAATTACAGTAAATAATCTCATTAAAAACGTAAATTCGAGTTTCTATCACTATTAATACTTAGTAAATTCGAAACATATCAAAATAACAGTGTAATGTTTGTAACCAATAATGATTAATTTTTATATAATGTGTCTGTATCTGTACGGCCCTTAGAATCATTTTATGTATGACTGAACAACGATCACAATTCACGCATTTTTAAAACAGACAGAAAAATAAACGCAGAAATAATAGGTACATACTACTAAAAGCGTAAATAAACTTACACATAAATAACTCTAGGTATATGATATTACCGGATAGGTACTTAAACTTCTAAGAAATATATGAATAAGTTTCTTGACATCATAATAAATACAACGGTTATTTGCTAAGCTAACACATAATGGAAATATTGACTAATTGCTCTTCGTCCACGCAAAAGGATCATCTTTGAGGTCCTTCTTGTAAAGAGTTTTACCTTGGTGCACAAACTCAGCGTACTGAGCGACCACTGGGTCCCTCATACAGGAAGCAACAGCTATTACTTTTTCAGCCTCATCAAAGAAGAAGATGACAAACTTAAGACCATCTACATCCCCTTCTATCTGAGTACTTGCTGGTTTTCCGCAACCAGCATAACGGATAGACTTTCCGAATAATAGAGTCCAGAAGAACGGAACTGTCTTCAATGGCGTATCTTTCTTTAAAATGTTCAAAGCAGCAATACGGCCATGGTATTGAGCTAAGCCGATATGCCCGATGCTCAAATTTTTATTACCATGAGCGTACACGGGCGCACAAGCGATATCGCCACCCGCAAACACATTTTTGACAGTGGTTTCTAACTTATCGTTTACGGTAACCGCACCATTTCCCTCCATTTTAATTCCGCTATCGCTCAAGAAACCCGTATTAAATGTTGTTCCCACGCCTATTATCAACATATCAGCAGGAAGTGTGGTGCCATTGGACAATTCTACAGATTTTATCACACCATTTTCACCATTACATTTGACAACAGTGGTATCAAACTGAAATTTAACGCCTTTACTTTCGAACAATTTTTGTAAACTACTTCCTATCTCGTGGCCGAATATTTGTCCAAGCGGAGTAGTGTCTTTGCCAACTACAGTCATCGACTTGGCTTTATCGTTACAAGAGGCCGCACTTTCTAATCCTATGAAGCTCAAGCCCAATACCACAACATCCTTATCTTTGTTGGTTCCTAACGTGTTCAGAATGTTAACAGAATCATCAAAGTTTCTAACTGTGAATATGTTCTTTAAATCTATGCCAGGGATATCTGGCACACGTGGAGTGGAGCCAGTAGCTAAGTATAACGAATTGTAGCGTAGTTTGGTTCCATTGCTCAAGTGTACAATATGCTCTTGGGTGTCGACTTTAGTAGCGTCGACCCCCTTGATTACCTCGATGCTAGCTTCGTCGTAATACTGTTGAGACCTTGCTTGTAGTTTTTCTATATCTGTGACGGCACCGATCTTTGAGACCTTAATTCTGTCGTATGGGAGGTAGTTCTCCTTGGCAACCATGGTGATGCGTCCCTTGTAGCCCTCGCTGCGTAGTGTTTCAGCGCAGGTGGCACCGGAGGGGCCGCCGCCCACGATTACCGCTACAGAACTGTCGCACTGGTTCGCTACGCCTATATCCTTGATACGTTTCTTAGACTTCAAATCGGTGCGCTTAGCCCTTACCTGGAAATGTAAAAGACATCATTTAAATTCATAGTTAAATAAAAAGAAAATAATGGTAGATGGAGATCAGTCTGTCTCGCTTAATGTTTTGTTCCACCAATTATGGTTGCACCTAACCGAGAAGGTCAGACTCAGAATCTACATCCGGTGTGGGTAACAGAGTACGTGCACCTTGCATGTTCACATATATAACCAATATTTCAGTTAGAACGCAGTCGCAGGCAGTGTTGGACTAGTTATAAGTTACCCTTTAATTACTTAGAGTTAACACATGCTTAAAAAGGTGTGTTTAATTAGTTCGTGTGTCTGGTGCCGATTAAGTAATTGCTACACTAATGACATTGAGTCACCATCCTGTATAATATCTATGTACCTCTGTTATGTACAAAGCCAGCGTCTACGATTGTTAACTCAATAAGTTAATACATGAGTTGGTCAAGGTAAACCAAGGTCAGCTACTTCTTAGATCACGCTTTTATTGCATACCTACCTACGGGCATGACCGTAGACTGTGGACCAAATATTTACATTATCCGTTAACCTATAAATAGTAGCACCTTATTTCCATTGTTATAAGAGTTATTTTACAATAATGATTTTAAGAATATTTTTTTAATGTGCGAGTTAAAGCGTGAAACTTCGATATGGCACGGACCTATAGGTAATGACACAAACTATACATTTTGATGATAGGTAATTTGGTTTAGATATTTTGCCAAAACATGAAACGCGGAAAATTTGTAGCATCTACCACAGTATGTAATTTGTGTATTGCTTGTTATGTAAACAAATCTCTGCTTCAGATGGAACAGTAGCCAAATCAACCAAAATATTGATTTCGAGACAGCAGGTAGCCAGCATGTCTAAAGCAGATTCTCTTGCTATCCCTGTTAGAATATTCTGGTCAAATCAGATAAATATTTAAAAGATTATTAATATTAGTTTGACCATGATGAAATTCAATACCTTTAAGATGTCATATAAGGAGAATTCTACGCAGCAACATACCTACTCAGGTTTATGAGCAAATAAAATATAGTTAATAACGTTTTATTATAAGTACAGTTACTGTAATGGATTTGTAACATCACCTAAAAGGCTATTTAGAGACCTTTAGTCCTCAGTATAGTTTCGTTGCCTATAAAAAATGTTATAAAGGTAAATTTTGCAACATTATAATGCGTTCGCATCTGCCTTCGCATCTGGGCTGGGCCGGCTGTTCTGTAACTGTCAATTCGAAGTCGGTCGCATTTTCACCCGGCATTGGTCGAGATTATTTTCACAACCAATGACAAGGCGGACCGCAATCGAGCTCACTTCGAAGGTTCAAATTGACATCCTATAAACTACCTTAGCTGATCTGACGGCAGATGTGAACGTGAACGCATCTTAATGTTGCAAAATAATGATAATCAGATAAAAATGTCATAAACACAGCACGGGCTGTACAAGTTAAAGTTCTGAAAGAAGCAATGAATATCTCTATAGTAGCCAAGGTCCTACACACGTCCTATAAGCGCAACGCAACGATGTGCGAGGAACGGAGGAATTTACTTACATAATGCAAGCACTAGATTTGTTATCTTAAACTGAACCTAAGCTGTACGCGGACTGATAAACATATGGTTACCGTAACCATAGCACAGTATACAGTATGAGGTAAGCGCATTACTCACTTTAGTTAGTCAGGCTGACGGCAAGGCAGCCATGTTTGATTTGCAGGTTACATTCAGTGTATTTTGGATAATGAAGCAACCTCGTCAAAAATTATGGTAGGTATAGTATAGCGTCCAATCAAGGATATTATATACATACGACAAGTGGACTGGAGCAGTCATCATTATTAATAAGTATCATGCAATACTTCAAGGTCACGACGCAATTCGTTAACTTTGCTACCATTGAACTAGTTTTCAATTCTGTTAACGTAACTGTTGCTTAACTTATAAGGTCGATTTAAAATATTTAATGCCTATACCTATGTATCTATTGCAAATATATGTATGTATGTGTATTTTATGATGTAAAACGATTGACGTACGTAAAGAATAGTCAACGCCAAATTCTTAACATCACATATATTTAATACTACCTAGTGAAATAGAAAAACTGTTTAAACAAAGTCACAATCATTAAGTAGAGCCATTATACACAATATGTATGACAATACAAGTCCAAACTGATACAACAACGATGTATTTTCCTCGAATTCATTTTTCCGGACTGAGACGAATTAGCTCATTGCATGACTGTTGTACCTAGCTAGTGAGTTCAGCCATGAAAATAAATAAAACTGCAATTTACAGTCTGTCTGTGACTCCTGCTATCTATTTACCTACGAATTTTCGTAACATAAAGATGATGTTAATAAATGATATTTTAAGAGCACTTGAGTCTTTTAGATATCCAATAACCTTTTATCTGTTAAAACACCGGCTCCCGGTATAAAACACATTATACCTGCAACTTTCAACATACAAGAGGCTAAATCTATGTTTACTAAGAGTTATCTACAGTAATCTACACATACAGGTCTGCGAAAGGTTTCCGATCCTTTGGGACTATGAAGGAAACAGCGTTCGGTTGTAGACATCTATTGTATGACGCTGACGTCATGTTTATAAACGTCTTGTATATTTCATTCATAGCAGTGTGCAAAAACTTGTTTCAAATTCCGCAGTTTCCGGAACACCATTGCATCTGCTCTGTAATTTATTTCACTGGAGAAAATCGAAGTAAATCTAACGTAGGTAGATAGTGTTTAACTGCAAGTACTATATTTAGGTAAGTACATCAGTTCTGGCACAAAACACAAACACGAAAGAGAGTTTAAAAATATATTTCTTGTTGATTTCGGTTTAAAATACACTCTTTACTGCCAGATCGTGGCCAGAACTACTAAATTGCCAACGTCGGTACCTAAACTGTTTTAATACAGCGATTTACATTTTACTACATAGTATACCATATTAGATGCAACCTTTGTGTATCGTATTATTAATTCTGGAGATCCGTGGAGGTTTACTGACCTAACAACAGTGGACTAGGTTCACAATCTAACTCCTTTCCGTCACAACATGACCGTATAGTTCTGAATGATGGCGGGCGGCTACGATTGATTGGCTGACTGCCAATCGCGAATCAGACTATTAGCGATACTTATCGCAAATTACATTCTTATCGTATCGTGTGCATGCACTGTGTTATTATTAGCATTAAATACAATCAGTTTAAATATTGGAAAATTCCCCAGAACGACCGTTGTCGTATAATAAAACGATTTTTTTAAAGGATTTGATATTTGATGCAGATGTTTGGCCGTATATAGAGTGGGCGCTATCAGACAGATAACCATCTAATATAATCAAATATTTATCTTTGTAACTAAGTATTTGATAAAGCGTAAGGTGAACTAATTAATTTAAATCGAAATTCACGAGTCACTTTCCACATCTAAGGGTGTCTTGCCTGCATGTATGATTACACTGCATATTCTCTACATCGCAACGAACATGTCATTAAGGGATCAGCGAATTCCCAGCAAGCAACAAGTCGGAATATAAATGGCGGCGACGTGAACTCATTATGCATGCTACAGGCGTGTGTAGGAAAAGTCGATATCCAAGAGAATGAACCACTTTTATAAAGATTCTCAGAGAATACCACACAAATACTTTTCACACAAAAATTGCATCACCAGTTATGGTAAACTAACTGGTGTGTAAACTTGGTGTCAAACAATGACCTAGTTTAATAATATTTTTTACAAGGATGGTAAATATTTACCTTTTTAATCATGGAACCACGTTTCATAAATTTTTTTTAGATCTCAAGGATATTGATATATGTTTTGAAAATAAAAATATGTTTATGACAGGCTGCTCAACAAATTGGAGTTGTAATTTTATCAAGTCATACGCGCTAAAGTAATAATAATTTAAAAGCAAATATTATAGATTAGCATCCATTACCGTCGTGACTCTAAAAAGTTACATAAGGATTCAGCCTTTACCTAAAAATGCGTGTATTTTAAAACGAAAACATAACATAGATACGAGCTTGCAAGTTGGAATGAAGTTATGGTAGGTCTTACGATTCAAGACAAAAAAAAATGGCAAGAATAACTTATTTAATAACCCTAAAAGTGGTTAAGCCCTAAAGAAGTACCTATTGTATGTAGTTTTAATAATTTTATCAGAAAATGAATAGCCTGATTCTGGATAAAAGGATGAGCACATAAATTTTGGCGTAGTAACGTCAAACGTATTGTTCGATACATCTGTCTAACAACTAAGCATGTCTCTCACTGTGAAGTAGGTACTGCGGAAACAGAGTTAATAGAGAAATAACTTCTCAAAGAGGAACAATAGACGAATAGGGAAAGTCATTCACTCGGATTCTTGCCGTCCTCGGACGTGATGCAATGACGCAGACGACGCAAAAGGTGGAATTTCACAAAGGTATGAGTATTTTAATTAAAGGTGGCAATTTACCCGCCGCACCAAACTTCCAAGAAGGTCTATTTTAGGCCTTCGATATTGGATATTGTGGCCGCGCCTATATTACAGAGATATAGGGTATCTACTAAGTTTACGGATTAAATGGATTGTTATACAATCGATTTAATTGCTTTTTGTTTACCAGCTACTACACGAGTTTGGTACGGTCGGTGGATTACCACCTCATACTTATATGAGGTTCTTCAAGAGGGAGTAAATAGGTTTTTTAAGGGTCGGCAAGGCACATGTGCCACCAAGTGTTGCAAACGTTCATAGGCCACGGTAACCAGTTACCATTAGGAAGACTGTGTGTTTTTTCTGCAACCGTCGTGGACTCGTGGTATAAAAAAATTAATGCCAATTTTCAAAGTAAAACATTCATAAAAATTGCAATGTCTATAATTAGTTGTAGGCTGTGGTAGATAAGGATAAGATGATCAGGTATGGATTCTTTCAGGGCTAAAGATAAACCAATAACAGCTTGTTGTAAGCGATTGCACAAATACAAACACTTCATTATTAATGGTGCATGGAGGTAGGTAATTGCAAACAATCTTATGATAAGGATAACAAGCAGAACGATAGTTGCGCCTTTGTGCGGATAAAGATTTATTAGCATCTAGTGGACCTCGCAAACTTTGTTACATAAGAACCTGCTCCTAAAAAATGACAAACTTAACAAAAAAAAAGAATTAGCGAAATCGGTTCAGCTGTTCTCGACATTTGCGCTGAGCAAAACATTTAGCTGTTTATTGAATATGCGGTTAATATTATAGTGGATAGAGGGGAAATGAAGAATAGGTAAAACAATTGGATGCACAGTACAATAAGATATAAACAAGAAGACTGAAGATATGAATAAAGTTATGTCTAATAAATTGGGAATATCCGGGCTATTAAAGGGACAAATTGGAATAAGGACCACAAGTCAGATATTTACCTCTATATTGAGTTTCTTACTTTGCTGTAGGTATAGACAGATAGATAGAAGGGAATGATCAAGAATTAATTTGATTTCACAAACGATCGAACGAACGAAGTATAAAGCTATGGCTGAAGTAGGATATCTAATTTACTGTCTGTCCTATCACTGCGAGGACCGCCCTGAGGACACGGTGGAATACACATTAGGGGAATGTCCTGCGTGGGCTGAGCACCGCCGTGCCCTCGGGGACGTGATCGGCGGTGGCGACCTCTCGCGTCCGGCTCTAGTGAGGGTCATGATGCGAATTGAGGGGGACTGGGATGCCGTCTCCTCCTTTTGCGAAGCAGTCATGCTAGCCAAGGAGGAGGCGGGGCGCGTGAGTCAGCGAAGCGCTGCCTCCTCACAACCCACCCATCGCGAAGGACACTCCGGGGGTCGGGGATCGCGGGACGATCTCCGGCCACAGTAAGCGCGGGCCTGCGGACGGCGAACATGGGTGACTCACCGCCCGACCTGGGGGCTTACTCTTGAATCCAATTCCGATCGATCGACATTGGTATTGTGAAATTTCGTACTCTTGAGTTGCAATACTAGAGCCCATTGCATCCGTATTGCGTAGATATTGAATGAACTAAATGGTATTGAGTTTGTCTTTATATTCCGTACTCTGAATGCTATTGTAACAGCTAAGATTGTGGTTGTATAGTGTTGACATTTAATAATTATTGAGATCATATTGGATTGAAATTGCATTGACATTGAGATTGGTTTCAAGAGTAAGCGCCCAGGACCAGACCCGAGCGTACGGCGCGTCGCGTTCCGCGCGTGCCGCAAAGAGCCATCAGACTGGCACGGATGGGCCCCAATAGGGCTGATGCCGATACGGAGCCGCGAAGAACCTAACGGGTTACCGGGGCTCCGGCTCGTAGCGCAGGAGTAGGAACGGGGTCGTTTTTAATCAGTAAGTGTCTGACACTCCCTGGTGCCTCACCCAGGCGGGAGAAGTCATTCTTAAAAAAAACTGTCTGTCCTAGCCAGTTAGTAACGAAGTATTTATCTTCATGATGAAATTATTTTAAATGTTTCACTATAAGATGACACCCTCAAAAGTAAGAAACTTGAAATCAAAATTGATCTATCTGACAAATCAGGAGATAAGATGACATATGCTTGAATAGAATATTTTGAAGACTCATTCAATTCACACCTTGTTAAATATTGCGTACTAAGAGTAACCGGTATTTCATCACATCGGTAGAAGATTTTGTGTTTCAAGATATCGCAGGTTTCATAGGTTTTTGAACATGAAGTAGACAAACAGCGTTTTTTTACAATCTTCGCGTTGTCATGTAAGTGAAATGCTAATTATTTATTGATCACGCGACCCGGCTTGACCTCTATTTCGCTCCGCTCGGGCGTTGCAACCTCCACCTAACTTTGGTGGGCCGGTGACCACGACATCTGCGCGACATAGATCTCACCATCTGTTTTTCTAGTTAATATTATTAATAAAAGAATGGTGCCTACTAGCCAGTTACTGAATGCAACGATTAGCAGACGAAAACAAATCCCCCTAATAATTTATGATTTCTTTTGTATTCACTGTAATAATAACGATTTCCCATGGATATGCGTGTATTATTGCCGAAACATAAATACGTATTATGTTCTAGACAAACAGACGCGATAATGCGCAACTCGTCGCATTCTTTTTAGTTTTACAACACGGCGACCTGTTGCACAAATGCCCACCCGCTAGGTATTGTTGATTGTTAACGTGTTCCTTACCTTGACTTCTCCCTTTTCCGTTACAGTAACTTGGTAGCAAGGCAGCGAATCGAAGCCAGGGAAGTCTTCAATGTCTCCAGTTTTTATGTTGAAGCAGGCTCCATGCCATGGGCAGCGAATTCTTCCATCTCCTAAAGCACCAGACACGAGTGGTGCGCCATAATGAGTACACGTGGTGCCCACTGCGCTAAATTCACCCTTTTGCTTCACAAGCAATACTTTCCCTTCTTCTCCAATGTCGAAAACTTTCATTTCATTTTCCTTCAGGTCATTTTCTTTGCATACTACGGACTCAACGTAATTCGTGCTGGACTCCATGCGCGATATTGTGCCTCCTGATTACGAGAAAAAAAAGTTATAAGAAATAAACAAAATGTGCTGTTTCATGCTTGATAATATAAGGTGGTTCTGTCGCTCGCGTCGCTTTACCATTGGCATGGTGCCATGTAGAGGTCACATATATTTTTAGTCAGGGTCAATGTTTGTAACTTGTTACCATAACAACAAGAAACTAAAACATTTGAATAAAAAATTGTTGTTAACCCCAAAAGCATACATACCTATTTGCATTACACATTTATCAATTTATTTTTAACAACAAATATTAAAATAGTGGCAGGCACAACCAATAATATTTTTTTTATTGCATGCCTTATGTGCTTGTATGCACAGTCATATTCTATTCTATTAATTTTGTTATAGCTACATTTATTTTAATTAATAATAATATAATAGGCAGGTTTACTATGTTAGTAGGTATGTAGTACAACATGATAAATTATTGTAATTTGTATACTAAACATCCACATTTGCCTCAATGTATAATCATTTCATAAAAGGATTATCCGGAAGAATCACCTTACATGATAAGGCTGTCCACACATCATAATAATTTTATGTAGTAATAAAATATTTACTATTATATTCTATACAAGATTTTTTATTCTTATTAGTTGCACCTGACTACTACCATTAAAATGACCATAAAAATTAACTAATTATTTAAAAATTTAAATTAATAAAAATAGTGATAGTAGTAAATATTATAATACCGATTAGTAATTTTTCTATCAATAAAAATATTTTAATACATAGGTATCTAAAGTAAAGTCTAAATATATTAACTACAAGTAAAAAAAATACATATTTTTCATAATTATCTATGATTTTAATTTAGGCTCAATCATAAAGTGCAATAGTAAATTATTAAATGCATTTTTTTAAATTTAATGCGGTTTAGAAATATAATTTAAAAATAAATTAATATTAAATACATAGGTACTTACGATTTTCGGGGTCTGGTGGACATTGCCCGCTGTTAGGGGAGTATGATCTTGAATATGAGCTGCCCATTGTGCTGGACAAAAAACTGCCTTAAACAATATTAAAAAAACGGTATAAAATTTATATTTATTTTGAACTTGACAAGTTTTAATGCATATACTTAATAATAAAAATCGAAAAAAATTAACAATCACACTGCTCCCAAATTTACTATATAAAGTTTACAGGACACAATAACTTGTAGCACATTCATCAGAAAATATTTAAACTGTGAAAGGTTTACCTTGAACAAACCGACTTGCAACCTTGTTGACCAAACCGTAACTTTTGCGGAGAAATAGTACCATTTTTTTATTTCAACTGTCAATTAGTGAACGAATTACGAATGAAAGATCGGTCAATTTTATGTGCTGCCAATCAAAATAAGAATGATATGAATCTTCTATTCACTTCACAATAGATGAAGATTAAAAATATTGGGATTAAAAAATATTTAGAAGTTGATAGCTAAATGGTATTTTTTATCTTATCTTGTTTTTTTGACGTTTGTTGGTTGTAGTAGCGCATTTTCGAGGTTTCTTACGAATTGGGACTTACCGAAGTTCACGAATATTGTTTATTAGGCAATATTATTAGTGTTTACTTATTTTTATATTATTAATTTATTTTGTAGACATTAAGTTTCTTTGCTTATGTTTTTCCAGAAACAAAATAACAAATTGAACAACAAACACGAAAAATATCTTAGTTCAGTTTAGTTGAATTTATTGTCTGTGAATGAACGAACTTGATTGCTGTTGGAATGTTGGATCGACGACGGACGTGGCTGGTAGAGAAATATTGTACCTACTATGTTTTTCTAATTTAAAATTGTGATAATAAGAAAAAATGTCGGAGACTATCGTAGCCAAGGGTCAGCCAATACCTGGGGATCCCGAAAAAAAAGGCTGGCTATTCAAGTGGACAAATTATTTGAAGGGTTATCAGCGAAGATGGTTCGTGTTGTCGAATGGACTGTTGTCGTATTACAGGTAAATTAGCGATTAGAATCTTATTGGTACCTTCCGATTATCATAATCTTATAGGACGATATCTAGAATCACTGAGTTTTGACCCACCAAGAGGTTAGACAAGTTTTTCTGGTATGACGCAGTGTTTTTGCGGTATTCGAATTCGAATTTCACAAACCCAATATGTATTATCAAAACAATAGTTTCTGTTTAATTAAAAAGATAATTAATGGGATATGATATAGATTTTTTATTTAAGATAATAAGTTTATAATAATGTTCATGAGTAGTAGCTATTTTCATGGTGACAGTGACACTAGATAAGATTGTACAATTTTTGTTGGTTGCAGTAGTTCTGTCAGACATGGTATATGATCACACAACATGTTTATGATGAGATTATATTGATGACTAACTAGCACAGCAGGCTGCTATTGTTTTCACTACTGATTTGCACAATAATTTTAAATTGAACTTCTTATTGCTACTCAATTTTATGAAAAAATTAACTTGAGATTTTATTATCCTTGATCTGATGTGTGGAGCCAGCATAAACCTTGATAAAGTTTTTGGCTTGCCTCAAGCAGCTTACATTAAAATAACAAGATAAGATATTATATGAAGTATTTTCCTATTAGAAAAAGTCCACTATGTTATTATATTTCAAGGTGAACAAGTTTTTGTTCTTGTTCCATTGAATGGCACTGTGTTGGCTGTTAGACACTACCATGCCATATATTTAGCTTGTTAATGTGTACTAATTAGACAGATTTCACAGTCACCTTACATCATTTCTTAGTCTAACTAATGCTTCACAGAAATTCATCTCTTGGTGTTACATAATTTAAATATTTTGAGTAATATCATAAAACTATTTGTTTAGGTTGTTAGATTTGACCTTCAATAGATATACTTAATCAATTTTTAATTGGCATGACACATAAAAACTATACCTGATTATAAAGTAATAAAAATGGTGTTAGATCAAATTGCATTTTTTTCCATTAAATACTGAAAGTGAAACAACTAATTATTCCTGAACTGATTAAAAACATTCATAAGTATAAGAAAGATAGAGAATGCTGTTACAATGAAAACACCAACATTAACACTGATGTAAAAATAAACTAGGATAGTTTACTAAAAACCATGGTTTGTTATGTCCCTGGTAGCATAGATGTTAGAATTTTGCCCCCTATGTTATAAGACTACTTACGAAAATGACCAAGAGTGGGTACCATGATGTTTCATCTACCTTCATATTAAGAATATCAATGAAAATTTTTTCACAATTGCTAAATGTCTTATTAATAATTTCAGAAATCAAGCCGAGATGGCGCATACATGTCGGGGCACTATATCCCTGCTAGGAGCTCTCATCCACACCGCAGACTCTTGTACATTTGTTATTAGTAATGGAGGTACTCAGACCTTTCACATCAGAGCTCATGATGAAGTAGAAAGACAAAGTTGGGTGACTGCACTGGAATTGGCTAAAGCAAAGGCAATGTAAGTATTTAAAAAAAAAATCTGTATAAACATGGCACATATCTGTTATTGCAAGCAGTTGCAATAACAGATATGTGCCTGTGCCTGCTAAATAAAGTTAAATAAAAGTTGTCCTTCATACAAAAATACAAAAACATAAAAATAACAGATTGAATAGTTTATTTCACATGAAATACAGTTAGATATTTAGCTATTAAAGTTACAAGGACATTTGCACAAATTAAATTTAAATTAATTTTGGTCATAAGAGAACACTGTTTTTTTTTTCTCTCACAAAATATGTATGTTTGAATTACTAAAATAAACATATTATTTGTCCACAGTCGGGCTCAAGAGTCTGATGATGACGAGGATCAGATGTCGACAGACATTGGTGTGGTTGTGGGTAGTGGAGAGGGTGAAGGAGAGGACGCAGGAGGGATAGCGAGAGAACTGGCAGCTAGGTTCCACGATTTACGAACATGTTCCGAACTTGTAGCGAGGCATGGCGCAGCTTTACAAAGGTCTCTCGTTGACATGGAGACTCCACCTACAGACACTACAAAACAAGTCTCAGAACGAGCGACATTATTTAGGATATCATGCAATGCTATGATGAATGTAAGTTTACTCATATTTTGTTTATGAAGTAAAATATCTAAATAATTTATGAAGTAAAATATCTAAAGAATTTAACATTCTTCTGATAACTCTACAAAGCAAACACTAGCCATTTCTGGCCAAGGAAATGATGATCATCCAAATGTGTTTTGAGTTGACCATGTCATAAGATTAATAATAATTTGAAAACCTACTGAAAAATGTAAAACGTTTAGACAAAATATCCTTACTAATTTGCACATTTTCATTCATAAAGAACAATAAGTATTAATATACCTCAATGAAAGTTATTATGTTTATTAGGCCTGTTCAGAGTTCATGAGTGCAGCGGCGGCGTCGAGTGCGCGTATGAGTCGTGCGCTGCAACATGAACGTGAGCAGAAGATGAGGCTGCAGGAAGTTGTGGAACAGCTCGCCAGGCAGCACGACAACCTGGAGAAGACTGTGACTGCGCGTAGTACCTCTCAACCAGGTAAGATTTAACTATGAAAAAAGTTTGGTGGTAGTTTGGGGTAACATGAAGCTGATATTTCTTCTATGCAAGTAAGTGGTTTTTATTTGTATTTTGTCTTCTGCTTTTTCGCAATATTGACATGATGTAATTGGATCATAATCAATGTACACTGCGAGGATCGCCCGAAAGATACGGTGGAGCATACTGTGGGGGTGTGTCCTGCGTGGGCTGAGCACCGCCGTGTCCTCAGGGATGTGATCGGCGATGGCGACCTCTCGCGTCCGGCTCTGGTTCAGACCATGGTACGGAGCTCGAAGTGAAGGATCAGGAACGGAGTGGTTTTTAGTCAGTAAGAGTCTGACACTCCCTCTCGCCTCACCCGGGCGGGAGAAGACATTGTATGATTTTCCCACCTCAAAAAAAAATGTCATGATCAATGTACTACAGCATCACACTAATATTTAAGGTTTGTTATGACCTTTTGGAACTGCAGTTTTTCTGGGGTAATCTTAAAAACCTTGTAATCATTCGTCGTCTTTCCCGTATCTAAACGTAAAATATGAAATAACGACTATATTTTATTTATTTTTATTTTAAGTTAACAAGTGTCTTTACTTGGCGTCTTATAACGTACAATGACACAAATAAACTATATTTTATGAAATGAAAAATGGAATCATGTCTTGCTGTTTTTATTTTTTTCCTCGTCGCCATTTTGTAGTAGGTATTCGACCATAGCATGTTAATGCTCTGGCACTCTGTTATGGCAATGTGTACAACACGTAATACCACATACGTATTAGTGATGGGGTGGTGTCCGCACTATCACCTTGCGTGCCGGTCGGCAATGGACTGATCCTACAGTACAGAAGTATCCGTGCTCTGTTTATTATCTGCATAATATTACATATGTCGAGAGATGAGGAGATGAGTGTAGACTATATGAATACCCACATATACGACATTAACTATATTATGTTTGAAACATAAATTGACGCGCTCGATTCGCTGCCTTGACCTCCGATTGACATGTGCTTAAATTTTTAATCAATCTTAGAGTGAAATGATCTTTATTGACCTCAATTTTTATTGAATTATTATCTAACATGGTCTTACAAGGACTACTGTTAATATTACTTTACATGCATGTTGGTGTTGAAAACTCATACAACAAATTTTTGAAAGTAGCTCCAATATTAATCGGTATTTGATACCTAGAGGATCAATTAGACTCACTACTAATTCCTCTATTTTTTTAAGTTAAACATTACAGAGTTGATTTTTAATTAGTGTTGTAAATGTCTGTTTACTTTTGAGGAATTTTTAAGTACCTACCCACACTACAGAAACAACTTTAATGCCAAATTTAATTTTTGCAAAAATTAACATAATTATTATTGATGAGAATTAAAAATTTGACGCAAAGTCCATTCAGAGATAAAGTTATCTATAGTACCAGTTGTCATACAGATGGTAAGGTAATTCCTTTCTTATTAGGATTATCTATATGATTAGATATGACATCACAGATAGATGTTGCAGGTGCTGTTAAGGTATGCTTTTTATGTCGGTTGCGGAAATCGTAAATGAAACGGTTAGGACATTGCTATTACTTTAGAGTTGGCGGGAAATTGAGGAGCCAGAATTTGTCTGTTCTAATGAATCAGGTAGATAATTGAATTCTCGTTAGAAAATGGGTTGGATATTAATAAATCAGTCGTCAATGAACGTTTCAGAACGAACTTCTACAGTTGCCAACCTAGAAATACTACGTGAAGGTAGTTGGAATGAATGAATGAAATGTAGCACTTCGGCACTTCCGTTCGGATTCCGACGTGAAACGGAACGTGTCATTCGTGACGGATGAAAAATCGAAAAGAATTTTGCGTTTCGGGTTAAAAAAATTAGAAATAATTTCATTCGAAATTAAATATTCCATCAAGAAGTGTGTGTGACACAAAACAAAAAAATGAATATACATTTTTAAAATAACTACCTTGTTTCGGTATGTAGAAGTGCACTTTTGCGAAACGATTTAATTGTCATACTATTGTAGACAGATTTTTTGGTGATTTTCAAGGTTGTTGTTTTTCAGTTGAACGTATTACAGTTTGTAATTGGTTGTTCTCTACTCGTTTATTTAATTAACGTGTGTCGCGACTAAAGTGTTGTCGTTCGGCAGTGCAGTATTGTGTTAGACCTGCCTGGTAATAACAAAATCATTTTGATGTACGCGTCTATTGTGATCTTGGCCTTGTATTAGCTTTGCGTTATTTATTAGTCTTGTTAGGTTTAAAGCAATGATAAATTGAATTCTCCATAACAATACAACAGTATGGGCGGTAAGTGGAATAAAATAATAAGGAAAACACCTCATCACTGAATGCTATGGCTTTCCAGTTGATTTCATGGGGTTTGTTAGTAACGAAATGATCATCATACACTGTCATGTATGTAATCACTCGCAGTTAGAATAGACCCAACTGTTGAAACGTTTGACTGTGCTTACTGAAGAAATGTCAGCAGAAGCAAGTTTAGTACAAGATGTTTAGTAATTGTATAGTGTTGTATTTGATAACTGCTACACTGGCCACTGGCTACACACCACTAACTTGGTGTTTGTAAATTTTCTACAGGTGTGGTGAGAGTGAGACATGTTAAAGCATAAATAAATTGGTTCACAATAAGTATCAATGCATGGTATGATCAATTATTGCATGTTTACTGTATAATAGTGTTTTTTTTCGTTGTAGGTAAAAATTTTATGGTTGATGCAAGAAAGAAATGACTTATGTATTACAATGGTGCTTTAATTATTTATGTGATACTTTTTTTTCAACAAGGAATAATCAAAGTGATGTATTTGTTTGTTGCTTTTGGTGTTATAGAAATATTGTCACACAATTCTTTTGTTTGCAACATCTTTTATGTATATTGCTGTATTTACTTACTGTTACACATTACATTTGTTTTTGTATGGAGTCATTTATATTCATACTCTTTAGCTTACACAGAATCTGTTATTCCGGTTGTGTTATTTAGACTTAAATTAATATTTTGATAGATCTTTATGAAACAAATGTATCAGAATTATTAGTCATCATTGTAATTAGATTGATTGTTTAGCATATTAGTCAACATCATTATAACTATTAGATAAGTATTTAGAGCAGAGGAAATATTTACAATTTATTGCTTAAATTTAAAATATGAACTCGTATTTAATTACTGTGTACCATACAGTAACTGAAGGAAAAGATACAAATAATGTCTAATGTATTTCCTTAGTATTGTGTAAACTTGTGTATTAGGGTAAAATGGTTAAAACAATATATCAGTTAACAATTTGTGAGGAAGTTGGTTATCTTCCTATAAAAATATATGTTGTGTGCAGGGGGGAACGGCTCCGGACAAGGCAACGAGACTGAGGATGAGGATCATGAGTTCTTTGATGCTGTGGAAGAGGGAGTCTCCACAAACATGGAAGACACAAATTCCTTTGTGATTAAAGTGCCCGTAAGTCCTCTACTTACATTTAACCTCAGAAAACAACATGACTCATCAATACCAAATGCATATTGTTTTAACTCTTTGTTATTGGAGAGGAGCAAAGTCAAACTAATATTATTTAAATACAAAACTAGCTTGCATGATAAAACATGAACACAACTTGAAACTGTATGTAAACATGATTTTATTATCTGTATTTGTATACCAACATATACTTTGTAACTGTTATCTAATCTTTCACATGGATCTTAACACAACATTAATTGTTTAGTTTTAATATATATTTAGTACTAATTATAGTACCTAGAAGTGACTGATAAGTTGAACTAACATCATTTATTTTGTCCGAAGAGATCACAGTGTACATAAAACTATTCATATTAGTCATCACTATAATGTGAGGGCGGATATTGAGTTTCATGGTCGTTGTTCATTGTTTTGTGTGTGAATTTACAGGTAAATAGGAAAAACAAAGTAAAAAGCGGTGAAAGTTCAGATGAGTCTGAGGGTGAATCCGTTACTGAGACTCAACAGGTCAGTTCATTCTTCATTTCTTTACACTACTCTCTGTTTCTACAACTCTTACAGGTTACCAGTTGGTAAATGGTCATCATAACTTAGATTATCTTGGATCTATGGCACCACTAATGTGTTGCTTACCATTTGGGAGTTATTGTTTGTTAATCATGAAAATTTTGTTAGGCTCCTTGTTACTAGCCAACTATGAGTCAATCTTTTTAAATAATGTAAGGAAAGGAAGAATAAATATAAACATACAACTTCAGATACACTAAAACTAATAGAAATAGTAAATAAAAGAAAACTAAAAATGTCTACAGAGAGCATCAAAAAATTCGTCCGCATCGACGTCATAGGGAAAGTACCCAGAAGGCTGAATATTTTTATTGACACATTGTATATAATTGTATGTCAATAATAAACAAAAATATCAGCCTTAGCTATCCTACTACTCTTCTCATACTGAGCAAATTAAGAGCATTAGATATTCACATTGTTCTATTTCTTTTTTAATTTGACACTCGACTAGTTTCGTTTTCAAGAAACAATAGTAATTTGTTTAATTATGTTGTTAACATATTACATTAGTTTCATGGTCTGTCGACTGATAATGTGCGCTTGAATTGCAAATTACTTCAAATTAGCTAGACTACAGATATCTACCATTCTGAAGTAAATTGGAGTATTTGGATTCTATAAATACAAGATATATGTAAATAACTTAGCATTGCTGGCGAAATCGGCAAGTCTTAAAAGACTAATGGTGCTAGTGATTCTCAGTCGAGTTTTGGATTTGTATACAACAAAAATAGTTGAATAATTTAAAGACTGGTTTTCTAATTGTATTTACATAAACCAGACCCAGCTGGTGTCAATAAAAAACTTAAATGTGGTAAACTTTGCACTAATGCATACTTCTTTAGAAAATGCACAGTTATACATTAGTATATTCAATAAAAATGTTCTGACAGGTATTCTATTGAAAATACTAGTCTAACAACTAGAAATGCCAGCTAATCAAATAACAATCTGATATAGCAACAAACAGGTTTTATGAGACAAATAATTGTATGAAGAAAATAGGTAGACCTTGAGATTGTAATCGAAGTTTAAAAAAACACTTGTATGGATGACTAATTGTAAATTTGTTGTTATTTGAAGGTAATTTTCGTGGAAGATAAAGAGCGAACGGAGAGTGCAATGGGCGGTACGGAAGCTGAGAGCACCGCCGATGGTGAAGCCATAGTGCCTAAAACACAAGACATTGTAGTATGGGTAAGTTAACAGGTTCTTATTTCTACAAAACAGTGACTTTTTAGAGAGGTTTAGATTCAACAGAATATAAAACAACTTTGGAGTGTCTTTCTAATAATAATATTGACCATTCCTGTATTAATTGTATGCACACAAAACAATAAATAAATATTGATAAATTTTACAATAATATACTATTTATTGTTGTAAAATCAGCTCTCTTTATAATTATTAATAATAATATATTTATTATACAAATACTTTTGTATTTGTATTTATATTTCCAATTTTATGTTTCATTTAATTTAAATTATAATACTTATAATGAGGACTATCTACAAATGTGCTCTCAAAAAGTTATTTATAGAATGCATTGGCATATTAATACCAATGCCGACGAAAGTGCCAATTGACCTGAGAAAGAATGTAGTCACTCGAACACCTAATCAAATTATTATATGACGCTCGAGTACTACGTGGGCTAATTTACTGGGTTTTCCTTTTAGGATAAAATGATTTTCTGAATACAGCTCTATTAGTGTTGCTAATTAAATAATAACTGAAATATTTTACAATCCTGCATATGTATAACTCTAATCATCCAAGTACAAACATTGTTATGTTGTCTATTTTTATAAGGCGTAAATTAAAGGATAAATAAGTACCTAAATATGTTTGTGTAATAACCATGTAACACTGCACTCCCCAAAAACATGATTTAACATAAATTATGAACTTCTGAATGAATATTTGCAGCCGCACGTGGTGGCGGCGCAGATAGTCCCGATCGACGGCCACCCTCGGCGGACGCGGGTGCCTGACAAACCCAACTACCCGCTCAGTCTTTGGTCTATCATGAAGAATTGCATAGGTATATCAGAATCTACAATGTTACTGTTGTCAAAAGTTACAAGTCCACATTATCAAACTATTTTAATTTAATTATCTTCAAAACAGTAAAATATGTATTTGAAAAGTCAATCTTTTGTTGCTGTAACTAAATGACAAATGAAAGGGTTTTATCAGTATATCCGTTACAGAGTGACTGATTGATACAATACAATTATAACTATTGAGGGTATCAAGTTATGGTATGTATGGTTCATGGGTTTAGGGCAGCAATAACAGAAGATATTCCATTTTACGCACATACAAATTCTAGCAAAATTATAACCTCCTTACCTATGTCCTGTGTCTTGTAATTTTCTTCAGATAATCATAAATAGGTAAATGTAATGTAAACAGGCAAGGAGTTATCAAAGATCCCGATCCCGGTGAACTTCAGCGAGCCGCTGTCGATGCTGCAGCGACTGACGGAGGACTACGAGTACTCGTCCATCCTGGACCAGGCCGCCAAGTTCAGTGACCCCGCGCAACAGCTCGCATACGTCGCCGCATTTACCGTCTCGTCGTACGCAACTACTGCTTGCAGGTAACTTTATTTTTTTTGTAATCTCAACTAACTGCCATGTTACTTATTAGAAATGTAATATAAAACGCGTAACAAAAATATCTTTTCATGAATTTTGATGATTTGAGAACTTTGATCTTCATAGAACATAGAGATTCTTACAAAATGTAACAGAACAAAATACTGGTAGGGTTAGACATATTTATTTAACGCTAAATTATAAGAACAGCAATATTAAAACTGAATTCTATTGTTTTAGAACGAACAAGCCTTTCAATCCGTTGCTGGGCGAGACATATGAATGTGACCGCATGGCGGACCTCGGCTGGCGAGCTATATCCGAGCAGGCAAGTGGATCATATTCTCATTTGTTAGTAGAACAAACGTATCCTTGATTTCGTTGTTTGAGTTCTGGGTTTAGCACACGCGATGCTACGTAGTGGTCCTATTTTCCTATAACTATATTCCTATAAGCATCAGATTTAATGCACATTTTTGTCTATCGCATGTGCTTTGCACTATGTTGATTTACCAATATTTACACCCATATTTCCTAATTGATTAATTTTGTCCTACTTTATCCAAGTCTTCCCACCCCTTCCCCTACCTTTCCTCCACATTTCCTTCCAGCACCAGCCTTTATAACTTTTGCTATATTTTGGCCTTTAAAAATATTAAATTCAAAATTGTTTGTGGTCAGGTTTCCCATCATCCACCGATGGTAGCGCAGTTCTGCGAGGGGCAAGCGGGTTGGCAGTGCTGGCAGGAGTTCACCATGACCACCAAGTTTAGGGGGAAATACCTTCAGGTCATACCGCTGGGGGGCGCGTCCGCCATGTTCCCTAGCTCTGGAAACAAATACACTTGGAGAAAGGTACGCACCACACGGGCCGGGGTGGGAGACGATAGGCACTCGACACCCGCAGCGTGACGCAATAAGACTTGCTGCCCCTATATATTGCGTCACGCGTGTAGCGGGTGTGGTAGACAGTGCAGAGAGTGCGCGAGTGCAGGTGTCGCACCACCCGCCTCGCTCGGCGCAGCACTGCGAGGGCGCGGCGGGCTGGCACTGTCGCCAGGACATCTCCGTCACCAGCCGCTTCCGCGGACAGTTCATCACGGTAGACCCTGAGGCAGAGTCCAATATTTGCTTCCCCGACAATAGCTCCTACTATTGGAAAAAGGTAGCATTTCTTGCACCTCAACTACTGTAGCTGTAGCACTCCACATTTCATGCTCACCTTGGATCTTTGATAAATTTTTATTTATTTATTTTTTACAAATTCTGCCTTTAGTTTCCAAAGCCTATGAGATATATGAGATAACTTTACAATAAACACATACAAACCATTTATATATACATTATACAGTACCTGTTTATATAGACGAACAACACAGTCGAAATTATGTGAGAATGGTTGCTTGTAATTCTTGAACTGGGGTTAGAAATAGACCTTTGACTCTAATTCTAGTGGAGGTTTGACTGTCATCATTTTCAACTCTGCTGTCCAAAGTGTAATTATAAGGTCATCAAACCAGACATTGTATGTTCACTAAACGTTCCAGGTGACGACAACAGTGCACAATATAATAGTCGGCAAGTTGTGGGTGGACAACCACGGTGACATGGACATCGTGGGCGAGTCGGGGCCCGCCGCGGGATACGTGGCGCACCTCAAGTACCTGCCCTACGGATACTTCAGCAAGGATACGCAGAGGAAGGTTACCGGCGTTATCAAGGATCCACAGGGAGTGGTTAGTATTGTTTGCTTATTAATAATTATATTAGCTATTAAAACAATCACGTCATAGCCAAAATGACACCAAAAATTCGTAGTTTCACTGTTCACGCACTCCCACTCTATATTACATTAGTTGTTAATGTAAGTAAATGTAACTGTTTTGTTGCAGCCTCGCTACGTACTACAGGGACACTGGGACAACCGCGTGGAGGTGGCACCCGTCACCAGCACGTCGGCCGACAACACGGTCTGCAAGACTGGCAAGTTTACCGTCGCCTGGGAGCGCGTCGCCGCGCCTTCAGACTCCGACAAGTGGTACAACTTCACGGTACTGGCCGCGCAGCTCAACGAGTTTGAGGAGGGTGTGGCACCCACCGACTCGCGGCGCCGCCCCGACCAACGCCTCATGGAGGAGGGCCTATGGGACGAGGCCAACACGGAAAAGCTCCGACTTGAGGAGAAGCAGCGTGCCAAGCGGCGCGAGCTGGAGGCGGCGGCCGAGGAAGCGGCGGCAGGCGGCGCGCCGGCGCCGGCGGGGCCGCGGCCGCTGTGGTTCTCGCGCCAGGCGCTGTCGGCGCAGGGCCAGCAACACTTGCGCCACCTGTACACGCATCGCTACTGGGACTGCAAGCGGCGCCAGGACTGGAGCGCCTGTCCCGACATCTTCTAGCCGGCGCCTCCGCTCTCGGTGGGAGACGTGTCACCGGATCGAGTCTCAGTCGTCAGTGTCGCTCTAGGCTAACGTCGTTTTCGTTTATGCCATCACATGCGTTGGAAGTTTTACTCATTCCATATTAACTGTGGTTGTTTTTATTATTTATTGTTATTTTTCAAAATTAGTTTATCGTACGATTAACGTGTACATAATTCTTATTTATGACGCTATCTCAATTTCCACGCGACTCGTGGCCTAATAGTTAAGTTGTTAGCTCTTAGACATTTGTGAGCACCGCTTTTGGTCGTACGTGTTGAACGTTTCGAGGCTTCTCTCATTACAACTAACAACGAAAGTATTTCACTCACTTAATCGAAAATAACGGGCTTATCATAGTGTTCCGACTAATATTGACTTGTGCTTGTAATCCAAACATAAAGAACCCAAGAGTTGTATTCATGAAATGGTCTAGGACTGGGAACGAAGGTTATTCATCAGTTACAAACTGAATTCTATTATGAAATTTCCTTTTAACTAATCCCACTTCGGGTCTGGAATATTGTCTTAATTTAGTTGTATATTATCTTCTGTAGAAGCCAAGAAAATTAATAAGTAGACGTGATTATTAAATTATATAAAATCAGGTGCTTCTAATGGACAGGTTTCAATTTTAATCAATAAAATTTATATTCATTGCTACTAATCTAGAAAGTGACAAATGTCTAGCGGGCATTAAACGAAGCTCTTTACGTCCTAATAGAAAATGTCGCGTCGTAAAACGTATCTTTTAATGCCTTATTGTAAGTGTTAAAAATGAACACAAGTTAATATCAGGCGACGTGGCGCTAATGTGACCGCGACGAGCTGACGAGGGCGCTACGCCTCTTGGTATCAACTTGTAGTGATCTAGAATATTTTGTAAGGTCTATTACAAATGTACATTTTCAAGTGGATGTAAGATAATTTGTTAATATTTTTATTATAATAGAATGATATTTGAATACGAAGCCATAAACATCTGTATCATGTTGATTATGAAAATAAAATATGTCACTGAATATTGATTTTGTTCTTAATATCACCCAATACCAATTTTTTAAAATTTTGCTTTCGATTCTATTTCTGAAGTAAATCTAGCTAACTGCACAATAAAGAATTTCTATATAATGAGTATCATTCGAAGAATTATGAAAGTAGCTTCTGCCAGCGGCTTCGCCCGCATTCCCAGGGGTAAAAAGAAGCCTATTTGTAGTGACAAATAGGCTTCTTTTTAATAAAAACTGCGTTTAAAAAACCGACTTCAAAAATCCAAAAACTAATAACAAACAAAAAGTCAAAACTAAAAAGCAAAAAATAACTACTATTGGTACTGATAGGTTACCCACCCACTGATAGGTAAGAAGTCGGTGCCATAAGTTTCATACGAAATTATTCATTAAAACCTTAATAGGTACCTAATTCACAATTTTGTGGACATTAAGTTATATCATTATGATATGAGCTTATGGCACCGACTTCTAACCTATCAGTGGGTGGGTAACCTATCAGTACCAATAGTAGTTATTTTTTGCTTTTTAGTTTTGACTTTTATTTATTATTAGTTTTTGGTTTTTTGAAGTCGGTTTTTTAAACGCAGTTTTTATTTTATTATTTTATCATTTTCAGTGTAAATCTACATGTACCCGTTTTGTTACTTATAATCTACATAGGTGCAAAGTTCTAATCAATACAAATTATACAAGCCCAAACACAAGGTAGTTACAGTATACCGTTGAGGAGTTCCCTTAACAATTACACTTCTTCATCATCAGACCCTTAATGACAGCCCCACTCTATCTAGGTGTAAAGTCTTCATCAATACAAGTTAATCAAGCCAAAACACAAGGTAGTTACAGTATCTGTATACCGCTGAGGAGTTCCCTCGAATGTCTGTCGGCTCCATCATCAGGTCGACTCCAGACCCTCATCAAATTGTAGTGTTTAAAAATAATTAAAAAACATAATACACGCATTACTCGCCTATAGAATTTTCAAAAGTTCCCCTCGGTTTCCCTAGGATCCCATCATCAGATCCTGACCTCATAGAAATGGGACCATCTCGGGAGTATACCCTTTCAAACAAAACAAGAATTTTCGAAATCGGTTCACAAATGGCAGAGTACTGTGCGAACAAACAAAAAAAAAACAATCAGCCGAACATAGTACCTACTACTTTTTTTGAAGTCGGTAAAACGAAAGTCGTGTTAGTTACACCACTTATAACTTAAGAACGGCAGAATAGATTTGGCTGAAAATTGGTAGGGAGGTAGCTTAGACCCAGGAGACCGACATAGGATACTTTTTGACCAATTTTTTTTTACTTTTTACCGAAAATCACGAACGGGGACGGGAAAAAATGGGATTACGCGTACGAAGTCGCGGGCAGAAGCTAGTTTATTATAGATTGACATATATATAAGACAAAGATTTTGTATTTTCAACATTTTATTAAGAAAACGGAAACAGTGAAAAAGTACATAACTGTAAATTGCAGTTGGTTACAATATTGTTTATAAACAAATCTTTTACAGTTAAAATCGGTACTAAATTTTTACTCTATTCACATTTACAAAAGAACAATGATAAAGAGAAAGTTGCGAACAAAAATGTCAATATTGTCGCGCTTTCATAGCCCTGAACTTAACCAAAAGTGTACAGTCATGGACAGAACCTAATCACTTATTAAAATACTTTTAAATTAATATAACATCTACACAGTTAATGTAGGTAAAATTAACTCACACTCCAGTATCATACATTTGTAGCAAACATCGACCAAAAACAAGGTAATGCCACGACTGTTCATGAAAATTAATATTGAAAACAATCTTTTAACTTTTTGTAAGAATTAAACTCGTTTATCGGGCCCAACTGACAAAGTAATAAAATGTAAAAGACGTCGTTGTCTGATGAAAAACACGTAGGTACATGTCACAAAAAATGCGCCATTATGATTCGCTCTGTATCTAATATTAGGATTATTTAGGATGCAGTTTTACATTTTTTAATTGGATCGTTTAAAACGAATTGTAATACCTAATTTTGTGGTCACAGAAATCTACAATTTCATAAGTTTCTATTCCCATAAATATGCGAGTAGAAGCTACTGATTGAATTATACCCGAGATCACCAGTTTCTACTAATTTCCTGTTCTAAAGGGAGAATTAAAAGTATAAGTTTCATCAACGACGTCTTTTAAATTTCTATTAAACTAAAGGCCTGTACCACAATGTCTGATCTAAGTATCTGTTAGCACATTTCCTGTAGAAAATACGGCAAGTATCCGTCAGGCTAACAGACACTCAATCAATGAGAAACAAGCCCTAAAAGTAGTTTCAAGTAAAGAATAGAGTAAAAACCTAGAATAATTATTAAACAGTTAGATGCAAAGCAGATAAATAAAATTTTCATATTGGTACATATTATGATACAGAACGTTTGTCACATTTTCTGAACAAAAATTATTCCATGGGTGCTACAGGAAGAAGCAGGAACTAAAAATTTTAACTGATATTAAAATGGTAGTTGCAGTGAGAAATTACATATTTATTCAGAAAATGACACAATCGTACAAAAACTTATGTTTCAGCATTAATTTATTTATACATTTACACTTCGCCAAATAGCTTTCCTAAGCAATATCACTCCATTACCTAAACAAAATAATTACATATATTTCAGCTCAAGATAATTAATTTTAGCTCATCCATACTTTAATTATATTCTCTTATGTATATTTTTAGATCTCCAGATACTTGGCATAAAAAATATTCAAGTAGCTTTTAAAATACGATAAAATTAATATTATAAATGGTTATGTCTTCAGCATAGTAATTGCAATACATATTATTAGGGCGGCATACGCCTACAGCGCTTAGCATGGCGCACCATCCCGCTGCGTCGATTCTAACAGGGACACTGGTCTAGCATAAGAGATTCTATGTACATGTCAATTTACCAACTTGTGCCAAAGAGTCGAGCAATTTAAGAGACAACCAGCAATTCCTTCGCACGTTAAAAACGTAAACGATGACATATTTGCATCAGAATCAATAGATACAGCAGTTGACGAGGGCCAGTGAGAACTGACGCAGCGGGCATGCAGTAGCGCGGGCGCGCGACTTGTGGCCGAGACACGCCCCTTCATAAGTCTGTTCCGTGTGTAGTCACAACATCCAACTTAGAGATCTTTTATCTACAACGTCTAGGATGCACTAAAACGATAAAATCCGATAATTTTCTGAATATCTATATACATATTTTACAAGGGAAAGAAATAATAAATAATTTCTATACCTTTGATATGAGCTTCCTCTCAGTACATTGATATCAATCTCAACAATATTTAAAACATTATCTCTCTGAAATTAAAATGAAATTAATGTACACTATATTTACAATGTTGTGGCCGTTCATACTGATTTTATGTAATGACGAATCATCCAACCAAATAAGTGACTACTTGTATATTTTATGAAAGAAAGCTAAATGAGTTTGATATCTCAGCTTTTTATTTGAATGGGCCCAAGGCTCATATAGTAGTTATTACTCAATTACACCAGATCCTTCTGCATTAGACATAATTTGTACTAACTTGTCTGACAGATAATACAGGAATAGCTACATATACAACATGGAAGACATAGACAAGTGATTGCATTGTATAGAAAATACCTCTACCTAAGTTTGCTTAGGGTTAGAACAAATGACTGAAGCTGTAAACCCTATATAATATTCAAATTGAAATCAATTTCTGAAATGAAGATATAGTTATTAAAAGTCCTCGAAATTCTAAATACATATATGAATGCATTGTCACTTTTTTATAGTAGGCAACCACGGTATCAAACAATTGAGCACAAATTAATCTTAATCACTACACCTTAGAAAAATCTGATGTAATTATAAATACGATCATGATTAACGATATTTTCGTAGAATTTCTTTAATGTGAGCTTGTTGGCATTTATCCATTTACATCAATCATTTTATCAATGACATTATTAATTGATGAATCAGACACTCTTGGCGAAAAGTCTTACATAGGTAAAAGTTATTAAAATGTATGCCATGTCAGAAGGCATGCCAAGGACCCTGATATAGTGGTAGGTACAGTAAAAAGCCAATACAAGACTAATTTTATATCTCAGTAAAATTAGAAATGCTCATTACTTATTTATGCATAAAAGAATAATATTATCCTAAGTCGCGTACTTTTCATAGGAATATATATAAACTTTTTTTTAGGTTTTCTTGTCGACTAGTTTTATGTCAAATATATTCTGGATCCAAGATCCAAAGCAATTACAGTTAGGCTCGCTTGCATGCCTACTCACTTATTATCATTTAATTTATTTACTGCTTAACATAACAAAAACATAATGCTACCAGACTCTGAGTCAACCAGGATTATGTTTCAGTATGTATTTAGCGAGTTGTCATGCACGCAGGCCCTAGCAAGAAGGTATGATGGACAATGTTTTGGTATAAAAATAAACAATCACACTAAACCTTTGTTACGTAAATGCGACTTTTCGTAGAATTGACTATTTTACACAATAATTATAATAATTCTCACTTTATGTTTGGAACTACTTTAAATAAACCATGATTTTTTCTTACCGATGATATCATTTATCACACGATTCCTACAGTAGTCAATACATTTTTTTATATTTTCGAGTGCCCAAAGTACACAGATTCTGTAATATAAGAATAAACTTAGGACGTGTAATTACGTTACTGTAAACAAGTATCCACAAGACTACGGTGAATTTGAATGACTTCTTAATGACTACAAGTGTTTGGTCAACCATTTTAATTTGCCATACATTAGTTAGTTTGCATGACAATAAATGAACAACGCTAATGCCGGCGACGGGTGCGCCGTCCGATAGTTTTTAGTAATCGCATGTACATAACATACATCCACAAGTATATAATATTTAGATGTTAAATTTACATACAGAAGCAGTATGTCACTTGGTCACGATCTTACTAAAGATTGAAATTCAAATTTTATGTACACTCGAATTATACGAGAAAAATATAAATCACACAACTGGAGGTGATATTACATTACTTACATATTATATGATCTTCAAATAAAACTGCTAACATACACAAGTTCAGTATAAACTGAGTCGTAGTAAGAGCATGTCCAAGCGTGGCCGCGCCGCCTCTAGTATGCCAGTTACTTCTTATAAGATCTTTATTTTATTTACAGTAGGTAGTATCTAATGGTAAAACTTAAAAATATATAACAAAATAGACTTGAGTGGCTAGTTAGAAAAATCCGCCAAATATTTGTGATTACAGCATAACAAAAGCATAATAAAAATCAACAGAAACAAAATAATACATGCCTCTTCAAGTGGAACTAAACATGAGTAGTGTCCGTCTGGCGCGTCTTGCTGGCCGCGACCGCGACTCCGCAGTAGCGCTACACACTGCTGCACTCTACACTCACCAATCACCACTGCACTGAGATCTTTGACAGAACCACTCAGGCAATTTTGTACTTGGCTATTAGTCCAGTCAAGGATTACACAAACTGTGTTACGTCTATCTGGTACATTCACACAAATAATTTAAAACTTAAAGCAGGGCAGGGTGACAGGGTGTTAATATTTAATATACAGAAAATGCAAATAACACTTGTTTAGTGATACATCCGTTAATATAAAGCAATCGTGACTCCCACCCACACAATGATGTTGCATTCTATGTAACATTCAGCAAAATAGACCACGCGCCAGACCGCAAACTAAAATTACATCATCTTCTAAATTACTTTAACAAATAAAGATTTTTAAAGTGCAAGTTGAACCGTTAAATGCTTATTGCCACTTTTCATTATTTTAAGCAAAATACAATTTACTTTAACCACAGCGAGAACACCAAGGTTAACAGTGTAATCACTTCATTTGAAAGTTAACGAGATATCGATCAGTCGCATCTACGCATCACAGTACAACTAGGAGAGCGAGGCCGCGCCACGTCACTGCACGCCCTACACTCGATACCCGACGCATCCCTCCAACGAGTCCGTCACTTCACACTACACTCCTTACTTGGCCATTGTGGATGCACATCACACTAGCATCGTCATCTCACCCGCACCTCATACGTTATTTGTCTCGAGGACACCGCGGAATGATTCAACTTCGTGTCAGTTTTTTCTTTTGTATATTATGTTTTTTATCAATTTTTTTTTATAGTAAAATGTAGCTCGAACACTCGCGAGAATCGACGGGGCGACGATCTACGCCGACCGTCGGGTCGCGCTCAACTCGGCGCCTCCTAAGAGTCGGGGCGGCGCGGCCTACTCGCTGTAGTAGCGCACCTTGCCGGCCCCGCAGCGCAGCACGTCGTCCCAGGCCGCGCCCACGTAGTCGACGATCTGCAGCAGCGCGGCCGCGTCCGGCGCCGTCGCAGGCGGCACGTAGCGCAGCGCGCTCAGCCCCGCGTGCACCGCCACCGCGTCCGCCGCGTCGCGCACTAGGTCGCAGCGCGGCCGCGCCAGCGCCCCCAGCGCCAGCTCGCAGCGCGGCCGACGCGCGCCGCCGCCCAGTAGCTGCTCGTTGAGTTCGAACCCGAACGTGACGCCGTCCATGTCGCGCGGCCGCGCGCCCGAGTCCAGCAAGATGACAGCGGGCCGCCGGTCCGCCACCACATCGGGGGCCGGCGCCTCGGCCGCGGCGCTGTCGGGCGGCGGCGCGGCGCGCTCTTTGCGACGCAGCGGGGGCGCCTTGTCACGGCGCCGGGCCGCCTGGCGCGCGTCCAGCGCGGGGTACCCATCTGCGTCGGCAGGAGCGGTGGCGGGCGGAGCTACGCCGTCACCATAGAAGTTGCAGGACTCGATGAGGTCAGGGATGTTGTGGCGCGTGCGCGCGATATCAGCGTAGGAGGCTTGCGCGGGCGGGGGCGCGGCGGGGGGCGCGGGCGGGGCGCTGGGCAGGGAGTGCACAGAGTCCATGTCGTCGTTGGAGTCGTTGCTGCGGTCGGAGGGCGGCGCGGACTCGCGACGAGGGCGTGGCGAGGGGGGCCGCGTGCGTCGCGGAGCGGGTTCTGGTTCGTCAGTGCGTCGGCGTGGCTTGCGCTTTTTGGTGACGGTCTGGAAGTCTGTGAGCTCTGCGGCGGCGACGGGGCTGTCAGTGGGATGGTCGTTGTAGAGTATGGTGTCTCTCGCGTCGTCTCCCCAAGAGCGTCGCTCTGCCTTATTGGGTACGTCGCCGCGGCGCTCCTTCTTGTCGCTGCGCAGTGGGGATTCGGTCGCGTCGGTGAGGTCTTCTATCTTGGTGCGAGATAGTTCCTCCATGGAGGTAGCGCGTTTGATTTTATTTTCTTTATCTTTGCGTCGCTCAGTGGAGCGTTTCTTGCCGCTCTTGTCGTCGGAGTCATCCTTGTGCTTGACTCGTCCTAGTTTTGGACCGCGACCATTGTCTGCGTTCGATTCTATAAATCGCAAGAGCTCATTTACATCCTTATCACCTTGGTAGCCGTCAATCTGCTGGCAGTCGATAACGGTCTCATTCTTTGAAGACTTTTTCCTCCTAGGTTTTTTGTGTTGACTAGATCCCGAAAGAGGTGAACTGAATCCTTGTACTGAGTTGCCGTTTTCATCTAGTGACTTCTGTAACAAAAAAAAAACATTATTTAAAAAATGTTTACAAATTATAAACAACTATAAGTATAAGTAACTAGCTACTGCCCGCGGCTGCGCCCGCGTTCCCGTGGGATATACAGTAGCCTATGTGTTATTCCAGACTATAATGTATCCCTGTTCCAAATGTGCACCCGATACCTTCAGCCGTTCTGACGTACGTGAGTAACAAACACACACACAAACTCACAAACACTAAGCATTAAGCATTTATAATATTAGGATTAAGTTTACAGTAATAACCTTGTACTCTTCTGGAGCGGAGTTGGCAGTGGCGCCGTAGTTGGGTCGTGACAGTGGCAGCCCGTTGAAGCTGCTGGAGATGACGCTGCGAGGCTGCGCGGACAAACATATGGCATGAATGCTCGCCGCCTCGTAACTCTAGCACTAGCCATCTCTCACACACGTCACAATACACTGTTACAACAATTCTGCCAATACTGAGCAACAACAATGCTGTTGTATAAGTGTACAGATATTGCTAATGTCAACAGATTTATTATGTTTCTTTATTACGCGTCAAGGGGTGTTTCATTTGCGTGAAGAACAGGATAGTTTTAGATAGACACATAGAAGGCTATCAGACAGTTGCACATTCGCGTAATGCTTGCAGTAAGCTTGCTTGAACAGTGATTGCAGCAGTTCGACGAGCACAATCACACCATTTGCAAACTTTCTGACATATCATGTATGATTAGGAAGTCATGGCGCTGTCGAACTAGTCACTCAAAAGTTGGTATGCAGCAATTACTCAACTCTTTGTATCAACTAAGAGTTATGTGCAAACAAATCTTTCGGTCCAAAACTTTCGTCTTTCGGTCGAGATCCGAGAGATACCCTAGAATAATGACGTATCTATGTTATTAACTTGTAGAAATGAAGTGTATGAAGTGGATCAATGGTCGGTGTGGCAGTGTGGGCTGAAGATAAATAGGAGTGAACCTGTGGAAGCGCGGGCGGGGGCACGGGGGCGGGCGCGGGCGGGGGCGCGGGCGGAGGCGGGGGCGCGGCGCCCACCAGGCTGCTCACCGCGCGGTACTCGCTGCCCAACTGCAGGGGCTGGGCGCATACACCGCGACACAAACTCATACACCTACTTATACTCTACTGACCTTTGCTAATTATTCAAATCAACACATAGAACTGATACTTAAATGACTGACGTGATCGAAAAAGTCTGCAAATGGCGTATTTGATAACGGGCATAAAATATCACAACTAATAAAATAGCGAGGCAGAGGATACGTTACCTTGGGATCGACGGCGACCGCCGACTGCGCCGTGGATGACGTCGTGTTGCAACTGGACACAACCTCTGGAGTTGTGATGCAACTAAACGAAATAGCGGAATCGACCTGCGGAAACAGACGCGCGTTAGTGCCGGCCCTGGCTGGCGTACTCAATACTACATCATGCATTCAAGAGTAGTGGGAGGCCTACCTCTTTACTGGTGATAGCAGGCACCTCGGAAGTGTGCGATATATTTTCGTTAACGTTGTTATTAAAGAGATTTTCAAACAGTAGTACTTTAAGGATATTTTTATCTAGAGCACTTTTCTTCGCATCGCTACTGACGGCTTGTTCTGAAGTGCCGCCAGGAGCTTTTGGTTTTTTCTTCTTATTATTGTTGGATTTGTTATTACTTTTAGAGACAATAGGATTAACATCGTTACTATTTTCTATTTGAAGTGGCTGGACAGAAATGTTAACATTATTATGTGAAGTTAAAGGCTGAGGTAATGTTAAAAAAATATAAGCATTGTTAGGAAGCTGGGCTAAGACGATCTGGTCGTTCGTCGTGTTTTGCTCATCATGCGGCTTGCGGTGACCGTCGACCTGGCAGTCATGCTCTCCGCACGTCGGGTCCGGGCACCGAGACAACATCGACTGAACGCTCGCTTCTGTATCTTTATTGGAATTACATGTTGCAGGTTCAGTTACAGCTAAAGTTTTAATTTGGTTCTCCTTCTCACAGTCTGGGGGTATATACTTAATACTGTTGCCATCACCCTCTATACTTTGTAGAAATACTTGTTGGTTTAACATAAATTGTTCATATGAACCCTCTACATCACAGATGGTTAGATTTTCTAAATTACTGATGTCTAGTTCCTCTATATTGTTGATGTTTAGATTTTCTATGCTATAGATGCTTAGACTTGTAGGCTTTACCTCAGTCAATTCTATATCTTTACCTTGAGAATGATTATCACTGTCTAGTGTTGGGGTTGTTAGCCAAGATATATCTTCCACTTCATCGCGTGTGCCACACTCTTTCGCAGGCTGATCGTCTGATTGGCTCGGCCTGTCATTCGTATCATCAGTGGTCTTATTTGGACTAGCACATAATGGAGTTGAAGGACCATCTACTTGGCTACAATCTCCAGGAGGAGGAGAATCCTCTTTTTCAATAATACTATTGGAACTTCTCTGCATATCTATAGAATTAATACTTTTGGCATTGTTATCTGCTTCTACATAAAAGGTATCTTGAGTTTGTGGCAAAGCTATCTGACCTATAGTCATACGTCTAATGTTCCTGGGATTTGAATCCGACGGAGTTGGTACTACTAAATTATCTCCTACTTGTTTCCTATACTTTTTCCTTAAATCTATATCACAATCATCATAGTCATGTATCGAGTTTCCAACCCTATTCAGTCCACCGTCATACCGACGTATATCTCTAAAACCTCGAGATTCTTTCAGTCTATTTGGCTCTGGTATACGAGACATTACATTAATTTCTAAATCGTCTTTTAGACCTCCGTCATCACAATTATTGTCATGACTTGCTCCTGCATTGTCGGAATCAAACTTGCTTTCCATACTCGTAGCCTCGATGCTCTGTTTAGTTTTAATACCTATTGCTTCAGTATTCACAAGCTGTTTCTCTGTTTGATAATATAGAGGGTGTGCGTAGGTCGACAAGCCTTTATACCAGTTGTCGACATTCTCGGCCCACAGTTGAGAATCGTCCGCGTGCTTTTTGTTTGGTGTAAAGTTTCCGATGTGATCTCCGACAGCCCGGACGGGCCGAGCCGAAGGTTTCTTGTCTTCTGTGCCGTCGTCGTGTCGGCATAGTGCGACCGGGCCGCGCGGTCTGACGTTGCGTGCTTCGAGTCCCGGTAGCTCATGCATACCACCACCCTGATCGAGTAGCCTCTGAGGGCGCAAAGCGTTCATGAGTCGGAGTTGTGGTGTGGTGCGGTGGCGGGGGGCGGGTGTGGCGGGCGGGGTGGCGGGGGAGGTACGCACCTGGTTGGAGGCCGTGGTGGTGGTGACCGCGCGGCCCGAGCACACGCTGCCGCTGCCTATCTCCAGCGTGGCGCGCGCCGTGTACGTCATCGGGAACATCGGCTTATTTCTTCTGTGAACAAATTCCGTGCGGGAGATCACTTTCGTCACCACGCGACATTTTTGTCCGTGTTTATCCAATGTTAGTTACATTCTTTTTTGTTTACGTACAACTAACTAAAATGTTATATTTTATTAAGTACAAGCTTTTAGACATTTCTTATACCCGACTTTTTACATTTGACGTTTAATTTAGTGACAAAACGCATAGGTATTTCATTGTTAATCCCGTTTGGATGTTACCTGTTGAGTAGTTCCATTTCAGCGGGCGTGTTGGCGTCGCTAGCAGAGACTCGTCTCTCGGCCAGCGGCGGCGGGTTGACGCAGCGCACCGTGGCCAGATACCCGGCGCCACGAGCTGGCTCCTCGCTCAGCAATGACGCTGTATCAACAAGTGGGAGCATTGCATGGTAAGGAAAATTTCGTGATTATTTTTTCCTACTCCTTACATGTATTTCCTCAATATTCACGGAAAATATAACACTATAGTTACGTGGAGTAACTAAGGTATTGTGAGATGACGTCAGGTGATGAACTTCCTATAAAAATAAGTCGTAATAGAAATATTTATGCTAGGAAGTCGATCAGAAAATAAAGATCTAATAATGAAAATCGACTCCGAGTGCGTCATTTTCGGGACCCTGACTGCGACTCAAGTAGTCTCACCAAGAGCGGGAGTCGAGGCTGATAAGTGGTAGTAGGTGGGATATGTGAATGTTGCACTCACAGGTGTCGACCCCGGAGGGCAGACTGCCGCCGTGGATGGCGCGCGCGGAGACGTTGTGCGCGGGCGCGGGTGCGTGGTGGCGCACGTGGTGGCGGCGCGGCGCGGGCTCGGCCGCCAGTGCCGCCACCAGGTCCTGCAGAGAGTTGGAGTGTGGGAGCGCGCGTCGGCCCCGCGCCCCGCGCCGCGCCCCCGCCCCTCGCGCCCCCAGTGTGCGCGCCGCCGCCTCGCACGCCTGCTCGTCCTGCTCCACCTCCTCCAGCAATTCCTACCACACACATCGTCCCGCGTTACGCACTGTCCACTAACACTCAGCGATTCGCTCTTATAATTGCAAAATATTTATTGCTAAGAATATCACATAATCATAAATTTTAAAAGAGAAAAGGTTACGATAAGATCGCTTAACTGCTTGTAATTTCCTCATAGGTTGAAAAGAAAACCATACAAACAAAATACTTGACAAAAATTGTACGAAAACAAAGACGGTATATCAAACAGGGATTTACGTAAGTTCAAAACGTAAGCCTGGCATACAAATACAAAATATTTTTAGCACTAACCTTAAATAGACTGCTTTTACCCTCTCGATCTTTGGGACACTTGTATGTGATAGCCTCGTCCAACAGCGCTCGCAATTGTCCGTCGTCTAAAGTCTCTACATGTTTGTTGTTCTGTTGACAAAGATAAAGTGATTGTTTAATCAATACGGTAATGTTACATTACGAACTGATCACGTTCACTGACAAACTAATTTACTACGTTATGTAAAAAACAATAAAGATCAAAAACTAAGAAATGATAATTTGAAGAGTATTTTATTTTTTCTAATTATTATTATCTTCCCTGTAAAAATTGATGGAAACATTCTAGTCTGATTTAAAGCGAATTTCATATGGGGACGGCGGGCCCAAATGGGTTAAAGTAACGTCCATTTTCATTCTGTACAAACAATTTATAAAACAATAAGTGGTTAACATGGTCAGCTCAGCATGTGGCCTGTGCCCTATCAATTACAACTTATATAATGTCTTATCTCATTTATTAAACAAATTGCTGATAACTACTGGGCCGTATGAAAAATAATATTAAGTTTTGTGCAAATCCCAATAAACTTAGCTAACATTCAGACACACGTCATTTTAGTACTGTAGAATGTACAAGTTTGTAAAAGATGGGTGGATGTTTGTTACTATTTCATGCGACTAATAGATTCCGATAAGGCTGAGTACATACATAGATAAACCATGACCTGGATTAACGCGTAAGATGATTTTATTGTAACGAGGATCGGCCGGCTACTGGGTATAAAGTACAAGTGCGCTAGGTCTGATGCTGATTGTAAGTACGAATGCTTAACCGTCAGTGGCACGTATTCATTATTCAGCCCAGTACATCAGTCAGACACGATAGTCACGCCACTTACAAGTCACGGGGCTGATGTAATTCCAAACACTAATTAACTTAATGGCGAGCCAGTTTTGTGGTTTATTTAATATCCAAACAATTACGAATATTTCTATTTACTTACATTTCTATCTGGCTGATTGGGTTTCCAGAAGGGATCGTAATTTTAATCGACCCAAAGGTGGGAGAATATGAAGAATGAACACCCAATGAAACACAACAAACCATTCAATTTAAGTAATCATCGATAGCTGTTTGCTTCCTGAGCTACGGCACGATAGTTTGCAGTCTATTTGAAATCGAGACTAACTTTGATCTAATAAGTGACAGTAACAATTAAGTTATCAATATCCTTCAAGGACTTCTATGATTGATCGCATCATTCGAATAGCATTTTTTCACGCTGACGACGCAAATTCCATGAGTGATAATACACAATACCTACTCAATACTAATAGAGATAAAACCACGTAACCATCGCGTCTGATCTTAAAAGAAACTGACAAACATATGGAAAAATGCCAAAATTCTGCCGACAAACACGAGACACACTGTCTAGTCCCCGCGTATTACATTGTCATCCGGAATTCGTAAAACTGAAATCATTGATAAGCAATCTCAGTAAGGTTTTAACGTATTTAACAATTTAAGTATTATAAAAAAATACAGAAAAATCGCATAATGAAATTGGTTTTCTGGAATTTACAAAACTAAAACCTATACACCACACACTTACAGAAATATCTTAGTTGCAAAATTTACATTTCCTAATTTACTACCGAGAAATAAAAATAAGAAAATTTTCTCCTTCTAAAAGGACTAAGATAGAAACACTAAAAACTAATTAACCCGTTTGGCTTGAATTATTCCAATAACACTCAATTCGTATTTTTCAAGAAATCTAACAATAAAGTTATTATCTATGAAACCGTTTTATGATTGTTTGTGAATCATATACGCAACCAGCATTAAATTTATTGAGCATTTCAAGTGCGAAAACGAACAAGGTTAGCGGAGGGTGAACGGATATCTAAGCGATAAATTTTTGTCGACTTATTTGTGAACATAATGGTAAGTAGGTAATGTTCATGTGAAAATGATTGTGGCGGGAAGAAAATGTTCAGTAAACAAGCTAGATTGCTTTGGATATGATTGGCACTCAAGAAAGAAGGCTTTATTTGCACAGAAAGCAATCTGCTCCTACATAAAGACCGAATCGAGTAAAGAGAACAGTCAAAAAAGTTTGTAGAAATTTGATATCAATCGCATATACCTACATTGATTTATTTTATTCACTGTAATTAAACTAGTGTTCAAACTCATAGCACTAGAAGAAGCAAGCATGAAGCAAGGATAGGAAATCAACAACATAAGTCGTTATAAGTCTAGATTGTCTAGAAAGACAAAACGGCTTACATGTAATGAAGATTGATGCGAAGTTGAGAACGGGCAGACAAGAAAATTACAGCTTCATTTCTACTCCGTGTAAAGAAGAGAATGATCGTAGGAAACTGTTACCTTGTTCCCGGTATCGATGTAGCCCCGTTGAATATAGGTAAACAAATAATTGCATGCCCGGTGCGATGAGTGAAAGGATTGACGTCATGAAATCTGTGCGTCCTACAGCGCCCGCACGAGCCTCTCCGGTGAGGTCAGGGTCGGGCCAGGAGCGACGAGAGACGGGATCGATGGCGCGCCCTTGTCCCTCGTATTAACAGTTTTCCGTCCCCCGGCCGATAGTCGACACTTTTTAAGTCACTTGTTGCGTTCATACCATTTTGCCAACTTTCATAATCCGATATAAACCGATTTATTGCTAAGACACATATTCCTCATTTACTCGTAATTTCAAATCTATGACGCACCAGCTAAATCATATTGTACCTAAGTGTTTTGATAACACCAAACATTACTTATTAGACTCTTATTTTGTTTCAAAACGACGTGAGAAAAATTTGTTTCAAGACATTCTGTCGCTAGTGCAATCAACAATACCTACTTAAAACCACTAACGGGAAATAATGAAAGAAGGAAAAAAAATGTACGAAACAAGTAAATACCGCTGTAACGAAGACGTACGGTACCTAGTTTAAGCATTCGAATAAAGTGCATAAAATCATGCGACCACGGGTATCAGATTGGCTATTTCGGAGGACAGCAAAATTTTTAAAGTAAGTGGAAACAAAATAGTTGTTTCAGTCATAATATATGACATGATTACAACCTGGCGAGAGTTGTGATGTGACCTATATTAGTTACATACCTATGATGTCATATTATACAAATATTCTTAATCTAGGCAATGAAGGAAAATATTATTTTAATAAAATCGAATCTAATAACAATCTGTGTGACAATTTAGTTGACATTCTTGACACTTAGAAAAGGACAAGGAAAAGACAGGCTATGTTCTAATCAAAATAAGGCATAGTTTGATGTCTGATCGCCATTATGAATGCTAGGCTAATACTAGCATGTTTCGTGACTCATTAGCAAAATAGCGTTAAGTTGGCGCGACTGGAAAAATGGAACATACAAAAGCTAACCTGCAGTATTGGATGACTGCCAAATAGTTTGAGAGTTGCTGTAAGTACAAACGAGGTGAAAAAACTTCTTGGAACATAATTTCTCTTAAGGTACGCTCTGTCGTAGAAATACGACCACCCACTAGTAATGAGTAGTATAATGATGAATCAATTTCTTATAAAAACATCTATGTCGTTGTTGTGTCTTGACTATTATTATTTTATTGTCGAAGGAATGAGTGCTGAGAATCTGAATGTACTTTGCAAATCTTAGCTGCTTTTCTCACAACTTAACTCTACCTACTAAGTATAAATATAGATGCTGATGCTAACAAAATCAGCCTGTACAATAAAATTGATACAATATTGAAAAGTGACCAAAAGCCGCAGAGTAAACCGAAGCCAAGCCAGAATACGACACGTGTTAAATTAGAACATGTGGTCGAGGTAGCAGACCAACACTAGCCAATGAAACTTGTAACTTCATATAGAACCTTATGATACGTATTACAATATTAATTATACCTTTAGATAAAGATCGAACATCGATTCAATAAGACAATGCGAGGGAGCATGATAGTTACTAATTTATTCACTTGTAAAGTAGAAAAGATTAATGACTAAAAGGAAATACTGGGCTATAGGCATTGACTACCGACGTAAATACGTTCTAAGGGAAAAACATCAGACACGAAGATGAGCGTGAAAACCAGTGTAATTTATGCTGTCATAGAGACGCCGCGCCATGCAATTACGTTCAATTGGGTGTCAAGCAAAAATGATTTTTACTTTTCGTAGTTTTAAAACACAATTTGATAGTGTACATAAGAATAATAATACGCTCCTCTAGACTCTGAGACTGCGTCTATTTCAATTGTAATTGTATGTGCGGAAAAAACCTTTTTTGGAAAAAAATTCAACAAGAATATTATATTTGAATTAAACTTTCACTACAACTTGATCAGACTTATCTTGCTAAGCAAAATTAAGTAGAGATTAAGATTGAATTTAATAAATAGCTAATACGATACCCGAATAATACCGATACGATCGTGACAAACGTCTGTAGCGTGCGATGAAAATGTAGGGCTTGAAGTTTTTTGATCCCTTACATGAACTTATTTAATCTATAAGCCATAAACCGTAACTTACGGTAGATACTGTACCACATTTGGTCAGTTTTATGATTTTTACTAGACTCAAACATGATCTAAATAAACTAGGTCAGTGAACAACACTGCTTTTTATCCATTAGGAAACCATGAATGAATGAATTTAAAACTAAGATTTGAACGCAAGATTGTATAGTAGTAGTTAACAGGATTTACAGTAACTTTGTTGAACTTTACTGAACTGGTATAATCACCGATAACTGCTTTCAGACTTTCAACAAAGAATATTAAGATTTAATGATATCATTGGTGTGGTTTGATGTAAACAAAATTCAGACACAATATCTGTGGTGAGAGCGGTCAAGTGGCGTCTGCGGCAGCGGCGGCGGCGGCTGCGGGTCGCCGTGACGGGCCAACAATGCGGTGCCCAAGCTTCCGTTACACGGGCAGCTCGCACCGCGTAAACCTACACCGCCTCCTACTGTCGCCACTATTGTCACCGATCCGAACTACACTGTCTACCTTTACAGTTCTGCTCGAAATATTTTGCCAACAGCCTTTTCATGCCCCAGCTACAGACTGCATAAAATAATCAGAATTGTCAGAATTGTAAATCATTGAACAAAAAAGTGAAAGGTTTATAAACTTTATAATGTCCTTATGTAGGACAACATTTTTAAACGGGAATTTTAGAAACCGTCAGTTCAGCGTACTGTTATCGCATGTAAATCTGATCATAATTAATTATTTATTTTCTAAATCGAATCAAGATGCACAGTTTGCATGCTAATGGTTCTTTCTAAGATACTGTGAAATTATGACCTAGCTCAAAAGCACGCGATTAGAGAAATGTCGCAGAACTGTTGCCGGGTGCGCTACACCTATCGCTACATTGCTTGCTCGCAAAATGAGCACAGTTTTTCTCGACAAAATAATTATCCACACTGTACAATCGTGGTAAAATGTATGATACTTTCTTTTTCATCTCGTGTTAGAGTATCGTTCCAGTGCAATCGAATAATATATTTTTGATTCACACCAAATATGATAAGTTTATTCGACGGTTGGGCAAGTAACGGAGTTCATGTGCCTTTTTCAGCAAACCATCTGTTGTCAGAGGAACACTCGTCCAAAAATGATTCATACAATACAAAAAATTGATTAGGCAGTTTTTATGAATACAGAGTACAGACACTTAAGATTCGTATAGATGGTAAGTTTTCACAAACTAGAGGTTTGTGATTGTGACACAAACAATTAAATAAACGTACCTATTTGTGTAAAAAAAAGTATTATTTGATACAGAATTTACTGCAAGTGAAAAGTTTACCACTCGCTTAAGAATTTCTCTACTATTTGCCTCAAACCTCATAATTATTTTGACGCATTAAAACTTTGATACCTGAGCTGACTAGCTGACCGTACGAATTGAATAAGCTCCCAACCGCAATGTGAAACGCCGCATAATTTTTTTCGTATTGCAAAATATTATGAAATTCACTGATTTTAGTTTATTTTTTTTTATCATTTATCAAATAGAACTAAGTCAACACAAAATATCACATTTTTTTTACGAAAATTGATATGAGGTCCAGCCGCGTGATTCAATAGAAAACAGATCTGGATTCTTAGCCCTTAACTCGTCGAGTACCGTATTTATAGACACAATTAAAGAACAATAGGTTGCGGTCACCGGTGACCGCTTGGTGTTTGACAGTTTAAACCTGAAATTGCGTGACATAAAATAAACAAAATGTCTGAATTACTCCATGAGGCAGAAAGTCTCACAAGCACAAAAAGCCAAGCTAAAGTAATACATACAAGTCTAAGATATTTTTGAGGAATACCGATTTATAATCACAATTAACTCTTTGAGTAGAGTCATTATAGACACAATTAAAGAACAATAGGTTGCGGTCACCGGTGACCGCTTGATGTTTGACAGTTCAATATTGTATTTAATTAAAACATCCATAACTTGCAAAACACTGTATACCTCAGTGATCTTTCAGTATAGATGATGATTTTTGATATATAATTTTTGTACCCTGAATGTAAAGATATACAAGTTACAAAAACCTTGTCGACCAGTGTAGTTACTAATTACAGTATGTTATATGCAAAAACATTTTAACAGTCACAAAATAGGCAGTAGAATAAATGAAAGGAACAAGTAGCCAGTTGAAAGTATTACTTGCTATTTTCCCTTAAAAAAAATAATTTAGATATTTTGTAAGGCCACAATTACTCTTATTATCAATTCATATTACTTCCTAAGCATTTATGAGTTACCGATGTAGATATCACTAATTATAAATTAATCAAGACTCATTTTTATTGATTAGAAAACATTACTAAGCAATATTAAACAACCTTAATTTCACCAATGTAATCATTTCTATAGGATGATAAGTTTTAACACTTTTCTAGTTGTCAGATGATCTTGTTGTACTAGATCACAATAAGTATAATTAAAGAACTATGGCTTGCAACGGATGAGCTGTAAACTCTTTGAGTACTGGCTATAATGCCATGGGTATTATGGCCAGTACACAAAATATCAGAGTTTGGATACCACTTTACTGTGAGAATTTTTTAACAATAAAGCCTTTTATAACAAAATATGGAGGTTGACCTTTGCCACATTTAATAAAATATTGGCTATTACTTGAGTTCATTTTATTATGCAATCCAGTAGTACAAGAAGAAACAAAGATAAAAATGGTAGTGAACTATTCATCAACATAAAACTAATCTTCTAAACCATTGAATAAACTTAAGAATATGTAATACGTAAGAATTTTCTTTCCTATTATAGGATGCCCAGTGACAACTAGAGAAAGTAAAACTCTAAATCATAACATAAATATTGCATGAGCTATTTTTAGTTACATAGATATTCCAATGAATTTAGTGGATACCTTCCTTAGACAAGCATGCAGTTGTGCTTATTTGTTATATTAAATGTATATTTTATTTATAAAGGCTGTCATCTGCAAATAGCTGAGATGGTAAAATAGTTAGATATTGTAAGCAAAAAAATGTGAAAAAATTGTCTAATGAAAATATTTTCATAAAAAACTTAGCATTAGAACCTTATTTTATAGTGACATAATGTCATTGATCATGACTTTGTATTATTTATAAACTCCATAGATAAAAGATTGTAAACTCTTGTTATTTTAAAACATTTTCATAAACAGCAACTGATGTTTCTAAATGTGACTTACAAAGTTAGTAGTATTATTTATGAAGAAATAAGGACTTTAAAGGATTTTTGGCCTCGTTAAATCACCAATGTTAATTATTCTATTACCACTTAAAGCATTCAAAAGGAATAATATAAAACAAAGCACATACCTACATAGTTTTTATGAAAATATTTGAAAAGACAATCACAATTAGCCCTGTCAAGATAATTTATATCTTACTATTCTTGTTCTAACTATAGAAATAAAACCTTTTTAGGTAATGTAAATAATCACACTGCTTACTAGTCTTATTATAAAATGTTGACACATAACATTATGACACAGTTTATTTGATGTAAAAAGGGTAAAACAAGTCATTATTATGAAATATGCAGGATATCCTTGAATATGTACTCAATTTATGTACAATGCTTGTGCTCCACAATTATTCAGTTTTGAAAATAAATTAGTTTAATAAAAGTAGTAAATAAGCGTGCATAAACATTTAAATTGCATACTCATGCTCACCATACACCAGATAAAGTAAATTAATTAATATTTTTGACAGAACTGTTATCCTTCGCCATTTTCACCTACCTACTTTATTATTACACACACATTGTTACAAATATATTAATTACGAAAAAAATACGAACACTCAAAGAGCAATATTACTTGTATGAGATAAAATATCCGAAAAACTAACTATCGACGACAATAAGTTCCTACTTTACACAAACTAAAATCGAAAAATGGCAGCAGAGATCGACTTACCTCAACTTCAACGGCTGCTGCCGTATTTGTTGGTTTGTGGTCTGAATTTGTGTGCTGGTCATTTATTAGATTATGTAGAAGTTTCGAATCTTCAGTGGAAATATTTGTGGCACTTTTGTCCGGGGCTTTGGGTTCCTTATCATACTCCGGCGGAGGAGCCATCTTGAAGGAAGAGCAGTCAGATGACACAAGTCGTATGACTTTCGCACACCGAAATCACTCTTTTCCCCGACAAAATGTCTTTTCCACTTACTAGCTACTAAATCGAATCATGATGAGTAATTTAGCTACAACATAATGAAAGTTCTAACCATTTGCAAAAACGGATTCATCATTTTCGACAGATTCCGACCAACATTTTTAACGACTACAAGACCGCCCTCTGGTGACGTGAATTTGAAGGTTTGGTACAGACTATACACATTTATAATTTGACATAGACTCTACATGCCAGTTTGAAAATTACATAAAATGTAAAATATTAGATTTCATTTAGATTTATCACACTTGCCATAGCTGTCGTCACTGTTAAGTGCAAGTGTAGTAAGCGAGACAGTAATTTAAATATTCATTATGCAAGCATCATGAAGTTTTTAAAAAGTACAACCAAATAGAATCAATCTATGGGACTAAAAAACTTAACTGTCAAAGACATTTTTGTTTATGATTTAGTCAATTAATCATTTCTCATTTGACAATTGACATCAATCTTTTTACTTTGGGCGAATCATACGTTTTTGCCAAATATTATTCTGAGGAATTGTTTTATATTCCCGCTTTAAAAATGACTGAAAGTCAGGAAAATATTTTCCTCTTCGTTCCTAACATTATTGGTACGTATGGTTACTATAAACAGTTTTCTATGTAAGTTCGAAATTGCGCATTTTCATCCTATTGTTGTTGATGTTGTTTCAGGTTTTGGGAGAGTAATCCTTGCAATTATATCTTTTTATTTTATGCCAACACACTGTATTTTGGCGTGTGTTTGCTATGTTACTTCTGCTTTATTGGACGCTATCGATGGGCATGCCGCAAGATACTTTAATCAAAGTAAGTGCTTTAAGGTATCATATAATTCAATTACTTATCTGGTTTTGTACCGAGTGGTAAAGCCGGTACGAGATAATATTGATAATCTTACTAAGTTGGCAAATAAATATGTTCTAGGCATGCCACCTCGATATTTTATTTGTTGAGCCAACATATTCTGAGTATTGTAGATATGACAGATATGAGTATGTGGGCTAATATTAGACTAGGGCGTTTGCGTAGCTTTCCGCAAATGTGTGCATTTTATGCATTCTGAATTTCTGACCTATATTTCTCATTTAGAATGCTTTGAACTTAACATAACAACATAACATCACGCCTTTTTATCCCCGAAGGGGTAGGCAGAGGTGCACATTATACCACTGTACAATGTAACACCCACTTTTCACTATTTATGTTATGAGTCCCATGTAATAGGGGGTGAGCCTATTGCCATATACCGGGCACAATTCCAGACTCCATGCTACTACTGAGAATATTTAAAAAACCCAATAATACTTTGCCCGACCCGGGAATCGAACCCGAGACCCCTTGTCCGGCAGTCGCACTTACGACCACTCGGCCAACGAGGCAGTCTTTGAACTTAAATTCTAGTTAAACATAGTAAAACAATATTGATAATGAATGTTGACAGTATTTTACATAAATCATGCTCAATGGGTAAACTTGTGTTTCAGGCACAAAGTTTGGTGCAATTCTGGATCAACTCACAGACCGTGCGGGCACTGCTTGCCTCATGATGACCCTGGCAACATTTTACCCACAGTACACATTCTGGTTTCAAATATCCATGGCAATTGACATCACATGCCACTGGCTGTACCTCCACACCGTAACCCTGCAGGGCAAGGCTTCCCACAAATTCATTGACATGTCTGAGAATCCTGTCATGCGTATCTATTACACAAACAAATTGGTTCTCTTCTTCATGTGTGCTGGCAATGAAGCTTTCTATGCAGCTCTCTATGTGATGTACTTCTACAGTGGACCTACAGGTAATTTATACAATATTTTCAATCTTATGTTAACATTGGACTGTCTGTAAACAAAAATTTCAAGTCATGAAATAAAAGTAATGGATGAATAATTTGAAATTTCAGTTCTTGGAGTTGGCCTGTACAAGCTGATTGCTATCATCTCAGCACCAGTAGCTATTGTGAAGGCTGGCATATCAGTTCTGCAGGGTGTTGTCGGGGCCATCAACTTGTCTACTATTGACATCAATGAGCGGGCTGCTCTAGCTGCTAAACAAAAGAATTAAACACAATACAATTAGGTCACAAGCAGAATGTTATACTATCAAAGAATTTAAATACCCACTTGATTTGAATTCAATTGATTCTAAAAAATATTTGCATAATAAAGTTAACTGTTAAAGTAAAGCTAGTCACCCCAAGAATTTACATAATTAAGTACTACGAAAATCCTGATTTTGATTATTTATTTTGTTGTTACCAAAAAAGATGTTTTATTGTGAAAATCATGGTCTGCCTATTTATGTTGTAAGCACTTCAAGTTGTTTTACTGTCAATGTAACTGGTTTGTGTTTATTTTAATTAATAATTTTGCAAATATACACTTATATGTCACTTGCAATGGTAACTAACCCTGTTATTAATTTGTTTATTTATAATTATGTTAATCCACTATGATTTTATTGTTGAGGCACATGTATAGTTTGCGAATCTCCATTTAATGTTGCGAATATTAATTAAGCTAGCTGTTCTATAATTCTGAATACCTTCTTCATTGAGGTCCTATTCAGTCTTCTTTGTAAGCTTGAACAAGTATAATATTTTATGGTAATGGTAGTATGTAAATCGTTTGATGTGAATGTGATGTCTTTGTGGTGCAATTATTATGTTGAAGTAGTATGTAGTGTCTACCCATTACTGTTGTAAAATGTGAACTTCCACCATGATTAATTTCTTTTATGACTGTTTGTAATCACTACCTGAGAAACCATAATTAATCGAATCGCATTTATTATTTCAGGTTTGATGCATTTTATTTTTAGATACCTTTTTATATATTTTTTTCGTTTATATTTACATTCCATCCAATATGAAGTAAAAGAATAAATTTTCTGTTTTTACTTTTAATCTGAACTATTTGTATAACACAGGCTTATATTACTTCATTTTAGTAAAAGCATGCTGTAAAACATGATAATATTTATGTCATATAAGATTTACTTTGCAATTTTATGATAGAACAGATAAAAATATAATCTTTATATCTTTAAGAGGTGGTGCCAATAATGTTGAGGAAACTACACAAGAAACTGATTGTAATCAAGGTTTAATTAGTCTAATTGAATCTATTATACTCTTGAGTTCTATTTATTATAATCCGTTGAAGTTTACCGGCTAAGTGGTTAATAACAATTGTCTTATTTATATTACGTGATTAATTTTTCTAACATCAAATTCTAATTGCAAATATCGAAGACTTGAAATTATAAAGTAGTCAAACTAAATTATTTTTAATTTGACGTAATTGCAACATAGAAGAAATAAATGTGCATATAAAACGCATTTTTATGAACTAATCTCTTCATAGAACATTTATGAATTGGTTATGACATCATCACAAACTAGTTGGTCATTACGTTGGAATATTGTATGTAGGTGTACTTCCAAGTTAATAATAATATTGCACCTATATTTATTCTATAATCGATCTCTGGGCGAAATATCCGAATAAAAGGTATTTACTTTATCAAAAGTGAAATGAATTTTGTTGTACAATCTGGTAGGCTAAGCCTAATATTATGAATAATTGATATTTGTATATTATGTGTTGATCCTAATAAAAGTAAAAAGTAGTTTTGTTTTTAATTTTATTGTTGAATGAAACAAAACATTTATTAGTAAGATTTTTATTTCATTTTTTAGAAGTAAAGCAAATAATATAGTATTGTGAAGGCCCCAATGTTGTTACTTACTGAAGCAGTATTAAAAATAACACTTTATAGTGAAGAGTGAATAATACTAAGAATTAATAATTATTTGAAAAATAATAGTTAGCATTATAGCATAAACTTATCATTGTTAAAATAATGTTAAATTATCCTTTCAAACTGCTCATTCCTGCTCTCATAATCTCATCAACAAGGAGGAGGTTGCTGGCAATAACGGAACAGGAGTTGACAATTTGTTTCTTAACAACATAGTTGTCAATGATGCCCAAGTCGGTTGGTTTGATAGCTTCGCCAGTACTCAAGTCGAGGCCAATGGGATCAGGGCTTAGGCGCGACTCCTCCTGAAGCTTCACAATAGTGTCTTGAGCATCATAGCCTGAATTGATAGCTAAGGTTTTGGGGATTACTAACAGAGCTTCGGCGTAAGCCTGGATACCCAGACGTGCTTTTCCCTTGACAGTGTCCTTGTATTTCAATAATTCCGTGTTGGCTTTGATCTCAAAGGCGCCAGCGCCTGGGATAACACACTTATCTTCGATGGCATTGTTGATAGCCCTAAGGCCGTCACGGACGGCATCTTTGATCTGTGCAAGAGTGTGCTTGTTGGGTCCCTTGATAAGAATAGTTACAGATTGGGGATTCTTGCACTGCTCTACAAAGGTATATTTCTCTTCACCAAGAATATGCTCATACACAAGACCAGCATAACCCAGGCACTCCTCATTAAGGCCATCAACAGAGTTCATGGCGATGCCACCGCACGCCAGAGCCAGACGCTCCATGTTACGTCTCTTAGCCCTGCGTAATCCCATAATGCCCTCCTTAGCGAAGGCGTCGAGGGAAAGAGGGTCAATACCTTTCTGGTTGATAACAACAAAGTTCTTGTCTGTGCCATCACAAACCTTTTTCTTCAGAGCAATAATCTGTAACATAATCATAATACACATTAAAAATAAAATAGAATAGGCTCACGCCCTATTACATAGGACTCATACCATAAATAGTGAAAAGTGGGTGTTACATTGTACAGTGGTATAATGTGTACCTCTGCCTACCCCTTCGAGAAAAAAAAGGCGTGATGTTATATAAGTTTCTCAGTATTTTTTAAAATAAAACACAAAATTTTATAGATTTCTTTTGTAAAATTCGCTATACTCATTGCAACCTGTTGCATATCAGACTAAAACTATTTATGATCTTTTGAAGACTAATATCATTAACCCTTAGAGCGCCACGTCAGTCACCGGTGCCTGACGCTAGTGGAGGTTTGACTTTCACCATTTTAAACTTGGCAGTTAAAGTATTAAAAATGTTTACTTACAGCCTTAACCCTCTGGTCAATGAAGTCACGTTCAGCAGCTACTAACTTCTCTCTGTCTTCAGCAGATTTGTAAAAGAATCCAGAATTAACTTCAGTCTTCTCATACTCGAGGGAGATGTTACAAGTGAGGATGTAGGCATTCTCAACACGTTTTGGCATGTCAGGGTGGCGAGTGCCATGGTCCATCACCAAACCTGTAATAATTGACATTCGAATTTAAAATAAAAAAACTGAGAAATGAAAAAAAAACTTATTCAAACAATATTTTGAATCTTAACATTACCTTTGATGAGGGTGGTCTCCGTAGCAGTCTTGTGTTGCATCTCCATGATCTCCACCATGTGCAGGTCAGCTGGTTTCTCTGGCACGCGGATAGTCAGCACTGCATCCACACAGGCATCAGTCAACACTTCAGCTAAGCTTGCATGGACCTACAACACAAGAAAAAAAAGTTAGTGTTTAGTCAAATTAGTCAACAAAATCAATAAGAAATCTTCATGTCTCGATGTAAGAATCATTCAGTCAAATAGTTTGAATAACAACTATAGCAATAACTCTATCAACACTATGTAGTTTTAGTAAAAGATTTATAAATTGTGTCAGACATACCTTAGTCTTAAGAGATGTTCTCGCAACATCGAGTAAATCTGATCGCTTTACTTCAATGGGAATCTTGATTGATTCAAGAACTTCCAAGGCCTTCACTCTAGCTACATCAAAACCTTCTGTTAGGATCCTCGGGTGCAGACCTGTGTAGGAAGTCATTATATAAAAATAAATGTCACTGAAAAAAGACTGAACAACTTCAATTATAAAAGATGTTAAATTGTTACTAATACTTATACAGTGTTTTAAGGAACTGAAAGTTTTGGTGCACACAATAACATAACATAACGCCTTTTATCCCCGAAGGGGTAGGCAGAGGTGCACATTACGGCACTTAATCTGTCAAACACCAAGCGGTCACCGGTGACCGCGACCTATTGTTCTTTAATTGTGTCTATAAAACCGGTACTCGACGAGTTAATGCATACAATAAGGGTTAAGATATTATTTCATGTTTATTTGGTTCATCTAATAAGATGTATACCTTCACTAATGTAAATATCAGCCTGCTTCAGGAGCTCTCCAATGAGGAGCACGGTAGAAGTAGTTCCATCTCCAGTGGCATCGTCCTGGGCGGTAGAAGCGCGAGCGATAAGGGACGCAGTTGGGTGCTGGATCTGCATCTCGTGAAGGAGCACATTACCATCTTTAGTGATTTTTATGTCACCAGCACCAGAGACCAACCTGAAAAATAAAATAGTTCATAGTTATAATTTAATTAAGAAAGCTACAAGCTTTTACTACTTTCCTGTAAGTACAATACACAACAATTTTTTTGAAATTCTTGTCTTGTGGTATGTGAACATAGAAGAAAAGTCGAGATCATATGACTTTTTCAAAGAGAATTTGACTACCTAAAAATTTAATAACACTTATGAGCAAAATGAAATAAGGTTTCAGAAGCTGAAAAAAAGCATTTCCAATTACTTTTGAAGCAAGATACAATGTAATAACAGAAAAAAATATACATTTTCATTGTTCCTTTAGGACCGAGGTTAGTTCTCATCACATCTTGGATTCCTTTTGCGGCAGAAATGTTCACGGCCAGTGCTTGGGAAGCCCTCGCTAATTCAGCTTTGGGATTAAGTAAACTGATTGCTGCCATTTCTATAACTTATTCTTTTAATTTGTGAAAACTGAAACACGCGGATATCCCAATAATTTGGGAAGCAGAAAATAGCAATAGACAAATTAATAACGTATTGTCTATGGTTAATAATGATGAATAGAATGGAATGATTGACTGAGTCAGAATGACTGACTGGGTGAATGAAGGAACGAACTGTCTATGCCCATTTTCAGACAGAGTTTCAGCATTTTTGGAAAAAAGTACTAATCTTACTAGATTCTAGGCAAGCTGCGAGTTTGCATGTTTGCAATTATATCAATCTCTGATTAATCTATTCTGATTTATTGTATTGGTATAATCTTTCATAGTTTAATAACAATGGCAGAACGATAAATAATGTAGGAACTAAGATTTCGTAAAATATTTTTGTTTATAGTAAAATTTAGATTTACTAAAACAAAATTATTTTTTACAACATTATAACGATATCAATTTGATAAACAGCATATTATGCTTAGTAAAGAGATTTTTCCGTTTTTCACAGACAGATGGTTCATAGTCAAATTAGTCATTGCTACGTTCTAAAACCTTGTTCCAAGTTTAAATAATAACTAACTACTCAGACTTCTAAATTTTTCTGGAAATTATGAATGTAAAAAAGTAATTTGAAATAACTTGATATGAGAACTAAAATGTTTTTATTATTGTACATTAACCAAACAAGGTATATTCAAAAGATTGGTGTTTCCATCAGCAGATTACTACTTTTAAAGATTCCAAGCTTCAAAATGTAGCTGTCACGGATCAAATACCTGTCTGATTGCTGTCGTCTTTTCAAGCGGTACAAAAATAAATATCTATTTTAGTTCATAAAGGCATGGTTATTTGAGAGAGATGAACATACCAGACTTTACTAGAACAATCGTTAAAAGTGTATAAAAGGGTTACGGGATCAGCACACTAATATATCGTTTGATAAACTTGAAGAAAAAACAATGGGAGTTCACAGTGAAGAAGCGGAATCCTATAAGAATAAGGGAAACGAAGCCTTTAAACTCGAAAACTATGAAGAAGCCATATCCCTTTACAGTAAGGCTATCGACCTCGCTGAGAAAGACAGCCGTGATCTGTCTACCTACCTAAAGAATCGCGCCGCAGCCTTTTTGAAAACCAAAAATTATGAAAAAGTTATCAAAGACTGCGATGAAGCCCTACGAATTGTATCGGAAGACCCAAAAGCCTTATTTCGACGTTCACAAGCCCTGGAATCTTTGGAACGATATGAAGAAGCATACCGTGATGCTAAAGCTATATTTACTGTAGATCCTACTAACAAGGCAGTGCAACCAGTACTGTCGCGGCTACATGCTATAGTACAGGAGCGAGCCAGGCAGAGTGCTCAAACCAGCAACAAAGTGGAACAAATGTTCAAACTTGCATTTAACTTACAGGAAGATCTTGAAAAACGTGAAAAAGCTATGTCTAACCTCCTGGTGCTTGCAAAAGAAAATGCTGGTGCAGAAATTATGTTAAAAAATGGTGTAGTTCACAAAATCCAACAACTACTTAAAGTTGAGAAACATGCTGAAATATACATTAATGCAGTGAGAGTCATTAGCCAACTTTGCAAGAGAAATGTTGAAAGAACAAAAGCAGTGATCAAGATTGTTGGCATACCCTGGCTGCTGGAAGTCATTGATAGTGAAAATGAAGAGAGAGTCAGTGCTGCTCAGTATTGCCTGCAGGTTTTACTTAACACATTTTCTGGAATGGATAACAAAAAAGACTCTACACCAGACCCAAAACTCTGTGAAGAATATAAAAGTGAAATAGATACTCTACTTACTTGTTTAACTTACTCAATAACAAACAGGGTTATAAGTGGACAGGCAAGGGATGCCATTGTTGAGTTAGTTATGAGAAACTGCCATTACAGTGCAATAAACTGGGCTGAAAGATTTGTTGAAATCAAAGGACTGCAGCGGCTGCTTGAGGTTTGCAGTGAATTAGAAGAGTACAAATATGAATCAGCGTTGAACATCACTCCCTCTTCTAGAACCATCGCTGCTGCTTGCCTGGCAAGAATCTATGAGAATATGTATTATGATGAAGCCAGAGAAAAGTTCAATAACCAAGTAGATGACTTTGTGAAAGATAAGCTAATGTCACCTGATTTGGAGTCAAAAGTAAGAGTTACTGTGGCCATTACTTCTTTGCTACGGGGTCCTTTGGATGTTGGAAATTATGTAATTTCAAAAGAAGGTATTATTGAAATGATATTGGTCATGGCTCAAACTGAAGATCCTCTTCAACAAAAAGTTGCTTGTGAATGTTTGGTGGCTGCAGCATCCAAGAAAGATAAAGCTAGAACTATTATCAACAAAGGAGTAGACATTTTGAAAAAGCTATATCAGAGTAAAGATGATGCAGTTAGGGTGAGAGCCTTAGTTGGTCTTTGTAAAGTGGGTAGTTTTGGAGGAGATGATGCATCTGTGCGACCATTTGCTGATGGTTCTACTAAAAAGTTAGCTGAAGCTTGCAGGAAGTTCCTTGTTAATCCAGCTAAAGAAAATGATGTCAGGAAATGGGCTGCAGAAGGGCTTTCTTACTTGACCTTGGATGCTGATGTGAAAGAGAAACTGGTTGAAGATAAAGCTGCCCTGCATGCCCTTATAGAACTAGCTAAAAGTGGTGACCAATCTTGTCTTTATGGTGTTGTTACTACATTGGTCAACTTATGTAATGCTTATGAAAAACAAGAGGTCATGCCAGAGATGATGGAGCTGGCAAAGTTTGCCAAACATCATATACCAGAAACACATGAATTGGATGATCCAGATTTTATTAACAAAAGGATAACTGTATTAGCTAAAGCGGGTGTAACATCAGGTTTGGTTGCCCTGGCCAAAACTGAAAGCCACAATTCTAGAGAATTAATTGCGCGAGTTTTTAACGCCATCTGTGGGTTGCCAGAACTCAGAGGTATAGTTGTGCAACAAGGTGGTGCAAAAGTTCTAATTCCAATGTCGCTTGAAGGCACTAAAAATGGAAAAAAACAAGCAGCTCAGGCACTAGCACGCATTGGGATAACAATCAACCCAGAAGTAGCTTATCCAGGTCAGAGGAATTTAGAAGTTGTTAGACCTCTTGTAGGCTTACTTCACCCTGACTGCACAGCTTTGGAGAATTTTGAAGCTTTGATGGCCTTATGCAACCTAGCTGGAATGAGTGAATCTACAAGGAATAGGATATTGAAAGAAGGTGGTCTTGCTAAAATTGAACATTACTTATATGAAGATCATGAAATGCTGCTAAGAGCAGCGACACAGTGTATTTGTAATTTAGTACAATCTGATGATGTTATCAAAACCTATGAGGGCAATAATGACAAAACGAAATTTTTGTATCTCCTGTGTCAAGAAGAAGACACAGACACAGTGATGGCAGCTGCAGGGGCTTTATGCATACTGACATCTGCAAGTAAAACATGTTGCAGAAAATTACTGGATGTCCAAGTATGGCCAGAAACACTGAGGTGTCTGTTGGCAAATCCAAACAAGGAGATCCAGTACAGAGGAACATACATGCTTTACAACATCATTTCTGATGATAAAGATGTTGCTGCTAAAGTGTTCGAAACAGACATTATGGAGATATTAATGGCTATCACAAAATTAGAAGACCCAGATGTAAAGAGGACAGTTGAAAATGCTCAGAAATGTCTAAATGCTGCTGAGGAGATGGGAGTTATTAGAAAACCTGATGAAACAGTTATGGTTGATCCATTCAAAGAAGCAGAAGCAGAAGGCATTGAAGAAGAAAATATGTAAGAAAAAAGTATCTACTCTATATATACATATATATAGAACACTTTAATTCATAAGATGAGATTATTATGTCAAATATTTTCATATTGACCTTTCATTTGGGTATCTGTGCCAAACTTAATATCCTAAATACTTATTTATATATACTGTTTCCCAAATTAAATTTTCGCCAGAATATTATCTTTTAACAAAAATAATTTCATCTTTTAGTTTGTTATTAGTTTATAATTAGATATTAGGGAACTAAGACCATATGAAGCCAGGCTGGGATGCTAGTGCCTAATAAAATTTAATTGAAGAGAAATATTTGATGTTATGCCATGTTGTATTTGCTATCATTTATAATGTAGGTATTTATTAATGACTGTACTTAACTATAATTTTAAATAATTTCTTTTATTATTATATAAAACATGTTATGTTTTTACCTTTTTTAGAAATAAACTTTTTTACTATGAATAATAATTTATTATTTATAAGAGCTTTACTGGGGCTTTTAACAACATGGAAAAATATTAAGGGCATAACAACGGCAAGGACAATTTTACATGAGGTGTTGTAGCATGCAGCTAAAGAGGTAGGTAACTAGGTAGATTGAGAACCCTACACACTATTTAAGGTGAAGGGAAACTCGCCAAATAATGAACTGATATACATAGGGGAATACCTAATAATACTTTGCCCTATCAAGGGGTTCCACCCGAAATGTAATATGGTGTAATGATTTGTAACTACGCTCAAGAATATTCAAACGCCGCCCGCGCATAGTTCGCAAGCTGCGTATTCGCCAGATCGGGATGCACGATAATTAGTACCTCAACGATACCTCATCCACAACCTCATCGATATTAATTTGTACTCTATGGCTACATGGCTAATAAGTCAGTCAGAAGCAGAACTTCGGAAGTGAATCCGAGTAGACATAGAGACAAACCAGTCAGATTGTCGGACCACAGAGAATAGCGACCTTTTCACTATGGTAAGATCCTACTTAGGAAGAGGGCGCCACCGCCACAGTATCGGAAGGTAAAGTTGAAGTTTAGTTGAAGTGTTTCTTACTTTATTCTGAAGTTGATATCTTGTAGTTCGAAGCGAAAATTTTAAGAGTCTAGAAGGCAAATTAAAATTTTCTAAAACTTTTTTAAATACCTACTTGAGTAACAGTTTTTTGCACATTTTATCATTCTTATTTATGCATTATGTAGTATTTCGAACTTTACTGTAAATAAAATTAGAATAGCAAGGAGTGGAGGAAGATGATAAATGGTAGGTATTTATGTACCTAGAGTTCAATTTTTATTACATGCGTACTACCTACTTAGATATGTAGGTATTTAGGTGATAGAAACCAACTTGCTTATAATAGGACTCATCACTTTGGCTCCTAGTTATTCTCGCAAGAGCAACAGGTCCTGTGTGACATGTTTATACAATAATGTTTTTATTTAAAAAAGTAGGTACCTACATTTCGAAATCCACCCTGTACTGTAGCTTACTTTTGAAATATTTTTGTAAAGAAAGGGTCTTAAAAATTATCGCAATAAGTTCTAATTTTTGGAAGGATATTTTCTGTTCTTGTAGGAATGTTATTGTATGTACCAGTTGGTTGTAAAATTAAAATAATAATTAAATGAGAAAATCAGAACGAAAGGTTTATATGTATGTCTGTTTGTAAAATGTAAGCAAATACATAAAGCATAAATAATGTAAAATATACTTAGTGTATTATTTTTAAATTGAAGTTCATTTAAATTATAAATTAAAATTTTAAAATTCCCGCATATTTTTCAATATTTCTTCACTAATGTACCGCGTCCTTCCCCCACCGAAATCCCTCCCTTTCCCACCATTTTTATTTAAAGGTTATTTAATAAGTCACGATGCCGCCATTTTCTGTATCATCAATATAAAAACGAGAAACTGTATATTAGACCAAGTTTCAGTCACAATTCATAATCTTATAATATCGTTATTTATAATTAACAAACAGTGAAGCTTAATTTCTCTCATAGAATTAAAATTAATAATAACGGTTCTTAGTCTGCTACGGAACGTGACATATTAAAAACCTTTTGAAATGACAGCTTGATTTGGTTTGGTTTCCGCTACTGTGCTATTGTGCTATTTTTCGGTTTTTAATACGAAATTCGCCAGAAAATGTCAATTTCTACAGCTACAGGTATCTATCTCAATACAGGGCATAATTATTTCTATAAATTGTTTATAATCTTTACGTGTTTACCATCAAACCTGATAGAGTTGTTTTTTCGGAGAAATGCCATGGAATCCCATATGGCGGTCCATACTCCACATGATATAATGACGCTATATGATAAATGAAAATACATTTTTTCAAGAATCAATTCATAAATGCTGAATTTGAAATGCTAAGCAGCAGTTTATTGATGCGATCGTAAACGTTAAGGTTACTACGATATCTAGATTTTACTGGTCTTTCTAGCGTCTCCGTAATTGCCGGACGCTCACGGTTGCCAATATGAGTTAACTTTTAGTTATGTCACTTATTTGTTAACATTTACTACGTCAAATAGTTTTGATTTGTGCAGTAACTTGTACTGTTATTAGCTACTGATCAAACCAGTTAGTGCAACGATTTGTTTTGATTGTTTATTTTATCTATGACTGACGTTTCTTGCAGACGAACGCACGGAAGGTGACGACGATACATCACAAGGAAGCCAGCCTAAAGATGACAGCAGTGACTCTGAAAATGAAAATGAGCCTCAGAGCCAAAATGGAGGCTCTCCTGCCCCAGAGGTTCACGAGATTACTAGTGACGACGATGAAGATTGTGTAGTGACTAATGATGACGATGATGATGACAGTTCTAATTCAAGTACAGACAGTAATGAAAGTTCAGATGAATCACAAAGTGAAAACAAAAACATGCAAGAGAAAAAAATTGAAGAACAACATCTTGAGAATGGTGGAGATGAATCAGATATTGAAGAGGTGTCTGTGGAGGATCCCTTGAATGAAACTCCCTCCAATAAGAACAAGCCTATTGTAGTCAGTGACACTAGAAGTTTGGCAGACTTGGCGACTAAACAATCCAAATCAAACGGAGATCAGAATAGTGAACCAACTGTAGTTATCATAGATACAAATTCTATATTAACTACCAAACCACCAGCATCAGCCCCTAGCAAACCCACCTCTACAAGTGCACTGGATGCACACAACTTGTGTCAGAGTATTGCTGCCCGTGGAACTACCATTACTCCAGTCAGTGTGAAAAATGCCAGCAACAATAGTAACACTCAAACACCAGCACCTCTACCAAACATACTGCCTTCCCTCACTGATGATATGTTTGTTGTTGAAGCTCCTTCCTTTATAGTTCCCTATGTTTATGAAAAGCCCTCTGTAAAACCATTTAGGGAATTTGTAGACAAGTTGGGAAAGGAATTGGAAGAACTCAAAATAAAGGAAGAACAGGAAAAACTTGAAAAGGATAAGATTGAAAAAGATAGGAAGGAAAAAGAAAGGCAGGAAAAGATTGAGAGGGGAGAGCTGGAGGAAGAGGATGAAACTAGTGATAATAAAAGTGCGGATGATTCAATCAAGGATAAAAAAACTGAGAAAAAACAGAAAAGGAGGCGTGGCCAAGAAGAAGATGATGACTCCTGGGATGGCGAATCTTCGTCAGACTCTGAAGGCACTGATGATGATGCTGTAGTCATTAAGGACAGAGATGACACTATTGATCTTAAAGATCCAATCAGCTTGATTGCTAAAGGACTTAGTGGAGGTAAACCAGACAGCTATTTTGACTGTTCTCTTGGACAATTTTTTATCAATGTTGGTTTGAACTTAGTTCAAGAATATGTACAGAGTGACCTACTCAAACATCAAAATCGAAAATTATACAAGGAAAAGAAAACAGGCAAAAGCACAAAGGCTACTGAGGCAGCTATAGCATCACTTACTCAGAACTTAGAGTTCAGCAAAAAGACAAATGCTCCTTATGCTCTTGTTCAGAGACGATGTGAGTTTTGTAGTTTTAAGACAGAATCCATGCTTGTAATGGCGCATCATCTAGAGGCACCTCACATGCGAAATAACATTTATAAATGCAATTCTTGTGAATTTGAAATTCGTAGTCCTCATGATATATTGTTTCACATGGAAGCTGAGCATAATATTCGGGGCAGGCTGGAAAGAGCCCCGGCTTACCAACAGTGTGCTAATTGTCACTTTGAGGACAACAGTAAGACTAAATTAGCGCGGCATCTTATTGCTTGTGCTAAGAAATTCAAACCAGACCTTAATCTGGCTCCTCCAATAGAGTGGGAACCACCTGCAAAAATACCAAAATTAACAAGGGCTCGTAATAACATGGTAGGCACTTATCAATCCAACTTTAATAGGACACAGATGAATATGAATAATCTGAGTCGGCCACAGATAAATATGGCAAATGTAATTCCCAGTATGCCTGTACTAGGCAGGCCTCGCGGTCGGCCCCCAACCACAGGTCCGCCACGTCCTCAGCCCGTGTCGGGTGTGCCGATGATACGCAGTGGCGTCATGATCATGCATAACACACCGGCTGTTGGTACCACTATTGCCAACTATCCTATGATACAAAACCAGACCAACAATGCTACACCTAAGATATCAATTACTCCACTTCCACGAGCTCCACAACCATCATCTTCACACTCATCACAAAACTCTAAGGCAACCTTTGTGATATGTGAAATTTGTGATGGATATATCAAGGATTTAGAACAATTGAGAAACCACATGCAATGGATACACAAAGTTAAGATTCATCCCAAGATGATCTATAACAGGCCACCCTTGAATTGCCAGAAATGCCAATTTAGATTTTTCACTGACCAAGGATTGGAAAGACATCTTCTTGGTTCCCATGGGTTGGTCACAAGTTCCATGCAAGAAGCTGCAAACAAAGGCAAAGATGCTGGTAGGTGTCCAGTGTGTGGGAGAGTGTACCAGTGGAAGCTACTTAACCATGT